ACTTTATTATCCAAATCAGCTTTCCATTTGGTAACAGCTTCGAACGTTGATCCTCGTGTGACATCAAAGACGATAAAACAACCTACAGCTTCTTTGTAATAAACTCGAGTCATGTTTCCGAATCGTTCTTGACCGGCGATATCCTGAAAAAAACAACAAAATTCAATTCGACAAATTGCATGACAATTATGACGCACCCAAAGTTGAAGACGAATGACAGTGTCCTCATCATATTTCACAATTTTCAATGCGAAATCAACACCGATCTAAGAAATGACAATAGGAGAAAGAACAGATTCCAATGGTAATTTTACCGTTGCGCGATAATGCTCAGAGAAAAAATTATGAACATAACGTTTGACCAGAGCTGTTTTCCCTGTGGCCAATTCTCCAATAACGAGAACTTTGAACAAATATTCGCGTTTTTGTTCACCGGTTGCTGGTGGAGCTGATGGAGTCGTGGTCTTTAATTGATAAACATAAAATCGATATTTCGTTCTCTAACAAATTCATCTACTCACCATTATTTTTTACACGAAGAAAAAAGATGATACGTGTGAGCACTTGATTCACTTAAGATATGATATGAAGCAAAAAAGAAGATAGATAACAGTTCGTGCTTACCATTCATTTTTTTTTCTTTGTATATACTACATGAATCATGAGAAGAGATATCCATTCCTCTTTGTAAAACTTGAAGAAAAAAAGGAAAATAAGTTTTTTGCGTCATTATATTTATCAAATAATTCTTCTCACCTGTTTAGTGTTCTTTAGAAACACAATGGCAAAGGAGAGGTTATTTTATAATCTATCAGATTACATATACATAAAAGTCCTACTGACCTAAATTATGAAACTTCAGGATTGAAGCAAAAATTGTTTCTTTGTCTCTTCGAACATAAACATCGTCCAGGCTCTTTTCCTATCGACGTCTGTTTTTCACTTCATAGTTCATTTCTTAACCATAAAAAGAGATTATGAAGAAATAGTCATATAAACCGACTATTCCATCCGTATCCTTCCTAATTCTTTTATTTTGTTAACTTCTTCGACAATGCACACAAATGTTCTCGATTATCTCAATCGAAGTAATCTGTTCGGATCTTTCTTTTCTAGAGACTCAAATTTTCAATCGTTCAAAGTCAAGTATGAGATGAATTTGTCCTTCGGACGAATTTGATCCAACTTTTCCGTTCACTTCAAACCACCGATTGATATGACCTAATTCATACAATTGATGCAAATCGATTGTTACAGATCCGATTTTTTCATCTTTGATTTGATCTTCATCATAGATATGAACATGAAGAGTATCTTGTCCAGTGAGATGGTTACTAAATATTTCAATTGAAAAGATTCGAAACGAAAATGTCACTTACAAAACAAACGTTTCATTCCATTGCGGAAAGTTTGAATTTTGTTTTGTTTTCGTTCGTTTTTTCAATTGTTTATTATCCAAATATACCTCCACAAATGGATCATTCTCAGAAAACGTGTCTTTTTTTGTTAGATTCTTTGCTTCAACGATGGTTATTTGTAATTGTGCCATTTGTTGTTATTCTCAAACAAGATTACATCCAAAATAACGTTTTCCTCATCGAAAGCAAAGTCTCTTATCGCTTTTTTCTTCATTAAGAACGAAGAAATGTGTTTTCTTCGTCTACAAACGGTTTTTAATTGATTATTTATGTAAATTGCATGTTATAAAATTCGTCTCCAATGAGATTTATATTCAATGTGGAATAGCGTATGTGACATGAAAAGAAAAACAACGATCAAAGTGTGTATTTCTTTTCGATGACGATTAACTAATCATGAATGAGCCCTTTCAAGGAAACCAAATACGATTTCTGTTTCTATACTACACCATTCATTAAAAGAAATAGTAAAAAAGAAAACAGACACAGCATTTGTGAAGATTACACAACACAATCGTATGACTTTTAATGTGAATATATTTCAAAAATGGTCGACGAACTAGAGTGACGAAAGTAAGATTGAAGTACTGGTGAACAAAGAGACCTGTCAGGTTTTAAACACAGATAAGAAATTTATGCATAGATATGCCATATGAGAATTGTCGATCGTTTACGCTTTCTACGTATCAACGACGTGGAAAAAGAATTACGCACAATCGAATAGTATATATCCAGGCTTCATCATTTAACAAGACAAGTAATTTCTTTTTCTCTTATTCGGCCACTTGTTCATTTTCCATTCGTTATAATACGATCTGTTTCACGGGTGATAGACGGTGCCTATCGTATCTATTATATCAAGGTACAGGAGGTTCAAGGACACTGCTTAGGAATTTATAATGAGTGTCACATCGGTTTGGTTGTTCATGAATTATCCATGAAATATTACCGAGAGACTTTGAATAAAAAGGTTGCATGTGTATCAGATATGGATAAAATGGTTTGTACTTCATTAGAAAGTCGCCAATCTTTTTTTATTTGAGATTGAAACAAGCTATTTGTATTTTATTTACAATGACTTCGTCGTCTGTACATTATGTAAGTGGAATTCTTCGTTCGATATTTATTGAATATGTTTTGAGTCGTTTGCTGCCACCTTTCACAGTTGACAATAAAGTTGTCGTTTTATTTAAAGAAATATATAGTCCGAAAGAGCTACTCGCAGTCTAAGCGTGCTACTTTGTATAAATTTTCTCTTCGATCGGATGTTTGTCGTATTTTAAAAATTGCTCGCTTCAATATTCCCTGTCCAAGTGTCTACGAGGATTTCGCGAAAGCAAACCCTACCCATTCAACTGAATAAGGCGACTGATGAGATTCATTTTGGCTCTATTACTCTATGTTGTATGCGTCCGTGTGCAAAGTTTCAAGCGTTTATTCCATTATGTCTGAAAGTTTGAGTTGCTCAAATCAATCTTCCACCTCACTGGGTACAAATGAGAACCATTCTTTTTCGATCGGCTCGTCGAATTTTCCTTCATCGAGATGATGTATGTTTTGACACAAAAGCTAATCGCAATTAAAGTGTACGATTTCATTTTGATACAATGAATTGATTGACAATTGCGCATTTGATTGATCTCTAATAGCTTCGATGAAATGGCATGACTAACGCACGTTTTCGCCATTATTGTCGACGAAATGTAACCCCATCGAGCAGCATAATTCGGATAGGTTACATATATGCCCTTTTTGCTGTTTCAATTATGAGTAAAAACAGAAAGAAACAAATTGCAGAAGAGGTCATAGACAATGATCGACAATCTCTATCTACAACTTCGCTGAAAAATATTGCAATGGCTTATTTTGATGACTAAAACCAAATTCATGTGTCTAACGAACGTCTCCTCTTTTCAGTTATCTGATACAAAATACCAATGGGCAACAACCGTGCTTGAAGGTTTGACCAAACAGCAAAATAATGGTAACATGGAAAAGTCAATTGTATTTTCAAGCGCATGCGAAATTATCAAACGTCTTTTGGATGCATATGATCATTCTGATCCGGTAAGAATAGGTTTTATTTAATATAGCAATATGTTTTTCCTTGTAGGCTAATCAATCAACCCAGGTCAACAAATCCGATGCTGGATCCGACCATCTGACAAAATCCGATCGGATTCCTGGAAACGGAATTGCATTGGATTCCGACTAGAAAAATCCCGTCGGTTGTTGCAAATTTTATGAGCGATCTTTCTAGCTATATTCTATGATGACCCTTAGAAAATCCAGGAAATCCATGTTTCGGATCCGAGACCGTCGGAATCCAATGCGATTCCGTCACCAGGATTTCATCGGATCCGTCGAATTCCTGTAGGATCTGATAAAATTCTGTATTGGATCCGATCGGATCCGAGTATGGGATTGTTCGACCTGGGAACTAAAGTTATATTACATCTAAATGAAAAGAAACAAGAACCCAGGTCAATCATTCCGGCGACTGGATCCATTGAAATCTGAATCGGTTCCGGTACAGCTCTTCTGGATTCCGGCACAGTTTTCGCCGATTCCAGCAAGTTCCGGCAGATTCCTTGCCGCCGGATTCCGGTCGGAATCGACCGTGCTATAATAACCTGGGATTATAACAATTCGCAAGATTTCATCTTGCAAATGAAAATGGTTAGCATAGATTTATTTCTCACACGTTCATTCTATATAAGCATGTCTATTTCAGAATATTATATTGAAGAGAAGTCTTGATGATTCGTCGCTCCTGAAAAATTCTTGTGCGTCGTTATAAACCAACAGCAACTATAGCCCAATATAGTCTTGACGATCAATGATCGACTTTGTCTTCTGTTTATTCTATTATCTAAATCTTTGACTATGGTAAAAATGATGTTGGGCTTTTTTCTCTTACTGACACGATTGTACTCACTCGTTCTTATCCTTTCTTCGAACTACTTGTGTAGGATTTTTTATGTTCATCAAGGAGTCCACGTTATTGGATGTATTTCCTTTCATGCATGTCATGTCTTAACTTTTTCAAAAGATATTCATTGGTGAATCCTTCAACAAAGGTACATCATTCAACGTCAGTGCATCGGCGTTTTTACTGTCAAATGGAGAATATTCTAAATGAGGAACACTAATGCGTATTGTTTATTAATTGAAAATAACGTCGGTAACACAACAACTTTACTTCATCGATGGAAAAAAGATTAACGTAGTTTCTCAGAATTGTTTAGCAGTATTTGCAGTAAACTAAAGTCAAGATGTTGAAATGTTAAGAATGAAATATGTGTTTCTTTCGCCGACAAACCGTTTTAAATTGATTATTTATGTAAATTGCGTGTTACGCGATTCGTCTCCAATGAGATTTATATTCAATGTGAAAACGAGTATGTGACATGAAAAGTCAAACAACGACCAAAGTGTTTCTTTCTTTTTAATACCGATTAACTAATCATGAGTGAGTCCTTTCAAAAGAACTAAACACGTCAAGAAAGACAAATCAACACGCTTTTGTGTTCCAGAAAGGATGAGCTGCCAGGTTCGTGTTCGAATATTAATGCAGTCGTAACTCTGTCCGCTAAGACTCGTTCTTAAGATCTTCAGTCATCCGCTCTCCTCAGGCAAATCAGTGCAATATCATGAGCGAAGATAAAAATCTGAATGTGCATCGCTTATAAATAGACTGGCAATGTGACACGAAAGGTAACGGGTAAGAAAGGTTTCATAAGGGGAAGAAAAGCATCGAAGCACGACTATTTTTCATGTTGAAAAGACAGATTTGACAAATGTCTCCATCGACTTCATTCTCATTGAATAATATCCACACCTTCGATGATCAATTAAATATAATTGAAGACGAAGAAGAAAATCAACATTTAACAAAGAAATTTAATTGTTGGTGTTAAAAAGAAATCATTTCGTTTTCTTATTCATTCTTAGTCGCATTTATCTTCAGTATAATCTTCCCAACATACGCATTTCTCTTGTCTTGATCGAAATAACGGACGTGATAAACATTCGTGCGAAGAACTCGCATGGTACGTGGCGATTGTCAGTAATGTTCTTACAAGAATTATCCTTCTAATTCTCTGTCGTTTTGGTGAATTCATTTGAAAACATACACCAGGCGTTGTTCTCCTATCCTCCATCTCTGCTCTGGGTTTGACTTTTTTAGCTTTGAATGAGTATTTACAAGTCGCTGCATCACCGATGGTTTCGTTTCTTCCATTTACGATTGTTATGCTTGGTTATTTTGGCGATGGTAAAGGTTTCTTTGAAAGGCACAGTTGATTTGAAATCAATTTCTTTTAGTCAAATTTCGTTCGATTCCGATCGTATTTATCGCACTTGTAGTCGGAACAATATTTGCATGGGCGACGTCGTTGAGTCACGCGTCGAATGTACGAACAGCAGCATCAATCGTTAAACCGTCTCCACTTGTATTTACAATAAAGGAAATCTTTGTGAATTTGAACGAAATAACTCCGTATCTATCGACAACCATTCCAACGGCAATTTCAATTGCTATTGGAACTATTCAATGTGTGGAATCGGCAAGACGAGCAGGAGACTTCTATCCAACAAGAGGAGCGATGTTTGCAGATGGAATTGGAACTTGAATTGCGAGTCTGTTTGGGTCGATTCTCGGAATGACAAGTAGAACTATTTGAGTGGTTTTTCTAGAAGATTTAATGATTTATTTAGCATTTAAACAAATAGGTGCGAAACAAGGATATTCACTTGTCAATGGCCTTGCGTTCATCCCTTCATGTTTTTTTGGTATCAATGCTCTTCTTCTTTCAATCGTCGCAATTGTTTCCGTCAATCCGATTATTGTAAAACTCACTCTGATCATTTCATCAATTATTTTTCGATTATTTTAGATTTTTATCGGTCTTGTCATTTGTTCGGATACTCTTTCGATTACACCTTCTCGACATTATCCTGACTGTCTCTTTGGTCTCATGTCAGTTGTTGCCGATTGCGCGAAAGGAACCATTGTTAGTGCTGTGACCAATGCTTATTCGAAATTTCTTCCTAATAACGCAAATCTCGATGGAAATATCAGTTCATTGATAACGAGTTTTTCATGTCGCGGTTTCTCGAATTTCTCGGGTGGTAGTCTTCTCCAATGTATATTATCGATCGGAAATTTGTCCGTGCAATGACATGGTCTTTAATCGCAGCGATATTTTCTCTTTTTGGTTTGATTGACGCGTCAACAGTTGGATTATTAATTCATGAAAATGACGATGGATGGAAATTTACTGTCGCATACAGTATGATGGCGGTCTTCTTTCTTTGCTTAGAATTGGGTCAACGACATAAATGGATAAAACAAGCGAATCAATCTCCTGATGAAGAGCCGTCAAACAAAAACACTAATGAAAGTGATCTTTAAACGAAAAACAACCAAACTTGTTACAGAAAAAGCTTTTTTTCCTTCTTTTTTTCTCCAGACAACTCCAAAGGCTTCTGGGTGCTATATGATTGATTTTTACTTGTTAAAAGAACTTTTTCTCCCACGGCATTGTTGACACATCGTTTCTTTTTTATTCACATTCTTGCATAAAAAAAAAAGAGAAACTAATCACCTTCCCCTTTTCTTACTTCACATTTCATTTTTAATGATAAAAACAAGTCAAGACATGACGGAATATTATTCCAAACCAAATCAGGCATTCTATGGACTTCAGGAGACATCACGAGATCATCCATATGTGATTACAAATCGTTCACAACACGGACAATACAATGTCACAGAAAGAGATTATGGAAATAAGAAAGTCTCCTACTTCATTCCATCTGAATATGAGAATCGTTACGATCCATCATATTTAGACGATGTACCAGCTTATGATCGATATAACACGCCAATCTTAGTGCGAAGAAGATATTATCGATCAGCTAACGATGCTTATCCTTACTACGAAGAAGAACTACCAATGATATCATCTCGACGATATGCTGATCCACCACCTCCTCAACCACCAAAACAACCCCGAGTGATCAAACGAGTTTATTTTCAACCATCACCCACCCCGCCACCAGTCGAATATGTATACGAAGATGAGCATAAGCCAAATAATGCAGAATATATTCCCGTGAAATCAAAAGTATGAGCATATAATTATTTGATTGATTTCCCTTCTTTCTTTTTACTTTTAGCCTATTGAAGAACATCAACCAGCTCCTCGAGAAAATCCTTCACCGCCGCCTTTAAAAGCATATCGTCACGACGAATTCCCTTCTCCACGTTATCAGAAACCAAGTCCTCGACCAACAATTAACAATCGTAGATCTCTGCCTCCAATCGCAAACAAATCGAAATATCTAAGTTTGCAAGAAGTTTTAGCTCAAAATCGTGCCCGACGAGGTTCTCGCATACCGGCTCCTCGTCGTGAAGTGTACGAAGACCAAATCTATGATCTTCCGACATACCGTAGAAATTATGTTAAAAATGGTTTTATTGTACATAAATAAATACAAAGCAGAGTCGAACTTTTCCTCAATTCTAAACAAGAATTGAAAAGTAACAAACATACACATCGACTGTTATTAACTCTAGAAGTCAAATGCAATCTACAGAGAAGAATGTGAATATTGAAATACAAAATGACCTATTTCTCGAAATCTTAGAGTTGCAATGAAAGAATTCATTTCACTCAATGATACTCTTCGACAAATTCATTCGTCCCGATTGGCAACTTATTCAATCGTCATTGAGAGCACAAATTTGGTTTCAACATATTGTAAATAAGTCAATGAGAATACAATGAATAATTATTGAATACGAATGACTTGTATGAGACAAATCTTGCGGGTGAAATCACTTTCGGTGTTGAGAGGCACAACATGGCGATTGTGTTGAAAAATGTCTGACATGGCAGAAACGAATGAGAAAAATGTTTTTTTATCATTCAACGGACGGCAATTTCGAACATTTTCTTTTCTTCTCCTCTCATATTTGTCTATAAATAACAGTTATGAGATGTCAACATTCATTACTGACCTATTGTGATCGAACAAGAAATATCCGCACAAAGAAAAGATGGTAGGTGAAATTTGTCGACGTTAAATCGCGTAATTATATCCATTTTTATATCAAACAGGTTGGCATTGTATGTAAAACGTGTACGGTCGTTGTGATAATTGCACTTTGTTCATGTTTAACCTTACTTTACAAAATATCGGATCCCGTACCATCATGTGTTTGTCGAAATCATTTGAATCAACCGGTCGATTGGTTTATTGTTTATAAATTACCACGTCTTTCACGTTCAATTGATCCATTTGTACGAAATGGAACTGGTTACATCTATTTAGATAGTTCATCTTCGTTAGATAAATGGCAGTTTTCCTCGCAAGGTATCGATTCGCCTTCATCGTTGACTGGTCTGACATTAGATCCATTGTACAAATATCCAAATCAATATTCATACATGTTTTATAACGATCAGCCACCAAATAAACCTGTTTCGATGATCTATGGCCATTCGAAAGGAGTTCTTGCGTTTGAAGATTCAACTCAAACAGGATTTTGGTTGGTTCATAGTGTTCCACGTTTTCCTCAAATTATCACGCAAGGTTACGGATATCCAGATTCAGGTAAAAACGACGTTTTTCATCGATATGAACATAATCTATTGGTTTTCTCCTTAGGTCGCATATATGGTCAAACGATGTTATGCATAACACTGAATTCATCATCAGGTCTATCGGTTAATTCGATTGATTTACTATCGACTCATTTCCTGTATACAAGACCAATGGTTTTTGATTCAAGTTTAACTTCGTCTGCTAGCAATCGTTATAGTATACTTTCTAAGAGTATTATTACAAACAAAGGTCACATTACTCAACCACCTTACACACGGTTCTATCCGTTGAATAGTTCATCGCTTGAAATTCATACATTTTCCAAATACGGCTCAGCTAACATCGATATGTTAAGTGAATTAATCGTTCCCACTTTGTCTACTTCAATGTTAAGTGAAACATGGTCGAATGGTCGTCAGAAAAATTTACCTTCGAATTGTACAGGTCAATATCACACTGAAAATATTGAAAAACTTGCATTTAATTTCACCGTTCATCATGATCACTCCAAATGGCTTGTTAGTAGTAGTGCTATCGATGAGCCATGGACATGTATTGGTGATATGAATCGACAAGCGGAACAGAAAGTGCGACATGGAGGATTTGCTTGTGTGAAGAACAAACAAATACAAGAACGATTTCGACAACTTGTTTTGGTCATTGAACCATGTCCGAAAGAGAAAAAATGATTTTCTTTGGATATATTTGTACATAGAATAAAGCTTGTTGATTTTCTGGACATTGATGTATTTAACTGCGAAAAATCTCATCCTGGGTTATTTTTTAAAAGTGATTAAAACGTAACCATGCAGTAGAAGGATAATCCGATCTTTTTTATCGACTAGAAAGAGAATGTTTTTTCACATTCGATTGAGTTTAACATAAGATTATCACGAACCGCACATAATTAACTACTGTGATTGAAGTGAAAGATTTCGGCTTTTGAAATAGATTGCTGATTTCTTTTTCTAGAGTACACCATTCATTGGAAGAAGTTGTAGAATTGGAAAATAGAAACAGTATTCGTGAATATCACACGACACAATCTGATGGCTTTTAATACGAACACATTGGAAGTGGGATTGAAATATTGACGAAAGTATGGATCTATTAGATCCGAACATACAGATAAGAAATTTATGCATATACATGTCATATGAGAAATTTCGTTTTTACGTATTGATAGTGTGGAAAAAGAATTACACACAATCCAGTAATATATATCAGTGCATTATCACAAAAATACAAATCATTTCTTTATTCAGTTGCTTGTTCATTTTATACTCGTTCTAATAGCCTCTAGAACATCTATCCTTTATGAAACTTCATATGATTTGTTTCACATCAGACACGTATTGCTTAGGAATGTGAAAAATGTATATCACATTTGGATTAGGTAGTAGTTGTCCTTCATTAGAAAGTCATCAAACGTTTTGTTTTATTTGTTTTTATTTCAGATTGAAACGCACTCTCTTGATTCTATACGATGACTTCATCACCTGTGTATTATGGAAGTAAATGTTTTTGTTTAATATGTATTGTATGTGTATTTAAGTCGTTCCCTTCCACCTTTTATAACGGATAACAATGCTGTCAGTCTATTAAACGAAAGCTATAGTTGGAACCCATCTATTCTACTGCAATTGAGTTGCAACGTAGTTGTTAAAGAATAAGCGACATGAGTCAGGGTTCAGTAAGAAAAAGTTTTTATTGATTATAGCAACGTGATTCTCCTTCGTAGGTGAATTCAACAGATAAAGTTGACTTAGATCTCAGTAAAAACAAGAAAGATTACAAAACATCTCATGATTTTATTATGTAGATGAATACGGTTCGAATAGATTTACTTCTCGTACCTTTATTCTATGATCCAAATCCTTAAGTATGACGAAAATAGTCTTACATCTTTCTCTTTATTGGCAAGGTTGTATTCACTCCTTCTCTGGTTGTTGTCAAACTTGAACCGTGGATTCTTTCTTCCAACTTATTATGGAGATTTTTCATGTTAATCAAAGAGTCCATATCATTGCATGTATTTTCTTTCAGCAATGGTATATATTTTGATACTCAATCATCAGTAGTTTCATTGCCAAATGGAAAATGTTCGAAATGAGCAACACCTGCAATGATTGTTGTTTATTGATTTCCCACAAGAAAAATATCGTTGGTAGGAAACTTATTTTACTTTACCTATCAACGAAAGATGAACGTAGTCTCTCAGAATCATTCAATGCTATTCGCAGGAAAGCACAATCAAGGTGATGAAGTATCAAACAACACGTCATTGAATCACCTTATGCATGATCTCTGTTGTTGACTCCGTCGCCATTTGAAGTTCATACATTTTCAGAATATGGTTCAGTCGATTTTAATGCGGTAATAAGATAGATGAATTTACTTCAAAGTCGTACTGAACAGTGACATAGAGAAGATATAAAAAAAGCTTTCATTTCATTCTACGGTTCATTATGATTGTTCAGTGAATGAAAAAGTAAAATACGAATGACGATTACTTGGTTGAAGAACAAGCAAGTGCAAAATTCTTCGATAAATGCTCTTAGATATCGAACCGCGTTCGAAGGAAAGTACGATTCGCATGTTTTCATAGAGAACATACGTTATAGTCTGTGACTAAACGAAAATTTCAAGTTTATTTCATGAGATTCTTAGTTAGATTTAATAATTCTTACAAAAAAGATACGTGATTTTAAAAAATGCTTATGAAAAATGATTAGGTTTGCGATGATGGATATTGTCCATACGCTCCTGGTGGTGGTGGTGGCGGAAAATGGTGATGTCCATGTTTTCGTCGATCGGCTTCAAATTTTTCATGTTTACTTCGTTGAACTTTTTGGATGAGTAGCCAAGCCTGATCAGCATTCACTTTACTCGAGCCGTGCGTTGTTGCGAAATCTTTTTCAAAGTCTTTTTTAAGATCTGATAAAATTTGCTTGCGTTTTTCTTCGAAATCTGGTGGAGGTCCACCATGATGTGGTGGTGGCGGTCCACCAAAATGGGGAGGTGGGGGTCCACCGAAATGATGTGGTGGTGGTCCGCCGTGATGGTGGGGTGGTGGAGGATGTCGTTGTCTCATCTTTGCATGCCATTGATCCTCAACTGTTTGGAACAATTCCCATGTCTGAACGGCTGAAATTAACGCATCACCATATCGTTTGCGATACTCGTTGAGAAAATCTTGTTTGAATTCAGCGTCGAATTGACGGCGTTCTTCTTCTGTTGGAGGGCCAGGTGGACGACTAGCCCATGCTTGTTGTTGCGGTTGTGTTGTCGATGCCATGTGTAATGAATGACTCGAGCCGTGTCCTTTCGTTGTTGTACACAGTAGGGTGAGGATGCATGAGTGAGTATCAGTATTTATATGACAAAGACGCCACGCAGAATGAATAAGGACATAAAGGTTCACGAAAGAAAAAGTACATATTTCTTTATTGCTACCATGTGTTCGAATGAATCATCAAATGTTTTTTTAACGTCCTGAAAAAGAAAATACACACACGTGAGCCAGAGTTTTTTTACGAAATGTACTTTTTGAATGAATTCTGCGTTCACTAATCAGTTTTTCCATTATTCTCATCATTTCTGTTGAATAAAACTTACATTAAGAATGACATAACGATATGATTGCCACCCAAATGATTTAGTAATTATAATTCTCCTGCTTTAATAGGTTTCACGCTTACCAAAAGGTAACATGTGACTTCGTATATTTCTCATTGCACTACGAATCCTCAAGTATCTGCAACGCTTCAATTCTTTATATTCATTTATTACAAACAACACACATATGACTGTAATTTGAAAAACCCTCATGATTTACATTTCATTTCTATTCTTCTGTTGGAAAACAGCGACAACGTTTACTGGAAACTTCAATCGCCTTCGAATGACGAGTTGCTTAATGAAAAGGCGAACTGGTCTGTTTGTAAAGATCAGTAGGAGTGTGTCGTGTAACATTGCAGCCGATGGCAAAATACGAAGAATGATGGCTAAGAATCGAGGAATATCCACACTCGCGCCAAATATTTGCATGAGAAATACAGGTGTCCAGCCGACGAGAAAAACGACGAATGTGATGATCATGACTTTCAACAGATAGATATCACGAGCATGAGCTAGTGGAGCTCGAGTACCTTGTGCACGTAGTTGTCGAGTCGATTGACGAACATGTCGAAGAATTCTGCCGTTGCATACGGTAACAATGACGATGGGAGCGATGAGAGTCGTCACAAGAGTGTAGTGTGATACAAATTCTGCTGAAGCCGACTGCAAACAAGTATAACTATCAAAAAATAAGTTAATTGACGATAGAAGAAAAGCGAGAAGCCAGCCTATAGTAATAAAAATAAATAAACAAGTATTTGAACGAGAAAACGATTTCTTTGCATAGACAATAGCCAGCATTCGACTGATAGCAGCTACACAGTGTGAATACATGAGTTGGTTTACAGCTGAAAGTAGGAAAAATGCTCGAACACGACAGTTGATTGAACTGAATAGATCATTTCGATTGCCGTGCATAACCAATATATTGATACAAAGTAAAATAGTAGATATGCATATATTAACTGTGAACCAGTTAAGTTTATTATGTCGGAAGACTGGTCGACTGAAGATGAGAATCGTGTATACGAGAGCAAGAAGGATTGTTAAAGACAAGATCGGAATTTCAATCACATCAGCTACTGAATCTTGTCCAAATACCGAGAAGTGTGTTTGATTTCGAAGTAAAAATGTATCATAACTGTTGCCTGAATAATTGTTCATTTTACTTAACGATGAATTATTTGAAATGAAATGTGACAAAAGAAAGTTTTTAATATTCTCGGAGTTTTTCTTTCTTGTTTTTTATTGTTGCAGAAACTCATGTACGTGGGAGAAAATCAGGTCTGAGATATCTAAAGTGCATTCTTATTCACGTTTACAAATATTTAATGAGTGCCTTTAAATAAATGTAATTAACATTCCTCTATAAATATACATTCAGTCTTAAAGATGTACCGATCTCTACGATTAAAGTGCTTATCAGTATCCAATTGGATGACATCGCAAAAATGAATTAAATATTAACCATAGTGCCATGACACTCATTTTCTCAATTGTTCTCTAAGCACCATTTTTGTTTTGCATTTAATTTATAATGGGTTTTTGCAATCTCTGCACAAAGAAGGACCGTTTTTTATCTTTGTTGATTACAGCTGACAGATATATTCATATTTATATATGCGAACGCGGATTCGATGTGTGCACGATTGAAACTATGTCTCCCTCAACTATCGCTTTTGTACTAAGATTTTGAAGTTTTCATTCTTATTCGAACTGGAATTGAACATCCGCTCTTTTATGTTCACTAGCAGGTCACATGTGACTTCGTATAGTTCTCATTACACGACAAATCCTTAAGTATCTGGAACACTTTAGACTTTAACGTTTTTTATTATAAATAACACTCACATGGCTGTAATTTGAAAAACCCTCATGATTTACATTTCATTTCTATTCTTCTGTTGGAAAACAGCGACAACGTTTACTGGAATCTTTAATTGCCTTCGAATGACGAGTTGCTTAATGAAAAGACGAACTGGTCTGTTTGTAAAGATCAGTAGGAGTGTGTCGTGTAACATTGCAGCCGACGGCAAAACATGAAGAATGATGACTAAGAATCGAGGAATATCCACACTCACGCCAAATATTTGCATGAGAAATACAGGTGTCCAGCCGACGAGAAAAACGACGAATGTGATGATCATGACTTTCAACAGATAGATATCACGAGCATGAGCTAGTGGAGCTCGAGTACCTTGTGCACGTAGTTGTCGAGTCGATTGACGAACATGTCGAAGAATTCTGCCGTTGCATACGGTAACAATGACGATGGGAGCGATGAGACTCGTCACAAGAGTGTAGTGTGATATGAAATCCACTGATGTCCACTGCAAACAAGTATGACTATCAAAAAATAAGTTAAGTGAAGACAGAAGAAAAGCGAGAAGCCAGCCTATAGTAATACAAATAAATAAACAAGTATTTGAACGAGAAAACGATTTCTTTGCATAGACAATAGCCAGCATTCGACTAATAGCAGCTACACAGTGTGAATACATGAGCTGGTTTACAGCTGAAAGTAGGAAAAATGCTCGAATACGACAGTTGATTGAACTGGATTGATCATTTCGATTGCCGTGCATAACCACTACATTGATACAAAGTAAGATAGTAGATATGCATATATTAACTGTGAACCAATTAAGTTTATTTTGTCGGACGACTGGTCGACTGAAGATGAGAATCGTGTATACGAGAGCAAGAAGGATTGTTAAAGACAAGATCGGAATTTCAATCACGTCAGCTACTGAATCTTTCGAGAACACAAAGAACTGAGTTTGGTTCGAAGGTGGATGTGAATTTTTAGTGTTGGTGGAATTTTTATTCATACCTATTGAGAAAGAAATACCTGGAATGAAATATCATACGGTGAATTTGTTAATATTTTTCTATTTTTTCTTTGTAATTACGGTAGGTTATATTAGTTAAACAAAACAATACTGAATATATATCATTCTTTCTCTTAAGAATTCATCTTGTTCTGTGATGTTGCACATTCGAGAATCACTTCTGCTGACGTAATCAGTAAACACTTACACTTATTTCTGGCGGAATGCGGATACGATATGAGATGTCACTCGACTGTTTTTTGCAGAAATTTTAACGAGTGCAAAGTTTTCTTCTAGTATATAGTTTTTTATGAGTAAAACAAGGAGATAAAGCCAAAATTGACTCGGTGTCATCGTTTCGAATGTGTGCAAAGTGAAAACAGGGTGAAATTTGATAAGGATGTATTTGTCTAGCTCTTCATGGTATTAAAACTTAACTGGAACGGATTTCGTTATCTGAAACGGAGAGCTTGATTAGAAATCTAAGGTATTTTTTTCTTAAGAATAAGATCAAATACTTGAAGATTTCTCTATTTGCTTTCCAAATTATATTTTCTTATCAAATGGTTAATATATATCGATGAATAAGAAGATTTCTGTCATTTAAGAATTTATCAACGAGCAGTCAACATGAATATTTTCTTCATTGGTCTTCTGTTGTCGTTCATAAGTACGAATCTGTGTCAAAAACATCAGACACGGATTTTTGGTGGTACTGATTCACCAATAAACACATTTCCTTGGATGATATCAGTCCGTATTGATGCATTCGGTTCACTAACACATATCTGTGGTGGAGCGTTGATCTCTGATAGTTTTGTACTCACGTCTGTTAGTTGTCTTCAAGCTACACTGATTCTTCCCAGTATACTCTCGGTCAAAGCGGGAATACATCGCGTTTTCAATGATACGGATGAAAATGCACAACTCCGACGAGTTACTCAAATTATTACTCATCCAAATTATAATGCTACCAATTTACTCAACGATCTAGCACTTGTGTTGGTAGATAAACCATTTAATATCAAAGGAATGAGTGTATCGACGATTACATTATCGAATCAAACGAATTTGAAAGACTTTGAGCTGATCGCAATAGGATGGGGTTTTATGGAAAATACAACTAATACAACGAAACCGCCATTATCTATGCAACAAGTGACTGTCCGTGAAAATGTTGAATGTACGAATGAAATAATTGCAAACCGCACAACACAACTATGTGCTGCCGGTAAGATTTTTACATTTGAAACTGATTATATCTAATTATCCTTTTTTCTTCAATAGGTGCATGTCGAGGTAAAAAATTTATAGAAACTCATCCCTTTCTCATTAGATAACTATCGAATGTTTCCTTTCGCGCAGGTGATGGCGGTGGTCCTTTGATGATTCATACTGGAGACGTTCAGCAATATGAACTGGTCGGAGTTATAAGCGCGCGTATTTCATGCGTTTCACGAGGTATATACACCCGAATCGCACCGTTTATTGACTGGATTTTCAACACTATGAAAAATCCACCACCGCCTCCAACATTTCCACCGCTTGTAGTCTTTCCGACTCTCCCACTTTCAACACCGAAACCAGATGTTTTGGGTAAGATGAATCCAATTAATTTCACTATGGTCTTCTCTTTGCTCTTCTAGGTCCTCCAATTCCATTTCCATGCAATACCAGTTACACGTGCGGTTGTTCATCTATTCCCGTTGTCTTTCACGACGAACCCCCTTTTCCAAATACAACCCATCGTCGAAATCAAGGAAGAATTGTCGGAGGTGAAAATGCTCAACCATACAGTTGGCCCTGGGTGGTATCAATTCGAAGTCAATCGAATACACACTTCTGTGGTGGTTCTCTACTCAATGAAGAATGGGTATTAACAGCAGCTCATTGTATCACAAATTCGACAGGAATCAAAGTTCACGTTGGAGTTCACAACTTAACACATCCTTCACTGCAAATTCTTGAAGTTGCGCAAAGGATTGTTCATCCATACTACAATATATCAGCACGTTATTTCAATGACATTGCACTTCTCCGTCTTGCGCAATCAGTTGATCTGACTACAGCAGCTAAACATGCTGGTATCACTTGCCGACCGCCTGTAACAGCTGGGATCGATCATCCACAAGTTGGTACGCCTTTAGCGGTTATAGGATGGGGTCAACTACTTTCTAATGGCATTCGACCACAAGTCTTACGTCAAGTTCGAGTGAAAACAATCGCAAACGACGATCGCCGATGTCTAAATTCCAATACTCACAAGGACCGACAATTTTGCGCAATGGTTGACGGTGGACAAAAAGATTCTTGTCAAGGTTACTTTTCTAAACTTCATTTTCTAAATCTATGCATTCATCTCTCTCTCTCTCTCTAGGTGATAGTGGTGGTCCGATTCATCAATGGTTAGGTGATCACTGGGAACAAGTTGGTATCGTCAGTTTTGGCACAGGTTGTGGCGAAGCGGAACATCCTGGTGTATATACTCGATTATCGTTTTATCATGATTGGATCGATGCAACGATGAAAGGAATGAATTACACTACACCAAACGCACCTGCTACAACAACGAAAGGAATGAATTACACCACACCAAACGCACCTGCTACAACAACGAGAACGTCAACGGATTGTCTAACATGTATGGAAGGAAGTGGAAGTATTGTCAAATCAAATGTTATCTTTCTCTTCATTTTTTTGTCTTTTATATTTTTTCAAAACTGAATAAATAAGATGTGACACTTGATTTTAATTCTGTAGATAGTTCAAAAGAAAGAAAAGAATTTCTTTGTTTTACATTTAATTGTCTGTGAAAGACATTTGATTCGTTGCCATTTCCTTGACAAAAGTCAATCGTCATTGAGCATTATCAATGAAATACGATCCAACAATTCAAAAGATCCCTGAGAATTCCAATGACTTCCTCACAATGAGAAAAAAGAACGTTATTGAACATCGTATCAACATCAACAGGATGAGTAAAACGATTGTTCTTGTCATAATTCATTTCTTTCCATTCACGACATTTCATTGGCAAAAAACGAACAACGTGATCGACGTCTTTTGAGGTCTCAGATAAAATCATAACATAACATTAACATATCCATCTAGTTGGCGATGAAACCTGCTCGACAATCAAAAGGTATTTTGTTCCCCAATTGATTCTAAAATCTCAATTAAATTCTCTTTCTTATTTCTTACCTTTTGGATCTTTACGTTTAATTAAAAGTAAATTTGACGATGACAAACAATGCACATCGAACACAAACATCGTTTTTAACAAAAGTGCATGAGTTCGTAGAACTGCATGAGAAATTCTACTCAGTTCGCGTTATTTAATCAGAAAAGAGAACGAAATGTCGTTTTTTTCTTCTTTCTAGATCACCGAATAACGAAATTGTCTTTGAGCAACTTTACTGGATTGATCAGTATTATTGAATCAAGAGCTGACGACAGCCAATTCATGTTATCATCTCCACCAGCGAATGCGACCGGCCATCTCTTTTCATCCAATCATCATTTAAAACTAATCACTCAGCCGATCTTAGGTGCGCGATCGAGAAAAAAAGACAAATTCGAATCGATTATCACATCCCGCCGAAGCTCCTATGATGATTCACCACCGTTAATTTTCCCAGTCCCTCAAGTAACGAGGAAGTTTTATTTGAAATTTCGAAAAACAGATCTTTTGTTCAGGTCGAAAAATCTCAACATGAATCAACAGATTCAGGTATTGATCTTTCGTCATCGACGAATTCATCCGTTCAATATCCTCAGCAACAATATTTTTCCTATTATCGACCGTTGAGCGCATTAAACGAAGATGTGAATACAATCGATCAGAAAAACGATATTCATGAGCAAAAACGAGGTTCCACTTCTTCATCGGATGCCCAGTCGAATTCTGATCCTTATTTCAAAACATTGAAAACTTCGAAAGTTGAACTTCCTTATCCTCTAACTCAACAACATCGAGCATTGAATGATCTGACAACTCGAATTCTGCCGACCACCCAAACTCCAATTCAAAAAGCGATTCCTTCGTCACTGAAACCGTTGCGTAAATCAACAAAATTGAACATTATTGTTCAACCTTCAATCCCCTTCACTCGTCCTGAACCGATTCAATCTGTCACTCGAACAACCAGTAGTTCGAGTCGTCAAACGTTCAAACCCAAAGCCATAACACCACTCGGTCACTACCGAAATCCCGAACAAATTCGTGCTCATATCAATCGATCGGTTATCGATCGACAACAACCATCTCACGTATTAAAACGAGGTACTATTCGACAGAAAGTAATTCCTTTAGATATTCCAGCATCAAAAGTCAACACTCTTTTGACGAAGCAATCAAAACAATCGAAAATTATCATTCATTCAAGTAAAAGTCTCATTTACTAACACATCGCCACTGTTTTTCATCGTAGAAACAAATGGAAATTCAACAGTACAACATCTCTGCGTACCGCAACCTCGTCATACGAAGGCAAATTTGCCTTTGTTGCATCATGAAGAAGTTCTCCCTGAGAAAACTCAAAAAGACAAAGGACGAATGAATGATAAATATCAGATCCCCGGTAAAATTTTCCGGTCTCGACTAACACCAGAGTCATTCAAGACACAACAGAAGAAAGAAAATACTTTTCGCCACGCTCAGGAACGCCATTGGCCAGTGAATCCCAAACGACCTGCTCTCGCGCCTGTTAAAATTCAGCCTCTTCCGAAAATTCCAGTTCAACCAAGACAAAAATCATCCGAAGAAATTCTCGTCAATTTACTGCGTTCGACTCCCGATGGAGAAATTCATCCTAAGCGGCAAAAACTCGGTTCTTCATCCCCTCAAGGAAACCTTACGTATCGTCTATCCACTGAAAACAATCAACAACTTCCATTAAAAGAAATTACTCCTATCGATAAGTATGTCTCGAAAATATCCAATAAAACTCAACTCATTTTGTTTTTAGTGACTCTTCGTCTTCCTTATCAATGATCTCTCCGTTCTGCAATCTACCTTCAATATCGACGAAATATCAGAAGGAACATACCACACCTTCTTCCGTTGACAAAGCCTCCTCCTCGATCAATAAACTGATCATGTCGAAACGAGAAGAAGACGACCTGTCGACGAATTACGACAGTGACGATGGATGGAGCAACGATTCCATTGAAATTATTTATATTGATGAACAATATCTAACGCAAAAGAAGAAGACCACATCTTCTTCTTCTTCATCACGTTTCATTTTTAAACCAAACGCTCATCTTCATCAACAAAAAATTCTTCTTCATTAACTTCAACGAAGAAGAACGAACTATTTCTTAGCAACGGACTATTTCATGTTAAAAATCTTTTGTCTGTCCTATGAAAACAGTTGCGCTTCAGATTCTACAATCAGCATGCGGAGCACGCACCATTTTTATGTAAACTTCTGATGAATTCATGAAAACACCCACATTTTGCCCTTAAAATCTGTTCAGATGCACTATGAGTGAAGTTTTCCACTCAATTGAATTCTTAATGATACTGAATTTCTCAATCATTAAACGACAAAGAAAACCAGATGTGATTTGAAAATCCGCATGAGCGATTTTCTCTGAAAAAACGAGCATCAACATGTTTCAGATCATTAAATCCTATGCGCCAACTGTTTGCTTAATAATTCGCCAAAACACATATAAATTCCGATGTTTTCTTGCTGAGATTTTCATTTGTTCTTCTCTGAAAATGGTTCGTCAATTCATCGTCAGTGTTTCGATCGTTTTGATCTGTTTCTCATTCTATGCCGAACGCGTCTTAGCCGCAGATTATACAGCTTACTATCCATTCGATACCAGCAATTGCCAATTTCCATTCAATTACAATGGCAAAACCTACAACAACTGCACAACTGATGGTGATAACGGAAATACCTTATGGTGTTCGTTGACAACCGATTACATCGGGCAGTTTACGTACTGTTACGACTTTTTCAAATCGTCGCTCCAGTGCGCGCCAAGTTTCCAAGTCAACGGTAAAACATTTACTGGATGCAGTCTCTTATCGAGATCAGCGACATATAAACAATGTAAAACAAATAACACGGATTTTCCAACGATTTACTGTCCTGATGCTAAGAAGCCAACGACGAAAATCATCAAAGGGCGTCGTAGTAATTGTGAACGTAAATACAAATCTATTTCGGACGTTCATACCAAATGGTAAGTTACGGATGAAGATGTCTCGGAGATATTTCTTTGCACTTATTTCTAGTTTTCAACCAAGTCCATTCGCCGTTCAAGTGCCAATAACTGATGATGAAAAACAAGCACTTCTCGATATGCATAATCAATATCGTGCTGCTGTTCCATCGGAATCCATGTTTAAACTTTCTTGGAATGATAAATTAGCTGATATGGCTCAAGCACGTGGTGATCTCTGTGTTTTCGATCATGATCTCGCTGCCAACCGTATCATTCCTGATTACGGCTGGAAAAACGGTCAAAACCTGGTCTGGTCAACTGAAATCCGTATGCCATTAGATAGTTTGATCGATTCGATGTTAGGCGCCGAAAAAGAACGTTTCATATATGGTGTTGGATGTACATCACCTGGCACGTGTCTTCATTACACCCAAGCTATGCTCAGTAACATCACACATATGGGTTGTGCACATACACAATGTGTTTATACAACACATATTGATCGTTTTCTCACTTGTAACTATCTCCAATCACAATATGCAAGCAAATACATGACACCATATGTTCAAAGTAAGACTTAGTTCATTTTGATCTGATCTGTTACGAAAGATTTTGTCGTTTAGGCTCAAATCCTGCATCGAAATGTCCTCAAACGGCAGCTGATGGCTTATGTGATTGTGGAGACAAATCCTGTAACTACGGCAATGGTGAATATCTTGATCCAAACACGTGCACCTGTAACGTAGATAAATCTAAACGATCGTTGAACAAACGGAATGCCGATGACGATGATGTTTTAATTGCTGCACCACGTGGAGGAGCAGGAAATTTATTATCAAAACGAAGTATCAATTATCTTCGAAAACCAAAACCAAAACCAAAAAGTTAACTGAATGATACGACGATAGGTCGTCGATAAATCGAATGCATGAAAACATGTACGTGCATTTTCAATAAATAAATAAATAAAACGAAAGTCTTGCATTGAAAAATATATTTAACCGGTTGTGTCTATATCAAAGAGAGAAGAATCAGGAGAAACGAGAGAATTCGATAGGTTGGAACGAATTTCGATGAGGATGAAGCTTCATCAAACATTTGATCAAGAAGATTTTTGAATTCTTCGTTCAATAAGATCGTTTCGTTGGATAGTGTGCTCGTTGGAAGAGGAGTTGTACTTTGCTGCGTAGTTTGTTCATTGGTCTCAAATACTTCCTTCATAGCGTTGATTAACGGAAAACGACGCAAGCGTTTTTTCCGATTCTTTCGACAAAATTTTCCACTTGCGTCGTCCATGTCTAATGCCCAAATCATCGCACCACCCAAACCCTCCTGTTTCACATATTCACACTGAATTAAACGAGAAAAAAATGACTTGAATTTTAGTCGGAAAACGCCTAACGAGTTCACCTTATTCCTCACACTTTCAGGATCATCATAACCAATCCATGTACCATCTTTGTAACTAATCGAAATTTGATGATCATCATCCCAGTAACGTTTAAAACCTTCTTTTAACTCATTTTTACATATCTAAAACGTCATCGATAAGTTAAATCGAACAAATCTATTGAATTACTTCATAAAAAGCCAACAAACCACTTTCACCAAGATACGGTGACGAAATAGAACTAACTCCACCCGGCTGTCCGTATGCTTTGATTGGATCGCCACCCGTTGCAATAAATGCTCGTCCATAACCCGGTATTCCAATCAAGAGTCGATCTCGCGGACACCCAGCCTTAATCCACAAATGCATTGAATAGTTCTAAATAGTAATGTCAAAGAAAATCAATTCATTCTTCTTCTCCTCTCATCAAACCGTATTCAATTCTTTTTCTAATCCTTTTTCGCCTCGGCGATGAAACAATGCACTATGATGTCCGACTTTATTCGTCCATGAACCATATAAATCATACGTCATGACATTAACCATGTCGACGTAACTGAAATATGAAAATACAGATTCGAAGGACGTTCGGTTCACTTGAATTGCTTACTGGCAAAGCACAGGTACATCATATCCTTGTTTGACTTGAAGTTTGCCAGCGCCAACAGCTAAACCAATGATCAACCGTTCTTTATTCGTTTTTTTCGCTTCTTTCTTGAAAACTTTATGCATCGTCTACAAAGAATGTTGGAGCGAAAATGGAGAATTTTGTTGATGGATATTACTTTAACTAATAATCCGAAATTTTCACGATGATTTGACGAGGGAAATTCCCAATCTAAATCAACACCGTCAAAACCATGTTGACGACAAAATGCCAGAGCGTTTTTACTAAACGTTTCTCTAAAAGAAATCTTCATCTAAGAAAAATCGAACATCGCGAAACCTTTACCGCGATGATTCCGAAGCAGAAATCGAATCGAATTCACCAGAATTCCCCCAACCTCCACATGAAATTACGATTTTCAATTCAGGATTCTTCTCCTTTAGTTTCATTATTCTCGGATAGAGTGGCTAAAACACAAATTGACCGGAATCAATCGAATCAAACTCATTTCCTTCACCTTTTCTCCTTGATATTCGCCCAAATCATTCGGATGCTTTGCCTGCAACGTCAAACTTCCAATACTCGCAAACGCATAGAATATATGCGTGCACAAATCAGCTGGAATATCTTCGGGAAGAAGACGCGCTTCTTTCATTGTCCGATGAACCGCCCAGTTCGTAAAATAACATACTCGACTGTATTTTGCTTAAAGACAGGAAAATCAGTGATGTATGCGTGCTTGGTGCAATGGAAATTTACCTGAAAGATTCGTTTGAACGAGAAAAAGCAAAAGATAAATCAGAGAGTAATACATTGAGAAGACGAATGTTGCATAGAAGATTTGTCTTCAATCAAATGAAGGGAATGTTTGGTTTATTTGATCATTGTTTCGTCCATCGTACAGTTAATCTCTTGTTCAATAGCAACAATCGTTGCGAAAAGAACAAAGTTCAACTTGATCTCAACAAATTGGTTAAATCATAGGATTTTTCGGAGAGAAAAAAAAAACTCGACAGATATTTTTCTCAAAGGAACAGAAGAATAGCGAGAATTTAATTTTCCTCATTCTGTCGTCATAGTTATCATATATTTTCTCTTTTCTTCGCATACCGTCAGTCCAACTTATAACACATTAAACTGAAAAAAATATGGAAAACATCAATCCTCGTTTTTTATCAAATCTCAAAGATGAACCATCGAACATTTTACAACCAATATCAGGCTATGAAAACGAACCATTACTATCTCTTGAAGAATCATGTCAACCACTCTATCCTCTCATTAATAATCTTGCACAATACATTTGGGTATCCAAACGAAACAGTCAAAATCCTGATGATGGTTTGACATCCGACGAATCCGCGTCGATTCATTTGTATACGATGGAATGGACCAATAGCGAAGAAAGTCTCTATGCGAAATTGAATCATTCATTGCGCAGTGTGAATCGTCAGGAATTGAAACCATGGTTTCGCTATTTGAAATTGTTTTTAACTGCACTTTTTAAATTACCGGCATTTGAAGGTGTAGTTTGGCGCGGTGTTCGTGGAGATTTATCGAAACAGTATTCACATACAACAGAACAAGCATGGTGGGCATTGAGTTCCTGTACGTTGTCATTAAATATTCTTGAATCTCCACTCTATTTGGGTAAAACAGGAACTCGAACACTTTTTTCCATTGAAACGCAAACCGGTCGACGAATTCGTTCACATTCGTATTTTAAACATGAAGAAGAAATTCTTCTTCTACCTGGAACTTTCTTTCAAGTTCTTTCACATTTATCGCCCGCAGACAATCTTCATATCATACATTTAAAAGAACAGCAAACACCTTTTCCTTTACTTCATCCGCCATATCCTGGCGCTGAACAACGTAGAAAACATCGAAATCATTCAATACTAAAACCCACCCGCCGTACAATCACATTTGAAGATTTAGAAGAGCAAATATCTGCTACACATGACCTAGGTGATATTCCAAATGGATACGGAAATCTTCGATGGCATAATTCATCCTACATGCATCGAAATCACGCTCTATAACATACGAAATGCAAAGGAACAGGGTATTACCATGTATTTCAAAATGACAATCGACGATACATCGCACTGAACTCCTGTGGTAAATCGATGTTGTTTGGAACGTTGAATGAAGATAGTCCAATGTTAACTTTACATAAAATTGAAATTCAATCTGCTTCGGAAGATGAAATGAATATTATGATTGTTGGATTGAAATCAAATGTGAAATTATTCAGAAAAAAAGTGAAATTGTTTATGCAAAGATCAACATTAGTTCAACTTGATTGGAATAATATCGATTTAGTTACATTCGAATCGATTAATGATGATGAACAGAAAAGATTTCATTTTATTCTTATTTCCATTGAAATTACATAAATATTTTTGTGTAGTCACTGTAGGAATATTTGATTTGTTCAATTCTCAAGGGAATCCAGATATGATTTATGTCAAATGTTCAGTCACGAGAGTCATGTTCGACAAGAAAAATCTTAATTCAAATGAACAATCGATGATTTTAACACATTTTGTCACTAAAAGGATCTTCTCGTTTTCTTCACAAATGACCTAAAAGGCATAAACTCAATTATTTCCTTTAAGATAAAACGAACTAAAGAAGTACAATCATTTTCATCTCTCATCACAAATGCGCTCCTAACTAAACTGAACAATTCGTGAAGAAATGCCTTTCCTTCTCCCATTAACTTGACACGTAGGTTTGTTTCAATTTTTTTTATATAAGAAAATATTTAAATAACAAGTAAAGACAAGTCTGTTCTTTCTATTTACACAACATGAACTGGAAATACGTCTGTTGTTCTCCGTTCATCAGCATTATTGGTTAATAGTGGTTGCATATCACCTTTACACATTTTTCCGATTAAATGTTGTTTCCAAGCGAAATGACGTTTACCACGTTCAACATCTTCATCTGAATCACCGAAATAGAAATTTTCAACTTCAGTCTGTCGTTGTTTATATAAACTGAATGTTAATAAAATCACTGTTAGGAGTAAATAACAAATGATAATGAGTAGCAAATAAATAAACGGACTTGATAAAGAAAAGAATGAAGTTTTGACAATTTTATGATTGAAATCAGTCAGTAAATCATCATAGTATGAACGATTTGTTAATATCGATGTTTCGTCTTCATAAAAGAACGCAGAGTTATCTTCCATAGAATAGTTTTCCTCGTTTCGATGACTACGTGTCGAATTGAACATGTCTAAAATGAAGAAGAATGTTATTTGATAAAAGACGAAGTCAACAGATGTTTGTTTATAAGTTTCCTAAGGATCATTAGTTAACATTCGATAGCGCACTGTTCGTGACGAATTTTTCAACTATTGAAAACAAAAATTCGCATTTCAAAAGCAAAAAACAATCGCTCGATCTCATCTGTGCGACATGAAGAGAAGAAGATAATGCGAAAATGATCTCAATAACATTGACTTACTCGTTCATTCACTTGTCATTGAGTTCTGTCTAAAGAAAAGAAAATTGTTTCCTCTTTTTGTATGTTAACAGAACTGAACGAACGACAGAAAGTGTCAAATCCGCATTTTGATTGAGATGACGACGGCCGTTGGGAAATTTTCTTATTCAACATTTACATCTCCGATTTTCTTGTTCCTTTTTTTCTCTTCTTCTTCTTCTTCTTTTTCTCAAGATATTGACGAACGATGATCATTATCGAGTGCCGTCTGGTGTAACAACGTTTTCTCATGCACTTCGATGTTTCACTCGACATCGAACTTGCGAAAGAAGAGAAAAATCGAATTTTTATAGATATTCACCCAAACTATGTCGACTATTTGCTGCATCGACAATCGTGTTAATAGAAAACGGCTCGATAGCATGCATTTTCCTGTCTAATCCTCGTTGAAGAGTACATTCTGATTCGATTGACAACTGAATTTGTGCAGAAAAACGTTTTCCTATCAAACGAACAAACAACAAAATGTAAATGATGCACATCTCACTCATTGTTTCATTTTGATCCTTATAAAGAAGTTTTCTATTGATGATAAATGAAACAGAATCAAAAGACTGATGATGTAATAAACACTCCCATCGATATAACACTTCAATTAGTATAAGTATTTCACGATTGATTAACCGGAGAAATTTTCAAAAATACAATTACATGAGAATATGTCATTCAGCACATCCGATGTGTATTCACGTGTACAAATGATCACCATTGAAAGTCCCTCGGTAGAATAAATGCTCTTGCATACTTTGTTTGCATATGCTTTACAGATCGCGTATGGATATTTTCTTCAATAGAAATCATTCTATGGGCTTGTTTGATGTTCACGCAGCGCAAAGATTGATCAGCTCGTTTTTGATTTGTTGAAGTGATTCGATATTTCCACGAATATTTAAGTTAATGAAAATCGTGTTCGATTAATTTTCTAATTGAGAAAATTTTGTTGTTTTTTTTTCGATAAAAAATGGAGTCAGCCGAAACGAAGATTTATTGGAGGATCATAATCAATGGTAAACTATGGATTCTGTTTATTTTTTTTCTCTCTTCATCTTAATAATCGAACAGATATAAAAAAAATCTTTTTTTCTTGATCATTTCCATCAATTCCGCACAATTTGAAGTCTTCGAAATCATAAACGAAAATTTGTCTTTTCAGATCTCTTGTGAATTTGTTCAAACATCAGAATGCAAGGCACAGACGTCGCCCCAACAGCTGATCAAATCGAACTCTACGTTCCACGAAAATGCGCTGCAAGTAACAAAATTATCGCAGCTAAAGATCACGCTGCTGTTCAATTGGACATTGCTGAAGTCGATGAACACACAGGTGTTGCTACAGGAAAAAATCGTACCTATGCACTTTGCGGCTCAATTCGTATGATGGGCGAATCCGATGATTCAATTGTACGATTGGCTACACGAGACGGATTTATTGGCAAAAGTTATTATCTTAAAGACACCAAATGAAAAATGAAGATATTTCATTAATTTCTCGATCGGTTTTCTTTCAATCTGAGCTTCTCTCATGTGTTTTTCGTGGAGTTTTCGATCTTTATTGTTTTTGAACGTACGTGAGAGAATATGGAAAGAAAGAAAATTAATAAATAAAATAAGAAGATAAAATCAGATTATCACCGAATCGAATTCTTTCGATGAATTGGTTAATATGTTGCAAAAAAAAGTGTGTTATGTTTGTTTTAAACGAAGATAACACATTATCTCAGGTAGAACAAAATAGCAAAGCAAAGTTTCTTTTCATGAATATGATGAAATCACTCTTTTACATCGAAAAACCAGAGATATGCAGCAATGTTTTATTTTTCTCAGTAAGATTGCACTTGTGTCTTTCGACTGAAAACGCTGTTTTTTCAGTTTTCATCGGCATTTCATCAATACACTCGCAAGTGTTGTATCAGTGTAATTTCGATGGGAACAATGAGAACTGTTTTACAACAACTATCACTGTGACTGCAAGTGCAGGAGTCATAGGCCGCTTGGCACCGGATAAGCCTTTATCAGACGTTTCTTCAAGTTGTAAGATCAAGTGAACAGTCCTAGTGTCACATTCTGATCTAACACGGTTGTTCTTTTTTCACTTCTTTTTGCATAGTGAAATCAACAGAGAATGGAGAAAACTGTACTCTACCTTACAGCGTCAATGATTATACATGGGATATGTACTTTTGTAATAAAAATTATTGTCCAACAAAGAACAATCCTAGTAGTAGATGCAGAGATGGTGAGTTTCGTATTACGAATAAGCATCGTTTAAATCGAAAGAGATCTTATAGGTAAATTCGGGAATATCTTATTGACAAGTAATACTAAGCGAACATACCAGTTGAAAACAGTGGCTGGTGGAATCGATGGTGTTAATGAACAATGTTTATTCTACTATTATTACATGTCTAATATGACTGAGAAAGTGATTGAAGTAAGAAAAGAAGAAGCAGATGGTACAAGTGAAATTATTGATTCCGTAACAACGAGTCCGTACAATGGGTGGGTCATAAGAACTATTCAATTCAATGCTCGAGCAACGAACTATAAAGTATGAGCATCTCTCTTTAAAATGTGTTTGACGTCTTATTAATTGTTTTGTTCGCCATAGATCTTCTTCGAAGTGCAGAAAACGGCAGGATCTCAATTACCTACTATTGCGTTTGATGAAATATCGATTATTCAAGGAGCTTGCGGTAAGCTATCGCAAAATCATGGCAAATTTATTTATTACCATTGATGTTATGTAGGAGGTACAGATACTACAACGAGTTCGTCATCAACTACGACAAGCGTAATGGTACAGACAAGTTCAACTACTACAATGATCCCAGTTGAAACGACAACAAGCACTACTTTGCAGACGACTGACAGAACAACAACAACCACCACCACAACTACTCCTGAAGACACCACTGAACTAATCACTACAACCACTACCCTCACAACAACAGCCACAACTACTACTACCACTCCAGAAGAAACTACTCAATCAACTACCACCACAACAACAACAACATCTACGACCACTCCTGTCGAAACGACCGAACAAACAACAACAACAACCACAACTACTACTACCACTCCGGAAGAGACTACTCAATCAACCACCACCACCACCACAGCAACAACATCCACGACCACTCCTGTCGAAACGACCGAACAAACAACAACCACAACTACTACTACCACTCCGGAAGAGACTACTCAGTCAACCATCACCACAACAACAACTACATCTACGACCACTCCTGTCGAAACTACTGAACGAACAACAACAACAACCACTACTACTACCATCACCAGTTCGACGGAGATTATTGAACCAACGACAATCACAACGACCACTATGAAATCTGATACAACATCTACTACTCCATCGGAAACAACAATTACTCACATCACATCAACGGGACCAGAAGAGGTTACTACTCAATCACCAACTTCGACGACGACATCAACAACGGTAAAATCAATCATATGTTTTCTTTTATTTCAAAGCTACGGTTGATATTCCCGTTTCATTGCATTGAATGCTAATCATTATCGCTTAAGCTAATTTTTACTTAGATATGCACTAAATACCCAGATGATCTTAGTTTAAAAGATTTAACAGACCATTGAATTCGCATTCTTTCAAAACCATTTCAATGTGCAATTGTTTTTCTGCTATAGATCATGTCGTCCAGAACGTCAAGTTCCACTACAAGTCTGTCTCAAACGACATCATCAACTTCAATGTCAACCGAGTCATCCGAGTCATCGTTACCAAGCAGCACAACATCACCAATCGAAACCGTTGTTATCTCTTCGTACGAAACGGTTCTTCCACGTGAGAAAAGTCATATTATCGTTATGGCAACAGTGATCTCTATCGTGTGGATCGCATTTATCATTGCTGTTCTTTGGGCGAGAAGATCTACTGGTGTACTCGGTGGTATTAATGATCCGTTCACGGATTCGAGCAGAAGTGGCGAATCTTCCGGTAGCTACGAATTGGGCACAGTTTCCGATGCTTAGTTTTGCACGTGTAATAATATCAAATTAATACCATGTATTCGTATTTTCAACTATGTTTCTCTGAAACTTTCATTTTATTTAAGATTTCTATACTATTTTAACATATGAAATCTTCAGTTTGCTATTGCGACTCAACACATAAACATACAAAGAAAAGCATCGAGAACTTTTTCGAACATAATCTGAATATTAACCAACGTAATGCTGGAGAGACCTTCCACTGATTTATGTTTAAATTACAAATTTACAGTAAATATTTGTCGATTGATCTATTTCGGTACTCGTTCGATTTTTAATTGATGATCGTGAATTATAGTCTGAATCATTGAGAATTGCTCATTTAGGATTAATCCTTGTACTCTGTCGAACGTTTTCTCCAATAAATCCATATTGAATGTCAAAATCTTATGATTGTATAGGTTAACAGATAGTTTAGCTGTGAATTTTGTGTCGCTATTCATGAAATGAATCATATTGATGAAATCATGTGTTACTCACTGAGAGTTCGTCTTAAAAATGATTTCTAATTTTATTAACAGCTCTACACTTTTTTACGACATCTGATAACAAATAAATAATGATTAGATCATATTGAAAAGGTAAATATCTCCATGCGAGTTCTATGTACATATTTTTGAGTTGAAAAGATCGTTTTCGTATTCATCACATTAGGTGTAAATCGTGTAACTTATCGTAGAAAACGTCACGATGGAAAGGATTAAGTTGATAGATAAGCGATCTGTGTCGAAATGATGAATTGTTGGATATGTCAGTAGTTGATTCTGATACAATAAAAACGCTCCGCTGGTGCCTGTGGCGAATTCTGTCGTCGTTCGAAAAAGAGTCAAGCGATCACAAAGAAAAAATCGAGAGGAAATGTCAATTCTTTTAAAAGACTGACTGAATGTGATTCCACATCATTATTAAAAAAAACTGTTACACAGTGGAATAAGTGAATCTCAAATTCAACGATGAATCATTTTGTTCTCGAACGACTCGTAGAACATCAGCGAAGCCACTGCACTCATCAAATCAATGAACTAAATTACAAAAAGATATTTCACTGATCCTGAGATAAAATCGAATAATCATATCGAAGGATATTGTATATTGAAATCTAAAAATAGAGCAGATAATGCTGATTGGACACTTTGTTCTTTTATCTAGCTTAAGGAAAAGTTGGGTTTTTCCTTGAATAGTGTAACTCCTAATCGGGTTAACTTAACTGTCATTCCAATCGTAAAACATTTGATTAATCGACACGAGGAATAGATGTGACGATTATTGTCATTAATCTCACATTGATTGTTATTGTCTCATCCCTTTCTCTTCTAAAATACGTCAAGGTAACGATAAAACACGTTTCTTCTCTGCGTTCTTTCGAACTTTTCTGTTCCTGCAACGCATATCGTTAACAGAATGCTTTAGATGAATTGCGCGCTAATGCGCCATAATAGTATACAACGTAGATCTATCACAAACTCAACAAGGATGAAAAATGTTCGTTGCTTTGTTCATTTTGAAACTCCAAATATGAAAATCAAACAAAAAATGTTGTTTGTTTTTCGACGCATAATTTGCGACATGGTGTTCTTCTAAACGGAAACTGGTTTAGAAACTTTGTTCTCTGAACAGAATGAGAATATAATCTTTATTAAACGAATCTGAGTAGAATTCAGTAGTGGCAAAAATTGAAAACGACACGAAGCACTCATTAACATATGCCTAAGAAATAATCGAATACTGAGCACAAATTCTTCTATTAAAAAGAAAATATTTACGTAGAATTTAACAATGTTCTAATTAAATACGAAACTTCTGTTGAGTTTGTTCAACCACAATATCGACAATTTCAATGAATTGTCTTGAATCGTGTGCTTCGACAATGGCATTATTCACCAATAACATACACTGGACTACATTCATAAGTCGAACGACCGCTTCCTTATGGTTATATCTATATAGAAGATATCGCCAAACGATTTCGATGTACATATTCTGCGTAGGTAAGATCGCTTTCACGTTGATCAACTTCGGTGCGGATTCGCTGTAAATTGTGTAGTTTGTTGTGGTAAAAGCAATGGTTGCAAGGATTAGTTTCATAAATGTACAGTCGGGATCGAATTGATCGATGATGCGTTTGGTTGTCGCGACGGATTCTGGTCGAAAAACGCATTCAGCCGATCTATAGAATGAGGAGTGATTATATAGATGCCTTTGACTGACGAGAAACATTCCGCCGATGCTGGTGGTGAATTTCGCGGTTGTTTGGGTTAGTGTCAAACGATCGTTGTGAGGTAGAGAGAGATAATCGCGGTTCTTTTCGAAGACATTCTGTATGTTGGTCATGGTCAAAAGAAAAAAATCGCTGACTGCGGAGTATCGGTATCGGAATTTGACTGGTAAAAGATTTTGTTCACGAACGAAGCGTTGAATGTCGGAATGACCACTGTGTTCGTCAAAATTGCGAGTTAAATTCGAAAGAAGAATCCATTGCTCACGAGATAAGGTGGATTGGTTGAATGAAAGAGGATTTAAGGCTGGAATCTGAAAGCACAAGGAGAATTCTGTAGAAGAAAAAGTTTAAATGGCTTTTACTTGTTTATAACGAATAAGAGTGGCCGAATTTGGTACGTTGAGGAATCGTTTTTGATTTTTCCCGTGATTGGACGGTTGACGATCCCGAATCATATCTTTACTCATGCCAACAGCAAAACACTTCGCCAATCGACAAGCTGAACAGAGACGGCGATTACTAATATTGATTTCGCATTGATTTTCATAATCGCACCTTCGTTTGATCTAAATTTGACAGAAATTCATGAAAAAATGCTTTGGCAAAAGGAGAACTGACCAGGTCTTCAGTAATATTTCGTCGAAAGAAGACTTTACACGAAAGGCAAACAATTGCGCCGTAATAAGAATACTTTGCGCAGGCCCCGCAGATTTTACATTCACGTAAAATCGGTTGTTTTTGTCGAAGAGCAACATCCAGTGACACAGACGTAATTGGTAAATCTTTTTGCATCATTTCTAGAAAGTTTAATGAGAGAAGAGAAAGGAACATTCTATAAACAATTCTACTCCATGTTTTAGGTTTCTCAGTGTAAATAAAGAAGAATAGAAAGGAAAAAACAGTCTTTCGACCCGACTGAAGTATCATAAGACAAAAGCACGAACGTGTACTGCGCATGTGAAGCAAATGCAATGAGTATATATGTTTATGCGTATACATCCACGTCAAGGTTAGAATTGCTAAAGTTTTACCCTTTCTAATAAAAATACAAAGATCGTCCTCGTCGACACATTAAACATCTGTCTTCGAAGTTCTCACGTCTCTTCCATAATCGATGAGGAAATAACGAGAATAAACGGTTCGTTTTAATTAAATGGTACTCAATTTATGAATGTGTTGAGACATCACACCATTCTTAAGAAAATTAAATAATCATGATCGTAAACTACTTGCCAAATTGACATTCAAGTACAAACCTTTCGACGTTGATCGTAATTGTAAACATACAGATTTGAATACGAATGTGAAGTTAAATCTAAATACAATCTTTTGAAACAATTAATGTCAAAGATCATAATTTTGATGTGTTTACCTTGCAATGACCGATGTGGGTTACAGGACTGAAGTCCTACTCAACAACTGATGACATCTATGGCAATGCTATAAAGATAAATTGAGCGTTTTTTCTTTGTAAACTAATTTGAAATGCTCGAGCGAATTCTTCTGGCGAAATCATCAAGATTTGGTAATTCTGAAAATGGCTCAGTCAATCTCCAATAAAGTTCCTGAAATCTTATTAGAATTCTCTTTCTTTTTCTCCATTTGTTATCATTAGATATAGATATATATAGTTTCATATTCTTTTTTTTAAACTTTTCGTTTCTACGGACAAGGAACAAAGGAATGTGATGAGTTCTTCAACAGTGAGTCGATATCGAGAATCAACAACGATCACAACATCTCCTCAGACATACGACCGAGTTGACACATCATTTGCCGAAGAAGATGCTCTCGATGCCATTGCGAAAGAAGTAAAATTTTCATTCCGAGATTCGAAATTCGGAGTTCGTTTTCTTTCAAGGCGGAGCTTCGTCTTCACAATCAACGCGAACAAAATCGCGTCGCCCGTCAACTTCGTCACAAAGAATTAGAACGGAATGCACCCGACGTAAATTTCTTCATTCATCTTAATTAGTACATAATCTTTCGTCTAGGATAACGAAGAAGAATCGCCTACAACATCTCACACGCCATCAACACCTTTGGGTTCATCGAAAGTACGTGGATTTCATCGTTAAAAACAGAAATAAACGTTATTCTTTAGTCAGGTGTGGTGGGTACCAATGCGAATTCACTATTACTTCAGAAATTTCTCAATGGAGATGTGGATCTTCGTACAATCGAACAACGCGACTTACGAGTTCGACTTTCTATTTACATATTTTCATATAAAATTCGACCTTTTCTTCTAGCGACTATTAAGTGAGCTGGAATCGAGATACAAGTCACTAATGATTAGTAATTCCGGCATGTATAACGAAAAACAAGCATTATATTACCAAGTGGATTTGCACAAAGATCAATTAGAAGAGTTATATGAAACAACGAATCAACTGAAACGACAATACAAAGAAAAATGTCGTGTAAGTCTGTCATTCTGCTCGAGAAGAAGATTTATACGAAAAATTTAGGAATTCGATTGGCAAAAACGGAGTCTGTCCGATCTTCAACATGAGTCGAATCAAATCAAAGAGGTCTTGATGAAATGCGAAAGATTAATCGAAGTAAGTTCGAGCAAATCTCTCTTCGATCTGAGAGTTGTCGTCTTAGGAATGTGAAGAACAAAGATTCTCCTCGGTGTTACCAACCGAGATCAAATCTCGCAAAACTTTATTATTATTAAATTCATTTGCTAATGGATCCATCGATCAAAAACTAGAACGAATTTTACACGAAAAATGTGAAGAATACGAAGAATTGATGAAACTACGATCAGAATTAGACGAAGAAAAGACACGTTCGAAAAAAGTCAACGAATTTCGAATCAACCTCAACGAATCCCCAAACGACACCTGCGATTCAGAACAACAAAGTAATATCTCCAATAGCTTTGATAGAAAAGTCACTTTCTCTTCGTAGAACAACTAATCAAAGAAATCACTTCGTTAAAAAACCGATTACAACGCTTAGACACTGACAATGGTTCATTACAACAAGAAGTACAAACCCCACTATTGTTCTCCGTTCATCTCCGCACTTTTCTTTCTAGAATAAACGCTACGAAGCTCAACTCGCACGATACAAACAGCAGCTAGACGATGCTGAACGTGTTGAAGATGAGCTAAAATACGAACGGCGCGCTTTACAACGTGAGGTATGTCCGATCATCTGTGATAAAAATATCCCGAGGATCACTTCTAGCTTCGCATGGCACGTGATGAATTGGAACAAGAACGCACGCGAAGTGATGTCTTACAGCGTGAGAATGAGCGTTTACGTACGTCACGAAAGAAGAATCTTCTTGGAAATTCAGATGATCCACTCGTTAGTTCACGCTCGCATTCACCTTCATTACCAACGAATTCGAATTCACCGAGAGATGAATGGAATTGAATTTATTTTGTGTTCATATTCAGATGGAAATTTTATTTAAAAAGAAAAGACAAATAGATTCTTTCGAGAGGGTAAATAAATGAATTATAAACCATATCAATGGTCAGAAATACTATATGAACTCAGTTTTCACCTTCGAACTTGAACGATGTTTAGATTTGTCATAGGCGATACTAAAAGAAAGACGAGAGGAGACGGTGAGCACGTTTATCGACATTCCTACGTCATTTGTTCTTTGATGAAAAGTGTTAATTTGGTATTTTCAGCTAATTCATGACTCGCCGCCAACCATTCTCTTTGTTGTTCATAATCTAATTTATTCCATCGGATTCTTTTGAATAAATGCATAATGATTTGACTGTTGTCTACGTGGTTCGCAGTAATCCAGTTCAAGATTCGACTTAAAACGATGGTTTCATCACGATTTTGAATGGTTTCATCGGATAAAATGTTCGCAATTGTTGTATAGGGCAATTGAAGGAATGTTTTCATGTTAATGCACTGATTGAAGTTCTTTGAAAGGTAATAATGTGATTGGTAAAAGGCTTTTTTCATTCCGTAATACCGGGCTAATTCCAAAACACGAAAAACATGTCGTTTCTCGAAGGTGGATAAAAATTCTTCGCAAATTTCGAAAATTTTTCCGATATCGAGTTCTTTCGCACAAGTTAATACTTCTTTGACATTCCGGAACGTCAGTGTTAGTTCACCTGAAATATCCGGATGAATTTTTTTCTTAGTGGAAAAGAAAACTCCTACCGGTGTAGAGAAACGTCAAGACTAATTGCAGACCTTTGTGTGAAGTGTGACGAAGATGAGTTCGAGTGACGAAATCGGTGCGGCGCTCGCGAAAAAAACTTCTGAAGAGAGGAAGATGAACAAGCAGATCGAAGATGGAAATTCATCTACCGATATTTTGGACTGAATGCCGCTGAAAAAATTCGTTGAATTTTCTTCGAGGCAGTGTTTTTCGTTACCTAAGACAATTCGATGTGCGAGATATTCACTTCCATCGACAACGAGCATCAAATCACAAAAACGAGATTCTTTCCACATTTGTGCAAGAATTTTACGTGCTTCGAGTTCAGTATTCGCTTGAACGAACCGTTGGATGATATCTCGATCGTGAATATCGGTTGACGATTGATTTTGTTCCAAAAGAATGTCATTTAATTTCAAGGTTAAAGGATTTGTTGGATGTGTTGTTAGATTTACCGCTGAAGTTTCATTCGTGTTTGACGACTGACTTGTCCGTAGATCTAAAATTGATAGACGAACCCGAAATGGACGAACAAGTAGGAACGGAGTAGTGCGATGAGAAGACATTTAGAAAGACATGATCGAAGAAAGAAAAAAAATCAACTAGTTGATTGGCGTTTTTTGTTTTCAAGGAAAAAAATTTCAATTTTAAGCGCCATGATTTCTCTTCTTCCTCTAACAACGGGAGTAATATGTGCTCAGGTGATGTTATTCAATACACAGGAAAAGTTACTAAAAGCGTTTTCCTTTCGCAGAGAAAGTCAATGGGAAAGGTTATTCTCTTTCATTTCTCAAAGAGTAGACTGACTCGATGGGGTCAAGTTCGAGTTGTTCGAAAAAGAAGAGAATGAACCGAGAAAATCAAACTTCACGATCTGTAAGAGAGATTTCATCGGTACGAAAACGATCATCATCGATTCCATCGAAACCACACGATCCACTGTTTGTTCGCACACCTAAACTACAACGACGACCGATATCTTTATATGGAAGGATATTTGAACTGGAAACCAATGTTGAAGATTACGCAGAAATATGGGATCAAAATGCTGAGGTAAACACATTCGAATAGAATTTATCGAAAGCTTCGAATATTCTTTAGTTATCCACAATTTTCCAATCGAAATCCAAATCAGATTCTACTCATTTTGAGCAACATCAAAATGAAACATTGAACAAAAAATGGAATCGAAAAAGCGCGGCTACATTTGATTCTGCTCACGTTGAATCCACCGTTGACAGTGAAACTCAGTCATCCATACATTTATCCTCTTCGTATCAAATCACTGACTTAATCAATAATCTAAATCAAATCCATAACCAGTTAGACGATATCACAAAGCGACGAGCCAGTCGAATATCGAACGAAACTGAATACGTACTTATACGCATTCTGAACGAAACCAAAGAGAAACAACAACGATTACTAGCCTATGCCAAAGAGCGACAATGCGAACAGGATGAAATTTACCAAAAATTATTGCAAGATTATATCGCACAATTAGATGAAAGAAAAGCGAAGGAACTCGCTGATTTACAGAAACAATTGCAGAGTTATCGAGATGAAATTCTCGAGGAATCTCAAGTGAAGGTGCGAACGGTCAACGATCAAGCAAATACACTGAAATCCAAAATTCTCCACGAGGAACAACAGCAGATTTCAATGAAAGTCAATTCGCTCATTTCACAAATTCAGAAAGCGTCCATTGATGATTCTACTCAACCATTCGGTAGCGAAATCCAAACAGCGACAAGCATCACCACCAATGCTACTGTCGGAACTAAATTGAACAAATAGCGCGCAGAGTGTGAGTCGAGGTTATTAACCGCATTTATCTAGAGTCACCTGCTTCAAAGATATAAATTTCATTTTCAGCACGAAACTTAACAAGTAGACCGACACATAACACATAAACTTTTTTTTATATTTTCGTGATGTAAATATACACAATAACAAAAGAGAAAAGATAATTTTCATACATATGATTTCTTTTATAAAAGACCTTGTTTCCGAAGATCATCATATGTTCGCTTGTTAACAACATTTCCCATTGAATCTTCAAACTCTTCTTCTGTTTCCGGTTTCCATCGTTCATCGTCTTTGTTATCTTTGATCTTTTTCCATAAACCCAATGCGTCCTCGATCGATGTGATATTCGCAAAATGCGCCGTATTCGGAATACCTAAGCAGCGCATACCATGTGCATGTCGCCATTCCTAAATCAATCAAATAATCCAACTGATAAACACACCGAACTGAAAGCGAGGAAAACTTACAGCAAAATGTCGTTGAAATGCTTTTGGTCCGCGATAGGTGTGGTTCCCGCAGATTTCGCAGTTGAAGTACATGTTAAGGCCATGTAATTTATAAAGCCAATAAGGAATTGGCTAATCGGAACAAAACATTACACGCAAAACATTATATTTTCTTGCACTTACTTTTCCATCCCAGCCAAGTGGTAAATTTTTTGGATTATAAATGAGTCCGTCATCTTCGAGATCGGAATCATCGTCGGAAACATCACCACCACCCATATCCTCATCATCGGAGTTGGTTTCACCAGCTCTCGCCTGTTTACGACGAACGTTATCCAATGTAGCTGCACGTTGTTCACTGAGTAAATCGATCAAACGATAAATTTGCGCTTCCATTCCTGCGATTTCTTTATGACGAACCGAATCTTTACTGAAAGTGAGAAGAAAAAAATCTACGTTTGGAAAGAAAAGAAATCCGCTTTTCTACGAACTTTCCACGTTTGGTTTTATCCGCATCTTTTGTGAATAGTGACGGATCGAGATCTTCAACAGACTTATCTTTCGTCGAAAATAAACGTTTAGCACGCTCTTCCAATGTTCTAAACATATACATTGAAACAGAGTCAATATTCACCAAGTTTCTTACCCTCCACATTTCATTCCGAGTGCTAATAAAGCAGATTTTAATCGGTCAAGACCAACCGACGCTAATTCCTGAAAAAAACACTCAAGTCAACGATCAATTGTAACTCTTCATCGAGCTTCTCACCTCCCACGACGAAAATCCACTTAAATCCAATGGTGCTCCACCTTTTGCCAACGCTCCGCCAGTTTCTTTCTGAAATAAAATCCAAAGTTAAGTTACTAAGAAAGATAAAAACAAGTTCATAACGTTACCGGCCATCCTGGAAAGATTCCTTGTTCCCATTTCAACTCGAATTCTTGTCTAACATGACTTAAATCTTTTTGGATGTTAATCAATGGTTTACAACGTTGAAGAAAATCGAATAGATAAGGAAATAAGTGCTCAAACAGATATTGCCGATAATCTTGTCCTTTGCGGTCTTTGGAAATTTCATACAAACGATCAAATCGTTGTAAATAGGTTAAATAATCCATTTTTTCCATGCCTTTGATATTCGAATAGAATTCGTAACAAAGATGAAGATCGAGGAAACGACCATAGCCCTCTTCATCCGTAAAACTTGCCAAAGCTAAACGAAGAGACAGACTTTCCTATAACGGAAGATTTACTGATTTACCTAATGGTTCTCCATCCTCAGTTTCTTGCAGTTGTCGCATGAATTCCTCGTATTCTATCGACATGGGAACGGCAATCTGAGAAAAGAACAAAATTTTCGAATAGAATAAAACTGAAAACCATTTCTCGCTTTAACAAACTTCATCTGAAGCTTTGGGATAATATTGACGGATATTTTTCAATCGAGTATAGAATTCCGTAAATTCATTCGGACCTGATAATGCTTCAATTTCTTTCTTCCGTGATCTGATCAAACAAAACGAAGTTATGCATTCGCAGTATCTTCACTTGTCGCTTACCCGTCTCTGTCATCATATGTTTCTTTCAAACGACTGGATGTTTCCGCATAACGCTATAAACATTTACAAGAGAGATTGTTTTCAACTAGGGAAAATCATTGACTTACATCGAGTAATAATTTAACCATATGTTCAGAATTGATTTGTTCTCGATGCTGAAAAGTAGAAAGAGAGGAATGACTTTACGGGAGAGAAGATTAAACGAACCGTGGCTTTTTTTCGTAGCATCTCTTTTGTCATTGTGTCCATCAGTCGTTCACGTTCTTCGTGATAACGACGTTGTTGTTCAAGAACGGAGTCGATCGACATGGCTATGGATTTCCTATCTACAAATCTTGTGAAATAATGCTCAGATTGATGTTTAGTAACAAATGAAATTTGTCATAGGCTGATTTTCACGCACCGGAACCAATGAATATAATCTTCAAGATTATTCATATTTATTTCAAAGGTTCAAAAATTACGAATTTCAAAGCCTAGAAAAATCGTTTTCACTGATATAGATGTCGCTGTTTTCTGCGTTTACAGTTCATTTTCCAGAGTAGAAAATCTCGAAACAGTTGAAATTCTTCATCGATCTATCGCATTGAATTTTCCCGATGAAAATCACGAAGATTTGTTTCTTATTTGCAAAGTCGAATTTTAATTTCAATCTTTGCGAAGGTCGTTTAATATAAATTCTACTATGCCGCCTAGCCAATGGAATTTCATGGAATGCAAAGAGAAAAATGATTCTTTGTTTTGACGTATTTCATCGTTCTTTCTCAAATCGTCTATACACTCGATTACTTTTCGAACGAAAATAACAACCTCGAAACCACATTGTCTTTTGATTTCGTGTTTGCCTTTTTTTTATTAGATTTTCGAGTATCATCAACTGTCGTTCTTTTCTTTTTCTTTTCTTCTCCTTCCTATCCAATAGATTATTCTTCTAAAAGAGAAAAAAATGTCGACAGAAGCTGAAACTAAAGGCAAAAAGGTAAGACTTGATTTTCACCGAATTTTCCTCGAATATCTTCTTATTCTCCTGTTCGATCTAGCGAACGCACGAAGAAGACGATGAATCGAACGGAGGTGCTGAAACTACGACTGCAAGTTCAAAGAAAAAATCCACCCCGGTGAAAGCAGCCACATCAACCACCAAGACCAAATCACGAAACGATGAAGAAGATGATGAATCCCGCGAAGACTACAATGAAGACGACTCCAACAGTGTGGAAGTTCACGGTAAAAATGCATCAAAACGCAATGGCAAAGCAACATCAACGAACGCAGCAGCTGCCAGTGGTATTGAATGGAAATTTCTCGAAAATTTTTCTCACGAATTTCTTTCCTTCAGGTGACGCTGACGAAGATGGCGATTTCGACGACGATGAAGACGATGAAGGCTCCGAAGACGAGGAGGATGGTTTGTTTTGATGCAAAGAAAATGCCCTACTCTAATTAATTTCATCATTTAGATTACAAGGGACAAGGTGATGGTAGTGAAGGAGAAAGTGATGATGGTAATTATTATTGGTTTGCTTTTCTTTCGCTCTACTATCTATAAACTTGTAGGTGGAAGTGAAGGTGATGCCGGTGGTGATGATGATGAATCAAAAGATGTGGTTGAGGATGATGACGAAGACGACGAAGGTGACGAAGAATCAAAAGAGTGAAAATCTGTCATTATCATCCGTTGATTGCCAAACATATGGACGCTTGTTTTTTTTTCTTGCGTGTAACGTTGAATGTCTTTCTTCTTCTCGAAACTGATATCCTGCTGATTGTCAATCAGTTCAAATCTTCGGTTTTGAAAGTATTAGACAGACACATTCGTTTTTCCTTTCTTTTTTGTTGATCTACATGATTGTTGTGTAGTTTTTCTTTTTTTCTTCTTCTTCTTTTGGTTTGTCTCTCATTTTCATATGTGTTTCGTTTCTTTGTGTATGGCATTCGGAAAAAAACGAGAAAAGAAATTGTTTTTTGTTTACCTGTCTTGTTAACAAATATACACGAAAGAACAATGTCAATAAAAAAAAACAATTTTGGTTTCATTACTTATCTGATTATCAACTGATGGTATGACAATTAATTTCAGGCGGAAAAGTTTAGTTACGCGTGATCGATAACTACGCTCGGATTGTTTGAAGCGACAAGGAGAAATTCTATTAGATCTGATTGACAGACAAAAGATGACAACATTCTTCTGAGAAAACATATTATCATCCAGAACAGAATGTATTTTTTTATTTTTCTATTTATTCGGTAACATCGAACATATCTTAGTCCTTGATATTTACAACTAACCCATAGTTGAAAACAACGAATTTAGCAGCGCGCTGTCATAATTAATCGTATACACGAACTGGAATCTTCAAGATAATTATTTCAACGGAATAGCATGTGATTAACAGTTATTAACTTCGTTGATTCGATTCTGACGTCAAATAATTTCTTTTTTCTAGCTGAACCCATTGACGTATTATCTTTAATTTAATAAATTGTGATTGATATATTAGAGGGTATGAACATAATACTCACGACGGTTGTTCCAGAGCAAATAAAACGAACAAGTCATTTTTACGATTAAGACAAGAACGACAAATCATCGAACATGGTAAGCAGATGGTTTTTACTTTCTAACGAGAAGTTTTTTTTTTGGAATTCAATAACTTAGGAAAGAGAGTGAGAGAAAAAGCAAGGTTAAGAATGATTTCGTATATCAATTGACTGGGTAATCGTAGACATGATTAGTTTGTTCTCATCTGCAATCGATCAGAAATCAAATCTCAACGAACAAATATTTTCTTTTCGACAATTTGTCAAAATCGCGTCGTCTAATCCGAAGAAAAACCTAATCTAATCTGGATATAATCAATTACGTCTAGATCATAACCTATGAATTCGATTTAATTGATTCATATCATCTCTGTCCTTGACATAATTTACTAGATGATCATCGAAGTTAGAGGTAATCAAGCAAAGTATATCATATCATAGACGATTGATCTTTGTCTATCTGATTAGATTCTTTCTCAAGAAGAAAATCTCATCGAGATATTACTTAACCACGTATGGAGTCGATTTCTTCTTTTTATTCATTCATTGTCCTTGATCTCGACTTTCTCGGCTATGTTATTTATTGGCACAATTAACACTCTATATCCATCTGTTCTCGCGATGGATACACTAGATAATTATTCAATGGAAGTCAAAGCAAAGGTTGACGCCTCTTTTGCGTTGCCGTCTCGTGAACCGTTTATTATGTTTTGTGTTCGCATTCAACATATCGCAAGCGATGTCCTATCAATATAATCAAGGCCAATTGAATGTTTCTATTCCGATGTAATAGTTGTGCTGAACATCATCATCTTTCTGCACGATTGTTTTAAGGATACAATTAGATTTCTTTTCTCGTTCTCGTTTTCTTTCTCGAACAAATCATCTACCCACATATTCTTAATAATCAAGTAGGAAAAAAAACTCATTGGCGTAAGTCAATGATAGACAGTGATATTTCCTCGGCTTTTTCTCTCTTCCTGAAAAGAAATAAATTATTCAACTATGGACTTATATATATATATATATATGAAGGTTATATGTTCATTTACAAATAAACTATCTTCGTAACTAACTCTCGTTCGTGCATTTCCCACTGCTTCTATTTCTCTCTCTCTCTCGGCATGTGTTTCGGCATACCGAGTGGCAATTATGTCGAACTCATTTATTGAACTGTGTTGTGTATGTCATCACTTATGATGACTTGTGATAGATCACAGGAGGATATCATGATAGTTTCATTCGATATTGTTTGTATCGTGCTGCTTCGTTTTAGACAATGTCATCAACAGAAAATTGGCTGAAACTTTTTCGCTGGTGGCAAGAACATTTGAAATGCCATTCACTTTCAACACCAACAATTGATGATCAACGAGGATTGTTACAACGACATCCTTCGTCAACGTCGACATCCTCGGTGAAGACTTCACAGAAATTCAAGATGAAGAAACGTGCGTCATTCGGAGAAGTTGATGAACATCAAGTTGGCTACAATGATTTTCGACATGTTCGTGACAGTATTCGAGGAAAGAATCCTCTTACGACACGAATTACACCGACAAATGCAGCTTATAAAAGGTTAGTTGATTAAACCCTTCCCGAATCCAACTCTTCCGGAGTGAATCAGAACGAATCACTGGAGCATTTCATGTGCCTTTTGATCATCGATCAATGCACCGAATGTAATTAAGATAATCATCTAACAGAGTAGTTCATTTTTATCATCAGATTGAATTAGTTTAGTTAATTATGTAGGTAGACTTAATATCCTTGGTGCAAAGTCTAGCCATTTGACTTTTATTTGTTTATGCACATGTTACAATAAATCCCCTGATATATTGACAAAATGGCACGAAGCCATTTGTTTGTCTGAGACTGCTTGTCTATCTCGGAGATGACGCAATTGATGATTAAGATTATAGATTGCCTTGATACGATGAAGGAAAAAAGAAAACGAGAAAACCTTGAATTATTAGCACAAGTTGACGTACATCTTATCTGAAGAAATGAGAACTAATTTCGATGAGGAGAGTGTCCGTCAAACAACAAATTGAAAAAAGACACTCAGATTGGCATTGAGATTGGATTGTTTGCTCTGATTTGATACAAGTAGAGATTGACATTTCAGCCAAAAAGACAAATCATATTTTCGAAACACGGATCTCATAGCTAATGAGAGAAAAAAAGACTCGACGCTTGATTTCAATGTACCATATGTACATACACACATGCTTGTTTTTTTCGCTAATATAAACATTAAAGGAGATAGTTGATCGATTGTTATTGTTGTTTTAGTATTTTGTCCTTCGTGATTACTCGTTTGACAGACGTTGATCAATTGAAATTGTATCGAATAAATTGATATTCAATGAGTCAATATTTTTCGAACTTGTTATTAAGGATGAAATTGCAGCATAGTCTCAAAATCCTTCGTCCATATCAGATAAAGCGAAAGTATTTTCGTTTGTTTTTTTGTAAGTCCACATTTCTCAGCAGTGTACGTTTGAGAATAGTTAATTTCCTATTCATGACTATAGATTTGTCAAAACAAAATCATTTTCTCATATTAAGGATATTAACAGCACGAAAATGATTCGATATCACGCATATCGAGTCGCCGTTGATATGAATACCTTCCGAAAGACTTCAGCATCTTTGCTTTTCAAATGGACTTTGTTCTCGGTACTAAGAAAAAGTAAATCTTAATGACTAGCTTGATTTCTTCCAGCGAACTGATACTTTTCAAACGGGTGGGCCAATGATTATTAATAGAAAAAAGTAATATCCATAATAAAAATAGCAACTATTAATATACAGATGGAATGTCCTATTCACATCCTTTGATAATAATAATAATCTTTGGATAATGTTTTCTATGTGCGTCATAAATTAGTTCGAGAAGAAGGAAACAATTATTTTTTTGTTTCCTCTCCATATGTTTGAACAAATCTTGTAGCCATAATAACCTTTCAGAGATATTTTTATTTTTTCTATTAATTATCGCCATATTTTCCTCTTCGCCGATTGATTTGCATTAAAGGATAGAAATTAATTCGTATCACATTTGGTACACTCGTGGGTTAATACCATAAGTCGATGTTAAAAGTTCGAAATTTTCTTTTAGACGTAATTTTCGTCGTTCGACAACCTATGATCTTCCATCGGATGACAATGATTCTAATGAGAATACGTTTGTGCCATCAAAGTTGTCTTCAATGAGTAAACTCAGAAATCGATACTCTCGCCGATTGTCACTTGTCAAATTCGAACTATCACCAACAAATTCTTGTGCAATGAAAGGTAATTCAATGAAATAGAAAATCCGAATATTCATCCGATATTGATTTTTAGACGAACATAAATCAATAATCCCTTCATGTAGTCCCAATCTTATCCAGAAACTCTTATTCAAACAATTCAGTACAAAAACTCGACCATGTACCATCGGAATATCCGTAAGAACTTTTTCTTCGATCATTCACCAATTCTTTTCATCGAATTCTAGTCTGACGACAATACAACAACAACAGTGTTGAATGATACACCTCCGTAAGTATAAAAAGTCAATTTATACCTGAATTGATTTAATCATGAGAAAAGACGATTCATCAATTCGAATTTTCTTCGTGCCTGTCAACGAAAATTGTTTTTCTCGATTTAGTAATCGACGACGCACGAGTACAGCAAGTAGTAAACATTCGTGTCTTAGTTTATCGCCATCTCCCAACTCGAAATCTCATTCGGGTGAAACATCTCTTTTGCCAGTATTTGACAAAGCTTTATCCAAAAGTCAACAATCAGATCTAAATGCATATTTATCCAAACGACGCAACACAACGGGAAGTATTTCAATAAATAAACTTGTTGATTTAAAAAATGTCTCAAATGTACATTCGTTGAAAATTACTTCTGCACACAATTCAAGTAATAAGATTGCTGCTGAAAGTAAATATTTTCTTTGTTTCGACGACGAAATTCACCATTAATTATCCTATTAATTCTTTAAAGATATCTTTCAAACGGTTGAAGATTCTGATTTTCTTGGAACTAAACATTTAATCCATGCAAATGAAAATCTTGTCAATTCGTATGTGCCATTTCTGTTTATTCTAGAAATTCATCGTCTTTCTCTTGTTAAAGATATAACGAACATGATTGGTGTCCATTAGATGTTGCAATCATGTTAAATAACATTTCTATGATTCGACTTTTATTACATTATGGTGCTGAAGAAAGTTTAAAAAGTAAAGCGAATCGTGATTTCTTCATCTTCTAATCTTGATTTTTAGTTCAACCGGAAGAAGTTCGCTATCAAAGCGTTTGTCAGCAATTGGTGTCCTGTACTGAACTAACAACAAATGGATCGATAAAGAAATCGTCATCAAATCGATTAGCACCCGATGACGCAACAGTAAGGACTCGAATAACTTCTCAAGGAAAAATAAACACACATAAAATGTCACAGTGTCGTTGAAAAGAAGAAGTTCATGAAAACATCTGATCAATTTATCTAATTTGAACCTATCGAGGTCTTTTCTCTTAGTCGGTAAAATCTGATATGACAGATCGTTTGTGGGTGAACGTCAACTCTGTCTATCAATGAAAGTTTGTAAAATTCTGAAACTCGATATTGACGCAAAAGGATTGAAGAAGCATCTTCTCCGTCCTTCAAGAGTACAAATGTAAATTGAAGAGATTCTATTCGTAACATGTTTGGAAATTTGATCGAGTGAAATAACTCATTTACGTCATTGAGAATGAATGTTATTCTAGGCGCGTCGTTTATCTCCATCGTCGGAAAAACAAAGTCGCCATCGTCGTCCAAGCAAAAGTCAACAGCAACAGTTGAATCAACAACGTTCATTAATGTTATCTCAAATGAAAGATAATTATGAACAAGCAGGTACGAATCACATGAGAATAGAAAACCTATGACGTCGTTATCTTTCTTCTTCTTTTGGACTCTTATCAATTCTATAAAAACTAATTAGTTACGTGACACATTGAACGACGAGATTGTATTCCGTGTTTTTGTGTCTCGAGTAAAACAAAAGAATATTCGAGGCATTAAATAGTCTATTGACTAGTCATTTCTGCGAGTATGAGTACGATGAATGGCAAACAAAAGTTCCGATCAACAGTTCTCGTTGTTAAGAATGCGTTGAGATTTCTGATTACATATGAAGGTAAAACTTTTGATTTAACTTATCAGAAACGTAAGTTGTGGGGAAAACTATCATGATAACGTGAGATTTTCTTTGTATTTAGGGGTGCCGGATGCACCGACAAATGTCCGATTGATTGTTACCGGTTCAGATAATATAACAGTGACATTTGATGAACCATTGCGATCAAATGGAATTATGGTTGTCAAATATAAAAGTAATTTGACGGTTGCTGATAAAAAATGAGATTTATTTGGAATTGTTTTCGTAGTTGAATGGAGCTTTGATGAGAATTTTACTGACGTTACATTTGATATTATAAAAAATTGTTTTTTACGAGAATATGTTATTCGAAATTTACCTGTTGGACAACGATGCTATGTACGTGTATCCGCAGGAAACCTCAAAGGCTTTGGACAAACAGTTCTGGCGAATCCACCTTATTGTACACCGTCAAGTATGTCGAAGTCGCGATGATTTATCGGTGTATGATTGTTACTGCTTTTTATAGATTGGCGAGAATTTTCGAAAACATCAAGAATAAACATTTGTGATTTACGTTTCGAAGAAATTCTCAACAAAATTCTCAATGATCGAGAAGGAAATGGTGAGTTGCAATGAATATTTTTCATTGTGTTGAAAGTTGACTTATGAACAGAATCAAACGAGACGTCAAACTTGAGAAATCGTCGTCGAAGTTATGGAACTCTTCGTAAAAACATTCGGCAGCTATTTCAAATCTATCCCCGCCTAGCTCGATCAATGAAACGGTACAGATTTATGATTTTTCTCATCTTGCACAGCCAATTTTGTTTCAGAGGTCTCTATCTAGTCTCTGTAATGTTTAACGGCGACCGAATTTTGGTCACAAACGAAGATGTTTTACCAATGGTTGAAGTCGATGAAAACTACGGTCATAATCTATTAGCCGATTTTCAATGGTTTATGAAATTAACATTCGTCTGGGATGATTTGAAGAGTTTACGACCTGATTTGCAACGCTGTTCCAGTGTAACATCATTTTACCTACGAATTAAACTCGTTCAAGCAGCGATCGAACTTCAGGTAAAGCAAAGCGACAATCTTTCTCGAAGAATCATAGTACATCGAAAGAACTAATCCTTCGATATTGATAAGATCAAATTCTTCTGGAGTATTTCATTCTGTCTAGACATTAGAAGAAATAAACAATCTTGGTCGTCTTCATCATACATATATTCGTGATAATGATGGCAATGTAGCATTTGTACTTATTAACGATTTGTCATCAGATACACGTGCGAATATTTGTCCATCGAATTTGAAATGGATATCAACGACGAAATTCTTTGAAACAATGAAAAATACTTCGAATAACTCATGCCTTCAGCAAATTTCAGATAAACTTCCAGTAGGAACAGATTGAATGAAAATATTAACTTATTTTTTCATTTTCTCAGGAAATGATCGAATTTTATCATGCATCGATGCGTCGTTTGGACTCGGGTCTCTATGTCGCTTATCTAAAAATGCAAAATAGCGTGGATTCACTACGTGTGATGGTCAATAAACATATGCCGGGCTCGTTACCTTGTACAAAAATCCGTTCAAATGCAAATGTATCACGGTAAATTTGTCCCATTTGTTTACTTCGTTTAGAAAAGTTTCGTTTTGTAGAGAAGAATGGGAATGGTTACATAACAACCAAGAAAATTCAGTTGCTGATGATTCATTGGACAATAGTTTAGAATCATTCAAAACTCAGTTTCGCAATGCAACGAAAGAATTGTTTGTTGTACTGAGTAAGACATATGAAATTTGATGAGAACAAATGCGACTTTTCGGTTGTTTTAGATCTTCCGGAGAGTCATTTCTCTAATAGTCGAATCTATAACTCTCAAGTTGTGGAAATTCGCGATGACTTATCATTGATCATTCTTATGTCAACGGCCGATGAAGTAAATATCCTTTCCAATCCATCAAATCATTCATTAACATCATTTATTTACTTACCTGTGTATATATTCGAAATTCGTATGTAGAAAATGTTCTTCTCCTCGATTTTACCTTTAAGATTCTGTTGTATAGTTCAACATCTGAGTAACAATTACCGTTTTATTTGTCAATACAGTCGTGTATCCATCTGTTTGGATTTCGAATTGATTTGTGCGCAGCAAAATCAACGCGAAGCATTTTCCATCAATGAATTGGACGAAACTCGTTATCGTCTTAATCATTTACTCGCCTGTCAACAAGACCTCGATGATATTTGGCGTCTATCACGTTGGCTCGTCCATGTGATTAACTGTGCAAAAGATAAAACCTATTTCGGCATATCCCTAAAATCGTTTCGATCAAAAACAGACTCTGCATACGAAAATGAAACTTGTTTCATTGAAAAAAGTGACAGTGGTTTCATCGATATCGAAGATCATTCGATCGAATTAACATTCTACATTTCATTATTAACATCAAATGCATTTATTCCGATAACCATACGTTTGAATAAGATGATGAAATTGAATGAAATCTTGCAAATGATTCTTAAACAACAGCAGGAAAATTTGCAAGATTCGCATTCGTCGTTGAATTTCATTTGGGTTCATTCGAATGGAAGAGAATATATGATTGAAGATCATTTAACAGCGTATGATATTCAAAAACGGCTGGTTCATTTTGGTGGACAGATTTATTTATGTTCGAAAGATTTGCCCGTGTTACAAGCAACGCAATCCGTCGACAAAACCTCATGGCTTTTCCCTCCGACAAATGACAGACATACGAACGAAAAAGGATCAAATTTAAGTTTGAATATTTAAATCTTACCCTGTAAATTTGAGTAAAAATAAATGTTATGTGATATAATTTTAAAAAAACAAACAAAGAATCGCTTGCATTTCTCATGAGCGCTGTGCAATCGAGAGGAATCTCGAGTAAAATTAGCATTCATGTGACAAGATAGAAAGAAGTATCAATCTAAAAATGGATCAATGTTCACAGTCTGGCGTAGGTATGAGAATTCTAGTATAAAAATAAGTTGAGGGTGTGTGGGATGAATTAGATCTTTTGAGTAATGGATAATCCCCAGGAAATTTCATAACAGAATCAATGTATTCGAACAGCCGAGCTTTCTATTATGTCTAGCTTCGATAATTGTGTAGAAACAGACAAAAATCTAAAACCTATTTTTCCGTCTGGGTCATGCGGTTCACGACACAAAAGTGCATCTCACTTTGCTAAGAGATCTTCTATAATAAAGTATTCCAATGAAGACTTTACGTACACTTTATCATCTTGGCTCTTTTCTTTTCTGCCTTCCGCGAAATTTATTTCAAATAGTAACAAACATAATCACGATGAATTAACGCCCAGATTCTTTTTTGATTCTTTCTGCTGGCACATGTGGTCCTCCAAGCATTTGCAAGACAGCTTCATGTAAAAATGTACCTAAGCCATCGGGCAATGGTTGAATACGCTCGAAAAAATACGCATTGACTTGTGCGCCCAACAGAAGAATAATAGAAAAATAATAAAAGAATGTTATTAAAATCACCACGAAACCGATGAGACCAATAAACGAGCCCATAAAACGTCGCACATACAATGGAAAGAGAATGAGAAATATATCCAACAAAATCGCGGCAATCAATGCTCCGCACCATATCTGTTTCAACAATATTTTCTTATTCGGCACGACAAAGTAAATGACAAAAAATAGAATAAACAAAATCGTGATTGATATGACAATACCAGCAATGAATATTCCGAACTGTGCACCACCATTATCGGGTAATGTATTAATCAGAAATGAAGGTACAGCACTTGCAACAATAATGAGTATAACGAGCAGAATAAACAAAATTAACATTCCAATGGCAATTAGATTTTTCTTTAGAAACGATCGATCTGCTGTTCGATAAAATATTGTAAAGGTTTCATCGATCGCCACGAATAGACGTGAACCACCCCACAATGCAAAGATAATTCCAATAGCAAGAATACCACCGCCATTATCACCAAGATTATTAGCAGCAAGATTAGTAACCTAAACATGATGTTTCATCGGTCTTTCAAAGCACAAACTGTTCTTTTACCTCACGAATAGCTGTTTTGGTCGTATTGTCACTACCAGAGTCAGCGATTGAATCAACAATTGATTGCTGTGCACTTGGATTACTACTGAGAACAAGTCCGAAAATGCCAAGAGCTGCCGTGAACAACGGAAGAATCGCAATCACGAAAGTATAAGCCAATAACGAACCGAAACCTAGTGTTCGATCATTAAGAATCTTCTTAATAAAGCCCCAAGCCGATATTGGAGGTTTGGCTGGAGTCAGAGGAATTCGTCGAGCATTCGATCTTGCTGAATAACTAAACATGTCCTTTTAGTAAAAAACACTGTCAAATGAGAGTGCAGTAGTCATTTACTATTGACAACTGTGAAGCGATTCGCTTATCTTTTCTAATTTATTTCTACGCGGAAAAGCGATACGCTTGACAAACGTCAAGTCGAACGAAAGAGTCATATTTTTGCTGTCTGATAATTTATTCATATAATATCCTACGCAGCCTTCTCTACTCGTAAACAGGATGATTAATTAATCAATCTCAATATATTCCTAAATATCACATTTTCATACAAACCAACGATGAAGGTGCGTCTCGACAGTGGTTCGATAGAATTGATATTGAAAATGTTCTCCGACAGATACGAGCGCATGTTCGATGATTCTATGCAATGTTCTATTCAGGTACAACAAGTGATTAACAGAATGCTAAACGACCCGTTTTTTTGTACCGCAAGTAAACATGCGTGGTTTGAGTAGGCAAAGAAAGAGAGCATGTTAATGAGCAAAATCATATATCTGTTTGGCTTTTTTAGAAGAAATATATCGAACAGAAATATACAAGGAAAAAGAAAACAAACAAACAAACAGACAGAGAGAAAAGATACAGTTCTTTGCAAAACAGATAGAACACATCAATTGAAATATCCGGTGAAACAAATAAAGATAGATTGAGTGATAGGGAGAGAAGCATACTGTCAGAAAGTCTCTTGTCTCGCTGATTAAGATGTATTTTTCGTGGATAAACGTGAATTTTTCAATGAAGGAGATGAATGAAATGTATCGATCACTTGTGTACGTAGTTGTTCGACGACATGACAAAATTTCACAGCTGGACCTAGTTTGAATTCGAGTAAATCTTGGACTTTTGGTAAATCATCGAGAAGAAGGAGAGCAGCACCATCGATTTCCTATAACGAGAAGAGAAACGTTGGTTTTAACAAATAACGATGATTGTTCGTACTTGTTCTTTGATTGTTTTCAAGGCAAAGGAACATCCAGATTGATTCAAATAGGAACAGACGTCGTTAACATTCCATGTGACCGGATTTCGCGTATCAATTGGAGAAATTGGATAAGTTGATTGAAGTAGCGTTGTGGGAGGGGAAATTTCCACTTTTGGAATTGCAGATGAAAAATCAGGAACGAATTGAGGAGAACGTCGTTTCTTCTTTGCTTTATTCGATGGAGGTGATGATGGATTCGATAAAATATTCATAGTTATCACAGGAGATGCTGAGCGTTTATTTTTCGGCAAACGGGATCGTTTGGGTAATTCTAAAAACAGACAAAAGTCAGTTCCTGATGAAAATATCCGATGACAAACCTTTGGTTGGAATGGGTTCTGGTGGTGAAGGTTCTATTTTAGGTTGTATTACTTTGATTGGTTCTTGTTTAATCGCTAGTTTTTGTTTTCGATTTGTTCGTGTTACTGTGTGTGTTCGTGGCTCAATATGAACACGAAAACCACGCGTCTTTCGATCACTTCCCGGCAGTGGAGGAGGTTGAAGTGTTGGAGACGAGTTGTCGTTTGAAAATGTTTCGGATGATCCTGTGTCAACTGATGGTAGTACTTCTACAACAGGTGTCGAAACTGCCGAAAGAACTGTGCTTGGCTTTAAAAGGCATAACAAAGACTTTTGTTTCCGTTGTCGATTTTGAGCCGTACGATGTTGTGTTCGTTTATGTTTCGAGTGAATTGAATGAGCTAAACAAAGCAAATTTGTTTTAAATCAAGAAAAGTTTCGGAAACTTACCAAATGAATTCATTAAACGATGGCATTTGTCTGGACATTGATGTTCGAGTCGTGCCATACTGATTAAATTTGGACATGTTTCTAGTTGTGTACATACGTGACGAATGTATTGATACACTACATGTGGATCCGTTGGTAGAGAGACTGGTCGAATCAGTTTCGAAGCTTTTTTCGCCGCTTTGATATATTCAGTTTTCAAATTCGAAGTGTTCGCTGGATGTTCAAGTCGACGCAGCGCTCGAAGTGTGTTTGTTGATGTTGACGTCGCTGAAAGGAGATGATGGAACATGTCGATGAGAACATGACGATATGGACCAGGACCGAATCGAGAGGGAATACGAGCAAGTCGGGAAGCACAGAGATGTGGACCAGATAAACACCGAATGTTCACGTATAATGTTAATTGGTAAATTTCATTGTTCATATAAACTCGAGGGATTTGAGGATAGTGCGTCACTGACGAAAATAATCTACAACGAAACGAATTATCGAAGATTTTCGGTGACAACTTATTCTTACTCATATCGATTTTGTTCGTAAGTTTCGATCTCGACTTTGTATTCGATTGGAGGTAATAGTTCGAAATTATTGAATTTCGCCCAGCCAACCGGAAAGATATCCAATGAATTAATCGGCATAACATGATAAAAGAGACGTTCATCATCGAATAAACTTGTATTATCAACTCTTAACCACATTAGATGATCAACGACATGAATAAGTGTCACTGAAAACACTCGATCACAGTTATTCAACGTATAAATCATTTCCAATTTCATTCCGGGTTCAGCACGATTGTTTCCCGTAGAATTTAATGTTATCAAATTGAAACAACGTTCAGGGGCTAAATCATTGTTCTCCGTTTTTTCGCTATAATGATTCCAATAATCCTCCGATTGACGAACACCTCTTCCTTTCATCAAGACGAATCGATGTTCGGCCGCCCAATGAGCTGGTAAAATATGAGGATGAGTAGCATGTCCGATAAATTTCGTCTCATTTTCGTTTTCAATAACAACATCGAAGTAATATTCATTGTGAATCAAGCCGATTTTGCCAACGTAAATATTCTGTGTTATCTCGTCGAAAACTTCTAACTTCATTCCTTCGGTAAAGCGATGTTTACGAATTTGTTCTTGATCTTTGAAAAGGTCTTTCGCGTGAAACTGCTTCTTCGATTGAGTTAAACACATATCAATGATCGATTGTTTGTCCGAAGTCAACGATAAATTTGATGCAGTGTCATAAGAATACACTGACGAATTTTCCGATGTCCAACCAACGAAATGCACACGCCAGTCGAGATAAAATATATGAATATCACATGAAGGATCTTGGTCGGTTATCGAATGAACATATTGAAGATCTAATCGTCCACCGCGATTGTTGATTATCCGAACAAACCATAGAGTCCAAGGACGATGAACATCTTGAATTTCTAGAATCATTCCGCATTTTAATTGTTCAATTGGGTTCAAACCAACATCCTAAACATCAAACAACCGTTCTCAATCGTTTTTCAATCATTTCTCACGAACTTTATCAAATAAATACGCCGCCGGTGTTTCCAATTCTTCATTATTATCATTTTTCTCGTTCCCGTTAAGACTCACATTACTATTATTGTTCGTCGCTTGTTGAATTGCGCGTTTGGTGACGATGGGCGGCGGTAACATCAACTTACTATTGTCTTTACACCAGCCGATCGGATGACAACGTTGGCCGTATATATCTGCCCAGAAATCATTTGACATGTCTTCATCAGGTATTCCAACGAAATGTAGAAGAATGAGTCGATGAGAAACTAATTGAATTTGCGTTAGCCAGTATAAGTCCTTTTGTAAATCATAGCAATATTCGAGTTTCATGTCGATTTCAAAACCGGAACGAATTGATGATAAATAATGATCGAAAAATTCATCCGAAATAGAGCGTTCGTTGATTAAGGAAAAATACTTCGACCAGAGAAAATTCGAAGGAGAGAATGGAGAGGATAATGAAGAGATTTGAAGATTGTGAATTGTTAATCGAGAAGAGGATGAACTGAAAAAAAAAACAAGAAGAAAAGTCGCGTTTCTTTGTCACAAAAAGTACAATTGAAACTTACGGGGAATTTTCCTGGCGATGACGAAAATCAAGTTTGGATTTTTGAATATTGGAACTATCTGACAACGAATCTTCTTTTATTGGCACATTTTGATATTGATCAGTTAATGATTGTTCAATATCAAAATCGTTTCTCAAATCGAATCTTCGAAAATCATCGTCAGAAATTGTATCTGTGTATTGACATGAAGAACCATTGGTCCAATTATCGATAATATTATCTGGGTGATTATTGTTTTTCGTCGTTGGTCGTTGACTAAGATCGAGAATAGAAGAGATTGTTGAATCCATTGAATAAGACTTCTCTTCGAGTTTGGGATGGAATTTTACATAATTATCATCTGAAAGAAAATTATTCGTAATTGAAGAAAAGATTGAATTTAGTGAAATTATCAAGGTCAACAGAATAAAAGAGAAGTTTAATGAAGATTTTATTTTTCGATTTGTTAAACAAAAGATTTGTTGTAAAAAAGAAGCAATAATAAGATGTAAAAAATATCTTTCTTTAGAAAAAAAAGAAAAGTTTTCGGTGGTAAGAGAGCAAGTAAGAGAGAAGAGGAGGGAGAAACAGGGAGGGGAGAGACATACGAACGAGAGGGAGAGAACAAGAACGAGAGAATACCTTTATCATTCTCAATATTATCGTTGAACAGGTTATTAACCATTCAGAAGAAAATCATTATCCTCTAACATAGATGGCGTTATTAGTTACATCCATTTCTTATACAAAGAAAAGATTTTTTAAAATTCAAAGCAAACTAATTGCAGTTCTATCTTGACTATATGATGATATTTGACAGGAATCGTACACGCAGAAATTTCCTGTTGATGTTTTTTTCTTCATCCAAACAGATGTGCTAAAAAGTAATACATAAAAACAGCAGACAAAATGATCTTCGAAGGTATCATATCAGTGTGAAGTTAGCTCCATGAAACAAAACATATAAAACCTTATATTCAAATGAACTCCCGTCTATGAAAAAAAGTCCTGTCGTATGGACAACATCTTGAAAAGTTTGACTAGGGGAGATTTCTTTTCTGTTTCGTGGTGCTAGTTAAATGGTACTAAAACATACTCATTATTTCTACACTCAAAATTTGGATTATCAAATATTGGTGTGGACAAAAACTTCTGCTACATAAAATTACATCTGATATATCTCTTTTTGCAAGAAAACTCACTGGAGTTAAGTCCTTCGTTAAAGATTGTTAAAATGATTTCTTTCACTGAGATTCTTTCTCAACTGCAGACACTTAGTTATTCATCAACATCATTTCAACCTCACTATTCCACATCTCATATCTTTCACGTACATTTACTCATCCATTCTCAAGATGATGTGATGTTGTAATTGATCGTTCTTACCTTTTAGATTGAAGCATTATTTAGTCAAACTGTTGATGAAAAAGCGCACAATCTGTCCTCACATCGACTTCAGTGTTATTGTATTGTGTGCAAAGGAAAAAGATAATCTTTTGGACCAGATGTGTTACATTATCGACGAGCAAATATGACAATGTTGTAATGGGTAACAGTTCCTTGATTATTCTAAACATTTTTCATGAAGACATGTCTTCTTATCGATATTATGCTAACTAAACGGAATTTTTCCGGTAACATATCTACTACATGTATGTATTTCCTTTTACATGTTACTTCTAAAATAAAAACTTTTTTCCTTTTCAAATCGATTAATTTGACATCATATTTGAAGGGTATATTCCTGGCGTTGCACGTACTTTCGGAATGTGGTTCAACATCATTCGCAAGAAATATCATCAAACAGAATTACTTCACTGCTTACTATCAAATCTAGATCAGTATTCAAACAGGAAGAATCAACACCAAGCTTTTTACCACTTTATTTGGCTTGAAGCACTGTAAGAATTAAACGGGAAATATTTTTATGAAACTTCCATCAGCATCAAATTCCTTCAATCACCATTGCCAACAAACATTGAAGCAAGTTTTACGAAGAAAAACTAATCGAGCCGTTTGACCTAGTTAGTTGTTATCAAACGAACGCAAACTGAAGTTTGAAATAATTTGTCCTTAAAGTCGTCGTAACAAACGTTTTACTACCTGTAGGCGATGTAAATATTTCACGAATAGTTCACCTTCACCGCACATCCTTTTGTGTGGATGCTAAGGCGAACGAATGTACCAACCGTGCACTTATTCATACATGAACATTTATTTTCAGTATTGATGTATCTTAAACGAGTAGCTTCTTGTTTTACTTAAAGCGAAAAATTATTGTCAACAATGGAGCCAAAATCGAGATCTTTAACGAACAAAATACCAGCGGTTATTATGATACATTTGATAGTTATGACGACAGCAATGACATATATCACCGTGTTCAAAGAAATACCTCTAATTTAGACAATGATGATGATAGCGAGTTTTTGAATATAGTATTAAAATTCTATGGCACTCTTAAGTTTCTCCAATGGTTAATCAATTTTGTTATTAGTCTGGTTAACAGAGTTACTATATGTTAGTTTTCACTTATACCCAACGCCTTCCTATCCATCAGACAATAATGGAGTGAATGAGAGATAGCAGAACGTTTCGATCTGTATCAGTTCGATTACCACATACAGTTGTCCTACTTTAGTTGTGATAAATGTAGATGAGTTGAATCGAGATCTTCCTGATGGTGATGTTTACTATGCAAGAGAGAAGCCAAGATGACTGATGCCGACAATAGTCCAAACGCAACTGAAAACAAGGACAAATCAATTCGAAAGGTCAGATGCCAAGGTAGAGAATAAAGATAGTTAGCGATGACAATGTATTTTCTGTTATTGGCAACATTACATTGTTTACCAGCAGCAGGTATAGATATTACATGAATTTATTAAGTACCTGAACTCTTCTTGAAAAAGAAAACGCTCGAAAATAAGCTAAAAATGATGACTTTCACTGAGTTCATCCATTTCCACAAATGTTGACAATTCATTATGTTTAGCTATATTAGTAAATGGTTGAACTGCACTACCAAGAAGACCAGTTCCTGCCGACATAGATGCCTTTATCCAGACAGTAATACTTACAGCTGCGACAATGAATAAAGATGGTATCGCAATACTCAGAGCAAGTATGAGAGTCTTATCCGAGGAATCTTTGTCGTTATCTTGACTAATAGTTGTGATCAATTGCACTGTAGACGATGTGGCAGGACGAGTGCTAGTTGTTGATACAGTGGTCGGAATATAACTGAACTGTGAAACTGGCGTTGTGGATAATGGTATTGATGTTTTTGCAGTAGTTAAATAGTCTGTTAATGTGATTGGTGTAGTTAGAATAGTTGACGATTGAGTAACACGGCTAGTCGTTACAGTTGATAGCATTGTACTAATTTCGGTAGGCGTTGATGGAGTTATAGTAATCTCCGTGTTCGTTATCACTGATTCTAACTAATGATAAATGAAATATGATATGATCCTTCTAGATTTATCAAGTTTTTGTGTGAAAAATGCATTACTATTGTCGATGAAGTCGTAGCAATGGACTCAGTCATTGTGGTAAACATGGTACTATACGTACATAGATAGAAGAAGAAATTATTTGATATGATGATTAAATTATATCAAACCTAATTGTAGTTTGAACAATTGGTAATGTTGTTGGAATCTTAGTGGCAGTTATCGTTGTTGGCGATGTCTGAAAATATAGATTCCAGAGATCACTTCAGTGCTTGGTATGTAATATATTACTGTTACTAATGTCAGTGCTGCAACAGTTGATGTTGACGTTGTACTACATAATCAGAAAGTGTTACAAAACAGATATTCTCTAATTTCGTACGTAGTTATTGATGAAGATCTTGTTGTTGTAGTTGTGCTAGTTGATGTTGTTTTGATCGTCGTGGATAATGTTGTTGTTACACGAGCTAGATTTATTTCAATAAATTTCTGTTAGTTTTAAGGAAGTTTAACATACAACAATCATCTTGATGAATTGAAATTTCATCAATAGCAATATAGGATTGAGACAGAATTGGCCCTGATACTCGTTCTAAGTCAAAATAGATCTAAATACAAAACATTCATTAAGAAAAACACTGAAAATTCGTAGATTTCACTTTATATCCCGTTCTTGCAGCATTAAACGACACTCTTCGTTCGATCCATCCATTTTGTGAACTATCTGTCACTGCATCAATGACTGAACTTCCACCAATCGTTTCAATTTTTCTTACAGTGATCTTATCAACCATACTAGGTAAATTTGTCAGATAATAATAGTAAATAAGACATTGTCGATTAACGCCATTGATTCCACTTGATGGAGTATTGAGAAGAAAACTAATCTTATGAGCGTTGGCCCTGAATTCATAATACCCAAATTGACCTAAAAAAGCTTCATTCTTTCGAATGTTAAACAAAAATTAACAAATCAACCTGGATTACACGCAGTCTTTTGATTCGATTGTGTCGGACAGAATCCTTCATTACAAAAGTACATACTCCATGAAAATGAATTGATTTTGTACGGTAATTTACATTTCTGACCATTACTTGTTAATTTAACTAAAAGATTTTATTTCAAAAAAGCGTCATGATAAATATTGTCTTACGACTTGAAGTAACATCTGATAAAGGCGCGATTGGAATGTCTCTACTCGCTTTTCCAACACCTTTTGATGGAATTATATAAACATTCGAACCAATAAAGCAACTATTCGTGATAATCGCATTGTCGAAGTTACATTCGTATAAAATTCGTGTTTGAATTAATGTAACAGAAATATAAACTAGAACACAATGAAGTTAGACACAATAGCGAAGGCAATTAATCATCATCTTACAGCAATATAAAAGCCAAATAAGATGTTGTCTCATCTTCTTTGTTCTTTTCTGACAAAGGTGAATGTTTTGAAGGCATTTAATTCACAGTTAGGTTATCTGTTGAATGTTCTTATCAAATCTGCTTAAACGAAAATATCTTTTTACCAGCAGAGATTTTAATGGTAATTAAGAAATATCTACACCAAACGTCTAATGCATTGCAAAACTGTAGCAGTCAGGAAGGCCAATATATTTTATATTTCTCCATTTGTAGTTCATCTTTTTCGTTGTATATTGCACAAAACGACAATTTTGGTTATACATCTCCGTGCAAAAAAATTGTCAATGTTAGTTATTTCGTCAAAACTCATCAAACTTCCTTCTTGCGCTGAAAACTATTTTCAACTTGAGACACTTACCATGATCAACCAGTTATACCTTCCAGATAAACCCTACCTAACATCCGCACTCTAAAGATCCTCCTTAGTAATATCAATCTTTCATTTGACGAAAGAAATTGTAATAGAAAACTTTAAGACGTTGAAGGATACAAAGATCACCTGAATAGAATTTCATTCGGACGTTCCGTTCCACATTGTTTCAGTACTGCATACACTTTCTCAGTCTTTGCCATCTCGCTGGATTCAAAGAAGTGTTATTCAAATGTTGTTAACAGTAGCTTTCACCGGGCTATCTGAATGAAACTTCAACTATGTCTCTCACTCGTTTCTGTATTCGATGTCGTTCACGCTCTTGAATTAAAACGATTGCGAAATGTGTTTCCTCTAGCATCGACATTCCTCTTCTGGCTCGTAATAGATCTCTATCGCACCTCATCAACAGTTGTTATCTTTCCTGTCGATCAGTGGCGTAACCAGGGGGGAGGCAAATGGGCCATTGCCCATTTAAATTTGAGGTTTGCCCATTGTAATTTCGTATTGAGGAACCTTGCCTATTGAAATTTTACTTTGTCAGAATTTTCCTATATGTTTTGATTAGTTAAGACAACAATTTATTTTACGAAGTTCTGTGTAGTATTTCAAAATATTTCAAGCATTTTTATGAATTTTTTTCAGAAATTTTCAAAGATTTACAAAAAATTTCTAAGAACTGCTTTTAGTCTATCCACATTTTTCGAAAATTTAAAAAAGATTTTAGAATTCTTCGGAAATCTATTAGAAATTCGGAGATGCCTTACAAACTTTTTGATAGATTTTACGATTATCTCTAAACCTTCTGAAGCTACTCCTAAGTTTGTGAGTAAAAATAAACAAAATTTGCGAGATTAACGTGAAGATTCGCGACTCCAACCGATTTTCTTCGCACCGTCGGGGCACTCCTGTCTTGCATTCTCTTATACTGCACTACAGTGAAGGAAACAAGACAGCGTATTGGACTTTCTTCTGTTTTTTATACTAAAAAATGAAAGATCCTTATTTTTCACTTTTGTTTGTGGTCGTGTTTTCAAACTTGAATCAGTGTAAAAGTTTTGCCCTATCGACAAAAAGCTTGCCCGTTTTGCCCACTACTTTTTCTCAACCTAAGCAAAGTTTGCCCATTGGTCTAAAAATCCTGGTTACGCCACTGCTGTCGATATCCTCTTATTGTAACGACATGTTTTCGTTCTATCAGTAGTGATACTTATGCAACACATCACAGATCATACTTGTATACAAACATTTTCGACTAACGTGTGACCATCGAATAAATGAAGAAAAAGAATTCATCCATATATAAGTAAGAAAAAGAATACTTCTATTTTTGTTTTATCTAATCGACGAGACAGCGAAGAAATATCGACGTGAAACAGACAAGGAGTGGCGGTTATACGCTTTTGTTGGAACGGCATCATTTGAAAAGCTCTTGTATTTTAAATAATCAACTTATCACTCTTTTTGTCGGTGCTCAAGTGGTTGTACATTACTTTGATTAATCCATACACGAAAATGCCGCTCTATAACAATGCATATCCGAGTCCCCATGTCGATCAATCGCGTACTCGGATACAATATAGAATTTTGTCAGATCCTACAGGAATTCGACGGATCCGATGAAATTCTGGTGACGTAATCGCATTGGGCCTCGGTGGTCTCGGATCGCATGTTGGATCCAACATCGGATTTGTTGACCTGAGTCTTGGAGATTATCAAAAAATGCATCACAGTACGAAAAGACAAATTGTAAGTAAAAATCCATCTCCTATTGATAGTGATTGAAAAATGAATTAGACTGAATTCTCAATGAGACATAATTCTTTGCGAATAGTACTATTCTGTCGGTTCTTTGTTCTAAGATAGAATATTTAATCGGAAAGTCCCTTTTGAACAGATGATTCCGATCTCTCTAGCTTAACAGATATGCATTCAGTAATTTTGTATCAATGTCAGTTAGATCTACTTTGACGACGAGTAATTACACTACTTTCACAATGATTTTCCTCAATCGTTAAGGATATTTGACGTAACTCGAGAACACCATATTCGAACAGGAACTTTCGTTTAGTAACATGATTAACGTTTTCATTGAAAAGTATTCATAGAAAATATGATCGGATCGGTGATTAATACTAGCGAGCCAAATCTCCATCAGCTTTCCATCTTTCAAAGTCTTGTGTCATCTGTCGGAGAATCATATAGCCACGCTTTCGGGTTGAATGTGAATAGTTTAACATACACATGCCATCTTAAACATGAACTTCTCAAATTCGAACAAATTGAATAAAGCATACATCTTAACATAGTCACTTCTGGATCGCTGACTTTTGTTATTTATTTCTTTGTTTCGAAATGCACATCTATGCTCATTCGTCTTTTTCGAGAATAGACGGCCTGTACAGTGATATAACAGCATATATGAGAATAAGCGGAAATGTTCATCCAGCACAGTTACATTCATTCTTCACCTCCTCAGTTATCCGTTATCTTTTATCATAGACGGACTGAAATTGCCATTTCATACAGGGTATCACTCTTTTCAGTTTGACATTCAATAAATATTTTTTTTAGAAAAGCGACGTGCCGTGACAATTGATTATTCTTACCTTCCAAATTGAAGCATTACTTGGTCCAGCTATTGATGGAAAAATGCACAATTTATCGCTGGATCAACTTCAACGCTATTGTACTTTGTGCAAAGAAAAAGATGATCTTTTGAAAGAGATACGTACATTATTGATTATCGATGGGCAAATATGACAAGATTCAAGGAGTGACAAGTTCTTGATCATTCTGTACTTTTTCCATGGAGCCGTGCCTTCTTATTGATCTTGTGTTAGTTAAACTACATTACTATTTTTGGTTATATATCTACTCCATTCATCTATTTTTCATAACTTATCAAATAAAAACTTTGTTCTTTTTCAAATTGATTAATTCGATGCGACAACTATAGAATCAGAGAAATTGACAGACATGGAGACCTTGGCAAGAATCCTGCCTATTGTAAAGACAAACAGCTTCGAGACTACGGAGATAATTGATTGTTCAAGAAAATATTTAATTCTCAAATGAAAAGAATAAATTCAGACAGACAATTATTGGTCATCGGTACGGATTTCATTGACTTGTTTGCTGTAAACTACATAGTAGTATCCAAAGAAATGAAATACTTTCTATAGACGATTGTACGAGTATAAAATAATCGATCAGTTTTAGATTACTTGTGGAAATCAGTCTGGTTTTTATTCTATCAACTACCGTATAAAATTTTCGTTCGAATCAACGTAGCAGCAATACAAATCACAACACAATAAAGTCAAACACAATGGCAAGAACAGATCATCGTCTTACAACAACATAAGATGTTGCCTCATGTTCTTTGTTTTTTTTTGACAAGGGTAAATGTTCTGAAGGCATTTAATTCATAGTTAGATTATCTGTCGAATGTTCTTATCAAATCTGCTTAAACGAAAATATCTTGTTATTATAAAAATAATGTATCAAAACGACATTTGAATTAAAACCAATACTCATCGTAAACAAAATTCATTTCAAAGTCGTCGGAACTTGATTTTGAGTGTTTTCTATTCTTCAGTAGGCGAAGCTTTCTCTTGAAAGAATTATATGACAATGATCGATTGAATTTTATGATAATACCAATTGATATTATGCAGACAACAGGTATCACAGTAGACAAAACTATAATGTACGTATTCGACGATGGTTTAACATCATTTTTATCATCTGATATCGTCAAATTTGTTGAGTTTATGACAGATAATGTTGAATCCGAAGTTAAAGTTATAATCGAATGTGTCGTTTTAGAAGAATTAGTAATAATCATCGAACTCGAAGTATATGATGTGATAGTCGCTAAATTTGTAGTTTCCACCTAGCGAGCAAGATTTTACGGGTTTTAGTTAGTAGACCGTACTTACATTTTTGGTAGTAGACATTGCAGATACCGAAGAAGTTGTCGTGGTTCTGATTGACACCTTAACATTTCATACGAGATATAAAATAAATCGAGATCTCATTCTTACTGTAGACGATTGAGTTTTTGATGTTGTTATATCAATGGTCGTTGGTATCAATGCCTGTCGTAAACACCAATGATCACAAAATTAATTTCATCGAACTTTGCAAATCTATTTCTCATGTATTACCGTTGTTGATTTTTCAAAAATATTTGTAATACTAGTCGCTTGTTCAGTAGTCATCATAGAACTGTTTGAAATGTATGCAAACGATAAACTAGTAGTTAAAAGATCGGTTGTCGTTGAATCTTCAACAGTTGTTGATGCGCTACAATACAACGACAATCGAGATGAAATGACAAGAAGGTCGAGTCGAGAGACGAACCTTGTAACTGTACTAGTTTCGGTCGTCGTTGTTGGGGAATGGGTTGTCGTTTCGTCTTCTAAATAAGTCACAACTGATTCGGTAGGCAAATATTTCGCATAAGAAATATTTACCTTCTGAAATCGATATTTCGTCTAGACCGATATCATTGAATGAGGAATCAGATGAGGTTTTTTCTACATCGAAATGTATCTAAAAGGAAAGATGTTTCTTCAAACAAAACATACAGATGATTCCCTCTACCTCGTAACCACGATGTGCTGCATGATATCTCACTTCTCGTCTAATCCATCCATTGAACGGACTATTCGTCACAGTATCAATCACAGAACTTGCACCACCTATTTCTACTTTGCGTACATGGATAGATTTCCCAATCATGTAAGACATATAGTAATAGTAAACCAAAGTTTGCTCATTAATACCATCAATTCCATTCGATTCTGTTTTCAATTGATATGATGCTTTATCGCCCTGATTTAATTGTATCCCGGCAAATTTCCCTAGAGTTCAGATTGATACAAAGTATAAGTAGTAAATTCTTCAACAAACCTTCTGCACATGTGCTATTCTTGTTAAAAAGAGTCGGACAGTGTCTTCTGTAACAGAAGTACAAATCCCACGTGTACGCACCCACTTGAAAAGGCAGTTTACACACTTCTCCACTACTAGTTGCTTTTACTATATACACCAGAGCAATAATAAAAGTATTCATTGCACACAATGAAATAACTTACGACTAGATGTGACATCAGACCAAGGATTATTCGGTGGACTTGCTGACAGCATTTCAAATCCATCGATAACCAACGTATCCTTCGTAAAACAGTTATGGGTTATGTTAGCATTATCAAAATTGCATTGATATAAAGTTTTACATTGAGTATGAGATATATAAAGAAAACCTATTGAAAGAAAGTGGTGCGTCGGAATTATATCTGTATAGATCATATCGCGTGTGTTTTACCATAATAAAAAAGTAAATAAAATGACCTCATTGGTTGTGTTTCCATCGACAAGTGCAACTCTGTTTTAAATATCACCCCATTTCTCCTGAGCGTTAACTTCAAAGATAATAGACGTAAAATACTATCTGGAGTCGAAAGATAACTCGATTCTTTCAAAGTTTTTGCACATCGAGGCTATGAAATATATCACACAATAGTAATGACGGCACAAAACAAATATTATTCTTCATGACTGATGAATTAGCAGATGTCCCGTGCCAATAGGCAAAACTCCATCCGTCATCTGGATGCACCCAGCATATGTACATTATATTATTGCCATTTCAGATTGAATATTACTTTCCAAGAAGGAGAATCTTCTTCGTTATTGTGTATATATTTATAATTCTCATTCGATGCTTTTATCCAAACACATTCTGAATATACACAAGGAAAACAAACGAAACCGATCCAAACAGTTTTGAAGAAAAGAAAAATAATTCAAAAATGCACTACAAATAGGAATATGAAATATGTTTAAATGAAGGAAAACATTATAAAATGACGAAAATAGAAAGTCAACCTATACAACATTGATTATCATGCGAATGTATGTGTATTTGAAAAAGAAATTGATGATAGGACCGGCTGAAAAATGAATAATGTCGACATTCTCACTGTATTTCGAAAAAATTTGGACGGATATGAAGAAAGAAAGAAAAGATATCACAATCATTTATCGATTATTAACAGGTGTAACACTTCCGCAAGCTAAATCACTGCGGGAGGACGGTGTCGGTGTGTTGTTATTGTTTGCATTGGCTTGTTCAACAAATCGGGCAAACATTGCTTGAGCAACTGTATTTACTTCGTTAATGTATGGACGTTGATCGGGATCTAAGACCAAACATCGAGCGATGAGGTGACGAAGCTAAGATAAGAGAATCTCTGGCTTTTGGTATTTAAGAATAGGTGAAAAACGAACTTCGTGAGAAAAGATATGCGCAGGTAATGGAGTATAATCGAGTGCTTCGATTTTCTGACGTAATAACATGAGATTCAAATTTTCACCAAAGAATGGTGAACGAAGTGCAGCCATCTAAACACAAAACTCTTTCCATTGCAGATAAAAACAGAATTCCCAACAAACTTCGTATAAGATACAACCGAGAGACCAAATATCCGATCGAAAATCATAACCATGATCATTTTGTTGTCGAATACGCTCCGGTGACATATAATATCTACATTGAAGCTTTAGTACCACTTCATTCTAACTCTTACACTTACGGTGTTCCGACCATTGAATACGCTGATGTAGTTTCCGAACCCAGAAAACGACCTACGAGAATACCGTCATCAAAATTTGTCAACGCTGCAAATTCAAATTGACATTACAAACCTAATCCAAGATCGCCTAATCGAACAATTCCTTCCGCACTGACAAAAATGTTCGCTGGTTTAATATCTAAAAGCCGAACATCCTTTCATATTCCTGGAATGACAGAACGATCACATACCGCGATGCATAATTCGTTTCGAATGCATATGTTCAAGTCCACTACATATTTGACTAAAAAACTTCCATATCGTCTTTTCAGTCAACCGCTTATTCGATTTTGTGAAATGTTTAATCATTTGAGCTAAATCTCCGGCACTCGCCAATTCCTACACGAATCAAATGAGCAAATCAGATTCTCTCAACAATCATCCTACCAAAACAATGTACAAATCATTATCTTCGACGAAGTGAGATATGTATTTGATCACATTTGGATGATTAAGTTGCTAAATGAAGTTCCACGGTGAACTTCTCGGTAAGAAAAAGAAAATTCTTACTTGGAGTAAACTTATTTCCCGTTTACAATCTTCGATGGCCTTCGCGTCAGCCATTTGACTCAACTGAAATGAATTGTGCGTGCAATTTTTACTTGCATCTGACAAAAATCTTACTTCGACTTTTTTCAAAGCCACACAAACTTTATTAAATCGATTTCTTGCCGAAAAAACCACGGAGAAGTGTCCATTACCTAATTTTTTCAGAATTTCAAAATTTCTCAATGAACCATATGGATCCGATACACCTTGTGCTGCAACAGGGCCAACAACGTTGTTCTGAATACTCATATCTAAAAATAACGAAGATGAAAAGAAAATTTCCACAATCAAAACACCAGACAGATTGAATTTTCTTTCAAAGAAAGGTTTCTGGAAATTTATTTATACATAGAGAGAAAATAAATGAAAATATTGACGATTGAAAAATCAAATCTGTTACTGGATTTCGGCAACAGAATTCAGAATAAATCGAACGATAACAGCAAAGGCTGCTAAACAGAAAAGAACCATTAAATTTCCGATCAGATTATTGAGCCAAGATGTTGATGTTGATGCGCTTGTTGACATTGATGACACGCTTGATTGTTCGACACTACTCAAGATCGAATTCTGCGTTGCGAGTTTCGCAGTTCGCTCGTCGAGAATCTTTTTGATTTCTGTTGTTATTTCAGGAAATAATTCACAGAATATTGGATCTTGGATATTAAATCCTAATGAATCATTGGCGAGTTTCCGTTTTTCAGCTTGCGTAGTCTCGATACTACCGTATGTTGCACTTGTATCACACATAAAACTCAAAAAACCATTCAGTATTGAAGATATCGACCTGAAACAAGTTGAAACGATCAAATTGAATATAAATTCAAAGGGTAAACATACCAAGATGGATTCCATGAATCTGGATGAAATGATGTTATTGTTAAACATAGACTTGTATTCGTTTTAAATCGTCCATTCGGCGTTAGCATATATATACCTAAACAAATCAAAATTTTCATTGAATTTATCAACAAAAAACTACTTTACTTGGTGGTTTGTACGGGTATTCAAGAGGAAAAACAATTTTGCCTTGATAGATTCCACCTTCGTACGGTGTGTCACTCGGTCCGCGTACAACATAACGCCATTCTAATAAATTTGACGATAAGGGTTGTGCTGTCAAATAAGGTACAGGATCTTTCGATAGACGTCGATATTCTGCTTGAAGACGTTGAAATGCCGAGTTCGATTTCATCGACATGATTGAGTCGATACGGAAACGGACAAGATTATGAAAAACAACACAAACGACGAAATATGAGATAAATCAATAGAACGGTTCGCCTCTCAGCTGCTTTTTTTCTACTTCTGCCCACGCCTGCCTCCTCTCTTTGCTTTTTTTGCAACTACTCATTGGGCTGTAGTTTACCAAATATTGGTATCGCCATTTTAAATTTACATTATCCTCGTAAACCACTCAAAAGACGATCGACAGAGGGCACTATATGTCTAAAGAACCGTTTCATCGCGCATTTCTGTACAAAATATTTTCAATGACACAACATCGAGACGATAGTTATTCTTTTATTTTCCTAAGAGAATCCAAGTCAATGCAAAATATTTTTCTTCGTAATCCATGCCGGGATGTCTCACACCATTAATTGGAACGAATTTCACTTCATCAATATTATTCCAATCAAATTGAAAGACCTGAGAATATCTAAATTGCAAATTGATCGTTGAAGAGTGTAAATTTTGTTTCATTCGTCGGCCGAGAACATTAATCTGTAAATCATCATGCCATGCAGCTGTTGCTTCAAACGCAACTAAGGAAAACTGTTGTTTTGAACCAATTTTCATCGTGTTCCCTTTCTCGTTAAACGCAACGCATGTATGATCATTTGTATACGCGTTTTTCCATCCACTCAAAGTGTGAGTGATTTTCACCCATCGCTCATCCATGTACCAAACATTCTTCCATAGTAAATTCTCGTAAAATTCCGGAATGATTCCGAAATCAGCTTTGTTTTCCCTATCCGTTAGTTTATCGAATGTTATTAAATGCTTAGTTGGATTCGACACTGAAATATTCATATAATCAATCGCATTAGTCCGATCATCAATCAAAACCTACCAGTAGTTTGTAAAATTTGAAGATGCGTGGTCAATGCTTGAATTTGTTGTTCCAGTTGGTTGTTTGTGCTAATCAAATGGCCTAGTACAGGTCGTAGTTGTTGATAATTGCATGTAGATAGATGTTCATCGTATTCATCACGGGTACCTGACCATCGACATAGAATATCTGATGCTGCACAGGAAAGAATTCTCTTTGGACAAATTTTGTTTATATGATCATTCAAATTGCCACGTTCGATTCGATTTGTTCCACATAGTGAACATTTGACAAGAAGTTTATCAAGCATATTCAATACTAATCGTGTAGTTATGGGTGTTAAATCATCTGAGGATAATGCTTGTCGACATGTGGGACATGATGAATGATTCTGGGATAACCATTGTCGAATACATTGCTGACAATAAGTATGATCACATGGAGTTGTTACGGGGTGTTGAAGTGGTTTTGTACAGATGGAACATTTGTAATTTTCATCGATAGATGGCTCATCGAAGTATTCATAATCGATGTTCGTCATTGGTATTTCCTTGCGAGAAAATAGAATGAAATTAACTTTGTAAGTTGTATTACTGTTGTCGAGTGTGTGTTCTTTCTTTTTTTCGCTTTTCACGTGGCGGAGTAAACGAACTTCAATGTTTTATTTGCATAAAACAGAATTGAAAGAAAAGATTTCGAACGTATTTAGCAAACACGTGAAATAAATCTATTTAAACTTTATTAATCATCCTATGTCGCGTTTTTCTTTCGACTATGGAATTGGTTTTTATAGCAACGACACAAATAGACTTTTTTCTTATCCAAATACCAGTGAAGGGACTATACATCACTCTGTTGTTGATCTTCTTCCCACAGCCATGATTTCAATCCGAAACGAATTCAACAAAATTGAAAAAAAAAGATTAGAAATACATCATTTGTTTTGTTCAGGTTGTGCTGATTTTAGCATCTGATCAATCAGATTTGCATCATTTATTACAACATGATTGTCTATCGAACATGTTGATTAATCTTCCATTATAGAATTTCGTGTCGAATCATCTTCACCTTTCAGAAGAGTATGCATCTTGACGATACAGCTCACCTGTGACATATTCACTTAGAAAAAGGTGCAATGAAAGTGACGCCTACTGCCATCTGTATGTGCCTTTTACCTTATTCGATACCATAGAAAAAACCTTGTCCAAACATATTCTTTATTCATTCATTCATTCACTTTAAAACTCTTTCTTTAATTAAAATCTATTTCATCAGCAATGGCTTTCGGTCGTGGTCATGCCTCTTTCACTATCGATACACTAAAATTAGCAAAAGATAGTTTACCCGCTGCCGTTACTGAACCACCGCCAGTCTTTCCTGTATGTATTTATCTCAATTTTTAAAAGCAAAAACAATCAATTATACATGTGCACAGTTTTCTATTCAAGGAATTACTCAACACCCCACATCCGTTAGATTCATCTGCAGAGAGCACATCAAATGACTATGATTATAAACTAAAATTAAAATTGAATTTCAATTCAAGTTTTCGAACTCTACACGATCCATTGAAGGAAGACAACAAGAAAAACTACATTTTGAACAAATGGAAAGAAGGTAAACGCATTTATTCGATAGAAAACGGATGAGACAAAAAGAAAATTCTTTTAGAATGGTTGTTATTACCACGAGAGTTGAAATTAGCATTTCAAAAGACAAAAAATCTGTCGAAAGTCAAACCAAATTTGTCCAAAGCAAAAGCTTCGTCTGCGAAGAAAACGACTCTCAACATTGACTTTAATAACGTAGGTTCTAAATTTGAAAAATAAGTCGAATCCGAAGAATTCTTTTTTGAAGTATGAAGAAAAAACAACGGGTAATGATGAAGATGACGAGGACAAAGACGATGAAAAACAAGATGAAAATACGGAAGTCGATGAAAATGATGACGAAGGAAAGGCGAAAGGTTTGAATTGAACGATCGCACTGAGGATATTTCATCCAAGTGATTATTTAGGTACAGAAAAGAAGAAATTAACTGATAACGAGAACGAAGTTGATGGAGAAATTCCTGATGAACAAGAAGAAGAAGATATGGATGAATATGAAGTAAGAAAAAGCACTATTTTGCTTTTCAAATAAGTACTGGAAATTATCTAGGCAGCGGATTACATCGAATCGTATTTCGATCCCGGTGATGGGGATGACTTCGATGCAGATGACGACGGTGGCGATGGTGGGGATTAAACTTTTCTGTTTGTTTGTTTTTTTGTATTTAATAAAGAAAATCTCGATAAATCATTCGTTTTGTATCCGTTTCATTTTGTAGATCGACTACCTTTTATTGATATTTACATTCTAATGAATCGCTTGATTCAAATGATGACTGTATCACAGTCATTTACGCATGATTGATCTCAATGATAGTTATTTACCAATCGGTAGTTATATCCGCTCATTTGCGAAGTCATTTTGTTAGAACTTTTCAAACTTAAAAAATATTTTGCATGTGCAAATGATCGTTCTCGCTTTTGTTTTGATCTACGCGTAAACCATGATTGTTTTGTATACTAATCAGCGACAGACGTCATCAGAGACTAGATTTTTTGTTTTTCTCTTTCGTTTACGGTCAAGGTAACAATAAATATGAGCGTTATTCGAAAATAATACTGAGTAGAACGTTGTCAACGACATGAATCTACTCGTTGAGACATGACTTTCGTGAAAGGAGATGCATTCTGTTTTGAAATCATTTCGCATTTAGGTACGGTCGCATCAAGTCAACGATCATCACTGTCAAATCTCGTTCAAGTTTTTCTTGGCAGCAAAACATGTCGTAGACCTTTACTCTTCTTCAATTGAAAAAGCAAAAGAATTTCTCTTATCATCAAAACAACCATGACAAACGGTAAGTACGAAAGATTTACTAGAGAACAAAAAAACAAATCGGATTCACAAATCTTATCGGAGTAAAAGTCATTGAAATCATCTATTTATTTCTTTACGATATGTCTCGAGTGCCACAAATCCAATTTTCTGGACAGGAAAAGTAAGTTCTTTGCTTTATTCATCCGAATGTATTTTTAATCAATGCTCAATGTAAATATTTTCTTGTTATGAAAGAAATCAAATTCAATGCTTGTTTGAATGGATTCGTAATTGCCATGAAATCTATCAATATCGCTTGACGAAAAACAACGCCAAACATACTTGAATATAACCACATTTACGAATGCTTTCTTTTTCTAGTAATTCTTTGATTTATGACGTCAGGACTTGTAATGATGCGATTTTCTTTCGGCGAAAAGACTCCTATGTTTTTTCTTGTCGATTCATTATGAAAGCATCAGACGCGAAGGAAGAGGAACACGTTTTACAGCAGTTTAGTCTAAAATAGGAAATTTCCAACTAACTTACTACCTTGTACAGGTCTGAAGTATGTTTGCTTGCATTTTAGCTCGCTATTAATTGTAATAAACCATTAATATGTGTCCTTTTTGTATTTACAAAGTCTTTTTCTTTTTATTTAGACTTGTAGATAATCATTTGTCTTGTTCAACTGATTCAGATTCTTCTACAAGTACAAGTTTCACCACAGAAGATCATTCATCGTTCGCATTGCTCGACTCTCGTCCCTTAAATAACAGTGATAAACCTCAACTAATGTTAGCGACCGAACAATCAAGTGTAGTTCAGCCAATGTTGACTGATCTCTATCAACTGTCAATGGCCTATGCTTACTGGAAATCAAACAAACACAATGACAACGCCGTATTTGATTTATATTTTCGAAAAAATCGTAAGAAAATCAATGCATTTTTCTTTCTTGTAAAAATTTCTTTCATTCAGCATTCGGCGGTGAATACACATTATTTGCTGGCTTAGAAGAATGTTTAAAATTTGTTCGTGATTATAAGTTTCATGAGAGTGATATTGTATATCTTCGCTCGGTTTCTCCAAAGTATATTGAAGACGAATATTATGACTATCTCGCCAAACTTAATATGCATGATGTGAGAGTATATGCAGTGCCTGAAGGTAAGATACTTTGTATCACAGACATAAGCAAAGAGAGACCTAACAAATGTCGATTGATTTTGTTTCTTCCAGGAACTGTCGTATTTCCTCGAATTCCATTGATTCGTGTCGAAGGACCAATTTTGAAAACGCAATTATTAGAAACCACGTTGTTAACTTTAGTTAACTATGCAAGTTTAGTTGCAACAAATGCTGCACGATTTCGTTCAGCAACAAGTCCTGGTAAGGCCTTATTAGAATTCGGTTTACGTCGAGCCCAAGGTCCTGATGGTGGTTTAAGTGCATCGAAATATTGTTATCTCGGCGGTTTCGATGGTACATCAAATGTCTTAGCTGGCAAACTCTATGACATTCCAGTTAAAGGAACTCATGCTCATGCTTATGTTAGTTCATATGAATCCATGAACGATTTAACCGAACGGTGTTTATGCGATCGTATTAGCAAAGAACGACGTCCATTTGCTGATATGTGTGAACAGTATTTGAAGGAAGTTGGATCGATCTTGAAAATCATTCCCGAACAAACAAATAAAGGTGAATTAGCTGCATTTACGTCGTTTGCAATTGCGTATCCAACAAATTTTTTGGCGTTGGTTGATACTTACGATGTTTTGAAATCTGGTTTACCAAATTTCTTAGCTGTTTCACGTGCATTACACGAATGCAACTATCAAGCAGTTGGTTTACGTTTAGATTCGGGCGATTTGGCTTATTTATCCATCGAAGTTCGAACCCGATTTGTTACCGTAGCAAAGAAATTTGATATACCTTATTTCGAAAAGTTTAATATCGTCGCGAGCAATGACATCAATGAAGATACATTATTATCTTTAGAAAAACAAAATCATAAGATTGATACATTCGGCATTGGAACACATTTGGTGACATGTCAAAGACAACCGGCTTTAGGTTGTGTTTATAAATTAGTTGAGGTAAAGAATGTTTGTTCAATGGAAAACAAAATTCTCTTTTTCTTGTCGCGATTTTAGCTCAATGGATCAGCTCGAATTAAACTCAGTCAGGATGTAGAGAAAGTAACAATTCCAGGGCGGAAAAACCTTTATCGAATATTCGGTAGTGATGGTAAAGCTCTATGTGATTTATTAACAAAATTTGATGAACCATCACCAAACGAAGGCGAAAGAATTCTCATTCACCATCCATATGCCGATCAAAGGCGTGCGTATGTCACACCGAACTCGTCTGTTAGTTTATATAAATTATATTGGTCTGATGGAAAAATTCAAGAAGCTTTACCCAATTTAAAAGAAATTCGTGAATATGCAAAAGATCAATTAGAACAGTTACGAAAGGATCATATTCGAGATCTCAATCCAACGCCATACAAAGTCTCTTTAACGGCAGAATTATTTAAGTTTATGCACGATCTTTGGATAGCAAATGTTCCAATCGGTGAACTTAAATAAATTTTTATTTTAATCGAATCGAATTGTGATAGCTTTTCTTCTATTTCGTCTGTAAATTTCGTTTCGATCATTGTATTACCTGCGAAATAATCGAATTGTGAACGCGATCTTTTTTTCTCTCCTTTTATTCAAAATAACAATTTATTTTATCAATTTAATGAAATTTCTTACAAGGAAATCAATGGCAAAACCAACAATAAGATGAATATTTTTGCGCGCAGCAAATTTGACGATACCGCGAAGGATGTATTCAACGAATAATCGAAATAGTTAAATTCCACTTTCAAATTTGACACTACTGAGATATTTGTTGAACATTTTGATAAGAAATAGACTAAAAATAGTTTCGTGTATAGAATGACTCATATTTATCTTTTGTCACATTTTTTCTTGATTAGAATAAGTCAAGTTTGTATACAAGTAGAACATATCTATGCGACAACAAATCCGTCAACATGAAGGTGTTGTACCAAATTCGATTCAAATTCAAGGTTTTGAATATGATGAACGGGAATTATCACTTAGTACATCAATAATTAGTTTAGACGATGATTATTTATCAAAAGATATACTTGATGATCTTGATCGAATATATACTCATCGTTCTCATCAGAGATGTATGACTTTAACGTATTTAACATTGCTGACAATGACATTGGCTGTTGTATCGTGGATGTTTTATTGGTTATGGTATAATCACTGTGAAAAACTATTAGCGATCGAGCGAAAAAACCCATTGACATGTAAATTTGTTTTTCCATTTCAAGTTTTGATCTTTATTTTTCTTGGTTCGTCAGCAATTTTCTTTATTTTGATGATTATTGCCTGGTTCGTGTTCGCTTGTCGGAATCCATTAGATCGTATTCGAACAAATTTCATTGCATTTCGTTTAGAAGGAGTTGCTTGGCAAAATCAACTCGATTGTTACTTTAAACAGCATTCCAGATGTTTAGATTTTGTCCGAAGAAAGAGATTACTCGATCGGAATTTTGGTTATATTATTCTTTCCTTACATGGAATACTTTTCGATGAACTATTTCTTCAAACATCTCGCGAAAAGATGATTATCAATGGACAATTTCTCGAGCGTGAGAGAATATTGAAACTCGAATGTAAAAAGAATGATCTGTTAATTCATTTATCCGAGGAATTGATTTCAAGAAACATCATCGAAGAATTGCAACGAACATTGAAAATTCCGATAAATAGTCATAGTATTGGACCAACACGGTTTAGTTATTAGAATGTTATCTTTGATCGCCATGTAATGCGTGTGTTCAATAGAACAAGGATATTTAAATTTGTGTCTTTTTTGATCGAAATGGAGTTTTTTCTCATTTATAGAATTTGAATGAAAAGATCAACTTTGTTTCTCGAAAGAAAAAAAGGAAAATGTACGCGTGAAGCTTCTGAAAATCATGTTTTTTCTGAACATTAATGAGAAGTCGTTTAAAGTCGAATTCTCCACCTGAAATCCCACCGGATTAAGTTGGATGATCGCATTCTATAGAATCTTATCAGATCCGTTGTGGGAGTTATGATACTAGATGAAATTTACAAAAAAGTAAATAATAGAAAGTGCACTGTCGAAATGCCTCTCTAAACCTGTCAGAGCGAGCTTAATGTAACATTGCCATTAATAAATGGAAAGGGTATTTGACTATCGCTTTCTATTAAGATCTATTTGAAAAGTGTTTTCAAGTACTCTTTAACCGTCATCACTAAGAAAGCGTCGATACTGTGACGCATTCTCTATATCGAGAAAACCACTTCTAAACAGATTAAGAACAAGCGACATTTCCTAAACCCTAGCCGAGTACCTACAAAATGTACCTGGAAACGTTCGCGTTTTATCTTTCTTCACAAATTACATTACATCCATTTTCTTCGCTTTATTCCTTATTTCTTATTCGTTTCGTTCAAACTTCTCTCGACATAGGAGTTCTAAGAATGCTTGTTTCCCACACTCAACGATCAATTGAGATAATCAATAAAAACCTGGATCAGCGGGTATCCATATTAGTCGATGTATTGTTCAGTACCCATAACCAGCTTAGAGAAAATCTGAAACACATGCCGAGATAAATATTGTTTGCGAGCATATTTTAATATAAATTACTACGCACATTTCGAATTCTATTTTTATCAATAAGACTGAACACTCCGACTGTTATATACCTATTTACTGAAATCTGCATAACAAAAACTTTCATTATTTTGTTTTACCCGAAAGATATTCGACGACAAAAACTAATTAGACTCTTACTGTCAACAACATTCTACCTGTTACAATTCTATTTACCGTACTCTTCTTTCACATTATATGAAGTACTTCTGAATGAATTATTTCTTCAAACATCGTATAGAATGATGATTATTCCGGGAAAATTGCTGAAAGGCGATAGAGCGCATACATCCAAATATGAAAAAGATGAGTTTTGATTTTATTTATTCGAAAATCTCAAATGAGTGCTGATGGTTTCAATAACCAACAACATTGATCAATCGGCACAATTTCAATTAATAGAAAACTTGCGTTGGATTGTCATGTATGCGTGAGTTTTCTTTTGAACAGAACTATCGATAGGTGACTTTTCTCGTCTACTTTGTACTTTTCCTCGCGTGAAGAAGAAAGCAAAAAACGTAGATATTAAGAAACGAGAAAATGGTTTTGACGACTCTGTCTGCATTGACATGCAAAACAAAATGTCAGAGAAAATCTAGAAAAAGGTAATGGTAAAATTATTATTACATGATTGTCAATAGATCAAGTAAGTCCAAAAGCAGCAAATGATCATTAAATTAGCGGAAAAGACGACGAGCACAACAACCAGAAAAACGGTTTCGCACACGGAACAGTCAACTTATGATGATAATAAAGATATCATATGGCCAACTGTTGTTGGTATTTTTGTAGCATTGGCATTAGGATGGATGATATGTCGATATAAATGTTCATCGAATGAAAGATCTCCACACATTGTTCAATGCTGTCCAACATCGTTATGTAAAAAACTTCGTTCCTGTTGTACATATATTTTTGAGTAAATGATTGAAAAACATTGATCTTTTGTTTATTAGAAAAACTTTTCGAAGTCTGTGTAGATTTAAATCGGAACCACAACAACGACAACAAAACTCAACATCTGATTTACGATTGACATCAATTCGCGAAAGGTAAAAATGAATTTCTTCATTCGGTATTCTTATTCAAATCTTTCTCTCGTTCAGATTATCAAATACAAGTACGTTGGAAGTTCCAATTCTAACCAATAACATTCTAAATCATCGCCCATCGATTACACAATCTTATTCTTCTCAATGGCCTCCAACGTTTCTTTCGAATACTAATAATCAGGGATCATCGTTACCATTATCGATAACCGTTCAATCAATAGACGATCATTTAGAACCTAAGCGTCATCCATTACGTCGAGAATCGTTATTACCTGAGGCAGAACAGGATAATGAAAGACGTGATTCTGCTGCATGGCCATTTCCATCAGCAAATATGATCTTTCATAATCAAACGAATGAAATCAAAAAGAATCATTTATTTTTTAATACGTAGAACTTCTTCGAAAATAAATCACACCTGGAATATTTCAAGGCAAAACAATTTGTTTCCATGAATACACATGTCGTTCGTTGAAAACAACATGTCAAGAAAGAGATTTTTCTCGTTCGACATTTCTCTGATCTTCATCAAAGTGAAAATATTGTGGTTCGATCATCAATATAATCGATTCTTTCGCCCCTTAATCGAACTGAATGAAATATGATCAAGAATTGCATGTGCATTGTTGCTTCTCCAGAGAATATCATTGATTCTTTCTTTTTTCTCTTCTTCTCCCATGTGTGTTAACACATTTTCTGTATTGAACAGAGAATTTCTTCGTCGTTCTTTTGCTCTATATTAATCATCAGTATCGAGAACAGAAAGAAACATACAATATTTCCAATAGAAAAGGAATTTGACCGTTTCAATGTTCATTCGTTTACTCTCTGTTCTTTCGATTAGACAACCATCATTCTCTTCAATTACAATGTGTTCACCCCTCTCTTACTAACAAGCCTCGATCATTCAATTGAACTATCTGCCAAGTACAACGCTTGAATCACATTGACTGTTGGGGCATTTTTTTGACCTGTCCTCTAAGTGAAATTCACAAATGGATTATTCATTATCACAATTACAGGAAATGACTGCCTATCAGCAAGAACAAATTAAACATAATCAACAATTGTTGGTGACACGCGAACAGCGTTTGAAATATCTGAAACAACAAGAGAATCTCTGTTACAAACAGCGTTTTGAACAACGCGAAATGAAACAAATACGTTTGAAAACACTTCAGTATCAATTGAATCAACAACGAAACTCGAATTCGACCTTCGGTTAGTTGTAAAACAGTACAGATGTGAACTTACATCGATAGAATTCTTTTTATTTTGCAGAGCATGAATTGGACATTCTGAGAGAAGTCTTTCTGAATAAAGAAGAAGAACTGAACAAATTGGTACAAAAGATCGAAGAACTAACGAAACAACTCGAACAAATCAAACGATTGAAACTAACAGCAAGTAAAGAACAATCACAAAATAAAAATGAATTAGATAAGCTAAAACAAGAACTATTGGTAAAATTTCAGTCTTTTTTCAGTCGAATAAACACGAATCTTTTTAGATAAGAAATAAATTAAACGAACAACAAAATCGTCAAATAACATATCAACGCAAATTCTATCGGAGTAAACAAATGGAATTGGATCAATTAAATTCTCGTCTCGAAGAACTTCAACAACGTTTAAAAACGAAAAACTCCTCTCAGAATCAGTCAAATCGATTCCAAACCGGCTTAGATCATGTACAAAGCACATTGAACAATATAAACATCGCTGCAATAGAAAAACGAATGGTACAACTAGCAAACTCATTCAATTTGATTAATACAGATGATCACGATCAATCCAACACTGAAACAAAAACGATTAACTCTCCCAAACCACCCTCACCGATTCCAACAAGTTTACCCATTGTTCTCAATGAACCATCAGTCGAATGTGAACCAGCAAAATCAGAAGAACAACTTCTACCAGCTAATCTTCGTTTGAATGATGACATACTCTCAGTTCATTTTAATAATGTTACATCTAATGCCAAAAAACGTCATTCTTTATCAGACTCAAACGATTCATTGATGAAATCTCTTCCACCGGATGCTACACAGCAGCCAATTTATGTTCGCGACGAGTCTGCGTCGACAATCCTCGATTATGAAAATCTTTCGGACTTTCAAGGTAAATCAATTCCCGAAAAAGAAGAAGAAGAGGAAGAAGAACATAAGGAGAGAACGATAAGGGACTCGATGGCCTCTGATACGGAATCTGAAGGTTCTCTGACTGATGATGATGATGTTGCATCGACACTTTCGTTTCCAATGATTATCTCCACGTCAGAAACACAACGGAAATCACTACTAAAAACGGCCACTACCCCAAAGAACACTTCAAGACGAGTTGTATTTGATCCATTAGCCCTTCTCCTCGATGCAGCAGTTGTTGGCGAACTCGATCTTGTGATAAAATCTGCTAAAGAAGTTCGTATGCCTTCCCATTCATTTTTCCCTTCACTTTTTTCAACTGGCACCGTAGGTCAAAGATCCAAGCGAACCAAACGACGAAGGTTTAACTGCCCTTCACAACGCTGTCTGTGCAGGACACATCGACTGTGTGAAATTTTTGGTTAAATATGGTTGCGATGTAAATTATCCTGACAATGATGGATGGACGCCACTGCACTGTGCTGCATCGTGTAATCATACAGAAATTGTGGAGCTTTTAATTGCAAATGGTGCTTGCATTTATGCTACAACTATTCGAGATAATGACACTGCTGCTGATAAATGCGAAGAAGACGAAGACAATTATACGAGTTGTTCGCAATATTTATTAAGTAAGATGGAATAACGGAACGAAAGAAAAACGATCGTTTTCTGTGTTTTGTAGAAATACAGAGTGATTTAGGAGTGATTAATGATGGACTCGTGTATGCATTGTATGATTACCAGCCAAGTAGCGATATGATTGATGAACTTGAATTTAAAAGCGGCGATCGATTGAAGATCATGAGACGAGAAGATGAAAAGGAATGTCAATGGTGGTGGGCAAAACATGACAAAACGGAAAAAGAAGGATATGTGCCACGAAATTATCTTGGGGTCAGTGTGAAACGAATAGGAACAGTTTTCACATGATATTTATTTATTCATTTTTAGCTTTATCCTCGAGTACAATCTGAGTTAACTCCATTGACAAATAGTTCGTGAGTGTAGTGTTATTCAACGTGTTTTTTGCCGCAGGTTCTGCTTTTGTCACGTAAAAGAACAAATGCTTAAGTTGGTTTCTTTTAAAAGTTTTAATACTGCGTAATAAATAACACAAAACAATCAACAAAGAGAAATCGGAAGAGATCGATTTGTTCATTTCTCATCAATAGTAGAATTCTTTGTCCTTCTGGAACGCGTGTTATCGACTGGTCGTCGAGTAAACGCATAGTACGCTGGTTGAGGTGCTGAATCCATACTCGACATTGGCGTACGATGTTCGACAAGCACAGCATTCGTATTCGGTAATGGTCGTTGAACAGAAAAAGACGCCGATTGTACCTTTGGCCGATGAGTTGACGCCACTGGAAGGATAGTTTCAGATGGTTTAGGTTCTACAGATTGAACACGGCGTCGTATTCGAAATGTTCTTCCTGGAGCATTGATCGATGTTTGTGAGGCATAAACGTCTGGATGATCTAAACCATATTCATCCGTAGGTAAAATAGTGACTGAGTTATTCTTATGCCAAAAAGTATTCGGATGATTTCGTTGCAGAACAGGATGATGAATTTCATCTGGCGATGGAATCGACGTGCCAAGGGAAGACGAATCATCGTTGTCAGCATCATTTGTGGAGGAATGTGATCGAAAAGGATTCGATACTTGTAGATCATGTCGAGAATTGGGCGTTGGTGTTCGTAATTTAACTTCTACTTGTTCGTGAAAATTCACGGATTTATTTCCAAATTGATTCTCTTGTCTCGTTATTGGTGGTCGTTCATTTTTCGCTCGAGAACTTTTCAAAACACTCTTTACATGTACAGGTGTGACTGATGATCTGGTATTAACAATCGACGTAGGAGTTGTCCGCGTTTGTTTACAACCCATGAAGAATAATTATTGATGAGACTTCAAACCGAAAATTTGCAGAAAGTTGGCTTTTGAAAAGAAAGATCAACTTACTGGTAATTCCTGTGTTTTCGTATTTCGACATGAAAACGTCTAAACTGTTACGAATCGGCCGTGATTAAGTGGTGTGATGAAGGAAAGAAAAATGATTGCTTCATCGTTTGTTTTGGTGATGATTACAAACAAAACCGAAGAGAAGAAAAACGGCAGAACGAAAGTGTCGATTAATTCGTGACAAGAATGAAAGAAAAACTTCTCAATGGCAGTCAAGTTGCTTTCTGTTTTACTAAGTGGTGAAAAAAATATTAACAGGTTTTTCTCTCAAAAGGAAAAAGAATGTCGAACGTCAACGATACGCGGCGTTAAAAATTCAGCTCGAAATCGCTTCTTTTCGATTTGTCAACTTCTTCTCGTTCTCCTACGACACAAATGAATCATCAACAACTAGATCACCATTTGTTGAAACAATGGATGTCAGTAACCATCGCTATGCATCGTCTCCGTTAATTACAAATTCTTATCCGATGGTATCGACACCGAAATTCACACTCGATTCGAATTCATCGCTGAACTTAAGTCTTCTAACTGATGATCGATCGACGGAAAATGTCACTGAATCATTCGTGACGACGTGTTCAAGTTTACAAACGATTTTATCGCACATGCAATTGAAATTAGCTACTGTGTTTCTTCAAGAAACGGAATATCTTCAATCCCGTGAACAACACTTACAATTTACGGAACAATCGATAGGAAAACGTGTTGAACAAATCAAATTTCTTCAAAATCAACGTCAACAACTCGAACATGACTTCGATCGGATTAAAATTCGGTTGGAGAATGCTGTTATTCAAATAACTAATTTTCACATTCACGGTGTAAGTTCAAATTTCAATTTGAAACCTTTTTCATCGTTTTATTCAGGCCAAAACCTTGCAAGAGCTGTTTTCTGACTCTTCACAACTTGACTTGCAAATATCCGAACTTCTATCCGAATCACTTGCTTCTCTCAATCGTTCTCGTTCACTAATTCGATCAACTACGAGTGATTTAACCACAAAATCTCACGAAATTCAGTCTGAATTAATCAAAAGACAAACTCTTCTTCGTCAAACGCAATCATCGGTACTCTTCATGCTTGAACAGATCAATACTTTGAATCAACTCAATACCGAACATGTCGGAGACGTGACAATTGCTTCAATCGATTTTGAGAAACGATATCAGCAACTTCTTGATCAATGTGAAACAACGCAGATGAATTGGGACATAAAAAAGGAATTTGATGACGTACAAAGATTGGAAAAAGAAAAAAAACAATTGGAAAAGGATTTACTCGAACAAACAATTTTACTTGAGAATATTTCAACGATTTTAGATAAAACAATTATGAAATAGCGTTAATTCGTCTAAAAGCCTTGTATAGTTTCAATAAAACTTCGATTTGTCATGATAATATCAATGATACATTGCTCGATTTCACACGTAAAGTGCAATGAGACGTGCACATTGTCTTTTCAAACGAATGCCTCATGAGATTCGAGTGAACTTCTATGTTTTCATTCGACGTTCATCACTTCTCATCTGATAGGGTGTTGTTGGAGTGCATTCGAAGTTAATTAGCTTCCCTAATGGAATAAATAAGCAGAAAGTTATATATCGGATGCCAAACATTAACAAAAGACTATTTTTATCCTTTTTATTATAAGAATGGACGGAAAATATTTTGTCAGAACAAATAATATTTTCTATGATTTCATTTTTTCAATTATTCATCAACTAAAAAAGTACAAATAACTCGTTCCAGTAAAAAAATCAGATTACTAATCTCCAACAATGGATATACAAGGTTTTTCTCAAACGTATTGGTATATCTGGTCTGTGTTAAAAACGCTTTAGAAACAAGAAAACGACAATTTATTTATGTTCTTAGGTTCATTATAGTTCTATTTATTGTATCTCTTGTGTTAGTCAATGGTGTTGGCGTTTATCTTTATCGTAAAAAGCGACGAAAGTTTCTTCAACAAACCAATCGAATCGACAACGAGATTCCGATGCGAACGTCGTTGAACTCAACATCATTCAAGCTGAGTAATCCGAGTTATGGATCTATGTCGACATTATCTATTGGAAAACGTCCTTCCAGGTGTACTAATAGTAAAGTGCACCCTTCACGGGATGTGAAAATTTCAACAATTCATGAAACTGTGCGAAGTGATCAATCAGATTCATCGTTCTCATCCTCGGATGAAGTACAGTTGAGTTTAGAAGAATTTCAACGACAAGCATTGAAAGAACACAACAATATCCGAACTATTCATAATAAACCATTGATGAAATTAGATCAATCTTTGAATCTTTACGCACAGGTAAAGTAAAAGTCGAAGAATTTGGTTGTCTACCAGCTGTTTTTAGTATTGGGCTGAACGATGTGCTCGAGCGAATGTGGTCATACCTTCGAAACTCGATTGGCGTATGCATTGTAAGGGAGAACTTCTCGATGAAAGTCTCGTTTCCATAAATTCGACTGAAATTCTTGATGGTAATGCAAACACTTCGATTTCTTCAACCTCCTCCTTCTCATCTTCCTCTTTCAGGATCACGATTTACTTATTTACTAATGTCAAAAGGCAATCAATCACATGAAGTTGATTGTATATTAAATGAATTAAGTACCGAAGTTGGTTTCGGTCGTGCGAAAAGTCATCCGAATGATCAGACACAAACATCACAATGGATTGGTGTCGCTCATTATTATCCGTGTCGTCAATTAACGACAGTGCAATCTTAGGCACAGAGACAACAAGACGAAGAAGAAGAAAAAAGACATCGGATCATTCGAGCGAAGAGAAAAAGTAAAATTAAGAAAGAGAAAAAGAAAACGAAAGGAGTTGATTAGTTCGTGTAAATGATCGTTGTGAATAAAGAAGAAGACGTCGATGAATTTTGTTTGATATAAATATCATAAAACGAAAGAGAGAAAAAACGGTAGGTTTAAGCTCGAATTCCTCTATTTAGGTTTTAGAATCTCAATTCGATATGAACTACGCATCATCATTTTGGTACTGTCGTACTAAAACTCGATAAAAATGAGAGAATATTTTGTTAATATGATTCTTCATTTACCATCAAATACAGACACATATCTGTATCTTATCATCTATAAATGAACATACACACATTTGGTTTGTTTTTTTGATCAAGATGACAATGTGCTTAATTACAGACATCTTTCAATAATGATGACGTTTTGACATCTATAATGTCGTATTCGATCAAGATCAGAGCTTGTGTCAAATTAACATCGAATAATAGACGTCTGTTGATAGTAAAGGATTTATGTTTTTCAATGCGAATCTTTCGCTTATGTTTTCCCATCATAATCGATAAGTCATTAGAGGATAATCAATTCATCATTTGTCTCGTCAAACAAAATAATCTCTTTATTCTTGTCTCAATTAGAAAATGCGTATCAAAGCGATGCTCGTGGTTACTATTGCACTTTTCATCGCCATACCTGGGCTAATTCTTCACCTGGTCGCATTGTAAGTGTTTTCTTCTTGAAATTAGTCGATTATTATCGAGATTTTAGATTCGGCAAACGTTGGATTGTATCAATACCACGGAAATCACGTGGTCCAAACGAACAAACACATTATTATGGATTATGGACACGATGCCAATATTCTAATACATCATTTGTTATTCCAGATATATCTTCTCAACCAAACATAGAAAATTTTGTTTGTCGTCCTAATACTTATCTACGTTATGATACTTCCAATATTGACATAAGCAGAAAATGCTATGAAAGTCGTCACCAATGCTCATCGATTGTCGGTGTTCATTCCGAATGTCGATGCGAATACTTGAGTGTAACAAAAATACAGCAATGGTGTTCGATTCTAGCAGCTGTGTTTCTATGTCTCGCAATTTTCACGTTGTACCTTCGAATTATAACAACAGCAGAAAATGGTTTGTTGTGAATATTCATTTGTCATGATATTCGATTAGTTTCTCATGTTTTTAGCCATTGCTGCACGAATTTTAATATTCGTACCTGTGATAGCGCTCAGCTTAGCACTGATATTGATGATTGTTACTATGGTACTTGTCGGAGCTTTTCTGAGACGTCATGAATACGAAGAATATGATGTAAAACTACCTAAGGAAGTTCTTCGAGGAGTAAGAATTGAGCCAGAAATGGTTAATTATTATCGCCTGAATGCTTTCTTCAAAAACAATCCGGGTAATTCAGTTCCTTAATCATTTCGTATGACATCAAATCCTATCTCTTCTCGTTTAGATGTGAATTTACGTCGTTATGTTATTTCCGCGTTTAAGTCTCTCCATAGGGAACGTTATTATGCTCGTATTGATTGGTCAGCAGGTGCCGAAATTGCCGCTATCGTCTTAGTATTTCTTGGGCACTTAATAAGTGTGTTTTTAGCTTTCAGACAAGTTCAATGAGGAACTTGTTTCAATCAATCTTACCTTCGATCGCACGTCTTTTTTTTATTGATTTCACATTTTGTGTCTTTCTTTTATCTACAATATGTTTTTGCTTAGCACTTTTCTTTTCTCGTTGTTTTTGTTGTTGTTGTTGGCGCTCCGATGCTCCGATAATAAATAAGTTCTTTTCGTGGTACATATCCAATTATCCTTTTTATGTCGATTACTATCTGTTTTCGGTACAAAAACATTTTCAATTCTGTTGCTTTGTCTATAATGTTTACACTATGGTTGGTTTGTATTTTGAGAGAAAAAGATAACAAACCACTGGCAATTGTGGTTGTGTGGGACGATGCCAAACGAACTATTATTTCTCTTTTCTTTCTTATTAAATTGTCCTCTCTTTCTCCTACAGACCAACAGTCTTCTGTATTCCATTTCCTCTTCTTCTCTCCTCTTCTCTCTAACCGACCTATGCATGCGAATGTCGATGCATGTTTGTACTGCAGTATGTAACTATATACGCATATCTACATTTTCAATGAATTGTGTTGTACGCGCACTCGTTCGTATCCTTATGCGTTTTTTTTACTCGTGAACTCGATCAGACGTGTTATGTACAATGCAGAGTTAATATTTTATGGACGACGAATATACGTACACTGTCTCGCCGTTCTTTTTCTCTATACATATTGATTATCATCAATAAAAAAAAAGCTCTTCGTGAACAAAGAGAAAAACTCTCATCGATGCGCTTTTGTTTTGTATCAATTGTTTATTCATGATCACACATCGAATAAACAGAATCAAGTTAGCGAGACGTAGCCGAATTGACGATGATTAGAACACATCGACGTATTGATCCCTGATCGTTCTATTTATTATTAGAATCATTTTAGCACTGACATCCGAATGTATATTTTTGTCTAGGGATATATGAGATGATTCATTTAACAGATACTTTCGGGCAATACTCTGACCTATATCTACACTGGACATAGACGACTAATAGAGCCATTTATTCTTGTGTGATATTGAAAAGAGAGCTCAATTATCCCTTTTTCAGATATTTATTTACTGATTTTTGTATTCTTATCAAATCTAAAGTAAGTAAATACACCGAAATTTTACATTCGATCAAGTAGAGTCGTTTCGAATTAGATCATGCGAATTCGTGGCCTTATGCTCGTGTCAATTATCCTTCTGTTGGGTATCATTGCATTAACTCTTCATTTGTTAGCTATGTAAGTGTCAAATCTTGATTAATTTGTTGTTTTCTTGAATTCCTCATTTCAAGGTGTTCTTCTCGATGGAAAATAACTAAACGAGATCGAGATCCAGCTATGGGACCAGTTAGCTATGGTCTTTGGAAACGTTGTGAATTCATCAATATGACTATAATCAAACAAGGTATTGCGCTTGGCGTTCGACCTAATGTCGAAGTGTGTCGACCTAATCGTTATATGCGATTTTCTCCGGACAAATTCGATACATGTTATTATATCCATCGTCAATGTCCAGTTATGGAAGATAATCAATTACCTGAAGGCTGTTCGTGTCGATATTTACCTTCGACTAAAGCTTTACAATGGTTGACAGTCTTAACAGCTATATTTCTCGTTGCTGGGTTACTTTTAATCTATTTACGAACCATCACCACGCCACAAAATGGTGAGAATTTCGATTTTATTCTCGAAAATCATCATTATTGTTCTGTTGTAGAAAGTGCGAACTTAATATTCAGTTTTGGTCCATTCATTTTTTTTCTTCTCGCCTTTCTCTTAATGGTCACAACTTTAATCCTCGTTGGTGCTTGTTCGTATCGTCTTTATATCAATAAATACATCTCAACGAGCTTCTCTGTTTCGTTATTTAGATCTTCGACGAGACACTTATGAAGATTACACGTTTCCATTAAAGACAGTTGCTAATTTCACAGGCCGTCCTCAAGCATTCGATTTACACAGTCTTCGTAATTTTGCCAAACATAACAGTAAGATAATTATTGTAGGAAAACAAAGTCTATTGTCGGTTTTGATCCTTTTAGAAGAAAGATTTTCTCATGACGCTTATGTCAGTGCTGAAAGAGAACTACGTGACGATGCGAATATGACTTATCATACGAATATTGGCTGGGCAACTCGTTTTGAAATTCTTGCTACAGTTTTAATATTTATCGTTACCGGAGCGACATTTTTACTTGGCTCAATGTTAAGATCAGACAGTACTTAAAGAAAAACAAACAGCGACTTTCTTTTGGAGTTTTCAAGCCTTCATATTGAAGACCTTGGATTTTAATTGATTATAGTCACTGTGTGTTGTCGAACAGAAACGGTCTGAAATTTGTTTTTACCCATTTCACATAGAATTCTTCTGTTTTCTCACGTTTTTCTTCCTATGAAATCTTTACTTTTCTTATTCATATTCATCAATTGACGTGTCGTAGCAAAACTTTGCTTTTTCTCATCTATGCATCAAATATATACACTTCTTTGATTTCACTTATTAAACCGAGAAAATGAATCTCTTAACAAAACATCATTGTTTGTGCTAAAGATCATTATGAACAGATTGATTAGCACAATTATTAACCCATCAAATCGTCTCCAGACTAAAGATAGATTTACATGATGTTCTTGTTATCATCGCTGATTGGATTACTCAGAAATATATGAATCGACTATTACTGGCTGTGTAAGTAAGTGGAGCAATCAACGAGATATTCAACGTAAAAGTCGTCTGTTCACTAATCAATGAGATATGTATCTGCGAATATTTTAAGGAAATTATTAACAGTTGATCGTCTGATCATTTATCTGAATAGAAAATTGCTTGAAAGTCATCCTTTGTTTGTGATTTCATCATTTAAAGAAACATCGATCATTTGATAACACTTATCCAATCAAAGTCTATTTAACTGTAAACAAATATTTGTATCTGTCTTATTGAAAACACAAAAGATTTAGCCGGACTTTATTTATTTCCATAAATATCCTCTAATTACCATCTGCCATTCAACTAATCGTTTCAACATACGTCGAACAACTGTCGATCATTCTTTCATTAAAATACTTTTGTTTCACTTCGTATTTGTCTTATCAATTTTCATGTTCTTTGTATAAATATCGCCTCGCCCATCTTCTATTTCATACCGAGATTTTCTCACATCGATCAAACGCGTACTGCTTCACCTATTAAATATGCGTATATGTCAATTGATCTTAATCTTAACATTTGTGGCAATCGTGGCGGAAAGCTTCACATGGTTTCATCATTATCCGAACCGTATGAAACGAGCAACAACTAATGAATGTTGTGTCTCATCGAAAATAAACGTCGGTGCAAAAAAGGCGAACAATGGCCGAGATTTCTTCCGACGATTGGCGACTGAAGATGATGCGTATAAACTGATCACTCCTGAGAATATGTGTAATTTAATGCACTTTTTTATCCAACAGGCGTCATTAAACAACAAATCGATAACATTTACAAAAGGTAGCGATTTGCAAAAGCAAATTCTTGATGATGATCGATATGTTTAGGAATGTTTGTTGTATTCGATTCAACGAATAAGATCTTTGAGAAGTTTATGGAAGCGAAAGCCCAACAAAAGTCCGGTGACGGAGCTAAACATGCTGGATATCTCAAGCGTTTGAAACATATGGGCTCTCAAGCTATTCATTCTTTAATTAAATCTTCGAAAAAATCACAATTAGTCGAGTCGGACACGTTTATTTATGTTCGTGGTGATGAAAGCTCCCATTTTCATAGTGAACGTGGTTCGAAATGGGATCGAACACGCGAATATCCAGCTTATGGAATGGATATCCCCGGTGCTTGTACGTATTTCACAATCGTTGAAATCTCTCTTGAGAACGAAGCATTTCTCATCTTAGGTTTACCAAGTGGCTTTGGTCACATACTTTTCGGTGAACTTCCAGCTATTCATAGTGATGGCAAGTATGCTGGTGAGCGCATTTACATTAAACCAGAGTTCTTCGGCATTCGACAATTGAAAGATTTTGTTAAACATACGCAAAACTACTTCTCTCATGTTTCACGACGATACGTATGTCAATTGAAAGATATGCAAACGAAACCAGGCTGTTCGAAGGAGGAAGCATTTCGTGAAAACATCGATAAGAAGTTTTTGGATCTTTGGAAGAAAGTTCTAATGACTATTCCGACGATTTGGAATGTTGATGATCAATATATGAAAAATGCGACGAAATTCGGCATCGGAGAAATTTATCGACAAGTAAATGAATTGAAAGCAAGCGGCTACGATGCAAAAGTCAAAGATTTTCGTGAAAAAATGCTAAAACAATATGGTGAAGATGATATTACTGTACGAAAAGGACGGGAGATAATTTTTACAACGAAGAAGTTGCTTGAAAGTCCATTAACATGTGAATTATTAAGCAAAGTGAAAAAATGTTAATTTTTGCCTTCAATAAATATTCATTAGTTTAGATTATCAAGATTTGTCGATGAAAAAGACGAGAAATATGTTTTAATCTTTTTATATTTTGGATTTTTTCATACAGTTTAACTCGAAAAACAAGTAGTAATATTGAAAAGAGATTCTGTAGAGTAAAATATTGAGAAATATACAAATAAGAAGAGAATAAAATTTGTGTATAACGCTTCGTCATCTGTGCATATGAAAATATCACCAAAAACCTATTTGTCCGATGTTCGTCCCGAAAAATTCATTTGATATTACACATACACAACCTAAGAGAAAACGAATTCGAGGTGCGACACAAATTAAATCAGCGATTCTTACTCGGTTACGTTCCACGGACAGGATTTAACGGCCAATCAAACCTCCGTACCATGGATAGGCTCCATATAGGTATGGATAAGTGTAGAGAGATGCAAGGTATCTAAATTTCAAAAGGCAAATGGATATTTTATAATAAAAATTTTCTTTTGAACACTTACGGGTAACCTAAACCGTATCCGAGTCCAAATCGGCCTGAAAAATATTCAAGTAGAAGTTTTAAGAGAACGAATTTCTCGATATTTACCGAAAAAGCGAGCTTGAGAAACTGTTGCGAGAACGGCAACGAGTAAAGCAAGAACGATTAATAATTTACCGAGCATTTTAATTGAAAATCTAACGAGAAAACGTTTGAATTCGAAAACGAAAAAATAATTAACTTACTGAATTTAAATTCGTAGAAAGAGGGAAGTTTTTCTTGAAACGATTGAAGCGATGTGAAGATTCTTTGAATTTCATGTGCCTTTTATACGCAGAAGCCACCTCCCCTCGGAACTCGAACGATCGATATCATCGATCGATTAGAAGATATATCTTTCTCCCTCGATCAAAGAAAACACCATGTAAACGATCTACTTTTTCACTCAGAACGCAAAGAATGATATCTATAGTTCGATATAAGTCTCTTTCGCTATGTATGTGTGTCACCCTGGAAGAAAAGATAAAGAAAATCCAGTCAACGGTACTATTAAGTGAATGTATTCATAAAAAAGTATCGGCAAATTCTTTTTGCGTACAGATCGAACATCTGTGTAGAGAGAAAAGAAATTGATGTTAGTTGTGATCAAATAATGTGTTTTTCGTAGGACCTTTACTAATCCAATCGATAAATAACTTCAGTAAAGCTTTTTCTTCAGCTGATAAGTGAATACTATCATTAAATAACAAAGAAACATAGAGGTCATTCTAAGCTTTTTGATTCAAGTGCGTCAACAACGAAAAAATAGCGTCAGAATGCAAGAAATCCTTGTCAATCGGTGCGAAGTTTTGGAAGAAAAGAATTGTACTGAAAGTAAATATTGATCTATGATGAATGTTAGTGTATACCATGATATATAAAGAAATAGAAAAAGTAGGACAGACAAGACTATGCAGAGTTTTGTCATTAACGTTATTTTTTTTCTATTTGCGATCATTTTATGTCAGCATTTGGCACGATCAGGTAGAATATCTATAATACAGCATGCTATAGACAATTGACTTGTTTTTAAAGAACGTCGTTGCCGATGTTTGTCATATGATAAGAGTTGTTGGCCAAATTCTTCCGCATGGCAAACATTCAACGAATCGGTTAATGGACAGCTCGTCTCAGTTCGACCATCTGCGGCTCCTTGTAATTCAAATCCGTTGAATGTCGAGGCATGTACCACAGCTCGACAGCAATGGAGAAACGCTGTTTGGCGAAGCGATCAGCCTGGCGCAATGCAAAATCATAATTGGGAAAATAGTTCATGTTCAGTATTCTATAACAGTACTTCATGTCATCAAGGTTCTGTACCAATCTTAGCAGTGAATGCCACATTGCCTGAACATGTCGAAGCAACTATACGATTTGTTGAGAAATACAACTTACGACTTGTTGTGAAAGCTACAGGACATGATTTTTTTGGTCGATCCACAGCTGTCGGATCGTTACTTCTTTGGTTACATCATATGAAAAATCGTACACTTATACCGAAATGGTCGTCGTGTCGAGGAGAGACTTTCGAAAATGTGATTCGTGTTGATGCAGGTGTGCAATGGGGTGAAGTATATCGATGGTTAGCAACATATAATCTAATTGCCATTGGTGGAGCATCGGCTACAGTTGGTGCTACTGGTGGTTTCTTACAAGGTGGTGGTCATGGTCCGCTAACACCTTGGAAAGGTTTAGCTGTCGATCAAGTTCTTCAGTTCGAAGTCGTCTTAGCTGATGGACGTCGACAAATAGTAAATTTTTGTGAAAATCCTGATTTATTCTGGGCGTTACGAGGTGGAGGTGGTGGAACATTTGCTGTTGTTTTATCAGCTATCTTACGAACTTATCCAACACCATCGATCGTCGGCAGCTATCAAGCAGTCTTTCCACCTACAAATAGTCGTTATGCCGATTTTCTCCATCATTTTGTACGATCATTACCAGCATTATCTAACATGGGATGGGCTGGCTACTTTTATTTGACAGCGAAAACGTTTACACTTGCATTCCTGTCACCGAACGGTAATTATTCCACAGCATACCAATCAATGCATCAATTATTTCATAATTTTTCCGATTTGAATTTTACGGAACCATATGTGTTTACATTACCTACATTTTTGGATTTCTTTTCTGCTCTGATGGAGGCCACTAATGAGAATGGTGACAACTTTATCATGGGCTCTCGTCTTCTTCCTGAAGCAATCATTCGTAATCAACCACAGCAAGTAGCAGATGCATTTCTACGAATTATAGATAGTGAACAAGACCTTCTCGTTGGACATTTCACTGCTGGTGGTAAAGTTTCAGATACAACACAGAACAACAGTGTCAATCCTCTGTGGCGTACAGCACTTTTACACATGCTTTCTGCACAATTTTGGCTTGATGAAACACCCATAGAAGATCAAGTCGAACTAGCTAAACGTGTGACGCAAAATGTCGGAATTTTACAAACTGTTTCGGGAGGCGAACAATCCGGTGCGTATCTCAATGAAGCTGATCCAAATGAAGTCAATTGGCAGCAAAAATTCTTCGGTACACGAGAACATTATAACCGACTAAAAACAATCAAAGATCGAGTTGATCCGAATGGATTGTTTGTTTGTAATAAATGTGTCGGCAGTGATGACTGGACGGAAGATTTAAATTGTCCAAATCCGAAACGATCGATTGCAAATAAGCACAACTTGTTTTTACCACTTGTCTTAATTGCAAAATTCCTTCTATCGTATTTTAAAATCGATGCTTAAATAAATAGCGTATTTTTGTGACGCACAGACCAAATTCGTAGAATGTAGATGTGTGGGTTGCAACAGCGGAAGCTTGAATGTTCTCGTTTATATGCTCGAAAGTAAAAAGTTCGAAGGTACTTGAAATGTATTTTTATTTCATGATGAATAAATTATCACAGAACTACAGTACTTTGTTGTAGATTGCTCTTCCTGGTGAATCGATAAAACAGGTCTCGCAATATCATTTTTTGCTAATCAAGATGATCAAGATATTCCCGACGAAATAGAAAATGATCTCAACATACGAATCAAACAAATGACGGACGAGATCGATGTTGTTACCACCAATCAGGATTTCACCCAGGTTGAACAATCCGGCACGGAAACGGCCGGTTCCGGTGACCGGATTTATCTGGTTTGGCCCGGAACCCATAGGAACATGTCAAAAACGGTAGCCGGAAACGGTTACCGCATTTCTCCATCGAATTCTTGGGATTTTCTGGGTGGGTTCCGGTCAGAAACGGCGAGTTTCCTCAAGGATTTTGTCGAAAGTTCATGGAATCCTGCTTCAGGAACCATTGTCTTGGGCATGTCGTAATACTCACTTAATTCCAATCATCTTTTTTGTCTTTAGTCGCCAATCGTTAATTGTCTGCTTTATACCTCCACCACGTTTACATGAAGTTTTATTTAGTGATGAATAAATTATCACAGAACACAAACAAATAGATAAATGAAATTATAAATCATCTGCATCCAGATTTGTTTTCATCAAAGACATCATTGATGTTCTCTTCAATGTTGGTTGTGGTGGTGATGGTGGAATATCTCTTGGATTCATATACAAATTCAATTTTCTTGATGGAATATCTTTGAAATAATTCGGCGAATCAAAACTTCGAAATTTCATTGAATTCTGATTAGGATTTGATAAAGTTGTGAATGTATCGGAGTCGATCGCTGTATGTGGACTTGAGGATGAGTTAGATGTTGATTCACGAAGATATTCCGCGAAGTTTCTTTGGTAAGATTTGGATGAGCTATATCGACGATTGTATAATGCGCATACTGATAGGCTTAGTAAACAACCGAAGAGAAACGAGATTAAACTGATGAAGAGCGTCTGAATCAATGTGAATCGATATTCATCGAAAAAAGGAGAAATGAAAGGACATGAACAGGCGCGTTCTTCACGCGATAGACCAGCACAAGAATTTGTTAAACATAATCTAGTACGGTACTTCGTTGAATAAAATTGAAATGAAGTACACGCTGAACATTGCGACCAGTCTGACCAGCAGGACCAATTATTTTTTGAATGAGAAGGACAAATTGAACAGTCACGTTTCTCAATTTCTTTTCCAAAACACTGATTATTCATGCACTGTCGACGACGAGTCTGAACTGATCCAGCAGTACCACAAGATGGGTAACATTCTGAAAATCAAACAAAGACTAATACGAAAGAAGTGAAAATAATGAAGATACTCACGACCCCAATCGGACCACTGAGACCATTGACCAAGTGACTCTTTACAAAATACTTATATATTACAAATTTTATCTCATTTTTGATAGTGAACTAACCTTTTTCTTCACAATCGTTTCGTCCATTATCACAAACGCGAAACATAGTTTGATCCGATTTGATATCTAATACTGTTTGATTGACCATCATGGAACAAACAAAACGAGTACGTGATTCCATTATAATGTCATCACTACTGATTTCATTGTTCAATCCAACTTGTGTCCAATTACTCCAAAGTATTGCTTGTTCAACTAGAAAAGAACATTTCACGCGTGGATATTTCTTCGTTGTTCATTCGAAAAATCAACGAACCTGGACAAGGGAGTTGGTTACATGGACGAGTCTCTTGTAAACATTCGTGACACTTCTCATTATCAACTAAACAAGTTCGTGTTCGCTTTTGTATTCCTCCACCACAGGACTTCGAACATTGGTTCCATTCTTTATTACAAGAATATTGATTAATAAACAAAATCAGAAGAGTTTTGTTCTTACCACTCCAAGCACTCAATCGTGATGAATCACTTGAACAAATAATTTCCGGACACCAATCTTCTTCTCGTTCCGGACCAATACAAACTCGGCCATGATTTCTCGGTAAAGGATTTGTACAAGTTCGTGTTCTTGATCGAAGGAATTTACCACACACCTGAGGACAGTTACTCCAAGCACTCCACGGTGACCAACCACCGTGAACTAAATCAAAATGAAACACATCGTCTTCCATTCGCTTTGTTCTCTTACTTTCACATTGACTCATTTCAATACGTTGTCCTTGGCATAGAGTTGCATTCAATCGATCCTTTGCTTGTGTACATGTTCGTGTTCGGCATTGGCATTTCTCACCCGTCTCTTGTTCACATGAAAACCAATCTGACCAAGAAGTCCAGCCGTCATTACCTGAAATTGCTATTCATTTCTCTATTTTATCAACAATAAAAGATATAAAATACTGCCGTACTTATAATGTCGACATTTGGACATTTAAAACTTTCAGACGAAGTCATCAATGATGAAATCTTCGAAAATACACATTGTTGTCGAGCATTATCCCACGTACAGTAAGGATCCATGAATGCCGAACAAATTTCGTTGGTTTTCAATCGATCACAGCGTGCAACAGGTATCTTCAGGACAGAAATGTGAGTTGTAATGACGATTTCCTTCTAAAACACAAAATTTCTGGCGAAGTCCTTATCAAAATAAACTCACTGTTTTTGCTATCAACTCTGCTTTATTTATTTTCCAATTGTCTATCGATACCATCGGTGGTTTTAAATCAATTTGTTCTAATAGACATAATGTTTGATCAGATAGCAATGAATATTTTCTTAACCATAAACCGTCAAGAGTTATTACAAATAAAACCGTTATTCCGTTTAACTGATCAACTAACAAGTGACCAATATGAATATCATTCAATACTAGAGCATTGACTGATGATTGAAGAACACCTGATCGAAGGACAGGACCCAATGGTGTCATTGACTCATCTTTCAGTCCACGTTCGTCACACTAGAGAAAGATATACGTGAATTCGTTCTATTTTCACTCACATTCACTGTGATCTTACGCTTTCAGTTTCTTGTCTTGCTGGTGATGGTAACCAAAACGATTCATTGGATTTTTGTGTCAAAAATGGTGATTTAAAGATATTTTCGAGTTCTTCAACTGTGTAAACGCAAATTGCTGATCCGAGTAAACCATGTCTGTAACAAAACAATTTGTCTAACAGGGAAATTTCACGTTGAAATTTTACTTGGGTAAATTGAATGCAGCATAGATCAAGTTCGACGATGAATCAAAGAAGATGGATTGCAATTCGTTGAAATCAAATGAAGTCACTTCATTCGATGATTTTTTCGAACATTGAATTCGTAATTTTGAAAAGGAACGAAATGTATCACTATACTTCATTGTACCATCATCATATTTACATATTCGTGCCACACGAGAGTAAATATTCTACATGATAATGAATTGAACAGGCTATTTTCTCGGAAAGACTGTCACTTACTGTTCCGCACGAAAGATGTTCAAGAGCAATTTCACGAAAAAATGTGTAAATATATTGTTTGATACTCAAAATTCGCACAAAATATGGATCTAATCAATTAATATGAACATCTAAACTATTCGTCGATTTCATCATACTTTTTAACCAATTTGAATCATGTTGTTGTGTTCGTAGTTGTTTTGTTTGACTGAAGCTCCGTTGAATCAATGAATCCTGAATGCCAAATACAGGTTCGTTATTTGTCGCAGAATAGAACTCTCCTATTCACAAAATTAATTCGATATTTCCTACGATAATGTTTACCTGTCTCAATTAGATGGTATACTGCTGTGTAGTGACTGTTAAATGGAGATTTTCCATCTCCTGAAATAAGATTTTCATTTGAAACCAATGTTGTCAGAGAATCTGATTGACGCCATGTACAAATTGGATGATAAGCATTCGTTCCACAAACCAATAAAGATCGATCACGAGGACGAAGTGCTAAAACACGAATGTAGTTTTCACATTCATTCTAAATAACAGAACTATGAAACAAAGCTTATTCAAAGAACGAAAATTTTACCACTAATTTCACTTGATTCCGACAGATATTTGCGTCGTCGACTTGCGATTCCCAGATGAATCTTTCCCGAACATGAAAATCATCCAAGGACAATCGAATGATTGCATTTCTAAAATCATCATTACAAAACTTCAGTCGAACTTCTTTCATGTAATTTATACTTTGCTCCAATAATGATCTGCTTTTGTTCTTCATCAACAACAATTGCATCAAATGCCTCATCGCCATTTTGATGAACTCTCATAGTTTGTAAAGACGCTGTAAAATAAAGATTTACTCATACATATAAACCAGTATACACACATACCATTATACGAAACGAATTGAAGTTCATTTTCGGCGATGATCGAGCAGATATTAACTAATAATAACAGATAAAAAACAACCATTTCAATCTAAAAGGCAGAAACAAAGTATTGTTGTACCGTAGCAAAACGCGCACGAAAGATTGACCTACGAAGAATAAGGAGAAATATGTTCTCTTCTGTTCTCTTTCACAAGGCAAAAGCGACCGTTTGTTTGAATCAATATTACTCTCTCTCTCTCCTCCTTGGGTAACGGAAATGAAAGGCAAACTCGGACTTGAACAATTCTAATGAATCAATATAATATTGAACGGTAAATGGTGAGTTATTAATTTGCATTAACGAAAAACAAATGTTTCGCTAAGATCATGAATAAAACATCTCCGCGCTGATTTCTCTCTATCTGATGAGTGAATTTCATCGAACAGAAGTATCTTTTCCTGTGAGACAAACATTCATGAATAATTGTTGGAAGATGTAGTTTGCTTATTCATCAATTAATGAACTTTGACACGTCGGCATCGACCATCTTTTGCTCGTTCTATGTGCAATTACGCCATACAGACGACGATTGTCAATGGCCATTATTGATTGACACAAAGAAGGAAACACTTGTTACATCATCTGATCGCATTTGTCAATGGCTGATTTAATGAACATATTGTCATTTAGTCACACTTTCTGCATCTCTCTCGATGAAATCTATCTGATTAAAATAAGTTTATTTTCTTTATCAATGTGTACATTACGTAAGTTAATATGTGCACTTCAAGTTCATTTGATTGACATGTACGAAGACAGTGAAATGACGTTGACTTTTTGTGTTGGACTATAATATTAAAAAAACTGATTATCAAGGAGAACACTTTTCTCTCCAATGACCTTCGGAAAGTTCACTGTGTGATTGACTTCAAACAATGAAGAAGATCAAAGACAATGGAAAGATTTCTGGTACACAAACTAATCTTCTTTGATTGAAGAAAACAATTGTAAACACAGATAGAAGAGGATTTATCGGTCATCGAGAAGAAAATTGTTCTGTAATTTGATCGTTGAATGATAAAACAGATTGAAATGTTAATCAATCGTGAGAATTGTTTGTATAACTTGAGGTGAGAAATTTCATATGGAATTTCTATATTGAAATGAAAAGCCTTGAACCAAATACGATCGATCATGGTGGTCAGTTGATCGAATTCAATGAAAATTATTTGATCCAGATAATCTGAACTGATAATATTTAGTTGATATTATTTTCTTTCATTTCTTTATTTGTTCCTCAAGCAGGAAACAGATATCAACATCGTCGATTACCTCTTCGCGCATGCTTCTAGTTTCAAAGGTCAGTAGAATATTCTCAAATAGTATTGAATAAAATAGAAATTTTGGTTTTGTACAAATCCTGTACATTTATATTTATGCAATTGACATGTCGGTAATAATCCAGCTTTTCCGGTAAAAAACATATACCAATGTATTGTGAAAGCTATAATGTCGATTTCAACTTGTAATCATCGATATTTTGAGCGGATAATCGCTACTTTTGCGTTCGCTCTCATAGATTTCGATATATATTCTATCACTTAAATTGCTTCACCTGTCTAACTGAAACAAAAGGACTCATTGAAATGACTCAAGCGATTGAATACAAACATTATGTTATAATTGACGTTTGAAAGCACTGCAAACATGATGGTCATTTTTTCGAAAACTAAATTCATCATAAAACAACTCAAAGGTATGTGAATTACAATTGAGATGGATTTTTGGTCGAATTGTTTCTGTATCTGTTTCAAAACTCGTTCAAGATTTTCGATATGCAATGTTTAATAGCATTTCATAGTCTACAAACAGGTGATACACGTTGAAAGAGAAGGCTTCATGGCTGAAATTAAAAAGCTTTGAATTGCCGATCCCACGATCATTAATTTCTCCTCAAAAATTTTCCCTACGACAGAGAATATGATGTGCAATATCTGAAATATCACAAATCCAGAGAACATGAAACTGACGTTGAGAAAACAAATCTGTATGAAATGCAAACGAATGTTTTCCCAAATCAACAATACACGAAAGATAAAGTTAAATAGAGCGGGTGCTAGTGTGATTCACTACGAACATCTTGATGCATGTTTTCTTTATTTGATGTATTCAAGCCAAAGATAGAATGGTATTTCAACAAACGTATTGATACCCTCTAATACGCTTATACATTTTCTGCTTACGAGTGTGTGAAAGGGAACGGAATAAGAGAAGAAAACAACGAAATAGTAGAAAGTAAAATAGACAAACAATAGTGAAAACGAATCATTGGTTTCTTCTCTCCATCTATATTTATGTGTGCACACACACATATATACGCATAGAAATAGATTATAATTCACATACAGATGTTCCTCTGTCGAAAACATGACCTAAGAAGGTACTTCTCTTCAGAGATTCGTTTTTTAAAATCTTTTTTAGATGACAAACTATCCGTCGCCGAAGTTTTCTGCTTGTCAAGTAAGTTGTAAAACAGATAAGTTTTAGAAAAGTAACCTGATACTCTAACGTTCGTTTATAGTCGATATGGACTGTATCGAAAGTTCCTACTTAGGTCAACAAATCCGATGCTGGATCGGATCCGACCATTCGACAAAATCCGATCGGATTCCTGGAAACGGAATTGCATTGGAATCCGACTAGAAAAATTCCGTTGGTTATTGCAAATGTTATGAGCGATCTTTTTAGCTATGTTCTATGATGACCCTTAGAAAATCCAGGAAATCCATGTTTCGGATCCGAGACCGTCGGAATCCAATGCGATTCCGTCACCAGGATTTCATCGGATCCGTCGAATTCCTGTAGGATCTGATAAAATCCTATATTGGATCCGAGTATGGGATTCTTAGACCTGGATAGTACGTTCATTTTTGTATTGTTTCTCTCTAGTTATTTCATGTGTTCTTTGGAATAGAAACTCGGAACCCATTGTTGGAAGCTATATTAAGTGTATTTTCTTTCATTAAAGTGCAAAGCATTTCTCCTGGCGATGCGCCACGAAATTTCTTTCGTTGTTTGATTCTTTCTTTTTTTCTTCCTTTCTTTATATCGTCCCTATGCACTAGTGTTGTCACGCGATCTCCAGGAAATAGATAGCGAGAAAGTGATCGAAACGGTAAATGAAAGTATCGACACCGTATGTATACAGTTGTGATTCAGATACTCCATTGCGAGCTATCAATGCGGTCTCAGAAATAGTCGGAAAACGCGTTTTTTCCTTAAAAATGTAAACTTTCAGATAGTGAAGGATGAAAACAAAGTCGCACGTCATTCTTTGAACACCTGTTTTATAGTTGAAATGCACTCGACGACGGAAAAGCTAGCAAGAAGATAGTTAATAGATCACATCAATATCTTTGTTTTCCAGCGATGAAAATAAGATTTGATAGACGCATCATAGTTGTAAAGAAATATGTCGATGTTTTGATTGCTAAGGATCGAAATCTCGCATTACTGAGAAACGAAGTCGCTGCGTATTTGGTGTCGTATTTAGACGAAGTCAAAATACTATCTAGTTTGTCATTATAGGGGATCAAGAAAAAATAATGTCGCTGTAGTTTCGTTGTTGATTGCTGGGAATGTATTTGACAGACGAGTAGTTGAACATTTGTTTTGTGATCAGTGTGAAGCTAGCACGAAGGAGCTAGCACGAAGAAACTGTGTGTAAGCTAAAAACTTTTTTCCCAAGTTTGTCCGGTTCATAAAACCTAGTCCATTCGATTCAGAATTTAATTTTGCATCGAATGGTGGTATTTTTATTCACCGGACAAACTTTGGAAAAAAGTTTAACCACATCGTTGTTTGCCTCATATAGGTCTATTTATGTTTCCGATAATTTTTTTCCAAAGTTTGTCCGGTGAATATCAATACCACCATTCGATGCAGAATTAAATTCTGAATCGAATGGACTAGGTTTTATGAACCGGACAAACTTGGGAAAAAAGTTTTTAGCTTACAGACAGTTTCTTCGTGCTAGCTCCTTCGTGCTAGCTTCACACTGATCCTTTTTATCATATGCTGTCTTGTTTCCATCACAACGAACGCATAGCATCGATAGATAGCGAACAGAAATCATCATATCCAGTAGACACCATTAACTATGTGTAAAGAATTCAATATTTCGTCCGTTGAATCAAATGATGTAAGTATTCGAGAATAGTGTGAAGCAAATTGTTTTTGAAGGAAAAGCCCAAGAATCTTGTGTAAGAATTTAATATAATTTCTTAAAAGCTTATTTAAGGGTGTAGTTTCGTAAACAACAGAACCATTGGGCGAACTGGCTGGTTCGTCAGAACGAACCAACAAATATTTTCATTAGTTTCATTTAGTACTAGATTGAGATCGTGACCCATTATATTCTTTTTCATTTCATGTCGTTCATACTTTCCTTCTCATCCTCTCTGTCATAAGCTCTTCTCTTCTCTTTTATCAAATTCTATATCGTTTCCATCACAACACACGTTGTATCATCGATTTGGAAATAAAATAGGCCAAGCAGTACTGAATGAAAAAGCGAAGAAAAATGTCTAATTATAGCACCATATTCGTTTTTGGATCTCAGTGAAGAACATGAATATTCGCTACAAAATGTTGAGACCGAGACGGCAAACGATATCGAAACAGGAAACGACATCCCAGATTATTATGGCACGGTCGGTTCCGGCCAGAATCCGGCGGCAAGGAACCTGCTGAAATCGGCGAAAACTGTGCCGGAATCGAGAAGAGCTGTACCGGATCCGACTCAGATTTCAACGGATCCAGTCGCCGGAATGATCGACCTGGAATCGAAGCAATTAAAACAGATATTTCGAAAATCAACGCCGAAATGACCAAACAACAGGGAACAATTACAAAAATTTGGAAAATTCTGGAGAATTTGGAAGAAATTTTCAAAACAAAATTAGACGTTCCTCGAGCAAACCTGGTAGAAAACGTAAGTTTAATCCTATTTCGACTTTCGGTCGTCCGGTGACTGCTTGTTGTTTATTTTATAGGTCGAACATTTTGATCATTGAGTTTTTTGTTTGTTTAAAATGAAAAACCTTGAATAAACAAGATTGATTCTACAAGCCGATGGATTGAATTCAATAGAGATTGTCTGAATCGATGGTACTCTTGAATCTATTAATAACTTTGTTGTGAATTGTGACTGTCACATACATCGGTGGCGTCGAATTTTTGATAGAAATGAAAACCTCAAAGTTCGAGATGTTCTCTGGTCAATACGCGCTTCTACGTTATACTTTTCACTGCTTGATGCCGATATTTTGCACAGAAGAAGACTTTTACTGTAAGCGATCGCGGAGTATATACGTGTGCATGTCTATGGTCATTCTCTATCCAACTCTGACCTGGCTCTATGGAATCTTTCGCAACTCTATGATCGAACGATCATCCTGAACATTATAGACGACTTTACAGCCTGTTTTCTTCACTCGAATGATGCTCAAGTCTTCATCGAGAACAAACCATGTATATATAGTCATGTCTATGTGTTGATGATCATAGGTTTTTCAATCCAATTCTGATTACTGCTGACAATCAACCACCACTGTCACATATACACAATGAATAAAAAAAAGATCAGAAAAAAAGTAACACTAGCCAAAGAAACGAAAAGGAAAGACATCAAGGATAGACAAAAAGAAGCGATAAAAACGACGAAGTATTTTCATGAACAACTTTCAAATGTTCTGTTTCTTTTTCTTCTCTGTTGTATACTGATCACATATAAATATAACAATAATGTATCAGTTGAACAATATCAGTGTATCACTGCGATTATTATCAATTGTTCACATAATTGCTTGGACGGATAACCGCTAGAAACGAATACAGACATGAGAACGATAATCGCCGAAAAATTCCACTTACCCATATGTTCAAAATATCTGTAATCGAATGTTGAGCTCGTAGTTTGAACAAGTGCGACACAAACATTGAAGAAACTTTATCAAACAATGGATGTTCATCTAAATATCAAACAGCAGTCTTTCTCCTCATTCTTATTATGAAACATTCGCGTTTATTACCTGTAAATTCTAATCGAGGTGGCATTGTTTTCGTCAATGATAGAACCTCCGGTGCTTGCTTTGGATAGAATGTTGTAATATATAATCGAAGTGGTGGCATCATTGCATTGTGTTTTCCCGATAATTTACACCGAAGAATAACACTATTTTTACCCAAATATTCGTCATCTTTATCACTTGTTTTTCTTGTCCGTGAGATTGGCACGCATTCAATCGAATAACTGTCTTCTGGTAATTGGTTGATTTCATCATTGATTCGAGACAGCACTGATGAATGGTGAATTGCACGAATTTTTGCTATTGGACAATTATTATCATCGTCGAGACGCATCATTCTATTTTGCGATAACAAAGACTATTTCAATGACATCTACGATTATGACTTACTTATGTGGAACACCATTGATTACGTCAGTCAATGGCTCGAGATATCGTTTTGTTACAAGCAAACGGTCCTTTTGGTCACGACCAAGAAATTCGTTTGTTGCCTTTATGCATTGATTAAACACATTAGGTTGAGCCGTATTGGTTGGATTCACCTGTTGTACTCGATTCTAGACGAGTCGGACCATGACGAAGTCAAGTATTTGAAGAAAAACAAGAATCTTACAGATATTCGCTCGAGCATATCACGATACTGTCTTGCATTGGCCAACGATTCATAAGTTGGATTGTTGACGAATTGACCGATTTGTTGATAAATCGACTGAACCTGACGAACTTTTTCGTTATTGCCTTCGTTTGAAAATTTCTGAGCTAAGATCTGTAATCGTTGGGCATTTTCTTTAAGATACTTAATTAAATTCATGACTTCTTCGTCGGGACTAGAAATATTTCCAATTCCCGAAATACTCGATGGCTGCAATGTACGATTAGCTGGCGATGAATAATTACCAAGAACTGGTGTTGAACTATTTGTCGATTGTGGTTGTGAATTAGCAGAAAGTGGTCCACTGTTGTTGCTCAAAGGACTTTGTTGGATAGTCACATTACTTTGTCTTTACAATGAATGGATAAAATCGTGCATCAGAAATCAGAAAGTGGTTAATCTGATACTTACGGCTGAATTTGAACAGTTGATGTTTGACTTGGCGTTGGTATGATAACAACCGACGGTGAAGATGATAATTGTTGAGCTGATAAAGTTGAACGAAGTGTGCTTGTACTGTTATTTGCATTGCTGTTTAGTGGATTTGCTGACCGAGTTGGTTGTGTCTATACATGTTGACTGGATTATTCTTGTACTAATGGAATCAATGGCAGAATTACTTACCATTAATGGTCCCGTTGCTTGTCGAGATAATGTTGTTGTCGTCGTTGCGGCTGTTGTCACTTTGTTTGTTCCTCCATCGATGTTTGACAAAAGGATTCGCTGTAATACTACAAACACAAAACGCGTTCTTCAAAATATCAGTTGAGTTCGATAGGTACATACACTGATCACCGTTTGATAGATTATTGGCATTCAAAGAAGTTGCTGGCGTTGATGATGGATTAGAAACAACATATTGCTGTAAAAGATCATTGGAATTGTTTGTTGATGCTTGTGTTTGAAAGTTAGCTAGATGCACTCAGGGAATAGAAACTGGATAAATAAGAGAATAAATATCACTCACTATTTCCTATGAGTGGCCTTTGTCGCGGCACATTTCCTGTTACTAACATTGGATAACGAGATTGAAGTGTTGAATAGTCATTTTGATTCACGATGTTCATTTGTTGCTGTTGATAACCTTGTCCTTGCGATGTATCAATTGTTGGTGTTGCAGTCTGTTGGGGTGTTGGCTGGATAGAAGATTGCGAATAAGTGAATGTATTCGTTGGCGCTATGGTTCGTGAAAATTAAAGATCCGTGCACGAGAAAATCAAACGACTTACTCGGATTGAATTTTGCAGGCTCACGCAACCTTGGCATTTGGTTCAATTGGCCTGTTTGAGGAGTCATCATCGGCCTGTTCGATTGTTGTTGAGCCATAGGAAATTGTGTCGGCTGGGTCTGACTGACCATTACACCGTTCGACTGTTGGTTACCATTGACTTGAGCATTTTGCAATGAGCTGTTGTTGTTGTTCTGCTGAAGTTGACTAGCACGATTTTGAAGCACAGCTACAAACATCAGATGGTATGTCATGAGAAAACGATCTTAACAATAAACTTACTTTGAACCTTTTGAAAATATGCTTGAACCAATTTGAAATAATCCAACTAGAATAAAAACAACACTTCAATCGTACAATATCACTTGATTAGATCGAATCTACTTTGATTCCGTGTGACTTTTCATACGCTTGACTTTCAATTTGTTTGGCAGCATCAGCCGAACATCGTGTTATTCTAAACAAACCATCAACATTTTCATTCACTTCATAATTTAAACAGTTTTTCGTACAGCTTTTGAAATAAAGCTTGCCGCTCGGCTGCTGTGACCATCGTCTGTGTATTCGGGCCTGGTTGTTGTTTCACAGCTGTTGCTTCCGCCATCATATCTAATTGAGAAAACAAAAGACAAAGTTTGTTTTGACGGAATCAATAATAAAAATCGAATGCTCGTCTTTTTTCTCGATAAAGAAAAGTCTCTCTCTCTTTTGCGATTCTCGTTTCGAATAGTCATAATAATAACAATGACACAAGCACAGTGGTAAGACAACAAGCAATAGCAGAATGAAGAACAAAATTAAATATCGTAAATTTCTATACAGAACAAAAAGAAAGAAGAAAAAGGAAACAGAAAATAATTGATCTATGGTTGAACAGAATGAGATTAAATACGAGGACATTGAGCTCTTATATGACTTGGATCTCCACATATGAAGCAAAATCTTCGTGAGTTATTTGGATGATAAGAACGATTGAAATTGGTCGATTGTTGGTATGTATTTGTGTGATAAGCGAATGCTGGATAAATCATCGGTTGGTCATTGGAATATGGTTGTGTCCAAATACGTTGTGGTGGTAAAGTTGGATAGGGATATGCATATCCATTAGTTGGATAATAATGCTGTGGATTGAAAGAATATTGAGAATAATTGGCATTGGGAGGAATATTTGAATATAATGGATAAGAATTATTTATTAACATTTGATGTTGCTGTTGAGGAAGATTTACTCGTTTTAGTCGTTCTTTTTCATTTGCTAGTGTGATTAATTTTGGACAACGCTTACGAATGTGATATGGTCCTTTACATTCAGGACAGCGTTTTGGAGCATTGCTTGGACATAGATCAGCAACATTGAATAGAGTTGACTATATGAAGACAAAACAAATTCATTCAAAATGATGATTGAATCAGATGAATTACTTCGATTAAATCGACATCTGACGTTGAACTATCAATGTCTTTGGATTGCACACCAAATTGTTGTCGAGCACGAATTAAAACTCGTCGAATCATCGTCCAATCTAAACAGCGAATTGAGCTTCACTGATTACGTATATCATCTTCTCTTCTTTTTTACTTCGAACGGATAAACCACCGGCTAAGTTATGACTCAGTTCAAACGGATCTTCGATTGCAATTGTTTGTCGAAACCATCCTTTTTCATGTTTCGATAAAGGTTCTTTTTGTCGGATTGTCACAATATGCTCATCATAGTTGAATTGTTCGGTGTAAAAACGCAGAAATTCAACCCATAATGCTCCGACGGACAAATCATTTTCACTCTTCCACAGGGTATTCTAAAGAACATCAAAGATTGTCTTTATCGAATCGTTTTACAACAATTTCTACGTACAAGTTTCGATAAATCTTCATAGAAGTACACATTCCATACGGAACATTTTTTGAGCATCAGATCTTTCTTTGTCGGATCATCACTAAGCTAAAAAAAGGCAAGTAAGACGAACCAATGACAAAGAATGCTTATCGAAAGAAACAGAAAACAAACTTGTTGTAGGACAGGTAAAACTGGCGGTTGAGTCTGTTGAAGAAAATGAATGACCATTAATATGTATGCATAACTTGACAACGTTCCACGACTTGCATCAGCTATATCACATGACTAGAACAATTGCGGGAATATGATTATGGTGAAGATGACATTCATGTGTTTCTACCTTTGTCAAATGTTTGATCATATAACCAAGTTGAGAAACTCGTGGATCAATTTTCGTATAAGTTTTCAACAATCGAGTGTTTTCAATTGCCTACAAGCAAGACAAACTTTGAACGTCGAAATGAGGCTGATATATTTACAAGCATGTTATGGAAACTGATATCGATTTCGATTTGTAATCGTCGATGCTTGGAACGGATGATTGGCACCTTTGCATGTAAAACCGGTTGAACATTTTCGAATGTGTCTGCATTCAATCTCATTGATCTCAACAGCTTTCTCATCACTTGAATTACTTCATCGGTCTAATCAAAGGGAAAACGAACTGAAAAGTACCTCAGAGGATCTAGTACAAACATTTTCTTCGTGCTGATCTTTGAAAACAATGCAAACGTCAAGGTCGCTTTGTCGAAAACCAAATCCATTATAGAATGACCCAAACGCATGTAGATTACAATCAGGATAATCTTTTTCAAACTGCTTTTGTAGTTGTTTCAAGATTCGCTCACGATTTTCAATATCCGTTGCTGTCGGTTGACATCGTTCTAAAAAAGCGGTCAGATAAAGTTCCAAAGAAAAGCGAAGAGAGAATGTCTACCTGTGACCTGGTGGCATACTCGGGAGAGAATGGCGAGCCATTCTTGTGTGAGCTCTGGTAGATCGATAAGATTTGGAACGATTAGATCTGGACATTCGGATTTTAAATGACCAACACCATTACATGTTGTACAAACGAATGGTGCACCCTGAAGGAGAAGGAAATAAATTGAATCGAAGTAAGGTCAAAAGATGAATCATACTTGTTCAGCATGGAAATTGTCGGCTTGAAAATCATAAAATAACTCAGAAGGTGACGGCTCTTGTGAAGATGAATCTACCGATTCATTGACCACATTTTCTGCAAAAATAACAACATATATACAATATGGTGAATTGATTTTGACTTGTTGGAGTCAAAGCGAAAATGTGACACACACTGTTACATTGTCATTCTCGTATTCTCTCAGCAAAGTGCATCTATATTTTCATTGTATTTTTGCGTGAGCTTCTCGTTGAGATTATTTCAATACCTGGTTCTCTGCCAGATGTCGCCATTGATGTATCGTTCACTTTTTCATCTTCGCAAGTTGACGAAAACGATTGTTCACTAAAATTATCAAGAGAAAATCGCTAACAAGAAAGAATTCAGTTTGCGAACTTACATTGTTGATGATTTTTCATTATCGATTTGAAGTTCCCGAAAATCTGTATTGAAATTCTCGTCTTCTTCATTAACCGAAATGATTTTGTTAAGTAGAACATTCTGCTCATCGTCATTCGCGTCCATAGTTTCGAAATTTTGTTCTAAATCATGCTGAAATGCTTCTTCAACTTCATTCTCTTGACTACTCTCTATCTGTTGGTTGACCATCGCGTTCAATTTAATCAAAGGTTCAGATAATTTCTGATCGAATGCCTTCTTGTAACAATCTCTCACACGATTTTGTCGAATATTTACATCCCGAACGATTGTTGTCGGTAAACGTTTATAAAATAATTGATACGAGTTATGCAAACCATTGCTTGGAGCTATACTCGGAATTTCATTTTCATCTTCAGCAATAACTTCGATCCAATCATCGTCAGTCGTAGATGAATTTACTTGAGGTTTTCTAATTTTTTTCTGTTTTCGCCCGAAATAGTTCAATGCAGTATTCAAAGTATCACGAAAATAGTTTAATGATCGAGCCGCCTGCATTGTTTGGCATAAGCTTCGTTTGATATCCGTGGGATCTAAAAGAAAAGTCGGGTATAGATATGGATCGGCTTTGTTTTACCTTCGACAAGTAGTTTTCGACTATGCCAATTTTTATCAATCTTTACAACTGGCATTCGCGTTTGAATTGAAACAACGAATTGCTTGGAATTAAATGTCTTCATATAATAAGAAAGCAACTGAAGAAACAGCATTTCAACATTAGTTGTGTTTGCTGATTTCCATTCTCGAGAATATTCATTACCAAACCGAAAGAATTCCGAATATTGATTTTCATTCAATGTTATTGGTACATGATCAATTCCATATATCTATTCAGGTAGTAGAACATCAAATCAATGAGAAAAAGCATTCGTATCAACATACGTATTCGTGTAAACATGGTAAAACCGGAGGCTCGACTTGCTGAAGAAAATGAATCACCATGAGATGAAAGACAATTGGATGAAGTGTACCGAAATCTGGCTTATCGATATTACATATCTAAAGACAAGATTAGTCAACCTAAGAAACGATTTAAGTGTTAATTTTACTTTCGCAAGTATTCGAAATAGACGAAGTAGTTTGATGAGACGCGAATCAAATTTTGTATATAGTCGAATTAATTTCGAGAGATGAATTCCACGAATGTATCCAGACGTTATTCGAACACGCATATTCGGTTCATTAATGATCAAATCAAGGCAAGATGGTTTATGTTCAGTATCAATTCGAGCTTCTTTACACAAATCTTTGACAGAAAGAACAAAACAGTTCGAAGTTTTTCCAATTCATCCTAATTTCATACCGCTTTTAGTGATAATATCAAGTAATTCTTTCAAAGTATCATATTGTAATATTTGTTTAAATTGCACATCAATATCCATAATTCCAGGCTTTTCCAAACAACATTCGAATAGTAGAGATCCATAGAGAGTTATTTGACAATCTGAAAAACTCTTGGTAATATGAAATTTTCTCAATTGTTGTTTCGTACCTGGTCGTGTAGACAGGATCAATTGATGTAATTTATTGAAAACAACTTGTCGTACTTTGTAACTATTTTCTGATAAAATTCGTTCATGAAGAATCTTATTAAAAGCAATTTGTAATGCATTTAAATGTTCCGATGTTGGTTCGCAAATGTCAATTGTCGATCGACCAATGTCATTCTAAACAAAATAAGACACACATTTTCAAGTTAATCATCGCGTGTTTTACTTTTACAGGTGAGCCATCGATATGTTCGTCATGCGATCGTGCTAATAAGATTTAAAAAGAGAAATTTCAATTGAAAAAATCTTGTAATTTGTTAGTTACAGCTATCAATTCGTTGAATGTTTTGACGTTTTCTTCTCGGTTGATTTATCGATCGAGCATCAAGACATTCGAGTAGTGGCCGTGAATTTCTTAGAAGTTCTTCATTCATTTCTCTGAAATAAGAAGTTTTCAGCTATCATGTCTTTGTCGATTGATAAATAACACGCAAACATACGTTTTGTTCTTGCTTTTTGTATTCTTTTCTTCCCTTGGAATATTTCTTGTCGTTGAGATTTAAAAGCCAATGAGATTAAAGTATAGATGACATCTATATAAAAGAGAAGACAACAATAAATTTTTTCCGAAAACTCGAATAGAAAACTTTGCCTAGTTTTGATTTTTGATGAAAGATCTTCTCGACAGAGAAAATATTTCACCTATCGACTGACGAACATAACTTAGTAACGATCAATCGTAATGAAAAATATGACTGATTCGGATCAGAATGAATTGATGCAGAGTTAAGAATGAGTTTAACATCTAAACGACAATTACCAAGTGTCAATAGCGAAAAACTTCGACAAATCAACTCTGTCTTAGCCGTAAATTCAATTTACAATTCGATTTTCATATGCTATTTTCGTTGTTTATCGTTTAGAGTACCGAAGACGATTTACGTAATGCTCAGTATAATTTGAAGACATTAAAACAAGCAAGATTGAGTTTAGCGGATTCAGTAAGGAGATTCTGGTGGATGCACTCTTAGTAATTGTTTTTTTTTAAAGTTGAAATCCAATGATAGAATATCGACATCGACAAATAGTGAAGAGAGTGATCGAACAATAACAAAAGCACAAGTGTAAGCCTTGAAATGAACAAGTGTTATAAATTTTGCTTTTAGAATTGACCGAGATTCCAGTGAACGAATGAATCCGATCATTGAAAGAGTAAGTTTTATTATCATTGATATGTTGACGAACACTTCTCAGCAGGTGGTTCAATCTCGTTTCGATCGACGTTTATTGGAAATTGAACGTGAATTGCAACAACAACGAAGATTTACAATGCATCAGAGAGACGAAAGATCGTTCGGATTTCGAATCGAGCCGAATCATTTAACGGTAGTTGAGCATTCTTTATTCTTACTTCATGAAATAGTGTCTTCGCTTTAGAATGAATCTCAAGTTGGAGAATATCAAGGCAAGAAAAATACTTTAACACAACAGGTAATTAATTGAGTTTCCTGTTGCAAGCGAAATACATTACAACTGTTACAAATCCACGTCTTTTAGAATTCGACAAATCTACGTGAATGTGCGAAAACCATTCGAGAAAATGTAGGAACCATTCTAGCAATTATCTGATCAATTTTAGCGATGCGTGTTCTCTAGGTTATGCAATACACTGATGAATTGATGCGAAGTGATGTGACACCAACGTCTAAAGACGACGATGTGTTGTCGCTCTTAAATCGACGACGCAGAATCGGTTAGATTTGACTTTCTATTTGTCTTGCTCTCTATAGTATCACTTCTAGAACCGGACTCAATTCGATCAGAAAATGAGTATTTACTTCAACATCAGAATATGCTTTCGAAGTCCACGACATTGAACGAAATGATCCATTTCAAGAAAGAATATGAGAAAAGCGAACAACAACGTGTACAACTATTTGAACAAGTAGAAGTATGTGAAAATGTTTTGTAAAGAAATGATCTCGAAAGGCATTATAATTTAGTCACTAAGACAAACTTGTGATCAGAAAGACAAACTTCTTTCAAAGACTTTACTCGAAATGAAAGAAGTTAATGAAAACTGTGATACATGCGAACGACAAAATCATAAATTACAACATGATCTCACTTTAGCCTTGGAAAGATTAGAACAAATGACTCAACAAGCTGAGCATTTTGCTCAAGAATCAATGAATTCACAAAAGTTATTAGCAGATTCTGAACAAAAACGAGAAGAATATCGAATTCAATCTCAAGAAGCAACGAAACAGTAATGAAAAAATCATCGATATTATTTCATTTCAATTCAACGATTCATTTAGATGGAAAGCTCGAGTACATAAATTTGAGAAAGACATCGAACGATATAAACTTGATTCAACACATTTGACTGAAAAGAACGAACAATTATTGAAAGAAATCGACAATCACAAGTCACAAAATTCCAATCTACGAGATCAGATCTCGAAACTCGAGACAAACATCACTGATGCAAAAGTAAGAAAACATTTCAAAATCGAAATCCATTGTTTTTACTGAACTTTTTCATAGCTAAATTACAATCAATTAGAAGAACAATACAAACGAAAAGAAAATGATGTAAGTTAACATTTCGTTGTTTACATAAAACTTCGATTATTGACAATAGATTATTCAACTGCAAGACATTCGTTCTTCTCAGCACGATGAGCTTGCATCACTCAAAGAAACAGTCAATGAAGTAAGTCGCACATAATCGAGACACTAAGAAGCAAATATCTCCAAGAGAAAAGTCCCGAAGGACTGTTAGAGATGAAGAATGTCTGGATCTAAAACAGTTGTTATTGTTGTTTTAAGCTTACAAGTCAAATTTCAATCCAACGTCAACGTTTATTGCAATTGGACAGAGAAAAGGAAGATTTTCAACAACGATTACAAGATGAACTTGAGCATCGAAATCATTGTGATTTGAAATTGAAGCATTACGAAGTTTGATTCGATTCATTCGTTTGTTTTTATGATTGTTCTCATCTTTAGAACGATATCGAAACGGCAACTACAACTCGTTCGCAATTACAAAAACAAATTCAGAGCTTAGAAATCGAACGAAAGGTGAGAACTAATCATTTTTCGTTCGAAATTTCACATTTCATCTGTAGAATTTGATACAAAAAGTGAAAGAACTTGAATTCGATAAAGATTTATTATCCGAAGAGAAAGTCAGGTTACTTTCCATCGAAAGTGATTATCAACAAATCAAGGTTTGCTCATCATTTACATCAAATTATTCTCATTTTCATATTTCAGCTACAATTATCTGATGAAAAAGTTCGAGTCAGTGCTTTGCAACGATATGAAAATGAACAAAGAAAAGAAATCGAAAGGCTTCAAGATAAATCTAATAAATATGAAGATGAAACCATTCAAAAGCAACATTTCATTGAAACTTTATCAAGAGAACTTCAAGAAAAAGTAAACAACAATCACAGATCTATTTTACAAGTCATTCGTTACATGTTGTTTTAGTGTCGAACAATTACCGAATTAGAATTCAAGTAGTATTTCGGAATATTGTGTTTTTTCCTACTTTCAAATCATCTTTTTTATAGAATCAATAAGTTAACAGTCGAAATAAACAATCAAAAGAACTGTATGAACAAAAAGGATGATGAATACCAAGTATGATGACGAATCTTTTTTACTATTTTATGAATATAAACTGTGATTTGTTTAGCATACTCTTCAAATGATTTATAATGAAATTGTTCAATGTACAGAATCTTTATCGAACAATTCCAGTCAACCATTTCGAATTCAACCAGCAGTAAATCCTCGCGATGATATCGAGGTTTGGACAAGCAAACTAAAAGTAAAGAATGAATTTTGTTTTAATTTATTTTTCATGTTGATCTCGATGTTTCAAGGCTCATTTCACTTGGTTCAAACAAGAATTAGAACTTCATCAAGATGAAAAGAAGCAACTTCGTCAGGATCTTCATAACACATTGTTAGATTGTGAAGCTGATCGAGTCTATTTTGCTTCGGAATTAGCCAAACGGGAAGTTCTCATCAATAAAATGACTATGGATGATTGTCAACGAAAATCCAATGAATACACAAGATTTGATCTACAAATCGAATTCAATCAACATCAAATTCTGACTGAAGTTTGTTCTTCGATTCTTTTCTCAGATATTTCACAAGATTTTTGATTTGATTTAGGATGAAAGAGAACATATTGATGATCGTTATCGACAGTAAGATAATCTTTATTGATTTCGAGATTTAATTTCCATTTAAACGAATCCCATCTGAGAATCGGTGGCATCTGATCAATGAATGACGTCGATTGAAAGAAGAAGAGTTTGTTCTTTTTTTGAGTTGAAAATGGAAATCTGCGATAATAATATTCTCTTCTCAGCTATCAAGTAAAGAATGTCTTTACTTTGTTGAATAGCTCAACTGTGATTTCTATGCACAAATGATCAGTATTAATATAATCAATCATCAGTTTTTAACCAGTTCACTTTGAAAACAAGATTTCACCTGAGAATCAAAGAATTTTCTGTTCATACTTGTGTAGTCCTATTGATACTATACATTTGTTAATCCGACTGCACTCGATCGCGTATAACAACTTGTGATTGATTGATTTTTAGTGAATCGATCTTAATTCTCTGCATATTTTAGGTTTCAAATGTTGATTGATTCTGCTAAACACGAATTACAAACAGCAAAAATACAACTCTCAAATTAATATGTACAAAATAACTCTTATGTGTTTTGTTTTTTTTCGACATTGTACACAGATTTGTCATTATTCTTCCAAGTTTATCTTTCCACTTATTTTGTCTTCCGTAGTTTAGGAAAATTGATCTTTTAGTACATTGCTGTCACTTTTGTTTAGATATTTGTATGGCTGTGAAGCCTACGGCAGTAAAAACATTTCAAACACGTCCGGAACGTCGCCGGGGAATAACGTGAGTCATACAACAAGTGATAAGTGACGGTAATGTTGAAAATCACTTTCTAGAGACCGACCAATTCGTTTTCGATCGTTTTTACAAAATACCATCTATGATGTTCTTAAAAATCGTGGTTGGATCGAATCACGAGAGTAAGTCAAGATATTTCTATGTGATTTAAAGTCAAATTCATTCATTGTAGTGATGAAGAATGGGATTTTTATGTAAGTGTATTTAAAAGACAGGAAAACCTGTTCTAATCACTCCTGTATGTAGTGGTGTGACGTTGGTTCGATGAAAGAACTGTTCGATCGAGGTTATTTCGAAGAACATATGCGTATTAATCACTTTCGAAATCATTATGAAGTTGGGTGCCATCGTGTTTTTTATTTGAGATATACTTATGTTTTTATTATTTCAGTTAACTAGAAAAGATTTAATGGTGAAGAACTTGAAACGCTATCGAAAACAAGTCGAACGAGAGCAAGGTCGTTCGGAAGCACAGAAATGTGATTTTTTTCCAACAACATATGTTCTTCCAGTATTTAGATGATTTTAACTAATCGAGAGAGAAGTTTGATGAGGTTTCATTTTAGTCGGAATATCATCTATTCGTCGAAGAATTCAAGAAGAATCCAGATACAACTTGGATTATGAAACCAGCAGCACGTGCTCAAGGAAAAGGCATTTTTCTTTTTCGTAAACTTCAAGATATAACCGCGTGGCGAAAAGTTAGTCAGTTCGCTTTCTCTCGCTATTTCTTTTTATCATTTGAGTACTTTCAGGGAGAATACATGACTGCATATGATAAAGAACAAAATCGTGAAGCGGTCGAAACTTATGTCGTAAGTTCTATCCATTTATCAATCGACAATGGGGATTAAAAGTATCGTATTTCAGGTGCAAAAATATTTGGACAATCCATATTTGATCGGTGGAAAAAAGTTCGATATTCGAATCTATACATTAGTTACATCTGTAAGTTCTGTTGATGTTGAAAACAGTTCTGAATCTTTTTCATTAGTATAATCCATTACGAGTATGGCTCTATCGTGAAGGATTTGCACGCTTATCCGGTACTCGTTATACATCGGAAAGCATCGAAGATACATGTAAGTACTTCTCCTAAGCATCAAAGAAATCCAACGAAAACCTCTTGCAGATGTTCATATCACTAATAATGCTGTTCAAAAAACTGCACCAAATTATGATCCGGATAAAGGGTACAAATGGTCCATGGGTCGCGTTCGACAATATCTAACTGCTAAACATGGTCAAGATGCTGTATGTTTTGAGAAGATGGTTGAGTCAGTTATTTAATATTGTGTTTAGGTTGATGTCATGTTCAGACAAATGGACGATATATTTATAAAAAGTGTTCAAAGTGTCCAAAAGATTATGATCAATGATAAACATTGTTTTGAATTGTATGGTTATGATATTCTACTTGATGCAAATTTGAAACCTTGGCTAATTGAAACCAATGCATCGCCATCATTAACAGCAAGCAATCAAGAAGATCATGAAATCAAATGTCGACTTTTAGATGATATGCTCAATGTTATCGATATGGAAGGACGTTTGACAGGAAAAGAGAAACGCATTGGAGGTTTTGATCTTATTTTTAATGATGGGCCTGTTTATTGTGATGAAAGTGGCGTAGAAACATTCAATCTCAACACTTTACGCTTAAATAGTTTTCTTGGTAAAATCTTTTTCAAAATTTTTTTGTTCTCTCATTGATATTTCGTAGGTTGTTCTAATGATCGAGTTGTACAACTTCGACATCTTTATCGACAAAATCAATTGATAAAACGAATGGAAAAGGCTGCAGCTGCAGCAGCGGCTACGAATTGACGTTATATTTTAATTTGTTTTTTTTTCTTCTAACTAGTCGAATTGTAAATAAACATGCCCAGTTGATATAAAATCTAGATGTGCCTTCGTTATACGAGAAGAGTGATGCTCATGTGGCTTTTTCTTCGTCCGATACGTTGAACGAACCTCATCAAAGTTCAATCATTTCGATTTTTCTTGAACGTCTATCTGATACCTTCTTCACATGGTGCACCTTTCGTTTGTACAGCATGTAACGGTGTTGGTCATTTGAAATCCGACTGTCCGGACCTGATCGTCCCGAATCGCACCGACCTACCTGAACTTATACAAGAATGGCTTGTCATTCTCTCCCAATCATGTCATCAGATCACAGGTAGACTTCCTCTCTTCGCTTTTCTTTACAACCTCAGTTGATTATTTAAGGACGATGTAAACCGACAGCAATGGATATTGAAAATCGTGAGCGAACCTTGGAGCAATTGCAAAAGCAGTTCGAAAAAGACTATCCCAATTGTAATTTGCACGCGTTTGGCTCATTCTATAATGGATTCGGCTTTCGACAAAGCGACCTTGACGTTTGCATTGTTTTCAAAGATCAGCACGAAGAAAATATTTGTACCGGATCCTCTGAGGTACTTTTCAGTTCGTTTTCCCTTTGATTAGACCGATGAAGTAATTCAAGTGATGAGAAAGCTGTTGAGATCAATGAGATTGAATGCAGACACATTCGAAAATGTTCAACTGGTGTTACGTGCAAAGGTGCCAATCATGTGTTCCAAACATATCAGTTTCCATAACATGCTTGTAAATATATCAGCCTCATTTCGACGTTCAATGTTTGTCTTGTTTTTGGGCGATTGAAAACTTATACGAAAATCGATTCATGAACTTCTCAACTCGGCTGTATGATCAAACACTTGACAAAAGTAGAAACAAACGAGTATTGTTTCAGTCATGTGATATAGCTGAAGCAAGTCGTGAAACATTGTCAAGTTATGCATACATATTGATGGTCATCCATTTTCTGCAACAAACTCAACCATTGGTGTTACCTGTTCTGCAGCAGGGTTTTTCTTCTTCTTTCGATAAGTGCTCTTGGTCATGGGTTCGTGTTACATGTTTTAGCTCAGTGATGATCCGACAAAGAAAGATCAGATGTTCAATATGGAATGTATACTTCTATGAAGATTTAGTGAAACTTGTTCGTAGAATTGATCGAAACAGAAATCTGATGTAGATAACCTTCGGTTTCCGTTAGAATAATTTATGAACAAGTGAAAATGATATGTCTGTTGGAGCATTGTGGATTGAATTACTACATTTTTACACAGAACAATTCAACTATGATGAACATGTTGTGACGATCCGACAAAAAGAACCTTTGTCGAAACATGAAAAGGATGGTTTCGACAAGCTATCGCAATCGAAGATCCGTTTGAACTGAGTCATAACTTAGCCGGTGGTTTATCTGTTCGAAGTAAAAAGAAGAGAAGGTGATATAGTACAGAGTAAGCGACGATGAAATCTGTTTGGATTGGACGATGATTCGACGAGTTTTAATTCGTGCTCGACAACAATTCGGTGTGCAATCCAAAGACATTGATAGTTGAACGTTAGATGTCGATTTAATCATCATTTCGCATGAATGTGTTTTTCTTCACATAGTCAACCTTATTCAACGTTGCTGATCTATGTCCAAGCAATGCTCCGAAACGTTGTTCTGAATGTAAAGGACCATATCACATTCTTGAATACTGTCTAAAATTATTCATAGTGGCGAATGAAAAAGCGGTTGAAAGAAGTAATTTTTTAACATAAATTTTATTTAATATATTTTCTCAGTTCGCGTGGCATTATTGCTGTATCTGTTTATATTGGCGCATAGAGCTGCCTTCAACTTCACCACATCGCGCTGATCCGCCTTGAACGTCGCCATGTCGCGCTAACCCATCAGTTATTAGCAGACCCAAAATCTGTTGTATGTTTTATTCGATGGCAGCCATTCGGCTTTCAATCGATGTAAATTGATTTGCGGTGCGTTCGATGTCGTTTTGTGAACCTTGGTTGATGGAAGTTTGAGATGGTGATGGCAAGGGTGACTGTTGTTCGTCGATCGCATCGTCCAACACCTATAACAAAGAAATATCGACATAGATATATGTGTACTGTTTGATATGTGGATAAAATCATAGAAATCGTGCGAATCGAAAATGTCAAAGCCATGATATTTTCATCCTCTATCTGCTGCTCTAAATCTTTCTCTTACGCATCCAAATAATGATTGTCTGATTAATTATTGTCTCTAAGAAAAGTCGATATCGGATCCGGCCATCTGCTGAATGGGATACTCACCTTGTACACCCTCCTAAGTATCTGAATGTAAAAGCTCAAATTATTCAAAAAAGTATATCTTGGGCCTACTCTTAGGAACAAAGAATAAATTCGTCTGGAAATCTAGAACGCAGCTGAATAAATGTAGCAAGTGTCATCATTTATGTTTACAATCCTGTTCTTCACTAGCTCTTTACACGAATATTGTGACGCAAAGCAAATGCATGCATACGAAATGCCAGAGGAGTTGTCTAGCGGCTAATATGATTTACCGTTGTACGAAGGCATGTAGTCCAATGAAGATGAAGTTCGAAATTCGCAGCCGAAATCGTCATTTCTAAAACGGCTTTCATACGATTAAAAGGTCAGAATTACATATCGAAAAGTGGTGCTGTTCGCTGGCTGTAGAAACTGTAGTCTACACGTTTGAATTATTCTTTTCTGACTATTCGTCTCTGAGGCCATCACATCATAAGAGAAGATGGGACGTACAACCATGGAAATCATTCACATTTCAAAAAAGTAAAAAGTAAAGAACGAAAGGAAAGCACAGTACACTACTACTAGCAATGTGCCACAATTTAGTAAAAGAAAATTTGCTTACCACTGCCTCCAACAAAGGATAACGCTCTTCGATTTAAGAAAAGCAAATGAAAATAGAAATAAACAGTACTAAAATGAACTTATTCAGCCTTTTAGACACCGACCATGTTGGCTACAAAAGAAAATCAGTCTCCGATTACTTATCTAAAAGTGATTCGTTGACCAACTTACTTCATCTAACGAGAACTTCAGTGTTTGACGATTTGTCATCTAAAAACAAACAAGATTTCATCGGTGTTATCGACAGGAAACTATAAATATATGAATTGCAGTCTACTAACGCGCGTGTATGTGTGTACACACTATAGTACATATATGGATACATACATGGAAATATATAACGAGAGAGATATGTAAACACACCCTCACGCCCTAATCTTTCGCCACAAGTTTTGCTTTAAGTGAAAGAAACATGCGGTCACGGCGGCTGATGGGAACTTTTGCTCGATGACATTGCTGACGANGACAGGAAACTATAAATATATGAATTGCAGTCTACTAACGCGCGTGTATGTGTGTACACACTATAGTACATATATGGATACATACATGGAAATATATAACGAGAGAGATATGTAAACACACCCTCACGCCCTAATCTTTCGCCACAAGTTTTGCTTTAAGTGAAAGAAACATGCGGTCACGGCGGCTGATGGGAACTTTTGCTCGATGACATTGCTGACGACTGGTTCGTAGTCGATAATTATCGAGGCGAGATGTTTACTAATATGTTGCTGGACAACGTCGAAAAATTCACTATAGACCTCATCGGACTTTCCAGGCAGAAAAGCGTACAGCAAAAGAAACGTTCGACCGTGAATATGTCCATGTATTGAGTAAAGCTGACAGAATAGTTTAGGTGCGACCTACAGAAAAGTTTTTAGCCTGATGATACATTCTCGGCGGAATAATTCATCATATTCAACTAACCTTAAAGATTCCATCGGCGTGCCAATGATCGGAGGCTGATATCGAGTCATATTTTCCCGTGAAGATAAGACAATAATTCGGTTGTCGTTCTTTTCGTTGTCGTACAGCAGGAACATATCGCCAACATTGATTAACTTAAACTCTTCTGTAATTTCGGTTTCTGCGAATGTTGTCGGTGTTGATAGTGGAATAGCATTCTTTTTTCGTTTTGGTTCAACCAAGCATTGAGCGTTCTTGTAGTTTGGAACAGCTGACGCATCATTGAGATCAACTTCGAGCAAAGCTCGACGGATGATTCTTCTAGGAACATCGTTAGAGGAAATCGCATGTACGTTGATCTTTGATTTGAATTCAACATATGTTATTTCATCTGGATTGGAAGCATAATTATGCTCAGTCAACGTGACATATTCGGTTCCACTACTAGTCACACGTCCGGCACAGTTATTTCGAGTACATCTCCACGTCACCTAACTATGATTTGCTCGCCGATAACGGTAGCCATTTAAGAGCAATTGCTCTCTACCTTTTGAAGATTGAACAAGAGACATCCTTATAAGCGTTACGTGCAACAAATGATTGTTTTTTAGGTTTCTTTCTTCTAATCTATACGTAGCATTCGCTTAAAGAATAGCGAATCCTGTATTCTACTTTGTTATCCACTCATATAGTTAGTACCATATTCATCGAGCGGAATATCAATACGTCGCGCACTCCGTCGAAAGTCAACAAATTACAGTCGTAGTAAACATCCTCTATATAAACTGCCATCATTCCTTTCTTTTTATCGTTAGAAAGGACTCAAGTGTCGGAGGCTCAAATATGAGGAGCTCAATTAGTCCGAGCTCATCTGACGGTCCACCCGAATACATACACATGTTTTGTTCTCGAGGAAAACAGATTGTCAACTTCTCTGCGATATTCAGGAGGATGGCTCTGATCAAGGGGGAAAAGCTGATTTTAATCACTCGTCAATCAGGTTTGGATCAAATAAATCACCTAAACTCACGTAAATTACCAAAATCACAAATTGCCTCTGTCCCCCTTGGTAAGAACGAATCGTTCGAAAGTGATTATGAACAGATCAAGGTTCTCTTATTCTTCTATTGTTTTATTTGTTAAACAACAACAACAATAAAACACTATACTAGTGGCCAACTGTGGTCGCATTCTTCAACACCAGCACGGGCACCCTAATTTTGATGAAGATGAATATGATCTCCATGTGTTCGGTTTTGGAGAGAGTCACTAAAGGCTGGAACAGTTCGATTTAGGTGGCGACGACGAACGTCTGAATAGTGATCATTTTGTTAAGACACAATATCTCCTGAATCATGACAGCCGAATGTAAGGTCACCGATGCGAGAATTGAGTCCATTATTCCGATCACTTGTTTGCGTGGACAAGATCTGAATAATATTTTTATTGATTGCTCGATACCTATTATTTTTGTTTCTAACGTTGACAACCTTTCCATCACGCCTCGCCGTGGTGGCGACGATATTGCTCCCGTCGCTGTTGATGAATGCGATGGTGAATCTAACTGCTCGGGCACATCATGTCCCACTACCTGAAACAAAAGAAGAGAATGCAAAAAATAGAGTCGAATAGAGCGGATGAGAAATAACAAAGTCAAATGACGTATATGTAATGAAAATGACGTAATATTTATTCGTCCATTGTCTCTGTCCCTCTACAATAGCTACGAGTACGGATCTTCATGTGTTTTCCTCAATATTTAGTACATGTGAGGGCGATAGATGATAGTGTGATACTTCTATTGTACAACACTCGCATCTTTTCTCTGCTCTTCTGTGTGTTCCTCTTTTTAGATACCATGCGAACTCTTATTGGCACTTAAAATAAATGAAGATAAATAAACCAATAAAATTCTAATATGTAAATTGTGAACTTGACATTAGTAAACTGCATTGTGTATATTTTACTCCAATCCTAATCATAAAAGGATGCCTCTTCAATTCCGACTCGACAAAAGAAAACCTTTCGACTCCAGTTTTAATTCCAGAATATGTCAGTTTATCTTTCTCGAGAGTATAGCATAAATGTGATCATTGCGGAGCTTGAGATAAGCTATTGAAAGATGAATCTGTGTGCAAATGAAGCTCTATGGTTTACTAATATCGGCCTCACTTTCCCGAAATATTTATGGAGTAAGCGAAACCTATATCATAGAATATGTACACTTAGTTGAGTGATTTATCGCCGGATTGATCCCGACTAATATCTGACGATCATTATAACTTCCAGGAGGTTATTTTCTCAGTTCCCACCGAAGCTGAAGTTTGAAGTTTAGTGAAAGTCACTATTTGGCATCGCAAGAGTATGCAGAAAACGTACGAGAATATTACTTCGAACTACTCACATAAATAGACGGAAGATCGAAATTGTGGCGTATTTTGCACAGTGAAGGTGAAGAAAGAGCGGTACGATGGGCTTTGTGCATGTTTTTGTTCTTTATATACAAACAAGATGACCGTTACTATAGATACTACGTAACGAGCTACACAGGGGAGAAAGAAATACATATTAGAAAGAGTCACAAGAACGAAAACAAAAGACGACAGGATATCACTCGAGAACAAATGCATAAGCGAACCTGATTGAAGAAAATGTCTATCCAGCGAAAATATACGATATCATCAAATCTACCTTCAATCCAGGACGAACATTCCGGTCGTCAGATCCGAATGGAACCGAAAGGAAAGCAGTCCTTTTCCGGCTCGTTCCGAGCCGTTCTCATCATGACCGGACAGTTCCCGACGGAAAATTATAGAAATGTTGAAGCAGTGTTCCAGACCGGAATACTCCGGAACTGGATCCCTGATATTCCCACTTCTTCCGTTGACCGGTTTCCCCACATATCCTCACGGAAAACAGTAATACCGCCTAAATCCGACAAAACAGAATAAAACATAAAATAACAGAGTCCTAACATAATCCTACAGGAACAAAAAATACTGCAAACGCTAAAACGTTTCCCGCATATTTCTCAAACGATCCCTACTCTTTCCGAACCACACTATGTATGCGCCAGTTTCCCTAAACCAAGAACCGCCTATAACAGGGAGGAACCCATCTGAACCGGAGACACGTAATCGACCGTAACCAAACATCAAACTACAAGTCCCATCTTTTCCAACTACTTTCCGCCATCACTATCAAACTTCCAGCGAAAAACTGACAAAAAATATACTAACACCAGACCCAGCAGTTGGAGGATTGCTAATCCTACATCCAGTCCAGCTTGCACCACTTAACAAATAAGTCACTTCAAGATGTATAAGTTTGAGTCTTAAATGGTGCTAGCGTTTAATGGCGCTAACTTCCCATCGATGTTTTCGTGGGATCATTTCTGTATCTGTTTATATTGGCGCATAGAGTTACCTTGAACTTCACCATCACACTCTGATTCACCGTCTATTTCAGCACGTCGTGCCAATCCGCCTTGAACGTCGCCATGTCGCGCTAACCCATCAGTTATTAGCAGACGCAAAATCTGTTGTATGTTTTATTCGATGGCAGCCATTCGGCTTTCAATCGATGTAAATTGATTTGCGGTGCGTTCGATGTCGTTTTGTGAACCTTGGTTGATGGAAGTTTGAGATGGTGATGGCAAGGGTGACTGTTGTTCGTCGATCGCATCGTCCAACACCTATAACAAAGAAATATCGACATAGATATATGTGTACTGTTTGATATGTGGATAAAATCNCAAAATCTGTTGTATGTTTTATTCGATGGCAGCCATTCGGCTTTCAATCGATGTAAATTGATTTGCGGTGCGTTCGATGTCGTTTTGTGAACCTTGGTTGATGGAAGTTTGAGATGGTGATGGCAAGGGTGACTGTTGTTCGTCGATCGCATCGTCCAACACCTATAACAAAGAAATATCGACATAGATATATGTGTACTGTTTGATATGTGGATAAAATCATAGAAATCGTGCGAATCGAAAATGTCAAAGCCATGATATTTTCATCCTCTATCTGCTGCTCTAAATCTTTCTCTTACGCATCCAAATAATGATTGTCTGATTAATTATTGTCTCTAAGAAAAGTCGATATCGGATCCGGCCATCTGCTGAATGGGATACTCACCTTGTACACCCTCCTAAGTATCTGAATGTAAAAGCTCAAATTATTCAAAAAAGTATATCTTGGGCCTACTCTTAGGAACAAAGAATAAATTCGTCTGGAAATCTAGAACGCAGCTGAATAAATGTAGCAAGTGTCATCATTTATGTTTACAATCCTGTTCTTCACTAGCTCTTTACACGAATATTGTGACGCAAAGCAAATGCATGCATACGAAATGCCAGAGGAGTTGTCTAGCGGCTAATATGATTTACCGTTGTACGAAGGCATGTAGTCCAATGAAGATGAAGTTCGAAATTCGCAGCCGAAATCGTCATTTCTAAAACGGCTTTCATACGATTAAAAGGTCAGAATTACATATCGAAAAGTGGTGCTGTTCGCTGGCTGTAGAAACTGTAGTCTACACGTTTGAATTATTCTTTTCTGACTATTCGTCTCTGAGGCCATCACATCATAAGAGAAGATGGGACGTACAACCATGGAAATCATTCACATTTCAAAAAAGTAAAAAGTAAAGAACGAAAGGAAAGCACAGTACACTACTACTAGCAATGTGCCACAATTTAGTAAAAGAAAATTTGCTTACCACTGCCTCCAACAAAGGATAACGCTCTTCGATTTAAGAAAAGCAAATGAAAATAGAAATAAACAGTACTAAAATGAACTTATTCAGCCTTTTAGACACCGACCATGTTGGCTACAAAAGAAAATCAGTCTCCGATTACTTATCTAAAAGTGATTCGTTGACCAACTTACTTCATCTAACGAGAACTTCAGTGTTTGACGATTTGTCATCTAAAAACAAACAAGATTTCATCGGTGTTATCGACAGGAAACTATAAATATATGAATTGCAGTCTACTAACGCGCGTGTATGTGTGTACACACTATAGTACATATATGGATACATACATGGAAATATATAACGAGAGAGATATGTAAACACACACTCACACAGAAACCATGATCGTTCGCTTTCACTACATGCGCCTAGCTAACGATTTTTCTGTATTTTCTGGATAGCAATGTTCGAAAATGTGAATTTACTTATTCTAAGCTATTCTTCTCTTCTTTCGTTCTAGTGCGTCTGTGAATTCTACATCGTCCTTCACTCGACAGCTTCCATTCGCTACAAGGCTTTCAGACTGTACTATTGGTTTGTCTTACATGTGATGGGGTTGATCGTTTGAAATCCAAATGTTCGGATCTAGCTATTGCAAATCTCATCGATTTGCCTATGAACTTCACTATACAAGAGTGACTTGCCATTTTTTCGTCGATATATTATCGTATCTTGAAATAAATACGAAATTATTTGAGGAAGGGTGACTTAATTGTCATTCATCATATATTTGGCTCGTTTTCTAATGGATATGATTTGCAGTATAATAAATTATTTTTAAATTTCTAAGCAGATTTTAGTTTCATATATGGCAGCAATGGTGCGATTCTTTTTGGTTTAACTTCTACTCATTGTCTTTCATCAAACTGACTCAAGCATCCATTATTGTGAACTCTCCTTGATATTACATTAGTGTACAATTTATTTCTTCACATTACAAACGTCGTTCAATAAATATTTGAATAGGAACATGAGGTCGTAGAATTGCGTCCATAGAAAGATGTAGCTGATCGATAGTTTGAGTAGAACGAAAAGAAAATCGACGAAATATTGTTGATAGCACCACCCTTTCTTCCAAGCCAGCAAACCGTTGACCTATTTCAATTGACAATAACCGTTTTGCAAGAGGAATAACTTTTCCTTACCAATACAATTTCGTGATCCAGCTGAAAATGGAATAAAAGCAAAAGGTGAATGTTCGTTTTTCATCAGTGAAGTATCAGCAAATCGTTCCGGATCAAATTTATCTGGATTAGTAAAAACATCTTCATCATGATGAATACCATATATATAAATGTATACAGTTGTGCCTTTTCGTACTATTTGATTACCTACAATGTAAAGATTGAAAATGGATTTCGAAGAAAAATATTTTCGAATTTACGATAGGTAAAATCTACTTGTACTTCTCGAGCAATTCCAGGAACTGGTGAAAGAATTCTCATCGATTCCTATTTACATCGAAGCAATACTCTTTTGTTCTTCATAAAATGACTATCTTTACTTTTATCACACAATCAAGATAGGTCATTTGTTGAATATCTTCCATCGTACATGGTCTCTCTCGATCATCTAAAAGAAAGCGGACATTAAAGACGTTAAATATGGTATTGATTACCGGCAAAAATTGTGTCTAATTCAGCTTGGACTTTAGTTTGAATATCTGGATAGTATCCCATTAGATAACAAAAATAATTAATTGCTGCTGCTGTTGTATCATGACCAGCGAACATAAACGTGTCAACCTCTTCTTGAATATCATTTAATGAAAGTGTTTTTGTATGTAGTTGAGTAAGAAGACTGTCGAGAAATACTAAACGACGCTTTGAACTCGTTTCATCTATATTAAATGTCGCGAGACGCTCTTCAATAAACTTTCGCAGACAAAACAGTAATGTTTAATTGATTTTTGAAAGAAAGAGAAAATTACTTTTCGAGAAAAATCATGTAAAATTTGCACTTGCTTATTATGTTCACGCCCGATTGGTAGTCGATCGAAGATAAACGTAGGCCATAGCCATGGAGATCGTGAACGAATATGGATAATTTCACCTATTCTAGAACACGAGCTTACTTATACGAATATTTCTTGTTTTCATTTTACCGTATCGTTGCTTGAACAAATGCATGGTTCTCATTTTCCAATTGTGCTTTCAACTGAATACCTGTTGCTGTTTCTAAAAGAAAACATTGAACGTTTTTACGAATGTTAAATACAAACAGACCAGCAATAATATCTAATGTACATGCAGATATATACGGGTAGAGATTATGTGTTTTATCTGATTGTTGAGCAAATTGATCGAAATGTTGAACAAGAATAATCGCTTGTTCATTGAAAATATGCATAAAACTTTGTAATAGTTCAGTATTATGAAATGACGGAGTGATGAGACGACGACGACTACGCCATTTATCATTGTTACTATTTTCAAAACATAGATGAAACAACTCTACAGATTCTTTCTTATTTTCTACCTTGTAATCAAACCAGTTTGAAGCCAAGATTCAAATAGTTTGTAATCAAATGATTTGACAAGTTGTTTACTATTATTGATAAAAGTCTAAATCATAATTGTATTCAAGAAAGAATGAGGAAAATGGATATACTTCTAATCCTTTGGCTGAACAAATGAAAGTTACGGGCCATAATGCATACCAAAGACAAAATATTCCTTTGTCTTTTCTCTGACATTCCTTTGACATTCGAAGAAGTAACTGAAAGAAAACATCGGAGCGTGAATCAATTTGACGGAGATTTCCCATGAATGGAATCGATGAAAGTGGAAGAAATGAAATCTCTTGATAATCTTTTCGAAGTTGAACATATCGAATCAGAAAGGATAGGATTGATTTGCAAATCAATGCAAGAAACAAAGCAAGAACAGTAATCGATAATAATTCCATTTATTCGAATAGCATTTCGACGTTGATTATCTGACTAATGTTTTGAAATTCGAAGAAGAATGCACAAAGAGAAAATCTTCATGCAATCACGTCGTCTTTTTTCGTTTCTTTATTTCTGTTCTACCATCTGTGGCACACATTTCGCGATATTTTCATTCTTGTTTCAATTTATCTACGAACAGATGGGTATATAACGTTTATTTACCGCAATATGCTTTGTTTTCAGATAGTTAGAAAAATGAATTCATCATTTGTATGGACAATTATCTTTGCACTTATTCAACTCGCTGTATGTGCGCATGTTGAAGATAATCGAATTATTATCGGATCGAGCATCGGTGGTGTACTCGGTTTAGTAAGTCATATGAACAACATTGTCTAATCATGAAAAAACCGTATTTGAAACGAAATTTCAGATTATTTTGATTCTTGATTTGATTGCAATTTTTGAATTACTTAAATCAGGTGGTCGTGGAATTTGTTCAAAACTCGTATGGATTTTGGTCATTATCTTCTTTCCAGTTGGCGGTATGCATACATGAATTTCTTACTTTCTTTATTATAAAGTTTCTTTCGAAGGTTTGATTCTCTACTGTTGTTGTGCACGATCTCGTACTGTCGATAGCAGCATTTGAAAACACAAATTACGATGAACTATCTCGATATCTAATCACGCTTCAAAACATCGTTCTTTCTTTTTTTTTCTTGTGTTTATTTGTCTGTCAATCATCATCTCTATGTCAGTAGAAAACGTTCAATAATTAAAATTGATTTCGTCTACTTTTACTGAATTAAATGCCAACACGTTTCTCCTTGACTAACTCGAATTCTCTCCATCAGTATTAGTTCGTAACATACAAAAGTAACTACATGCGACACGCCGAAGAAATCCTTTATTTGATAAGTGTCGGTTCGTTGTTTGATCATTTTGTTTGTTCGTTTTCTTTACTTGAATATCAGTATCGATTGAATGGACTTTTAAAAGATTTTTCTTTTTTACTTTCATCAATGGAGGTTGTTCAAGTAGATTGTATAGATCACAATAAGTATCTTTATTGCGTGTTGATTTCTTATTCGATCGACGAGTTGTTAGAAGAGGAGATGATTGCGGTGATGACGGTGGTGAATGTAAGATTTGATCAGAATAAGTTGCGTAATAATTCGATGCATAAGTGATAATTGGATCTTCTAATCGTCGTCGGCGATGATGATGATGTTGATGATGTTTATTATTGTTAGTATGAACGAAGCGAAATGAAGAACATGGGGAAATAGTATTAGTAGGATAAGATGGCCGGCAGTGCATGTTGAAATTCATGCATGTCGGCTAGATAAAGATCCTAGATGAAATGGAAATATCTTTGTTCCGATCAACAAAGTGAGTCAATTGGACTTACATTTTTTTAGACTTGTCTGTCAATCGAGCGTTGCCAACAACGCACAATGACTTCGTGCTTTTTTTTGGTTTCTTTTTCTTGTTTGATATGCTTGTGTCTTTCGTTTGCTATTTTACCGTATGATTATGCATCTATATTCAATCAAGGTTGCCAATACGTCATTACATTACTTATTTGCTCATATTCTCCCTCCTATTCTTTATGTGCATGTTTATAGTCAATGAACCTCTCTCTCTCTACACGAGAGACGATTACTAGTGCATGAAGCAAACGTACCAAATAATAACCTTGTATTCTATATTGACGAATACATGTAATCCTCTTTTCCTCTTGATATTTCTCTCATAAAAATATGTATATATGTTTATTTGTTAATCAATTATCGATGAAACGAATCAATAGAGTTAGAACTTATCTGATCGTAGACGGGTTGGCTTTTATCAATAGAGAAAAAAATGGAATATGGTAATAAACGAAGCCTGTCGATGATTTGTTATACATTCTTTAATTAATGAGTATGTCGAAACGAACATTATTGACTTTTTCTCTGTAATTAAGAATATACTTGAAAGACTGAAGGACGTCTAGTCGGACAAAACCCGATCAGTGATACAAATGAAAAATATATCCATTTGGGATTTATCTTTGGCCATAGGTATTACAGCTTTTCTATTTAAATAAAAGACAAAAGAAGAAATACAATGAGAAAAAAAATTGTTATGAACATTTGATATTTCTTTTAAAGATTCATCATTCCAAAAAAAAGAGATTTTTAAATGATTATCATCCTCCATTTTGAATTCATTTGACAAACACGTAGAAAAGAAGACGACGAATGTTTGTAGTAATTGACATTGAACATACACACACACACACACACACAGATGAGAGTGAACACACAACAAGTACAGAAGAAAGAAAGAAATGTGTCTATTTGTAAAATAGAAAATGAACAAAATGTAGATCGAGGTTTTTGTTACTACCAATCTAGTCGTGGACTGAGAATATATACAGGGAAAAAAGATCTTCTTATGACGAAAACAGAACTTACAACATTCAGAAAATATGATTAGACACACACGTACACGAGAGATGAGAATTATTTAGTATGTGACTTCGTAAAGAGTGGCTTTTTTGTCGCCTGAGCCTGTTAAAATATATCGATCGTCTGCTGATATATCGCAACAAAGTACACTTGACGATTCTTTTGATTGAAAGAGAAGAAGGCCAGTTGGTGTTCGACAGCAATGAATGTAATTGTCTTTACCCGCTGAGATGAACCATTTACCTTGATGGGCAAATTTAAGTGCTAAAACACAACTTTCGTGTAAACTTAGAGTATATTTATCATGAGATTTCTTCATCGATGGACTTGAAGAATTACTAATAGCTGACGAGATATTGATCAATTCAACTGTCGAAGATTCCATTCCAACAGCTAACCATTCACCTGTTGGACAATAACCCAATGTAAAGATTTGTGAATCAAATTCATATGTTTGTAAAGGAGTATAATCATTTCGGAGATCCCAACAACGGACAGTATTATCTAAACCACCTGTCCACATTGTCCGACCATCAGGTGCAATATCAATACATGATGTTCCGTCAGCTACACGACGAGAAAAGAAAATAGAAAAGAGATGGATATGAACAATGAAAGGTCAAATGACTTACTATGCCCATTAAATGTTTTGACTAAAGATTGATTGTGAATATCATAAATGGCAACTGAACCATCCGAACAACAGCAATAGCACAGTTTGGAATCGGGCGGGCCAAGTGCTAATGCATAACAAGCCGGTGCACCTAGTTTTAATTCACCTTTAATTCTTGGTGAAGTTGATGAAGGTGGATGACTTGAGGGCGCTGGCGATGAAGCATTGGAATTTGGTGTGGAGGAACGTGTATTACTTGCTGAGCCACCCGTAACAGCAGATAGATCGCATATAGAGATGACATTGGCTTCACCACCAACAATTAATGTGCGATCATCAGAAAGTAGTTTACAAAAACGTATGTAACTATCATCATTCAAACATTTAAAATAAGATAGAGGAGTTCGAATGGTGCCCGTTTGTTTTAAGTCCCATACCTTGACACAACCTTTTCCACCCTAAATCAAGACCAAAAAGATAACTTTTAAGAAAAAGAGAAAAATCCTTACCGTATATACACGTTTTGAGGCCTCACTGATTGTAACTGCACAGACGACTTCGCCATGCATCAGTGTGGCAAGCTCACGTGCAGATGTTGGTATATTTGGGCCAGTGAGTGCTTCAGGAGTCATATTTACAGGTGTTACTACTGGTTTACCTTGAGAATCAGTCGTGGTAAAATAGGAATATGTTTGATTTAATAATTGATTATGATGATGATTGCTTCCTCCATGCTGATGCTGCTGTTGTTGTTGATGTTGTTGTTGTTGTTGTTGCTGCTGCTGTTGTTGTTGGTGATGTTGACGTTGAGCGGCGGCCTGAGCAACAGCGGCGGCCTGAGCTGCAGCAGCAGCTGCTGCTTGTGCTTGGGCCATTTGTTGAGCATGTTGATGCTGAGCTGCCATAGCCATTGCTTGAGCTACTTCAGCGGGAGCAAATGGATGACCGAATGGACCAAATGGGTTTAATGCATTAGCATGATGCGGACCAAGTGCACCGAAAGCAGCAGCAGCTGCCAATGCTTCAGGTGAAGAGAATGGGCCTGGATTAAAACCAAATGGAGCGTTGGGCGGTAAACGTCCACCACCAAGTCCTGGTGGCAGACCTAATGGCGCACCTGGTGGCATTTGTGGTGTACCAACATTCGACGAGCCACCTGTAATCGGAGTAATAGCTTTATTTGGTTGTGGAGTATTACGTTCTTTCTTGATTGCTGACGATGAACTACCACGTTGTGAACCATCTTTATCGGACATGGGGCTTCGATCACGTCGACTTCTTGATGAATTTCCACCACCTCCATTGGATGCTGATACAGGTGGCGTTGATGGTACATTATCATTACCATTTCCTGAACTACTGAGATTTTCTGGATGTTCTGACTTGATACCATTAGGTAGAAGAAGGCCGCTGCCAAGATTATTACTTCCGTTCGTATGCTTTTGATTTCCACCCACACTCGTATCAATAACTAAATCTGATTCGCTACGTTCACCATCACTCTCAGCTGCTGATTGCTTCGGCGGCTTTGATGCATTGCTACTTGTACTTGGTGGTCGATGATGTTTGGATGACTTGCCATTAGTTGATGAACGGCTACTACTATTTTTAGTACCTAGTAGATCATTATTATTTGCACGTGGTGAGGACGCATTTTCCTTGGATCCTGATAAGCCGCCACTGCCACCTTCTTCTTTGATACCTGGTGCATATTGTGAAGCTAAACTGCTCAATACTGAAGTGTAATTTAACATTCCGGGTGGAAGAGCAGCGGAGGCACCTGGAAGACCTGGTGGACCGGGTAATTGAAGATGAGGTGCTGAACCAAGACCAGGTACACCGCCAGGTATCGGAGGCATACCGGCACCAGGTGCTGAAGGATTGGATGCAGCAGCAAGTGCCAATGCTGTTGCTTGTGCATTAAATTGTTGTTGAATGACNGCTAAACTGCTCAATACTGAAGTGTAATTTAACATTCCGGGTGGAAGAGCAGCGGAGGCACCTGGAAGACCTGGTGGACCGGGTAATTGAAGATGAGGTGCTGAACCAAGACCAGGTACACCGCCAGGTATCGGAGGCATACCGGCACCAGGTGCTGAAGGATTGGATGCAGCAGCAAGTGCCAATGCTGTTGCTTGTGCATTAAATTGTTGTTGAATGACACTTCAATAAAAAAAGAAGCAAAAGAAAACAAAAAAAAGACAATGGAATCCAAATATCTAGTTACCTATTCAGATCATTCATTGTGACTTGTTTTGCTCGTTCTAATGCAGGTAGCGCATGCGATTGTTGTTCAGGTGTTAAATAAGGAATGATTTGATGTAGTAATGCAACCAAACGTTTACTAATTTCTGTTTGTTTATGCATTTCGTATGATAACCGATACGCCATTTCATAGTAAAGACAATATTGTCTTTGTACTTCATTTTTTTCTGCATTTAGCTTTTCGCATTCAATACGTAATTGTGTACGTTCACCTTGCATATGAGTAAATTCTTTTTCTAATCGATCACATACATCATTAACACTAAAGTCAAAACTACCACCAGTGGTAGAACGATTATTACTATTACTGTTATTAAACATTTTCTATTAAGTAGAAACAAGTCAGTATCGAAATTGGAAAGAAAAATGAAGGCAATTCTTTACTTTTTAGATCATAATAAATTTGTTCTATAATAATATACAAAAAAAAGAGAAATTGAAGGGATCTAGAAGAGAGAATATGTGAAAACAAAAGAATCATTCATTCATCAATCAATACAGAGTGCGTCCGTCCGTATCGGCGAACGAATAGCAGATGACAGTGGCCATATTTATTGATTGATCGATGTCTGACAGAGGAGGAAAAGAGGAATTCTAAACAATTGCAAGTGCATAAGTAACTTACTTTCAAAGAAATCCATTGGTCTATCGAATCGACCAATGGGACAACGATTTAAATAGTAATAAAATAATCGTTTCGTTCGTNTTCATCAATCAATACAGAGTGCGTCCGTCCGTATCGGCGAACGAATAGCAGATGACAGTGGCCATATTTATTGATTGATCGATGTCTGACAGAGGAGGAAAAGAGGAATTCTAAACAATTGCAAGTGCATAAGTAACTTACTTTCAAAGAAATCCATTGGTCTATCGAATCGACCAATGGGACAACGATTTAAATAGTAATAAAATAATCGTTTCGTTCGTTATTCTTTTAGTTCAACTATAAAAAGGGTGGGGGACCGAATGATTAAAACTGGTAAAACACCCAGTTGGAATTTTGGTAAAATTTCTCGTCAGCGAGCAGAACAGCTACTTCTAAATGAATCTATCGGAACATTCCTTGTTCGTGAAAGCGAGCATTTTCCAGGTGATTTAACATTATCGATACGAGATGAGGACCGAATTCAACATTATAGAATCAAATTTGACTTGATTAATCGAATCTATACGGTTGACGATGAAATCTTTTTTCCTGATCTCAATTTACTTGTTCAGGTTAGAAGATTTTCTTTCCAAAGTTATATCAACAGAGATATTTTCCTCTTTCAGCATTACGAATCTGACGCTGATGGATTGTGTTGTCGTTTAGAAAAAGCTCTTGATGAAAGACAAGATGTAGTCGATTCGACTCGTTTGCAAAAATCTGTCACAACAAATATTGATTGTAAAGAATTACACATCGGAAAACTCGTCGGATCTGGAGAATTTGCTGGTAAAAGAGTCTAAACACATGCTTGATAATAACTATCGTTTTGATTGCAGAGGTGTATGAGGGAACCTATCGAAAAACACGTGTTGCAATTAAGATATTGAAGGGATCAAATTCGGCGGAACTTTTCCTTCATGAAGCGAGCATTATGAGGTATGTTGAGATGTTTTTCGATAAAATTTGATAATGATTTCATGAATATGTAGTTCGCTGAAGCATCGGAATCTTGTTCAACTATTGGGTGTGACACAAGAGTCAGATAATGTTTTTTATCTAATCACAGAATTTATGTCGAAAGGTTCACTTTTGCATTATTTGACGACACGAGGAAGATCTGTGATTTCACAAGCAGATCTTATTGGTTTTTCCATGTAAGTTCTCATAAATTACAATCATATGATGATGAAAACTGTTTTGATTGCCATTCCCTATGACAACGATTGAATGATCAGAACAACAGTTGAATGCTGATGATTGTATTTGAAACGAAACTATCTATATTGATGTTTATTTTATTTATTCAGTGATATTTGTGAAGGTTTGCTTTATCTGGAAGAAAATCATATTGTGCATCGTGATATTGCAGCAAGCAATGTGTTAATCGCTGATGATAAAACAGCAAAAGTATCTGATTTTGGCTTGGCAAAGGTCTTAGGCAATACTGAGAAAGACAATGGAAGTAGTATAATTACAGAGAAAATCAAATGTCGAACAAAGTGGACTGCGCCAGAAGCACTTGAATCAAAAGTAAAGAGAATTGTTTTCTTTTGAATGATGTTTCTTTTTATTGCCAATTTTATAGAGATATACGCATAAAAGTGATATGTGGTCATTTGGCATTCTTCTCTGGGAAATGTTTTCATATGGACGTTGTCCTTATCCTCGTTTGGTATGGAATAAATCTCTATTTTCTCAAAAAGATGTTATATTCTTTATTTATTTAGCCTGCTGATGAAGTGTTAATAAATCTGAAAGAAGGCTATCGAATGGAACCACCCGATGGGTGTCCAATCGAAATAGGCGATATTATGCGGCAAGCGTGGCATATAAACCCTGATCGTCGTTTATCATTCTATCAAGTTTTACAACGATTACAACATGTGAACGCGTCATCTTAATGTGCAAGATCTAGTTTTTGACAATCTAATTTTCTTTTGCTTATACTGTTTTTTTTTCGCCAGGTACTTCTAAATTTCATACTGTGATTGGATACGAATTACCAAAATGTTTATATATTTGGTTGAATTTTTCTATTTTTCAAGAATGCTTCTCTTCTTGTACATCTATGATCTTTGACATAATGACAAGTTCAATTGTCATATTTTGTTCTTTCATATTTTCATATGTTTATAAAGCGATCTCAGTCGAGTGAATTTCGTTTCTTTTTCTTTCCTTGCTTGTTCTCTTCTTTTTTTACAATAAACACGATAATAAACTATGCAATTAATACAAGAATCGTGATTACTGATTTACATGGAATTCAAATATGCGTTGTAGTCAATTCATGTTTGTCTTGAAAATTTCATTAAATATCTCTAAGAATACCTCAAATAATGCACTTACATCGAAGATTTTTACAGATTGCATCATCGTCACCACACATCTGATTATGTCAGTGTGTCGCTCAGGCATTTCCATTTAGACTGCATTTTTCGATCTTATTTCGATATGATCATGTTTTGTTCTAGGCTCATCAAATTGATACTCGGATCTCATATCGAATTTTACCAAGATTCGATGCTTCGACAAAATCATTGAGGATTCTGTCGGTGTCCAATTAGCTATTGGACCCGTGAAATTGGATTACGGAAAGAGTTTTATTCTATTGTTTTTTGTTAGTTGAAAGATTCGAACGAAAAAGAACTTGTGTTAATAAAGGAACAAATGGATCGGTTATACGAAGGCATTTGATTTGGGTTGAACTGTAATTATGTGAATTATTGGTGAAGTAATTTGTTGCTATGACCAAAGAATCATATTCGAGAAAAAGAGATTTCAAGGAAGGTATACAACTATTCGTTTCGAGTATAAATTGCCTTACGTAACCGGAATAATCATAATAGTGTGTGCGATTTGTTGAGCCGCATGTGATGGTGTGACCGAAATTTCGAACTGACCGTATACAAAAAATGTGTTCATTTGAAATGCATAGAAGACCGAAGTTTGTCGTCAATGAATCAGTGTAGTGTCAAACTCGAAAGTTGAATTCAGTTATTCTCATCTCCACACTTTTTCGTCCATCGTCTGATCTAGTTTTTCTATCGAATGAAGTATATGCGTGGTTATATGAACCTTGTCTCTATCCTCGTATTGTGTGAATTGTCATTCAGAGAAAAGAAAACCGCTATTTCTAGAAATTCATTCGTTTTGTTCTAAGTAGCTGCTCAAGTTTTAGTAAATTCAAAACGAAGTTACCAAAAGAAACAATCAAATGACTCTCTATTGAATACAGATGAAGCTATGCGACAAGCATGTGCATATCAAGACTCTGATCGGCGTCCATCGTCTATCACGTTTAACAACGATTACAGCATGCGAACGCGTCATCTTAATTTGCAAGATCTATTTTGGACAAATTTTTTTCTCTTATTCTTGCTTGCTCACTCCTTCCTTTCGTACACCATGTATTTATGGATTCGATGTTATGATTCTAATGAATCAACATATAGTTATGTCTTTTCATCTTTATCATGTTTTGTTCTTTCATATTCTGATGTGACCATAACAGAGTGATAATTCCTTTTCCTTGAAATGTCGTAAGCTATTCGTAATAGATAGCATATACAAGTTGGGTTGAATGTATATTAGATTTTATTAGTAAGAGAAATTGTATAAGCAATGAAGGATCAAATAATTAAAACGAATATACATATTATTCAAAGAAACTAACATAAAATATTTCGATAAACGCTTCTAATTGTGGAGCATTGGAAGATCAATGAATGACATGTCCCATTATATACATAAAATGCCGATGTTCGTCCCGAAAATTTCATTTAACATGTACATACATATGATCTTGCTTAACCAAGTAAGACTGTATTGGTAACTGCAACAGGAATTGTAGCGATAGCAGTAGTGAGAACAGGAGTAGCTGCAAGTGCATATGTGGCTCCAAGCGCATATGTAGCTCCAAGTCCCAATCCTGAGACGCCGACTCCAGCGAGTCCTCCGTATCCGTAGAATGAACGACCAAAACTTCTTGGACGACGCTCAAAGAATCCAACATCTCGCTCACGAATTCGAACTTCCCGTTCGCGAAACCGTCCTTCTGCTATAAAAAAAAGAAAAGAAATACAATTTTTATGAAGATGCGACAAGCACAAATCGATTTACCCCAACGAGCTTCGGAAATCATAGCAAACATAGCAATGAAAAGAATTACAGCTACAATTGATTTGGAAAACATTTTCATATAAAATCTAAATGGAAAAAAAAATTCGAATAAATCGAAAATGACGAAAAAAAAACTCTTACTAGATTGAATCCTACTGTAGATATCGATAAAATCACTAGAAGCGGTGTGATTATTCATACCGATGTACAGATCTTATATAGATGCGACTCGATCACCCTGGATTTATCTAGAACGAAAGAGAAAATAGATGATAACATCTTGTGAACAGCAAGTACGTTAGATCGTTTTACCTCGATTGTGATATAAAGTCGTCTGAAATGAACAAAGATAGATCATGTGATGAAAACATGAGTCACTAGTTAAGACTACCTGTAGATTTCATGTAAACAATTTCCAAGTTAGTTATTGCCAATGAAATGACATCATAATAACCAGACCGAGAAAAAAGTATTATTAATATTTGCATAGAACATTATCGTACTCTATTTGAAAAGAAGCGAATAAATAAACATGTGTCCCGATTGAAATAAGTAATGAACACAAACGGACTAATTTGCCTTGTGGAAAGGGGAGAAAAAATGGAATGACGTATGTGTAACAAGGTCATTCTTTGAATAGCAGACAAAAAATATGACCTCCAGGATTGAATATCATTTTCTATTTGAATTAGATTGCGTCTTTATCTCAATCAAATACTTTCGATATCGTCCTTTTATGTATTTATTGCCATATTTCTCTCGGTATGTCATATGATATACATATTGATCAACACATGCAGAAACAAATTTTATTTTCTATGACAACTTGATTGAGACAAGAAAATTCTATGAAATCATTTTTAATTACGAAGAAACACTAGTCCAGACATAATAAATAGTTGATACTACAAGTGTGTTAAGTTTGTTTGGCTTGATTGTCTACATTGGCATTCGAAAAGTTGGTTGTTGATATGGAACAGCCATTTGTGGAGTACCTGGTGGATATCGCATTGATCCTGGTGTCGCCGGCATTGATTTATTTGCGTTCATATGATAACGATATGTATTACGCTGATCAGAACAGCAACCAGCATAAGCACCACCAACAACAGATGCAATCGTTCCAACAATTGTACCAAGAGCACCAGCAGCGATCAATAATGAATTAAAAACAAGCTCAACTGTTTCCCAACTTAATCTTGCGTTGTTCGAATATCTTGCTTGATATTGAATTGGCATAATACACGTGATCATCATGTAAAATGACAAAATCGTTGAAACAACCGAAAGTGCAGTAAAACCAATGATCGATGATCGACTACCTTCACGAAAGGCTAAAATTCCAACCAGACCTGTGGCCATGAGGACCAATCCAACCCAGAAACCTTTTCCTACAATAAGAAAAACAAAATATGAGCTTAATCTTATTGAAACTAATCAAAATCTACCTGATGATGGCCAAAGTGGATTTTCAATTTTCAATCCACCTTGTGTTTCATCATAATTGTAAACACTTGATTTTCCATAGAACAATTCAATAATTGAAAAGATTAATGATGCCGCACCAATAATAAATAACAGAACACCAATGACTGCAAAAACACGAAATCGACTACGATCAGGTTCACCATAGGCATTGTTGTATTTCTCCATGTTTGCTTTTGTTCGATATGAATACAACCACAGAGATAATATGATATTTGGTGGTGATCAACGAAGCATGACACTTAACATCGGTCAACTATCGATATTTTTTTTTGTAACTGAACGAAAAATTCATCCAGTTCGTGAGGTCAACGTTCATACAGAGAAAGACGAAACCTCAAGACACATCGTCCCAATACGCATCAATACTCTCGGTTCACTTTGATTATACGTGTATATATTTATCTGCAAATACAAATCTGTCCTTGACAGGTTTTAATAAAAAGCTAAAAGAGTTATGCACATGTACAAAAGCATAAAAAATAGAGAAGAAAACTTTTTTTTTGATTTCTTTGATTAGTAGTTCAATTTATGTAATAACACGTAGCGTTGGTTGTGGTCCATTTATCGCTTGATCAAATTCATCATCAATAGTATCATCAACAAGTGAATAATGACCTGTTGATGATGAATATGGTACACTTTGAAATTCAGTTTCATTCGGCAGGGTCACAGATGCTATGGTAGGTTTACGTTTTTGACCTGTTACGAAACAGCACAAACATGCACAACGTTCAAGTAAGATTTCAAGCCAATAAGGTTCCGTACAAGCAATAATAAACAATTGTGTTAAGTAAAAACTTGCGCGTAATAACGACGCTAATAGAAACGATTTAAACGTTTCGGCAATGTGTTCAAGATAATAGAGATAAACATCATAAAAGACAAGGATGCAAAGTAATGCTGTAACACGTATTGTCCATAGTTTTTCAATTGGCGGGATTTGATTGGTTCCACGCATGAGAAAAAAGTATCGTAAGACGAAACCAATTAAAATCAATGCAGGTACAAAGAGAATAAAGTAGATGATTGAACGAGCCGTTGCAAGTAGATGTAATTTGGAATAATTGTATAAACAATACTTAGTTGTGTAAGCTGAATAAGACAATTTTGAATTTCGTTGATAGAAAGGAGAAGCCAATGTATACAGAAGAATAATAAATACCCAAGTAAAAATTGCATAAAAATGAATAAAAGACATTGAAGAAAATCGTGCGCAATGATGTTTAAATGATGGATGTGCATAGAGAAAACGATCGATAATCATGTAAAGTACAAAGAAAAGTGGAACCTAAATGAATTTCTAATGAAACAAAGATTAATCAATGATCATACTTACTGTTTCATTAGTAGATAATATAACATAGTGAAACCGGCATAGGCGCAGTGTAAATATATCAAACCAATGATGCAGAAGAAGAATTAGAGCTGGAATCCATGCCACAAATGCACAAAGAATGATTTGGCCAGAAAAAAAGTCAATTGCATTTTTATAAGCACGTGTATAAAACATTCGTAGAACGATAGGAATTGCTAAGAGATATGTTAAGATGGTGAACGTCCATATAACAGTATGAACACCATTGACAGAATATTTTTCAGGTTCAATTAGGTCAGCTACTTGATATTTATATAATTCTGTTCCATTAAGCATTCGCGCGATTAATTGATAGATTGATTCATTAGTTGATGTTGAATTCACGGATAATATCATTCTCGTTGTAATTATCGGCGACGTTGTTGATACATTATTAGTCATTTCTGTACGATTGTGTTGATACTGCAGTTGTTCGGACTGACAAGAAAAAAAATTTATATATATACTATCGTCACCTTCTCGTCACTCGTTATCGTATTCAGAAGAAATAGTATATGCTTCAGCGTTCTGTTGTGCGACTCAATATGCTGATCTTCGAGTGGTTGGGTGGCGAACACGTCGCATGCTTGATTAATTTCATTTCTCCTCCTGCTTTCTTCTCTCGACTCGTGACGGCAGCAACAACAGCAGAAAGAGAGAGGGAAAGAACACACAGAATGATGGTGTCAGCGAAAAAAAAAGAAGAAGAAAAAAAGGACAGAACAGAATAGAACATTTAGTGGTGTTAGAACGGCGTCGACAGTCAGTATTGAGTTGCGTATGAATATGCCGAAAAAATTGCTTTATGATGAAACAGAAACAACATCTTATATCACACACGTAATCCTTTTTCTTTCTCTGATATATGCACAGAACTCCTAGGTCATTGCCATGTGCCTATAAAGTGTATTGAATGAAGAACAACCGAATGAATATAACAGATTCTCAGTCGTTTTTATGAAGAAAAACGTTCGACGTATTGCTCATCGAAGGTTACATAAAACACGCACAGATATATATATATGGAGTAAGGAAGATCGATATGTTTGATTACATTAAAATAAATCTGATAGCAAGTAAAGGATCGACAAGAGTAGATTATATATATGTATACTCGGAAAGAATCAAGTGATGAAAATCCATTATCATAACGTGCATTGACAGGAATTGAATACTGATTAGTTGATGAAAGATACTCTTATTTTCTAACAAAAATCAATATATACATATATAATTATGGGTTAATTATTTATATGGATCTATTGAGAATAATAGAATAAGGTTCGAGATAATTGTGTTCCTGACAATGATAGTGAGAATCAATTTTCTTAATGGTATGAATTAGAAATAGAGATTAAGAAGAAAATGTTATTTTAGTTAATAAATATCAATGTGATCTTTTTAGAAAGATAAGTTTCTTTTTCAATCTTGTTATTTTCAATTGTATTCGCTTCTCAACAGGCATATTCAATAAAATTATGTTTGACATCATCGTCTGTGCTAACATGATGACGAAATGCATATATTTAAGCAGAATGTGATGAAGGAGTTGTTATATCATGCCGCAAATCCAAATATTGTATTTTCAATTGTTGAATAACTAATCATTTATCATGTTTGATATAAAAATATTAGAGGTATTGATTTAACTGAATGTTGAAAACAGAAAAATGATTTGTCACCGTTGGAAATAGTAAATAATACGGTATTTCTCTACGTGACAGATGTACATGTCAAAAGTGAAAGGTTACCGGAATTATATAGAGTTGACAATGATTGTATTCTATGTAAACTTTATGCTAAATTGTCTCATTCTTGACAGTCAGAATGAGTACAGACATTTGCTGACTTCCAGTTCGAGATGGGCACGATTTACATCGATTTTACGAAATAGTGAATAGAACTCATCCAGAACTATTCTGAATGCATTTCTAAGTCTGATCTATCTAAAAAAAACATAGCTATCAGATATGGAACTTTCGAGAAAGCCATTTTTCGCATATTTATGCTAAAAAAACTCAAATTTTGACAAATTGCGCTTTATTTAAATAGTACACTGCCAGTATATAATACGATGAAACGAATAAAATCCGACGGAGACAGTTGAGGATGAAGCGGCCAGTCACTTTTATGGACCACACAACTAGTCAGTATCGTGAATAGTCGAAACAATGCTACGACAATAACTCTTGGTGAAAATGCCTTGATAGTTCATTGTTTTGTGTTCTTGCGGCAGGAATTTCAACCGATTGTTATCTTCAGACACGTTTATTTGAATCTCAACTCAAAGTATTCTTTCATTCGTTCACTTTTTCACATGAATTGACCTTCTTTTAAATATTAGGGCTTCTTCAATGTTTATTTCATTTATTGTTGATCCTGATGCAACTGGTTCTTATATCGCAACAGTTCGTATACATGAACGTATTGCTTTTTTTCATTTTATTGCATCAGAATCGGATATTCGTACATACCGTTATCGGTGATTGAAGCGCAATCGCTATGGATGTTCAACAGAGAACGAATTATACCAATTTTCGCTTATAGGAAATGATTATATATTCGTTAAAAGAAGAATTGAAATTTTGTCAACAAATGCGAAAAAAATGAATTCGATATTGTAAACAAGAAAGTCAAGTCGACAATAGAAACCCTTGGGTGTATTTTTCAAAGCCCAAATTTCTCGCTAAAATAAACAATTTAATATTCCTTCTTCAAGTCACCTCTTTGCAACTTTTCTAAATCCAGCGGAACTAATCTGTGTAACAACAAAACAAGATTTTTCTTAAAAATGATCATTGCATGAACGTTTTCCATGCACAAAACGATGAATACGATTCGCATCACGAATAACAATTTCATATTGACGAATTCGACTGATCAATTCGATTGCATTATCTATTAATACATAATGAAAAAGTCTAATATTGTACTCTTCGCAATCATTTTATATGGTGTCACTCTTGATTTAGATTACCGGAGCAAAATTCCGATTTTCAGTTCGCCGGCTGTTCAACATCCTGTCTTTTTGCGAAAGAAGTGACAAAGCTTCAGCATTCAGGATTATTTTATATTGTTGTTCTCTTTTGCGTATATCATTCGCAACAAACACGATACTAGAAAAAAAATGAAGAGAGAACAGTGTTTTCAGTAGCAAAGCAACTAGTAAATTCAATTCTTCCAAGTCATTAATATATGAGATCTGATCATAACAAGAAGCTTCGTGTCGTAAGTAGCGAAATCTACTTCATCAAGAATCAGTATATCATTTTGATGAGCCACACATACGTCTACTGAACCTTTGTATTGCATTAACTAGTATGAATAGCAGAGAGAAGAATTCATTCTCTCCTTTTCAATATACTCAATAAAGATAAAGTTAAGTATCTGACATTGTTTGCATAACAGAATACAATACTGTTTTTCTATCTTATTTACTGTTCAATCTTGGGTCAAATAAATTGGTTGCTATTAGTGTACATGCGTGTAGTTCTATGTTTCGATCGTAATCATCTGATTTGAGTAGAATGACTTAAAGATGATCATTAGAAAGGACGTCGTATTATCGAAAATTTCTATTGAAAATCTACAGGAAATTCGTACCGAATTGTTCGATATGAGAATATGGTAAAAAGGAAAACAATCGGTCAGCTATTTAGCAAACTAGATAGTCATCAAGTCATCTTTTTTTTACAAATTCAATGAAAGCCATAGAAAATGACAAGGGTTCTTGTCTTGCAAATATTTGATTTCGAATAACGATTTATTCATTTTGTTTTCTGTTACTATTGAAGTACTCAATTGAAGGCAATTTCGTATGAATAAATTTTAATACATTGGACTGCATAATCTGGAAGCATAAGCAAAAAGTCGTGACGGTCACGTTCGTCTGTGGTTCAAACGATATCAGTTTTTTGAACCAACGAGAAAGTTTGTTTAAGATATAGAAAGAAGATTCACTAAATCGAATCAACAAGAAAAGTGTTTCTTTTTTTCTCTTGATTTATCTATATATTCATCATTCGTTCTTTTATTTTTTTCTCTCGTTTAGCTTAAATCCAGGAAAAAGCACAACAGAAAAAGAAAATAACGAAGACAGTGTTTGAAGTAACAAATCGACAAACAAATTCATTGCCTTCAATTCACTTACACAGACATACATAGATCTTTGTGTTCTGGACAAGAAAAAAAGAATGANGAAAAGTGTTTCTTTTTTTCTCTTGATTTATCTATATATTCATCATTCGTTCTTTTATTTTTTTCTCTCGTTTAGCTTAAATCCAGGAAAAAGCACAACAGAAAAAGAAAATAACGAAGACAGTGTTTGAAGTAACAAATCGACAAACAAATTCATTGCCTTCAATTCACTTACACAGACATACATAGATCTTTGTGTTCTGGACAAGAAAAAAAGAATGAACAATGGCAAAGTAAATGGAACAATAACCGAGACAAGACAAAGAGAAACAGTTTACATAGTTCATTTCGATTGAATATGACCAGATAATTAACGATTTTCGACTGAAAAACAAAAGAAAACAAATGTTTGAAATATAGAAGACGAAAACTATCCTTACTATAAGTAGTAACGTCAATTTCATCGGGCATTTCAGTGATTTGTACTTCAAAACGAGTTTGCACTTCATTTAAAATCGCAGCGTCATTCTCATCACCAATGAAAGTTATTGCTAAACCTTTTGTACCGAAACGACCAGCACGTGCAACCTACAGAGAAAAAGAAAAATTCATCGAAACAAACAAAACCTCCTTCAATCAAATTGCTTACTCGATGAAGATATGTATCTGTGTCTTCTGGCATATCATAATTAACCACAATGTTGACACGTTCGATATCCATACCACGTCCAAATAAGTTCGTTGCGACAAGAATACGTGTTTGAAATTCTTTAAACTCTTTGTAACGAGCCAAACTAAATGAACAGATATTGTTGATGATGAGTCAATTTCGATTGTACGACAACTAACCGTTCTTCTTGAGGCATTCCACGATGAATTTCAACTGCTGGAAAATTTTGTTCTGTTAATAGTTTACACAAAACTGAACATCGTTGTACAGATTTAACGAAAATAACCACTTGATTGAATTCTAATTTATCTAACAGATCGATGAGTTTTCGATTTTTTTCATTCTCGCGTAGTTTAACATAATGTTGACGAAGACCCTATGATGAAATAAAACATAAGAACTCTATTCTAATAGAATAACTTACATGGAGTGTTAATTTAGTTTCATTATCGATATAAATTTCCATTGGCTGAAAACAAACAAATCAAATTAAGTTGGATAACAACAAGTCAAACTTACATCTTGCATAAATTTCTTGCAGACAGGTCGAATATCTTTGCTTAATGTTGCACTGAACATCAACACTTGTTTTGATTCTGGATTCCTCATGGTTTCGTAATTCACGAAATTCGGACACTGCTGGAATTTAACTACAAATTTTACTTTTTAGATGATCACACGTTGTTGTTCGAAAACAAATAATGTTACATTGGCGAAATCGATAAAGAATGTGCCTATATAAATGGCACTTTTTCGTGGCACTCCTTATTAAATTATGAGAAATAAGATTTGAATCTAATTTCCGATGAAACTCGCCGAAATTATTATTCTCCTTTTGGATTGAATCGACATGGTATCACTGGCACAAGTAGCACCCAACTTCACAATCTCAGATATCTTTACTGTGTTTAATTGTCGGCACACGCTCAAATATTCTCAACCTACTTACACTATTACTCAAGGAGTTTACAACAAAATCGTCCATCATTTACATGATCTGTGCCTCTTCGGTTGATCTCTTATGCAGTAACTTGTGTTTTGTTATCAACATTTGATCGATGCATATCACCATCGCGAAGTGCTCGTTGGCGGCGACTGAGCTTCATATGGATTGCTAAGCGTCCTTTTCTCACAAGTATGCTGTTTATATTCAATGTGCACAATGGTGTATGCGTAGCGTCGTCTAGCTCTGGCGTCCTTATAGCAACAGTTTATGCAGATTTTGCTGATCTTAACATTTGTGAATGCATTTTTACCGAATGCATTAGTATTTCAATGAAGCCTGACATTTTCCTACACTTTCAATACTGTTTCACAAACGAAGAGTTTCGAGCGGCAACAAATCGAATATTTTATTATATGAACTTTGGGCCATCATTCTATGTCAATTTTGCTTTGAGCAGTATATTTCGTAAAAGATTTCGAAAATGCGCACCATCACTAATTGAGCGATGTTTTCATTTTTGTCGAAGGACTAAATTTTTGTTTTTCTGTATAAAACGACCTATCTTAGGTAGATGAAAATGTAAGCTGAGGACTTTTTCACCGGTATGGCTTTCAGTCGGACAGCCATTCTGACGAATTCGTTGCAAGAACCTTAAACAAAGTACATTTCCAATTAGAGGTCTAATACGTTCAAATAAAACATTAAATAGTCAGCATTCACATTCTTTTGATGACGTTTTGGACTATCGTAAGATGCATAGTTTCAATTATATCATAATTTTTCATCTCATGCCAACCAATGTCCTTGATTGTTAGACAAATCAGTCGTTCATTTATTAAGTTCATCAAACTATGATAAACATCGAAACTAGAGACAGAGACAGAAATGATAAAAATTATTCCGTCCGTCAGTTCTATCATTCTTTCCCCAACGTGTATACATACATATATATATATATATATATATATGCATTCTACATGTGTACAATCCGTTGTTATCGATAGCTCTCACTTCACCGCGCATTTCATTCTTGTCTATACGTCTACGGTTAAATTTCGATATCTTCGCCAAAAGTCTATTCACCAAAATGAACATCGAATACTTTCATTCCTATATACAGGTCGATCAATACATTCGTCAACAAGAATTTGTAAAATGCGAAGAGGTAAAGTTGTTCGTATTTATCAAAATCTTAACCGACGTCTTGTTCTTCATAGCTATTAACAAAGTTAATCAATCAAAATCCGGATGTGACTGATACTGAAAAGGCTGCTATGACTGAATTGTTCAGAAAACGTATTGTGGTTTATCATCGTTTAGGAAAATATAAACGTGAGTATCGATCGTTTTCTTGAGCATCAGACGAATCAGTTCTATCTAGTTGCTTTGAACGATGTTGAATCACTCATGAAAAGAAACGTTACACTCGTTTATAATGATGAACTCTTTCTTATTCAACAGTAAGTGATGCTCAGCTTTGGTTCATTGATATCATTATGCTTTTTCAGGGAATCAATTTTCAATTGTGCACTTGACGAAATAACTGAAAATTTAAACCAAAGTTTGTCTCCATGTAGGTAATCCTTTGATTTTGTTCTTGTCGTTCTATTACCTACATTTTCGATTTCAGCGAATAGATCGTATTTTGCTTGGCTCATAGAGTTTTTCGATTCCATAAAGTCCAAAGATGTTTTCAACGAGTAATTCGATTGTACATATGATTTTCATATAACGGCTTTTTCTTCCTTTTAGGAAAACATTCGACGCGGTCAATACGAAAGGAAATGCAAAAAGAAAATGCTTATTTTGACAAATCAATTAGTAATCTTTAATTGAGATTTTTTCGTTTTTTTCTGTATGTCAGACTTGTGTAGTTTCATTTGCTAATTATGTGGAAGGTGTTTGCTTTTTGTTTATTAATGATGTATATAATCGATTTCTTTTTCTTTAAAAATAGAGAAAAGGACAAATGATGTTCTTTGTTCAAATTTCTATGAATCCACAAGGCGATGGCAGTTCGTTTGTTTTGAACTACAGTAAAACCCCTTTTAGTGAACACCCCTCCTTAGTGATCACCTTGTTATACTGAACAGGGTGCGGGTGAGGGTGAGGGTGGCAGAAATTGAAAACTCGAAGCTTCGAATTCTAAATTTTAGAAGTTTAAAACTCGAAGACGTTTAATACTCGAATCGAGTTAACGATTTCTACACTACTCGCATATCCTGAAAGCATAAGTAAAAACTCGTGACGATCACATTTATTTGTATTCCTAACAGCATCAGTGTTTTTAACCAACGGGAAAGTTCGCGAAATAGAATCGACATGAAAAGTGTTTCTTTTTTTCTCTTGATTTATCTATATATTCATCATTCGTTCTTTTATTTTTTTCTCTCGTTTAGCTTAAATCCAGGAAAAAGCACAACAGAAAAAGAAAATAACGAAGACAGTGTTTGAAGTAACAAATCGACAAACAAATTCATTGCCTTCAATTCACTTACACAGACATACATAGATCTTTGTGTTCTGGACAAGAAAAAAAGAATGAACAATGGCAAAGTAAATGTGACAATAACCGAGACAAGACAAAGAGAAACAGTTTACATAGTTCATTTCGATTGAATATGACCAGATAATTAACGATTTTCGACTGAAAAACAAAAGAAAACAAATGTTTGAAATATAGAAGACGAAAACTATCCTTACTATAAGTAGTAACGTCAATTTCATCGGGCATTTCAGTGATTTGTACTTCAAAACGAGTTTGCACTTCATTTAAAATCGCAGCATCATTCTCATCACCAATGAAAGTTATTGCTAAACCTTTTGTACCGAAACGACCAGCACGTGCAACCTACAGAGAAAAAGAAAAATTCATCGAAACAAACAAAACCTCCTTCAATCAAATTGCTTACTCGATGAAGATATGTATCTGTGTCTTCTGGCATATCATAATTAACCACAATGTTGACACGTTCGATATCCATACCACGTCCAAATAAGTTCGTTGCGACAAGAATACGTGTTTGAAATTCTTTAAACTCTTTGTAACGAGCCAAACTAAATGAACAGATATTGTTGATGATGAGTCAATTTCGATTGTACGACAACTAACCGTTCTTCTTGAGGCATTCCACGATGAATTTCAACTGCTGGAAAATTTTGTTCTGTTAATAGTTTACACAAAACTGAACATCGTTGTACAGATTTAACGAAAATAACCACTTGATTGAATTCTAATTTATCTAACAGATCGATGAGTTTTCGATTTTTTTCATTCTCGCGTAGTTTAACATAATGTTGACGAAGACCCTATGATGAAATAAAACATAAGCACTCTATTCTAATAGAATAACTTACATGGAGTGTTAATTTAGTTTCATTATCGATATAAATTTCCATCGGCTGAAAACAAACAAATCAAATTAAGTTGGATAACAACGAGTCACACTTACATCTTGCATAAATTTCTTGCAGACAGGTCGAATATCTTTGCTTAATGTTGCACTGAACATCAACACTTGTTTTTCATGCGGTGTCATTTTGAATATTTCTTGAACGTCGCGACGCATTTCTAAATAACAAGGTTGGTCTTCATATACCATACGAATTTGATAGCATACCAAGTGATTCCAAGACTTTATCACATTCATCGATAATAAAATGTTTGACATGTCGTAAATTGAGTGCTTTACTCTTTCCTAGAGCCAGAATTCGACCAGGTGTACCAACAACGATGTGTGGACAATTCTTTTTCAACGTTTCTTCATCATTTTTAGTTGGCAAACCACCAAAGAAAACCGAAACTTTCACCGATGGCATATATTTGCAAAAGCGTTCGTATTCACGACTGATTTGAAAGGCTAATTCACGTGCATGACACAGAACGATAACCGATACCTAAAATCAACGTGTGAAATAACACAAAAATTCACTTAACATTTCTTCTTTTCTCTTACTTGTCCATCAACAGGTTCTAATTGTTGAAGCGTCGCTAACACGAAAACAGCTGTTTTGCCCATACCAGATTTGGCTTGACATACAATATCTGTACCAAGAATAGCTTGTGGAATGGATTCATGTTGAACTATAGAATAGATAAACGTAGTTTAGCCGGAGTTTTCCAGTGTCTTTTTTTTTGTTTAAAACCTTCAGATGGATGTTCAAAACCGCAATCCATTATTGCACGGAGTAATTCAGGTTTCAGGAGAAAATCTTTAAAGCCACTTGCATGAATTGATACATAAGAGCCGCGGATTGGTCCACTTTGTGTACCTGATGAACCTCCATTCTTTAATGACGATCCACCACCCGTTCCATTCAATGTTCCACCTTTCACACCCGTTTGTGGCGCATCATCTGCTTCGTCATAATCGAGAAGTTCTTGTTCGTCAGCCATTTGTTGGAAAGTTTGATCTAAAACAAGAAAAAAAAACACTTGTCAAACATCAATAGATGCGATTTCATATTTGTATATATGTAGATTCGTATGTATAAGAGGAATTATTAAATAAAGATAATAGAAAAAGGAGAGAAAAAGAAAAGCAACATCATTCGTCTATTATCATTGAAAAATGAAACGAAAGAGAATATATAGGATAATATATATTCACTGTTATTTTGTGACACATACGAACATACACACACAGGGCGCATTAAAAACACATGACACATGAATTGAAATGTTCATCTTTCGAGAAAATGAAAGGATATCAGTTTGATACTCACAGACAGATCTTTGGAATGCGCGTGGAGAGGAGAGAAAGAAAAGGCAATATCAATGTACAAGTAGAAAAAAGATTATAGAATAACTAAACTACGGCTGAAAAGAAGTTTTACAAACAAAAGGGAGAGAGACAAATGCATCCGATTTCTTTTTTTTCCTTGTTTTTATATGAGATTAGGTCCTATGAAGCAGTTACAATAGTTTGTTGCGGAGTAACGGGTGGTGTATGAGGCTCCTGCTTCTTCTCAGTAACAATCGAATTTACAGATGTGGAAGAAGATGAGTTATTCCAGGAAGAATTTGTCGGAGTTGAAGGTGCCGGAACCGAAGAAGTCTAAAATCGAATATTGTGGTTAGAGAACAAATAAAATTCTTCGATTCAAACCTGATTATGAATGTTATTTGCGGAAGGCGTTTGTGGAGAATTGATATTTGTTGATGAAAGTCGTTTTCGTGGTATTGATGACAATTCTCCATTCGACAATGAGTTAACACCATTTGGTGCTAAAGGATTATTTGCGAACATGGACGGTAGTTGTTGTGGTTGAGATGGCGAACCAGGAAATGAGATTTGTTCTCGTTTGATTTGATTCGGATTGGATAAGAACTGTTGTTTGGGATGGAGTAATGATTGAAGATTGGGATTTTGTTGGAAACCCGGTGGTAGTTGTTGATTGGAAGAGTTAAATTGTTGGGGCGCCATACCATTTAGATCATATTGAGCATTTTCGAGACGTGTTATAAAACGTTCATCTTCATCATCCATTTCACCACCCATGAGAGATGGTTCGCCAACAATCATAACATCCTAGATCCATTCTTTCTTCAGACTCTATTTTTCAAAATAAGATCGACTTTTCATACCCCGGGCATGTTGTTTAATCCTTGAGTTGGAGGTTGAGAATAGACATTATTCGCCGGCGAGCGTTTCTTTGCTGGTGTTGTACAATTGGGCCCAGCTGAATCTTTACCACTTGGTGCATTGTTATTTCCTACTGCGGTTTTTCGTTTTCGTCGCGTTTTCGCCGCTGGTCGGTTATCTAAAGAAGTTTTCACATGGAAACAACATATTGAATGTACTCAAACTGATTTACCTGAACAAGTTTTCGACCAACGCTGATGTAAGATCGTTTTTAAGCAATCACGTGGAGAGAAAGCCGTCGTTTTATGACGAGACATGATTTCTTGCATTGGTTCGAGAATTTCACACAACTACAAAACGCCGTCAGAATGAATATCGACTTTTTCATGGAAAAACCAGCTTTTACTCGAAGGAAATTCAACATCGAGGGTGTCAAACCATGCCGAGTATAATTTTTCGATAGTTGATCAAGATAAGTTGGATTATCAGTCTATAAAATTCTTTCTAAATTCGAATCGCATATACAACACACATACCGGAATCGCAACAACACTTCTTGGAATTAATTCTCGATGTTGTTTGATTGAAAAATGCCATGATTTAATACGCATCAAATCATCATAGGTAAACTCGATATTAAAATGTCCTTCGATGCAAACCTTGAAATAATCAACCAATGAAAAAGATGTTAGATCAGATCTATGACTTATTCTACTTTAATATGTGATGGCTTTCCAAAACAGGTAATCAATGAGCCTTGTTCGCAATCGATTGACAGCGTTGTATTATGGAAAATTTCTTTCGGATGTTTTAGAAGAAAATAGACTTCGCTAACTCCACCATCGAATAAAACACGGAAAAATCGTGGAAGTAAAACACGACCGATATCTGTATGAAAGCGAAGATGAAATTTTTTTATTTGAAAGAAAGAATACTCTTACGAAATCGTTTTGGTCCATCGTCTAGACATATCGAGAGAATAATTGCTGAATCTTCTTCGAAAAACTCATTGACAAACGAATCCCACCAAAGACTATCACATTCCTACAAATCAATCAAATCCAATCGTACAATTCAGATTTCAATTCATTATTACTTCAGATCTCATGGATAAACGTTTGTTTAAATCATATATCCGATATTCTGGAGAAGGTAGAGATGGTCGATATTGTCGCATAGGTTGAGATCTGTAGAATACAAACAGAAAAGCATGAAGATGACAAATTTGAAAGCAAAATCTCTTACGGAAAATGTAAATCGCGTGGTGGCATAGTTGGAAAACGTCCAGGATGACTATGTGGATGTGAGGGATGAGGTAAAATAGGTGGATGAGGACTTTGCCAAAGTCCAGGAGGAGGAGGAGGAGCAGGCGAGTCAACAAGACTAGGCTGATATCCACTTGGATCCACTTTTGATCTGAAAATATACAAGTCATCGATTTTTGAAGTTTGAAAGAATATTGTTCACTTACCGCTTTCAAATAACAGAAAAGAAGATTGAAATAAATAAGAACTTGTTGTATGTTTGCTTTTCTATGTCTCGTCAATACTGTCACTAGACGCCATTGGAATAATTCGAATTTGTGACCATTCAGTGAAACTATTTCATTTCATCTTTCTGTTATTTTGCTTCTTTTCTTTCTTTACGCAATGGTTAATGCCATGTTGCTCCCGTGTCATATATCTCTATCCTCCTCATTATCTTCTCTTTCTTTCTGCATCTCTACCAATCAGAAAATTTACGATATACTTCGTCAAAAAATCGTCAAGAAAAATTTGTCAACTTTTCCCAGAGAATTTCAAATTTATTAAATTTCTCGTTTTCCATTACAGATGAATTCTAACAATCACACCATAGATGTCACTAATTTTGACAATGAGAATCTAGAGTGTATCAAAAAATAATGTGATTGAATAGGTAAATTGACAAACGTTGTTTGTTATATTTGATAGTTTATATGAACAACGCTGTTTGTTTTCGTAAAACATTTGAAATGATTATATTTGTAGACAATGACATATATTTCTCTTCATTTTGTTTTATTCTCTGTTATATCTATTTGTTGTAATTCAAATTATTTACCAGACTGGTTATCTCTCGATACAAGACCTATTCCCAACTGGTATGATCAAGCTAAAGTCGGGATTTTTATCCATTGGGGTGTCTTTAGTGTTCCATCGATAACGTCGGAAGCCTGGTGAGATTGTCTTATATAACTTTCCCCTCTTAACCTATCAAAATCTATGTATATTGATAAACGATCGAGATGAATAGAGATAAGTTAACTGCGTAACTTCTTTCAGATAGAAAGAATGTATTCATCAACAGCACGAATATTCAGTGCTGGAATTTTCTATTCCTTGATAATCTTTACTAATCAAAAATATACGCCAGATTGGGATTCATTGGATAAACGATCATTACCTTCGTGGTATGATGAAAGCAAAATAGGGATATTTATTCATTGGGGTGTCTTCAGTGTACCATCGTTTCGTTCCGAATGGTACGTAGTTTTGGATAACACGGAGAATATACGAATGATGTTTAGGATGTGGTACTCATGGAAAGGCGATAATCCAAATCCAGAAACAGTGGCTTTTATGGAGAAAAATTATCCTCCTGATTGGACATATGCAGATTTTGCAGAACAATTTCGCGCGGAATTCTTCGGTTAGTGTAGATCAAACATAGATTTTTGACAATCACTCGTACTTTTAGATCCGTACGAATGGGCGGATATACTTGAGGCATCCGGAGCGAAGTATGTTCATCGTGTCTTGGAATGATTCTCTGATGAATATCTTATTCTTTGTAGATATGTTGTACTAACCAGTAAAGTGAGTTTTTGTTTAGTATGAAACGAACGTGAATTCGATTCATCGTTGAGTAGCATCATGAAGGTTTTACTTTATGGCCATCGAAATATTCATTCAATTGGAATGCAATGGATGTTGGTCCTAAACGAGATTTAGTTGGTAAACTTCAGTTCACTTTTTGCAATCCTGAATGACTGAGACAATTTGGAATTCTAGGTGATTTAGCTGATGCTATTCGTAATCGAACGAATATTACTTTTGGTTTATATCATTCACTATACGAATGGTTCCATCCGCTGTTTTTAGAAGATAAGAAAAATGAATTTAAAACACGATATTTTCCCACGGTGAGTTTTACGAGATTCGTGAAGATTTTCGGATAAAAAATTGAATTTTTCAGATGAAAACTATTCCGGAACTATATGAAATCGTTGAAAAATACAAACCAGCTGTGATCTGGTCTGATGGTGATTGGGGTATGTAGAAGAATTCGTCCGTTGAATTGCTTATACTTCTGATATTGTACAGATGCACAAGATACATACTGGAATTCAACAGGCTTTCTCGCTTGGCTTTACAATGAAAGTCCTGTGAAAGATATTGTTGTACGTAGTGTTATTTTCAACGAAAAAAATATTTGAAAATGAACGTTTTATCGAAGGTTGTTAATGATCGATGGGGTTCGGGAATTATGTGTAAACATGGTGATTTCTATACATGCTCAGATCATTACAATCCAGGGCATCTCGTCACACACAAATGGGAGAATTGTTTCACCGTATGCTTGTCCAATTTTAAATCGAATTCAAATATTCGTTCGAATGTCATAGATTGATAAAAACTCATGGGGTTTCCGTCGATCTGCCAAATTCTCAGATTATATAAGTATTGAAGAATTACTGAAAGAACTTGTCATTACGATTAGGTAACGCTCGCAATCAGTATTAACAGATCTTTTGAAATTATATTTTAGTACTGGTGGCAACGTTTTGATCAATGTTGGCCCTACTGCTTACGGGAAGATTGCACCAATCTTTGAAGAACGTCTTCGTCAAATGGGATCCTGGCTCAAAGTCAACGGTGAAGCCATCTACCACAGTGTTCCATGGAAATATCAAAATGACACCATCAACTCCAATGTTTGGTAAGTTGCATCATTTCGCACGATATTGAAAGCGTCATGAGTGAGTTTAGGTACACTGCATCAAAAGATGGTCAATCTGTGTATGCATGTCTTCTTGTTTGGCCAAACAGCACAAGTGAGATCAATCTTGGCGCACCGGTAACCTCAGCAAGCACAACAGTATCACTTCTTGGGTCGTCTGGTGGTCCATTGAACTGGCGTTCGGGAGGTGCAAGTGGTGGAATAGTAATTGATGTATCAAGTGTAAAAATCTATTCGCTCGCAAGTGATTGGACATGGGTATTCAAGATGCAGAATATTCGTAGCTCTAAAGCAACCGTCGTAGACAAAGAAGACTATGAGAACTACTAATGTATACCTTTTTTGTGATAATTTCAACTAATTTATTTTTCATATCTTGTATGTGATGTCTTTTCTTATCATTCCTTTTTCTTTATGTGTATTTTAACCGTGCTTTGAATTACATAATTTTTGCTCTTCATTGTTATTATTACTTTTTTTAGTCTTGATTGCATTTTAACAATAAATTCTACTTCTTAATACTGAAAGAAATTGATTATCGTCTCCTTTGAATGAATATCTCGGTTGATATTCGAACGAAGAACACCCACCCTTAATGACAGATCATGTGTACACATACTTTTAACTGTTTGAAGGTGGTATATATTAGAAAAAAGTGACGATAGTATGGTTTGAAAGTTAATACTAGGCGTTTTTCATGTCAATAAGTATTATCTAATCTTTGACTATCCTCGCTAAGAATAGAAACACACCTTTATATATAAAGGCGTGTGTGAGGTATACCAACCTCAGTTGCTAATATCTTGTTGTGATAAGAAGATGCTTTCTTTTTTTGCAAGGATATTCGTTGTTGCTTTTTGTCTCTGTCATGTACCGATCACTGAACAACAGTATACACCCGATTGGACATCATTAGATTCACGTCCGTTGCCAGCGTGGTATGATGAGAGTAAAATAGGTATTTTTATCCATTGGGGTGTGTTCAGTGTGCCATCGATTGGTTCAGAATGGTAAACTATTTCAATGCATACAAAAGATATCCTTTTTTTTATGCTGTTGTATATTTTAGGATGTGGTGGCAATGGAAGGGAAATAATCCAAGTGCGAATATCGTTGCTTTTATGAATAAAACTTATCCAGCAGATTGGACATATGCAGATTTTGCAGAACAGTTTCGTGCAGAGTTTTACAGTAAACTACCATCTTCTTTTTGACATTAGATTTAAATAATTCTATGATTTCTTTCTAGATCCAGACGAATGGGCTGATATACTTGCAGCTTCAGGTGCCAAGTACGTTCTTCGTTATAGTTCCGACCTCAACTAGTCGATCTTTTTTCCATTTTGTGTAGATATGTTGTACTTACTAGCAAGGTTGATTTGACACTGAATTTCGCTTATTCACTATTGATCGATTTCACTTGTTGAATAGCATCATGAAGGTTTCACCTTATGGCCATCGAAATACTCATTCAATTGGAACGCAATGGACGTTGGTCCTAAACGGGATTTACTTGGTAAATTGATGCTTGTGCTTCTAATTTACGTTCGTTTTTCAATCCTTAGGTGACCTTGCTAAATCAATTCGTGCTCGAACAAATATTACCTTCGGTTTATATCATTCAATGTTTGAATGGTTTCACCCACTCTATCTTGAGGATAAACAAAGTGGTTTTAAAACACAACTATTTCCTAACGTAAGTTTTTGAACATTTATCGAGAACAGTTTAAAACAAATATATACCGACCATCTCATCTAGATGAAAACTCTTCCGGAACTCTTTGAAATTGTTGAAACATACAAGCCTTCAGTCATCTGGTCGGACGGAGACTGGGGTACGTGAATTATTAATTCTAGTATTCATCTGTATCCTACTCATATTTCTCGGTTTTAGAGGCGCCAGATACATACTGGAACTCGACTCAATTTCTTGCATGGCTTTACAATGAAAGTCCAGTCAAAGATACCGTCGTATGTCTCGATTACTTTTTTTTAAATACGAAGTCCGACATTTCTATATTAAAGGTTGTCAATGATCGATGGGGTAGCGGTATTCCTTGTCATCATGGTGGCTACTATACTTGTTCAGACCACTACAATCCAGGACATCTCGTCACACACAAATGGGAGAACTGTTTCACCGTATGTTTGTCGGCTCTCAAATCAAGTTGAATATATGTTTGAATGTAATAGATTGATAAAAACTCATGGGGTTTTATTCGAACGTCTGGCGTCAATGATTATCGTAGTATTCAAGAAATTCTTATGGAAATAGTAACAACTGTTAGGTAAGCATAACCTTACACTCTGTGAGTGCTTTGTATTGGCATATTTAGTACCGGTGGCAATGTTTTGATTAACATTGGTCCAACTTCGTATGGAAAGATTGCACCAATCTTTGAAGAACGTCTTCGTCAAATGGGATCTTGGCTCAAAGTCAATGGTGAAGCCATCTACCACAGTGTTCCATGGAAATATCAAAATGACACCATCAACTCCAATGTTTGGTAAGTTGCATCATTTCGCACGATATTGAAAGCGTGACGAGTGAGTTTAGGTACACTGCATCAAAAGATGGTCAATCTGTGTATGCATGTCTTCTTGTTTGGCCAAACAGCACAAGTGAGATCAATCTTGGTGCACCGGTAACCTCGGCAAGCACAACAGTATCACTTCTTGGATCGTCTGGTGGTCCATTGAGCTGGCGTTCGGGAGGTGCAAGTGGTGGAATAGTAATTGATGTATCGAGTGTAAAAATCTATTCGCTCGCAAGTGATTGGACATGGGTTTTTAAACTCCAAAACGTTACTCCAAAGAAAACTACAAGAAAATTCAAATTTCATGGAAAACAATATGAATGAATTTCTTTCCTCTTCTATTTATGAATAAGATTAGCTTGACATATTCACTGTAGAACAAAGTATTTCATTCGTATTTTCCCAATAAAAAATGTACAAAAAAAGGTTGGCTAAACGATTGTTTCATATACTGGTGAATGAGTTTGCTCGACAAGTAATAATTGTAATCGACTGTCATCTGCTGGTGGATACGAAACAATTTCCAATCGAGGATTTGATACCGACGGAGATAAATAGGTTACGGGCAGCACCACACCGTCTGCTGTATTCTTACGTTTAATTTCAGTGTTATTCACTTGCGGAGATGATATCTTCGATGACGCTTCTTTTTCCAATTCAAGAATACGTTCTTTGAGAATTTCGACATAATTTTCTAAGACTTTTTCACGTCGTGAACGATCTGGTCGATGTTGATTTGTATTATCGGTTAACATTGGTTTGCCTTCCTAAATAGTCATGTCGAATATTCGATAAAAAACACGAGAACCGGTGATATTTCTTACTGGTTGACGTTGCTGATCCCGACCTACTCGTCTTGCTCTTGCAACAAACCTTGAATATGCATTTTCAGAAAGTAGAATAATTACTGCGATTAACGTTCCGCCGGACAGAAGTAAAAAAGCGGATGTAAAATTTCTTTCCTACAAATTGATCATATCGAATCTTTATAGGCGACAAACCAAGTCTTACATCTAACGGTTGACTACTTCGTTGTGATTGATGCAACATATCGGGTTTACATGCTCCTGACAACAAAAAGTCGACGTATACTCATCAAGATAATGAAATAGCAAATAATAGTTTCATTACCGGTAAACCAAAATCGACGAAGACGCTCGATTTCTCCTGAATGATGCATTTCGATGATTTCCTTGTTAATCATTTCTTTAAATTTCGATTGTTTTGGAAATGCAATTCCATATCCAGTCATTGCATACCAATTTCCAACAACACGTAATTTACATTCGTCATCTTGTCCACTGAGATAATCGAGTACAACTGCATCATACAGAAATGCATGCAATTCACTAGAAATAAGGAAGGGTGTGTAAGGAGTCTTGTTGACCTAGTTTATTGGTCTTTACTGTGCTTTCAGTGCTTTGATGCCTTCGGTGATATTCTTCTTCATAAATTGTGTCATGTATGTATAAACTTCTTTATGATTCGTTTTCAGTACTTCATCAGTGCTCTGAAAAACGGTGAAATTCTCACAAAAAGTGTGTCTAGGTTAACTTACTCCGTTTGCAACTGTTCCAAAACGGAACGATGGTTTAATCGAATGAGGATTGGATATCTTAAATTAGAACTACATTTAACTGTCATCGAGAAGAATAAAACCATACTCGATGGTCAGTAATACCAGATAGTTCAAAATAAGTATCCTTCGTGATCATAAAGGCAGCTGAAAAAGATAGAATGAATTGAACGAACCGAGAAGACATCATGTCTACCTAAATTAGCAGTGTAACTCGCGGTAAATGCCAGACAAAAACATGCCCAAATGTTTGCCATGAATTTCGAGGTAAAACCTTTTGGATTGTTAACTTTTGCCGGTGCTCGAAAGAGAATAACCCAACTAAGCCAAACTGATTGAAAGAAAGTGATATTCAGATCTACAGAGATGAATACTAAGAATTCAGTCATTGGAGTGGTAGGTTTTTTCAAACTTTTTTTCTTTTCTGATCGACGAAAAAGGTCAAGAATAAGTTCCCATGGTGAATTAGGCAATTTTTCACCATCTTCAAGTCCCTATTCACAAGGAAAAGTAGTTTTCACTATTCAAATAATCATCTTACATAATGTGAATAATGAATGGTTAACCTTTGCTTAAAATATTCAAAAAGAAATATCATAATGGCAACACCGTGTAGTGTTACCAACAAAATCAAAACCCATATTCGATAATCATAGGGTTCTAAAGAAAATGCTGACAATTTCATGAGAGTTAACACGATTTTTCACGAACTAAGAAATGCGGTTGTGGAGATAGCGCCTTGTCTCAACGAAACAATCAAAGCAATGCCCGTTTCCATCAGGGGAATGCTGAAATCTACCGCAGCATTTCGTTCTGTTGTGACTTTCAATGAAGTTAATGTTAAGTCCGCTCGATTCTCCAAAATTTCAGCAAGCAATCCATTCCATTTATTCTAAAAGCAACAATGATGAAGTTCTGTGAGTGATGTTCCATTACCGTTATAGGATTTCGCGCGCCCCAGGTGCGATCCAGAACTTGATAAAGTTCAAATTCAAATTTCAATCGTTCTTTAAGGACATTGAATATATCGATATAGAATCCTGAACAACATTGATAGTGATGTGGATCACTATGATTAGCACCTCTAAAACAAATCAAGAAATTCTCACTGAACAAAACAAAACTGTTTTTCATACGAATTTTCCGGACCGATTCGACAAATAACTGAGCCTGCTTGACATTTTCCATCAATTGATGGATCTTTCAACATTACAAATGGACGTTCTTCTAATGTGACTACTTTCAAATAATAAATGACAGGTTTTCCGGGCGGAGGCTTCGACCGTCCACCCGGCCATTGAATATCGGCGATCGTTAATGTACTATTTATATATTCGCCAACCTATTCCGAAATGATCAATCATGACAGTTCGTCAAAAAAACAGGTTTTCACCTTTTTCCATTCTCGATCAGGATATTGATAATTTAAGACTGAATAGTTCCCGGCGAGTGCGAGACCATCGCGTTGAAAAACTCCATGTGCATGCTGAAATGCTTCTTTCAATAAACTAAAACAACCAATGAATGACGACTTCGATTTACATATCAAATCATTTCACTTGTAAAGATTTGGATAGGAATGTTTTAGAAATGGTTGGTGAATTGATTTGTTCTCATTGAATAATCGATTACAGAATGCTTGATCGCGTGAAGGAAACCGACGAGGTATTGTTAAATTCTCATTCCAGTGTTTTATCACATCAAGATGAAAACTCTGAGAGAAAATACTCGTTAATATCGGTCCAACGTATTTATCAAAACGACTAAGAACCGTATCTACAACAAGAAGCCGAGTTTTCACACTTAGAAAACACCCAAGGAATTCGCACCTCGAGTAACATCATTGTACAACGCTAAAAACGATGAAAGTCTTTTATAAAGAAAAGTGAGAAACAAATTCAACAGACCTAACGTTCCAGCATAGAAGTCCATCTTTCGTCGATTCGGATTATCATACGGACTCATTTTCGGTTCCGTTCCTCCACTGCTATATGTTGCTAAAAGTGATCAAAAAGTAGATACAATCGATCTCGTTCAACAAAACTTACAAAGAACAATCGACGACATAATCCACATATATTCCGATCCCATTAAACTCATATTATTCGCTTGTTTGACAATCAATGAAGCTAACGATCTAGCAAAATATTCAATTTCGCTCGAAAACAAAATCATTTCCATCACATACGATGTTGTATGCACAATAATAACACGTGTTTCAGGATTCATCAACGCTAATTGCTGTCGAATGTGGATTGGATTGTTACTTTTAATATCAATTTTTGACAGAATTGTTAATCTAATAGAAGAAAAGTGGAGCGATTATGAAATCATATTTGTCTAGTCAATGATTGTTGACATTCATGTTCAGTTCGTCGAATACACATGAGAAATAACGAGTTGACAAGTCGATTTTTTCCCAATACTCAGTGACTCGCGTGATTGATATTTCATTTTCGAAGAAGCTCATGATTACAGTAACTAACCCAATGTCGTTGGTTCAAACAAATCAGTTTTCACATAAGGAAAGATTTTTCCGAGAACACTTACTTTTTTTGTCCTTTGAGATGGCTCCGATGACACGATGTTCTTTTACTAAAATCAAAAGGTTCATTTCCGATCGAACGAAACGAATGTTTACCAATCTCGTTGTTCATTTCCGTGTTGTTCGAATTCATCAGTAAGTTCGTCTTCGCCAGGTAATCGCGGTTCGATAATTAGCGAAAATGTATTCCAATCATATCGTTCTAAGAGTGAAATCAAAGCCCGCGCTTCTTCGCGATAGGTCGGGGCCAGTTGAAAGAAGCGATAACTTGGAAAATGCTAAAACCGAACATATCAAATGAAATCTCCTTCGTATGAATCATTACTTCGGGATGAAATGGATGAAAATAATGAAATGTTAACATCGGATATTGCAAAAACGTAAATAATTTTAAGAAAAAGATATATGCAGCTGGTGAGGCATGATTTTCAATTCGATAATCATTCAAATAGATCAAAAGTATCGGATGTGCTTGTACAATTGAACAGAAATTCTCAATCAATACATTGATTGATTTGACATACAACGTGTAAGTTGATCGTCTAGAAGAAAAAACAGAAGGAAATCTTCGTTGATAAACAAGACATTTACATATCGTATTTGCCACATGTTTGAGACGAACTTGACAAAAATTGCGGCGAGGCGAACATTTTCAACTGACTAAACCGATCGTCAGTTCGCGAAGATAAACTTGCTATTGGAATATTCGTACATGTCAGATTGGTCAGTACCGGTCCGTGAGTCTTCATTTGGATAAAGGCGAATTCATTGAGAAGGAAAATCAACATAAAAATGAAATGTGCGAACATCATGTTCGTTGAGATAAAACGACAAATGTGTCTTCTTTCTTTTAGTGAACAGCCCTTGGCACAATCATTATCAAGAGAGAAAAAAAAAACCCGAAGAACAGCAATTATATCTATATGCCAATCGTCAGTGGTGGAAAACTAATGACAAGTCTAGCAAAACGCAAGAACGCGAAACAAGTTGTTGATCAGATTATCTTATTATGATGTGCACATAACAAAAAAGAAAGAAACTGACTGTATCTTTGGATTTAATGATTGATCACGATGAAAAAAATCGACATCTCCTTGGAAAATGAAATTGTATATTTCGAGTATATACTTTGTCGTTGCTTGGATTATCATTAGATAATGACAATCTTCGTCATCGGATGAGATGAGTTCTTCTGTTCGTAATAAGATGCATTTCTTAGATTGATGACAACTTCGTGTGTGTGTGAAGTGCAAGAAGAACCAATCGAAATTATACGCTTGTCTAAAACCATCAATCTTTTCATCTTTTTTCGCGATTACATCCGAAGAATCCAATCGGAAAATCGTGTTTTTCTAATGATAAGAAGGAAAATATTCGTTTCGTCTTCTCTTCACGTTTTTCTGTTTACTTTAAATGCAAGAGAAAAGAATCCAATTGTGTACATTGCATTTCTAATGCTTAAGTAAACGACGTAACGAAAACAGAATGTCACAATCAAAAACGAAACAATGCAGCAAACACCGAACAGGTAATCGATTGGAACGGAGCGTTTTTTTTCTTCAAATCTTAATGATTCAATCTAGTGTGAAAGATCGAGGTAGTGCCGTTAGTACCAATAATTTGATAATTGATAATAAGACGAATACAATTCAATCGGAAACACAAGTGACAAAACCGAAGAAAAAGAAGAGAAAAACTCAAGTAGCAAATGTGACAACTAAACAGGTTAGTCGTTTTGATTAAAGAAGTGGAGTTTATTTGATTATGTCGTTATAGACGACAGTACAACAACCAGCACTTTCGGGAGTATTTGGTATTTCGAGAGGTGAGAGAAAGTGGATTGGTGATGAATTTGTTGGAATTGGATGTTTTTAGCTGCGACGATTTGTTGGTATATTCTAATTGGGATTATATTTCTCATTGCTTTTGTTGCCCTGGTTTTATCAGTACTTTATTTTGTCTCAGGTGAATATTTCTGTGTTAGTTTTCTTTTGAAATTTGCTCTTATTTGATTAGATACAACAACTGAACAAGTTGTTAAACTCTATGGGATCTGCGGTGCTGGTAGTTTAATTTTTGTCACCATCGGCATTGTCTGTCTTGACTGTTGTAATGATGGAAATAGACGAGCTCGTGAAGAAATGGCGAGATATACCATGTTACAAGCTATAGAAGAAAAAAAACGAGCTTTAGCTCAACGGCGTGCGAAACGAACAGTTACAGAAGATAAGGATGAAAAACCGAAACCGTTTATCATTCAACACCAAGGAACACAAGCAGCACCTCCCGAGCCTGAACCTCATTCGCATCACATGCACCATTATCCTTATCATCATTATCCAACGATAGGCTATCTCATTCCTGCACCACCGATTGTTATTGATACAGGTATGAATACATCGGAAAAATTTGTTCCACCATCGTGGAGTAGAAATGAAGAACATGGAACACAGACAGATCGAACAGAAGGAACACAAACATCAGCTATGGAATTGAATCGCATTCCAAGTAATGTGACGGAAATTATTCATGAAAGAACAATTTTGAAGGCGCCTAGAGAACTTATTGGGACAATTAAAGAATCCATGGCACAGCAAGATAGAGACCTCGCCTTAGGTCCAGAGCCGATTGATGCGAATACTTTAATTGCTTTTAATTGACTTTTTTTTCGATTTGTTGTTTTATTTAATTGAAAAACAAACGAGTGGAATAACTGATAAATGACACACTTGATTCTGTGATTCATTACTCTCTCATTGAATATCTTCCTGTAGTCCCTACACATAATGTATGTGAGTCATATCTTTCCCTTTTAGAATTTCGTTTCAAAGTTTCTAAATTGACATCAGCAACTTTATATTGATTCAATTTCTTTGACAGAGACTGATTCTTTCGATGCTTAACAAAATCGTATTTTACAGCACTACATTTTTGGTTTACCGGATGAGACTATGTTTGCAGAAAAGTTTTTAATGATATATCTCGATTTTATTGTGATGATACATTATTTTATGATATGATAATATACAGGTTTAGGGTAATTGTCATAGAAAACTTCCACAACGTTTCGATCACGCTCGTTAGAAATTTACTAAACTAGAAAATACATAGCTCCGGAAATTGTGACACGAGAATGAGATCCTCGACGATTATACTGCTTGACAATGCATCAGTTCTTCGTCTTTTTTTGTAACCTACGAATATTGTCTTCAGTTCGAACAATATATGTGTGAGTCGGCGGGAGAATTTGGCGATTAATGGAAAGCGATTTCTGGTAGCATTCCAAAGCTTTAGTAGAGTCTGAGATATTTCTATAGGCGCAACCCATGTTATTGTATGTCATTGCGATTCCTGGATGGTTTGGTGGTAAAGCAGTCTGCTGAATTGTAAGACATTTATTGAAGTATTCTAGAGCCAATTGATGGTTTCCAATATCATCATACGTCGAAGCTATGTTGCTATAAGTTCTGCAAAGGGCTATTATATCACATAAAGTAGATCCTTCTTGAATTGCGATTGCCTTTTTAAAGTTTACCAATGCTTCATCGTATTCATTTAGTGAGAACGATTGTGAAGCTCCAATTAAACTATACACTTCTCCGACGTTAGCATGCTTTGGGCCGAATACTTCCTGTCGTATCTTCATTGCTTCATCATAATGAGATAACCCTGGAATAGGTCGATCTTGCCACTCTTCAGCTTTCCCAAAACCAACATGACAATCTGCTGTCTTTACACGTAACTCTTGCATCATACGCTCATAACATTTTCTTGATTGCTCATATTCACCCATTTGGAACAATATTTTCCCGAGTGAATCCAGATCAGCATCATCTCCAATTGTATTTTTCATATATACAAATGTCTCTTTCAAATGAAAATCATCTTCGCTTGCCAGAGACACTTGAGCGATCCAGATCCGATCATTTTTGTCTTCAAAAACTTTTTCAATACGAAACAACGCTCCAAGGCTAAGTAATATCTCATCTTCGTTTTGAAAAAAACTGCTTTTGCTTACATCAGCAAATGGTTTGGTTTGTAAACGTGTATCGATCTCAATTTCGAAGATAATTCGTTCCATGCTATCGATAACTGGTGCCAGTCGAGAAAATTTCAGAGCTGTTGAACGCCTACGGCTCGTAGATAAAAACGAATTCATCGAAAGAAACTCGCCAGTATTTTTTTTCATCAAATCTAATTCATCGCTTCCAATCACTTGACCACGATAAACTCGAATAACATTTTGACTACCACTAGCACGAAGAAATTCTTCATAGTCATCTTTAATCTGTTCGGCCATATCTGTAATCAAGAATCGGAAGGCGAATAACATATCGAAGTCTTGCACACGTAATGCTTTATTCACAATTCGATAAAAACATGATTCACGAGTGTACCACCAAATCGCGTTTTCCGGTTTGTAATTTTTCTCAAATTCACCAATGATCTCTATTTCTTTTTGATTTCCTTTGTAACTCTCTTTGCAGATATCAATGAGTTCCTGCCGATCGATAGATTTATGATGCATTCGAAGTAAAACTTCAATGAATAGTTGAAACCACATAAAAATAGCATTACGGGTTTGAAGAGAATGCGTGCCAGAACTAATGACAGCAACGGATCCACCATCTTCTACTTTTGCTCGTGCAGTTTGATCTTTCGATATCTGAGCAATTAACTTCGCACGTTCAACAAAAACTCCATTGACCTGCAATGTAAAACTCAATTACTCCATGAAACGTGAAATGAACTGTTATAAGTACTTTATGGTATTTATTTGCCCATTGTTCGTTAGCTTCTTTATCTTGACAAAAGACATAACATGCTGCAAATTGCGGAAGATCATGAAGTCGAGGAACGATTTGTCGACCTAAACTCCCAGACACGATGAGAATTACCTTTTCATGAACAATTTCCTTCATGTATTGTTCACATTCATCAGTATTATCAAATAGTCGTAGATGATTAATGATTTGACGAAGTGCTTGTTGAGTATCACGATTATCTTTTGTTAAATTAATATTTTGATCTAACCAGAGACAAGCAAACGATTCAAGATTATGGATTGTAGATTTTTTATGTGTAACATTTGAAGCCATTTCAATAAACAACGAATATTTGCGACGCAGCGAGTAAAAAGACTGCTCTTCAAAATTTTCAAACTATAATGCTATTCGATACGTTCTTCTATATATACTGCTGAATAAACTCTTGCGCATCTACTTTCCAGCAAAATAAATCGTGGACGGACAATTCGTGGCACGAACAATTCGTCGCACGGACAATTCGTCGCACGAACAATTCGTCGCACATGTAATTAATTGTGACAAGATTAATGTATATGTAAGAAAAAATTTATTGATAAATAGTCAATCCATTATGATTGTTCAACTCGGATCTTTTCGGTTAACTTGAAAATCGTTGGATGAGCGATTGAAACCCGTTGTGCGAACGCATTGTGCCAACCTTCAATAGAATTATTAGAACGTGGAAGATTAGAAATTAGTCGATCGTGGACATTCCAAAGCTGAATTGAAAATTGTGGTTTCGTGCGGCCAGTACCTATAAAATTTGATTTATTGAATTTACCTTTGCGTTGACAGTTTTTGCACCGAAAACTGATCCTTTCACCGTTTTGACGTTCGACGGTGTAGAGATAACCTTTGTAACCCAACATTGGTTTTTGCTTTCCAGTGAGAAGCTTTTTGATTTCGTTCATTGGTTTTTAGTAAAGGATTGTACGAACAATAGAAGTTAAGTGACATTGCCCTATTTGGGGAAACTTTTATATTAAATCTCTAGATTGATTGATCTTCTCAATCTTCTAGGATCCTATTAGAAAATTGGATTCGACTTCCAAAGGCTAACACAGTTGGTCAAGAATCAATGTTTATTTCATTAATTGAGAAACAAGTTTACATAAATCAATTAAAAAAAACAAGTCAATATATGATTAATTACATGTGCGACGAATTCTCTGGGCGACGAATTGTCCGTGTGCCAAATAAATGTCGCTCAAAGTATACCATCATTGTTGACATACGAAGAAACAGACATGACGAAAATAAGCTCGGAAGAGTAGAATGAAGAAAAATTTTGCAATACAAACTGCCAACAACACAGTTTGTGATATCGACAGAAATACCTACACATAATCTTTCAATTGATCGCTAATTATTCTAAGTCTATCAATCTATACATATTCACTCAAAACGAAAATACTCTGATATTACAGTAACTCAAAAGAATCTCTCTCCTACAGATGAAAAAGCGATGTTGGTCACGATTAAAGCATGGTGGTAATAAAACTACTTTAAATCTAATCTCTCCACAAAGATATACAAAGCAATAGCCGTGAGTAATAAATGTCGATATCGACGTAATTTATTTTGAAGAAAACGTTCTTTGCGAGAAATTGATCACAATAATTAAGTCAATTACTAACTGAATAAAAGTATTAGCATAATGAAGTTCTTTCAGATTGTCGTAAACCCGCCATCGACTAAAAAACTAGCACCCGTGGCAAAATGGCACAAATCCGAAGCCAAAAACACAGTAAAATTAGCGATCTCTTGTGTTGAAGCCCATCGTTTGAGACACTGCTTTTGCGCTTGTTCGTCAATTAGTTGTTCCAATGGTATATTCAAATGAGCAGCATGATTTGCTGAAGCTGGTGTTAGTGTCGCACCAGGACATATTGCATTACATCGAATATTGAACGGACCTAGATCAAGTGCTAAATTGCGTGTCATTTGTAGAATAGCTCCTTTGGTTGTACTGTACGGTACAAATTCTGGCTGAGCAACCCAACTACTAATACTAGCGGTTTGAATAATCGAACCTGATCGTTGTTTTTTCATATATGGAACAACTGCTTTGGCCATTAGAGCATAACCACGGACGTTGACATTTAATATTTGTGTCCAAGCATCAGCTGATACATCTTCAACTGCACCGAATGTGAATATTGCAGCACTTCGAGAAGGAAGAAAAACATAGATAAATCGGTAAAAAATCTTCGTTTTCATACTTATTAATCAAAACATCGATTGTTTTCCATTTCTCGACGACATGTTTCACCGCATTCTGTATACTTTCCTCATTTGTTACATCCAGTTCAATACTTATTACATTATCCTTCATATCAACATGTTCTTCAAGAAACTTTGCAACTGTTTTATCTGCTGCTTCTTTCTTCACATCTGCAACTACAACATGTGCTCCGTGTAATGCACAAGTTTGTGCAATAGCTGAACCTATCGCTCCACCAGCGCCGGTAACAAAAACTACTTTTTCTCGTAGTAATTGTGACCAGTCGCCACTTGCTTTTGTTGCTTGTTCAGGGACTATCGACATGTTTGTTTATGAAAAGAAGCAAAGGTAAGATATGATATCAAGTGTAACAACTAACTCCATCTATCGCTGTCAAGAAAAAGGATTGACGGAGTGGTTAAAGAGAAAGGATTGTCTTGTTCGAGCAAAGTTAGTTTCGTAAATAGGAATGAATCATATGTCATAAAGAATTTCAAGAAAAACACCCGGTATAATCAGAGGACTGGCCATGTCTTCAGCTACATCTAATTTGGAATCGAGAACTGAGAATGCTTTTGATGAAAATCTTTCATCGATTGAGTTTATTCCATCGGATCCTCAGACTACTTTTTATCTTTTACCAAACGGTATCGGAAAAGACCGACGAACGATATTCACCAATGCACTTCAACGTTTCCAATTACAATCATTAGCCACGTCAGAAAATGCTCGTTTCATCATCGCTGACGATCAATTCGATGTACCAAAAATATTCCAAATGTTAAAAATAGAAAGTCATGAAGAAGCACCACCGACTGTCATTCGAACAAAATGGTTGAGCGATTCATTGAAAGAGAAACGTTTGATTCCATTAACGAAAGATTATATCATTCGTCCACCATTAATTCGAAAACATACAGTGCCATCTTTTACACAAGAATCGACGACCGAAGAGAAGAAATTCGTTCGAGATAAACCAAAACGCAAACTGTCAGAAGATGAACCGCAAGGCGGTTGTGCAACGCAAATCAAACAAAGACGCTTTTCGTCAGACGATGACGATTATGACGTGAATGATGTACGAATATCAGTCATTCGCTTCTCTTTTTCTATCTGATCTTCTTCTAGGATTACAATGATACCGTAAAAAATCCATACAAAAATGGTGAACTACCCGTATGTTTTATGATTTATCGTAACAATTTTTCATTTGATTGGAAGAATCTCCTTCTAGAAAGGCAATTGGATGTGTTCAATGTCATCGCAAACAGCGAAAAAGAACACTGAAGTCAATCGAGACATTATTGAGAAACTTCAAGCCATGGGTGAACTTTACGCTAAGACTAACGGTAAAGAAGACAAGTATAAATATTGATCGAGCGAAATTTGTTTATTTGTGAAATTAGATAAATGGCGAGCGTATTCATATCAGAAAGCGATTACAACAATACGTCGTTGTACACATCGAATAGATTCCTATGAAGTAAGAAGAGACTTTGTTTGAGAAGTTTCATGAAATAGTAATTTAGGAAATAATCAAATTACCTGGAATTGGGGAGAGTTTGGCGAAGAAGATTTGGGAGATTATCGATACGGGTAGTTTTGAGAAACTCGAAGATTTTCAATCATCGGAATACATGAAAGTATTGGATTTATTCGGAAATGTATGGGGATGTGGACCAAATATTGCTAAACAGTGGTACGATCAAGTAAGTCATCGACTTTTCTTGGGAGATTTCCGTATAAAAACTGATTTTATACGACAGGGTTTTCGTACATTGGATGACCTTCGTACAAAAGCGAAATTATCTCAAAACCAACAAGTGGGACTGAAATATTATGATGAATTTTTAGAAAGAATACCACGGGAGGAAGTGACAGAAATCGAAGCAATGGTAAATCTATTTAAAGCACGACTTATTCATCTAATTTTCAATGAAATTCAGGTGAAACAGCATGCACTTGCATTAGTACCTGGTCTTACGATTCAAACATGCGGTTCATATCGTCGTGGGAAAGCTACATGTGGAGATGTGGATATTTTAATCACACATGTCGATGGAATTTCACACGACGGTTTACTGATACCATTGACGGACTCTTTGAAAAAATGTGGTAAGTTTTTCGAAAAAATTTGGCGTTGATTTTTCTTGAAACGATGTTTCCTTTAGGCTTTTTGACGGATGATCTTATCTTATCCGATAAATACGATGATGACAGCGGGTAGGTCATAACTGTTGACGGGTACTAGAAAACGATTAAAGGACATTGTGGGGTGAAAGGTCAAGAGAACTCTTTTCTTGTTCTTTTACGGAGAAAAAAGATATTTTTGAAGTTGGAAACGATTTTAGATTGCACATGTAGTAAAAATTTGTTTTATTACTCTTCTCCACGTGAGAAAATGGTATTTTACATTATGTACTGAGGAGTATGTCATACAGGTCCATGACAAGTGAAAATAAACAGACGAGAGAAAAGAAAGAAAGAAAGAAAAGAATGAATAGAAATGTAATCGTTCGATTCACTTTTCCATATGCACACTATTCATTTAGATCTCATGTGAAATACTTCGGTGTTTGTCTGTTACCCGGTGAAAATCGAAAAGTAAAAACCTTCTTCCGTATGAAATAATCATCCAAAACAAATTCTTTTCCTTTAGCATCGTCGTCTTGATATAATCGTTATTCCACATGATGAATATGCATGTGCATTGCTTTACTTTACCGGTAGTGCACTTTTTAATCGTTCGATGAGAAGTCTCGCACATAAATACAACATGTAAGCAAAATCCATGATGTTATTCGTTCGTTGGAATTCTCCGGATATTTTCATAGGTATTTATCTCAGCATCGTTTGAATACGGGTGTTATTCGCAAAGTAAGATCTGATCTTTGTCGAGATGTCTATTGATCTATTCTTTAGAATAATTCCAAAATCAATATGGGAACACCGTTGTACACTCCAACGGAAGAATCCATTTTCAAATATCTGAATTTACCTTATCGTCCTCCGGAAGAACGTGACCATTAACTAGTCAGCAGAGTTTTATTTTAATCGAACGTATTCTTTTTTTTCTTTTACATAACCTCGGTGACATAAAATAAAATGAATAATTGCTTGTCTTACTTTTTTGTAGATATCTGTAAGAATAAGATGGTCTTGGATGGAAACCTTCTAAAGGAAAAGTTAGTCGAAGCTTGGAAACTACGCTCGAATGATCGAAGTTTCTCTGCTTCACTCGCACCACTCATTGCTGAAAGTCAATCGGAAGAAGAATTTCGGACGATTTTCACCAGTAAGATTCAATTGATCTTCATTCACATGCTATTTCTTGGTTTTTAGCTGAGATTCTCAATCACATCCATTCCGCAATATCCTCTAACCTTCTCGAGTCCTATTTCAAATTTCATACACGATCCGGTTATATAGACGAAGCGTTAGTTATCCAACGTCTTTGCTCTTTAACGCCAACACGACGAACCGATGACGTTCAAATCAAATTTCTAATCGAACTATTGAGAGAAACACTGAAAACACTTCATATTACTGCTGAACACGCCGTTCGTCTCGGTAAACAGTTGAATTTGTTAACAAAATGGTTCTGCTCCGCCTTGACTTTTTATTCCAACGAACAAATTGAGACGAAAGACGAAGAAATTCTCCTGTCAATTTGTGATCTGTTTCTTTTCATCTTTACACACGCGACGTTTTATTGTTTGTGGTTAATGACGATCAAAGCACAACGTGAACAGAAAGAATGGAAACAAAACCAGGAACAAGTTGGACAAGCATTAAAAAGGATTATTCTCCAAGAATCACATCACAAAAATATTTACGAACAAGTTTTCTTTAAGTAAGCCCAACCGATTCGGACGTCTAAAATTCTTTTCGTCTTCACAGGATAAATCGTCTTCATCTATCGGAGGAATTTCATCAAGAAGACATCGAATTCAGTGTTTCATTATTCAGTCCAATTGTGTGTTTACTTGTTATTAACAAACTTCACAAATGCTCGTCCACTTTTCTCACTATTCTTCGTTTCTACGAACATGTCTCGACAACATTGAACCCTCATTCCACCTATCTTCGATTTCTTCAAGCATCATTCGGCGGATATCTCGCCTCAGTGTCAAGTAATAACAGTGAATATCAGCAACGTTGGTCGGCATATGTTCACTTTCAATTGCCGCGGATTTTCGCGTCGTGTTTGGAAAGTCAATTCGATGCCGTGAAACATTCATTAGAAACGTTTTTGTTATATAATGAATATTTGTTGAATCGGATGGATGAAATGTGCGTGGAAAATACTTTCGAACACTTTGTTCAAAATGTATTGACTTACGTCAATGACAATGTTCGGATGAAGAATGAAGACAATATTAATCAATTACTTGCCTACATTCAACGGATTCGACAACCATATAATGAACATATTCAGAAATTTTATCAAAACCATCAATCACGTAAGTCAATTTTGCTGAAAGATTTTACAGATGATTGAGATTGATTTATTTTTAGGTTCGTATACGTTTCAAATTCTTCAGTTACAACGCTCGTTAGAAAAATCTCTTCATCATATATTTTCTACGCCGGACGATCCACAACATCTGGATATTTTGATAAACAATCTCACTGATTTCATTCCCTTGATATGTGCACTTGATCAGTATTACAATTTCATTGATCTTTTACTCTCCTATACCAAAACACGTTTTGATCTTGCTTTACTCTTACTTTGTTATGTTACATCGATCACCGATGATACATCCGAAGATTTTGGTCAGATAGAAATCACTGCAGACCGTTCATCACCAATATTTATTGTTTATATATGGTTGAAAAAGTATTGGCTATCCAGATACGTTGGTCACGCATTGTTTGGATCAACATTGAGCTCCACTGATCTGTTGTCAACGATGAATAATTCATTTGATGAGAAATCGAAAGTACAAAAAGAAGAATTCGCCACGGATGTTCAATGTTTTAATCCGGAAAATTTTGCAATCAAATATTCAAATACAGAATATTTATCCAAAACTGTACTTTTCCTTGGAGATCTTCAATCATTATCCTTAGATGAAACCAAACAAGTCGTCTCACAATTAATTAACTATTTAACTCATGTTTCATATGGAACACTTGTACATGTCCTTCTTTGGCTTGTTGCCAATTATCAAATAGCGAGCGATAACGAAAGATCTTGGATTCAAAACACTATTAATACAATGGGTAAGTAGTTAAACAAATCTTAATTATGAGATGGAAAGTTGTATTTTGTTTTGTAGGAACAGAAACAACGGATTCGACTTCAATGATATGCTCGTTATTTGATGCGATTAAACGTCAACTTTGGTCAGATTTTATCGATAATCCTCTCATTTCATATTATTCCACCATTGTACCTGTTTCATCTTCGAATCTTAACTATTTAGTTTCATCTTCTATTCAAACTTCAACATCCTTAATTCAATCTCTATTTGACATATATCTTCTCAACGAATTTCTCAATTGTGACCAATCACGTGCATTGTATATCTGTACGAAATATATCCCAATGAATATTCTCATCGATCGTTTAATTATCAATATGAACATGTCCAATGGAATCTACGAAACTAAACGTGGACTTCATTTTATATTCGGCTTAATTCTATTTCGACGTCGATCGTTAACTCGATGTTTATTACAAGAAGTATTTCCTTATTTATTCAATATGAAATCAAATGAATTTATGCTCGAACCAAATGTTTACACAACCAGTTTGATATTGTGTGTCCTTTTAACTATTGAATTTCAGGAGAATACCAGCGAATCGAATGACTTGGCTTATGTTAAACCATGGAAAGAGTCGAACAATGCCATTAAACCAACGCGTGAAGATACAAGTGTCTTCGATGCTTTTCATTTCTTCTTAAATTCATCATCCGATGAACTTTTTGCTAGTGAGACTCTACGACCTGTAAATTATTTCTTCAGCTGGTTTCAAACTATTCTTTGGATGTTAAGTCGACAAGTCAATTCATTGAAACCATTCGTTAAGCCAAAATTAGTAAGAATATCGCTTGTGTTTCTTTTTTCATTTCCGAGTTTAATGTTTTGTTTTTCAGATTGCTCAGATATCGGAGTTTTTACCTATTCAATGTCCAATCGAGAAGGTTCTAAGTATGTTAGATTTATCAACTGATGAAGAGACAACTTATGCATCGATGGTTATCACACGTGATTATTCGAATCTACAAACAAACAATCGACGGAAAGTGTCAAGTCTTATACAGAATCCACAATTCGTCATGGATGAAATAAGTTTGTCAAAAAGAACTTTTGATAATGTGACGAAGAATATTTTCTATATTCCGAATAATCTGTGACCACTTGTTTGCTTATTTATTGATTTTCTTCTTCTTTTTATTGTGCCATTCAACAAAATCTCATTAACGTGAACTGAGTGACCAACATGAAATGCTTTGTAGTTCTCTTGAAATATTGAAAACGATGTTTTATTTAACCTTTTGACTGCCGGGAACGCATATATGCGTTCGAGTATATTTATTGAACAAGTAGCGCTCATCCGTTGGATACGCTGACCCTTTTCTGAAAGACTTTTCCGAATGTTGAACACATTCAGAGACTTCGAAAGAGAAAAAACGCACTGCGATTCCTACTAGTGCTCAACTGAAGCATGCCACTATGTCACACACTAAAATGAATAGGATGCAAAAGTCTTTTTAGGAATCAGACCGATTAGCCATTTGTCAGTGGATAAATCTCCAGCACTAACTATGTTGACTGGAAAATTCATCACTCAACGGCTAGTCAGACGGCCAACCATTGACCTCTGTCATCTGTTTTTCTTTTTCCACATCACGCGCACGGAAATTTTTATAAATGTTTTACTAAGTCACTCATAGACGGACGATATACAATACACTACTTGAAAAGTTTGAACATTCGCTTGTGTCTTCCAGCGATAATCCGATTCTTTTCTCTCCTGTCAACAAAATGATACCTTGTCGAATATTTTCATTGAGGAATATCCATTCGTCAAATCCCTTTCAAAATTATATGAAGTCTGGCAAGGTTATTCTAAGCGTACACTTTAGGATTAATCTAGCATTTAAACGCTGTATAACCCTCTCTTTCAGAAAAGGAGAAAAGAAAATATTGACATGTTTATTTTCTTTTGTGAAGTAAAAAATTATCTTTCATTCTGTCAAAGTATACAAAGCTATCAAAAATATAACTGAAATATGGTCTTCACGGTACGAAACCATTCTAAAAAGCACTTCCCAAATTTTTCACTCCCGCCTGATATCTTTCCCGCTGATCCATTCGCATATCTTCGATTACTGTAGAACTAATTCAGCGGGCGAAGCTCATTCACAAATCCAAAACGTCTCGAAACAGACTTCCGTCCAAAGCAACATGCAAAACTTAGTTTCCGTTTCGCTCTTTCTCCTTCCAAGTTACTTTTAATCAATTGAAGTTGAGGATGTGTCGCTGGTAAAACTTTTTCAGCGATTTGAACCGCATTTGTGTAAAACAATACTGCAGTCCTTTGATTGCCAATGTCAGAATACGCATTACCGATGTTGTTGTAGGATGAAGCCACATCTGGGTGATTGGGAGGAAGTGATTGTTCTCGTATTTTGAGAGCTTGTTCGTATGATGAAAGTGCCTTGGGATAATCACCCATGTTGCGATACGCATTACCGATGTTGTTGTAGGATGAAGCCACATCTGGATGATTGGGAGGAAGTGATTGTTCTCGTATTTTGAGAGCGCGTTCATGTGATGAAAGTGCATTGGGATAATCACCCATGTTGCGATACGCTGCACCGATGTTGTTGTAGGATGAAGCCACATCTGGATGATTGGGAGGAAGTGATTGTTCTCGTATTTTGAGAGCGCGTTCATATGATGAAAGTGCCTTGGGATAATCACCCATGTCAGAATACGCTGCACCGATGTTGTTGTAGGATGAAGCCACATCTGGGTGATTGGGAGGAAGTGATTGTTCTCGTATTTTGAGAGCTTGTTCGTATGATGAAAGTGCCTTGGGATAATCACCCATGTTGCGATACGCATTACCGATGTTGTTGTAGGATGAAGCCACATCTGGATGATTGGGAGGAAGTGATTGTTCTCGTATTTTGAGAGCGTGTTCATGTGATGAAAGTGCCTTGGAATAATCACCCATGCCAGAATACGCTGCACCGATGTTGTTGTAGGATGAAGCCACATCTGGATGATTGGGAGGAAGTGATTGTTCTCGTATTTTGAGAGCGCGTTCGTATGATGAAAGTGCCTTGGGATAATCACCCATGTCAGAATACGCATTACCGATGTTGTTGTAGGATGAAGCCACATCTGGATGATTGGGAGGAAGTAATTGTAGTTGAATTTTGAGAGCTTGTTCATATGATGAAAGTGCCTTGGGATAATCACCCATGTTGTAATACGCATTACCGATGTTGTTGTAGGATGAAGCCACATGAGGATGATTGGGAGGAAGTAATTGTAGTTGAATTTTGAGAGCTTGTTCATATGATGAAAGTGCCTTGGGATAATCACCCATGTTGCGATACGCTGCACCGATGTTGTTGTAGGATGAAGCCACATGAGGATGATTGGGAGGAAGTGATTGTTCTCGTATTTTGAGAGCTTGTTCACATGATGAAAGTGCCTTGGGATAATCACCCATGTTGCGATACGCTGCACCGATGTTGTTGTAGGATGAAGCCACATCTGGATGATTGGGAGGAAGTGATTGTAGTTGAATTTTGAGAGCTTGCTCATATGATGAAAGTGCCTTGGAATAATCACCCATGTCAGAATACGCTGCACCGATGTTGCTGTAGGATGAACCCACATCTGGATGATTGGGAGGAAGTGATTGTTCTCGTATTTTGAGAGCTTGTTCGTATGATGAAAGTGCCTTGGGATAATCACCCATGTCAGAATACGCATTACCGATGTTGTTGTAGGATGAAGCCACATCTGGATGATTGGGAGAAGATGACATCAAGCGAAGTTCAAGAGATTTTCGAAAAAGTGTTATTGCCTCCTCATATTGCCCTCTCTGGCGTTTAATCTTACCCAGGCGATTATAGACATGGCTTGCAGAGTCTTCAGAAGGCGTTTCATCAATTAGAACTCGACAGATTCGTTCAGCAATGTCTGACTGTGCTATGTCAGCGAGTACTTGGCTCAGTCGCGACCAGCCCTCGGCATTTGGAAAGCTTTCTTTTCGAATCTGTTCAGTAAGTACCATCAATTCTTCGTCATTGTCACTCGTCAATGACAACGCCACTTCATACATTTTCTCATTCCCATCGATGGGCTTAACATCCCTAATGCGAAATATACTGTGCATCGAAAACAGTACCTCTTCTTCTTCGGGAAAATGACTGATGTGGCGAACCGAAGCAAATGACGTTGTTGATTGCTTTGGATCAATTGTGATCACAAATAGAACACCGATCACATCACTGTTCTTTCGATTTTCTGGAGTAAACATAAAAGAAACGTCGCGATTCTCACTGGTAGATAGGAAATTATTGAATGACATCAGCCCACCCTTCGTTGCCACCAATTGATCAAAATCTTTCTTCGTTAAACCTTGACCACGGTAAACTGTACAGCATTTAGCAGTAGGTGATGCATCGCCAAACTGCTGCTTGTGCAATTCTTCAATATGTCGATGAAGGTCACTGATGAAAAAGCCCATCAATGTGATCACTTCACCATCCATCACTCGTAATGCACGGTTCAGCATACCGTATAAAAATCTTTGTGTTGTATACCACCAAATAGCTGTGTGCTGATGATATTCGTCTTCCAGTTGTTTCACTTTCTTTCGCTCGACTTCAGTATCAACGAAATTATCACAGCAATACTTCACGAACTGTTTGATGTGTTTATCCTCAAATTGAATTGTTAAAAGTATTTCTTTGATGATCTTTGTGTACATAAATGATGGCTCTAGTCGATCAAATCGTTTGCCAGATTGTACAAAACTCATAGGAATAGCAGTGAGTTCATATCGACGAATGATTTTCTTTAATTGTTCACAAATATGTATAATATCAATGGAAACACTCTTCACTTTGCACCAGTTTTTGGCCCATTGTTCGTGTCGATTTTGGTCATCACAAAAAATGAAGATCGAATCGATGTTTGAAATATTATGTACACAAGGTAAAAGACGTTGTCCAACTGATCCTGACGTGATCAAACAAACATCTGTGTCGGTGAGAGTGAGAATAAAATCAATACATTCATCATTATCGGTGAATGTATAAATATCATTGACAATGTTTTGAAGATGTCTGATTGCATTTTGATAATCTGGATTACTGCTGTGAATGTGAGTGTCAAGCCAAATGACAGATATATCTTGCGTCTCTTCAATTTTTATACGATTTAATTCATTTGCTTGTTGAAAGGTGGCTGGTGTCTGCTCGAACATATCCAAACTGCCTTGTTTCTGATTTGCCATTGCTGTGAGATTGGATTATTTATAAGGTAGTTGTTGTAAGATGTGAGAAATTGTTGTTTGGTAGAGACTAATGAAAGTAATGTGCTCCTTTACGTTTTATAAAACTTGGAAAAGACATTCCTTCTTCTTCCTAGACAAACATTCTTACTAGGGGTGTTACTTTATCTTTACTTTGTTCTTTATTTAAAGAAAAGTAAAGAAAAAGTGACATACCTAATTTTTCAGCCAAGTGTGAGATTGTATGTTAAGTCAGAAAATGAACCTGATCTTAGGTAAAGTGTAACATCCTGTCTCACGAAATAATTCCCTGTTAATCTAATTTGTAAATATCAAAAAATTTATTGTGTTTTGTCAAAAATTGTAAAAAATTCTTTATTCATTATTTTAACTTTATTTGAAAGGTAAAGATTTTTCTTTATCTTTATTTTTTTCCTTTATTTTTAAAGTAAAGAAAATCTTTGTTCTTTATAAAATAAAGATAAAGTAACACCCCTAATTCTTACTCTCAAAATGAATCTCTGGCGACAGTATAAGACGAAAAAGGAAAATAACGACATTTTGATTTTCAAAAATCGTGAATAGAGTACAAAGCCGCCAAAACACTGTGGTTTGTTTATACAGCTTCATGCATATATTCAACCAAAAATCGAACATCGTAAAAAATCGTTGATTTATTCGTTAAATAACTTTTCAACTTTACATCGAACAGAGAAATTCTCAGCTGAATCAGCAGTTTCTCCAGTTTCAGTCGAATATAAATGTAGATTTTAAACGCAAATCGAAGTATAAAATTATTTCTGAAGGAAAACATAATTCTATACATGTACGAGATTGGAACTGCATTCAGTTCTAATACATTTTGAAAGTACAATTCTCATCTTTCTAACTTATTTTTGAAGTTAACAAAAACAGTCGAGTATTCATGTGCATTCGGAGTTACATTAAGCAGCTCATGCTCTGATTACGAATTACGCGCGCCGCAAGCTTTTGAAACTTGCGTAATTCAATAGCAAACAACACGTAAACGTAGTACTAATTATATATGAGGATGATGAAATTGAAAATGCCGTCAAAAATGATTACAACTAACGCTCATCCTTTGGATTCGCTGACCCTTTTCTGAAAGACTTTTCCGAATGCTGAACACATTCAGAGACTTCGAAAGAGAAAAACGCACGGCGATTGCTACTAGTGCTCAACTGAATCATGGCACTATGTCACACACTAGAATGAATAGGATGCAAAAGTCTTTTTAGCAATCAGACCGATTAGCCATTTGTCAGTGGATAATTCTCCAGCACTAACTATGTTGACTGAAAAATTCATCGCTCAACGGCTAGTCAGACGGTCACTCACGGCCAACCATTGACCTCTGTCATCTGTTTTTCTATTTTCACATCACGCGCATGGAAGTTTTTATAAATGCTTTACTAAGTCACTCATAGACGGACGATATACAGTAGACTACTTGAAAAGTCTGAACATTCGCCTGTCTCTTCCGGCGACAGACCGATTCTTTTCTCTCCTGTCAACGAAATGATATCTTGTCGAATATTTTCATTGAGGAATATCCATTCGTCAAATCCCTTTCAAAATTATCTGAAGCCTGGCACGGTTATTCTAAGCGTACAATTTAGGATTAATCTAGCGTTTAAACGCCTAGTCGTTCGTCGACCTCCCTCCGGTCGGTCACTCACGGCTAGTTGTTGACGCGCATGATCAGCTTTCATAGCTTTTCCATATAAAGAAGTAGCTCGTTCATACTGAGTCGATCTATGATCGAAGTTATCGAAACCCTTCGTAACTGTGTAGTTTACAGTACATATTCTATTGCTCTGTTCAATTTGTAGCGCTGATAATGTGCAATCCCTATTCTCGAAGCTCGAAAGTACATAAATTATGCTCGTTCAAAAACGATTGGCTTTAGTTGAGACAGTGATAAATCTCATCTTTCAACTAATTTTCAAAACAAACGTCTAGTCGTTCGTCGACTTCCCTCCAGTCGGTCACTCACGGCTAGGCGTTGCCATGCTTCCTCTGTTGTTCCTTTCGCCTTCGATCGACTTTCAAACTGAACGATTGGGTTTTCTTTTATTGTCGCTTCGAGAGTCATGATCTTCTATTCATTCGACTTCCAAAAGAAACTAGGTAAGAAAGTCTTATTGTATGATTTGCTTCGAAACGAACATCTTTCATAGTGCTGCATGTGTTCAGAATACTGTTTCTACAGTGCACGCGTCTGTAGTTACTGAGATGGAATTCCACCGACAGGTATATCGCCTTGCGAACTAGTTCTAGTAAATCCCATGAAAGGACATGATGTATGCAGCATACAAAGCAAAGATGATACTAACCTCATATCACTTTTTCGGATTTCTTGAATTAGAAACATCATTGTGTATAATGCATTAGATCTTTTCGTCTAAGTTCTTGAGCTACTATATTTGTACACATGACGTCCGTGAATAGCGTTCAGTTCACCATCTTCTGCAAAAGATTTTAGAACAGATAAAGAAAAAATATCTCCTTTGTAATGAGAAAGAAACAAGTCCAGGCTCAGCGAATAAAATGAAATTCACCCTCAAATTCGATTTTCCCGACGTAAGAAATCCTTCGGTCTATTCTCATAATGGATGTTGAAGTCGTGGCTAGTTAATGAAAAACTAATAATTAATTAGTCAACACTAACCTAGGATTCGTGATCCTCGACCCCGATTACCTGTCATCAGTCATTTTCTAATGAGGTTGGTTAAGTTTTCATTGATTTATGAAATACTGCAATCTGATTGGATTACGCAAACAATCAAACTTTTATTGCATTTTAGTGACCTGATTTATGACGCTATAACCCTGTATTTCAGAAAAGGGAATATATGTGTTCCGACTGCGGTGTACCTCTGTGTCTGGATGACTGCTTCAAAACCTATCATACAAAGATGAACTATTAACTTTTTTTGAGCAGGAATGTAGTTTTTTGTCAAAAAATAAAAAACACATTCGAATATTACCGTTAAAACCTTTAATTTTCGCAAAAAAGCCGGTACCCAAAGGGTTAAACGGTGGGGGAGCTAGGATTTGAGCTATAGCTCTGTTTCACTCGACCCTGGAAAATAATAATTTTAGTCTACCAGAAGTGTCAGTTAGATGTCAAAGCGTGGTGTTGTCACAGAGAACTTCTATAAAAAACCAAAAGGAAGTTAAAAAAGCCGTGTACTTCGACTTGACTAAAAATTTTTGGATAATGTTTCTGGCTTGACTTGGGTCAGAAAGCCGATGACTTGCCCATGTCTGCATTGGACGCAGCAACACAATACTCTATCGGTCATTATACAAAATGCTACGCTGTTCGTTTCGCATTTTTCCTCTTGCTTTGTCTTTTTCTGCCCTTCCTCCTACTTTCTCCGTCTTTTCTTCTATCTTCCCTCACATTTTACTCTCCATATCATCTTTTGGAGAGAAGTGCATTTAGTCTCTCAATATCAATTATTTCAAGACTGATTTTGCCATCTAATATGGCTGTTCTCGACGAGGTTCCATGTGATTTTCTCATAGATGACTGCTTATTATTTTTCTAATATATTTTAGGATCCCCATATAATCGAGCTCGAGCTCAAGCACAGTTATTAGCTATTTGTGCATCTATTGTACCTACAGGATCTTGTACCATTGGTCAGTGTCGTCGGGCGGTATTAGTCATAAAAAATCAGTTCAATACAGATCTAGTGAGTACTGTTTGTGATTCTTATACATAGTTTTGTTCGATTAATTAGAATGAGGATGATTGTGTCTCGCGTGCAACGCTTCGAGGATTGGGCGGCAACGAGAACGAAGTTGCGTTTGACGATTCACAACAAATGGCTCAAGGAATTGTTTTGGAATCCGACTAGAAAAATCCCATCGGTTGTTGTAAATTTTATGAGCGATCTTTTTAGCTATGTTCTATGATGATCGTTAGAAAATCCATGTTTCGGATTCGAGTATGGGATTGTTCGACCTGAACTATCGTTTTAGGTTGACATAATTCGTTTAGGCACAGTAAGCTACATGAATAATAATTTTCGATGTGAGTTCCTTTTATTTTTCATGAAAATACAAGAATATGCTTTATTCTTAGGAATTGTCGCCCATGAACCATAACCATAGAACAAGATTCGCTTAGTGTTAAAGTTTTGCTTCTTTATTTGTACAAGTTCTTTTATCTTTCTGGAATAAATTCAATAAAATATATCATTATTAACCTTTTCTTTCCATAGATCGGTCTGAACGTGTTGCACCTACACTTACGCCTACGTACGGGACGAGACGAGACGCTTATGCCCATCTATCTGTCTTTCTTTTTTAATCATTTTCATTCACTTGTTTTCAATGAATTGGCGCAAGGGTTTCGATTTCAAGATTACGCTGAGTAATCAGGAATCCTTTCCGCTTGGGTTTGTGAGATCCCTTTCATATCAGAAAGGCTAATGCTTAATTAACTACTCAGTTCGATAGAAACGAAAATGTGCAGATAGGGGAACACTTATTGTCAGTTAAATGAGATCTAGGGAAGATCTTGACCTTTTATTAGTGTGTACTTTATAACTCCCAACCGGTATAATTGATCCAAACAATGTTCGGAAGTTCTGAAGCAAGCATTCTTGAAAAATGGCCTATTCAAAGTCTCTATTGTACGCAACAACAAGCTTGAAAGCCTGTTTTCATATTGATGTTCAGATTCTTCCTATATATGACACATTGGGTTTTCATTTTCTATCATGTGTCACCACATGAACATGCCTATTTGTATGGATCTTTATTTCTTCTCTCGCATACATCTATGGGATTATTCTCAATCATGATCCTATATATACACATGTGACTGTTTATGATCTGACAATAGATACCCAACACCCTCTCCCACCCTCAAGATGAATGTCGGTTGATGATGATTTCTCTCCGAATTTGATTCAGTCATGAAACAGCGATGACTCGGTCAACTCTGCCATCTGGTATTTGCTAACTTTTGATTCGTTCACGGTCGAATTACCCAACATATGATAGAAAATATGTAAGTACGAATTTTCCATTAAAATTTAACAAATTTCTGTTTATTTTTCAACCTTTACTATCTAGATTAAACTCATTTGATGAACTCGGCGACTCCTCGAGTTTTATTCTTTCACGGTCTCGAGTCAGGAGTCAATGGAAAGAAATCTCGATACCTAGCTGAACAATTTCCTAATAGTTTTACTCCTAACCTCAAACCTTACTATGCACTTCCATGTTCTCTCTGGAAAGCAATTGTGGCTATTCATCGTTTTAAACCGAATGTTATTGTCGGAAGCAGTTTCGGTGGATTTATAGCCATGTTTCTTCTTCAAACACGAGTGTGGAAAGGCGATACAATTCTATTAGCACCGGCAACAGGTCTCCTGTTCAAGAAAAGACTGTGGTTACCTGCAGACGATCGAAACAATATTGTTATTGTAGCCGGAGCAAATGATACAACTGTACCATTGGACGGATTAAGCAAATTACAAAACTTATCTTTGAATAACGTGCAATTTCTCATCGTCGAAGACGACCATCAATTGAACACTTCAATGATTGAGCAAAATCAATTAAAAGATTTAATCAATGCTAATTATCAGTCCTCGATAACCAATAATACGATCAACAATTATTTCGATTGTACAAGACTATGGCTTCGTTGCTTATTATCTCTGATAGTATCATTTATTCGAGAACCATTGACACTCTATCGCACAACTAAAAGACTCCGTGAAATGTATAAACCGGACTGAGACGCATTTCTCTTTGTCATCACAATTTGTTGTATGAATCGCTTCTTTTTAACGGAAAATAAAAGGCGAGCGACTTGAATATTGAATTTCTCGAAGCGTCATTCCAAACGGAAACATTCTTTTTTCTTCTTCGAGAGAAAAAGAGGAATGTTTATCTGTTAAGCATAATCTTAAGCTGTAAAAGGATGAGAAGAAAGAGATGAACAGACATTTTTACCTTTTCCACGATAAGAAGAAAGAGAAAAGAATTCTATGGTAACATCGTCATCGTTCTTTTCATTTCCTATCTTTTCTTGCTCGAACAACCAATCTACAGAAGAGAAAACACATCTCCTCAGGCGATTAAAATGGAAATCCAAGAGCAACAAACGGAATTACCAAACAACAGACTAAAGGTGAGATTTGAAAAACGTCTAAGCATTCTTTCATTTCCATATCTTCATAGAAATTTCGCAAACGGATCTTTCAGCGGATAAACAAGGTGAACGATGATCAACAAACGAAACTTCTCGAAGAGCAGAATAAAAAAGTTGAAGGGCCGATTCGAAATGAAGATTACGAAGCGTAATTTGACATTTTTTCCTTCTGTCAAAAATAATTCTTTTCGTCCCTTTGCTTAGTACTGGATTCGTCATCGATCCACAGAACCGTGTCTATCATTATTGGCTTGCTGTCATCTCACTTGCTGTTTCCTACAATTTTCTTCTCATTCCGGCTCGCTATGCATTTGCTGAACTTGATAAACGATACAAATACATCTGGATCTCGCTCGATTACGTGTCCGATTTCATTTATTTAGTTGATATTTTCTTCCAGTCGAGAACAGGTGAGAAAAACTTCTTCGAAAGCAATCCTATTCCATATTTTGTGTTTTAGGTTATTTCAGTCATGGTTTATTCGTTCGGAATCATCATGTTTTATCGCGAAATTACTTTTCTTCACGTCAGTTCTATATGAACGATCTTTTGGCAGTTTTTCCGACGGATCTGCTGTACATATTTCCGCGCTTACGTTTTCTGTCGATTATTCGTTGTAACCGGTTCTTACGAATCAATCGTCTTTCACAATTTCAAGATCTAACTGAATCAAGAACAAGATTTCCAAATGCATTTCGAATCGGAGTTCTTGTTTGTTTGACACTCACGTTAATTCATTGGTAAAAACACTGAGAGTTTCTTTGTCAAGATTTCCATTTGTTTAGGAATTGTTGTGCGTATTTTCTCATCTGTCAATATCTTGGTTTTGGCAGTGATCAATGGGTTTTACCAGCTTCAGCGCACAATGAAACTGTGGCTATGCTCTACACATATTGTTTTTATTGGTCAACGCTTCTTTTGAGCACTATCGGAGATGTTCCTCTACCTGAAAATCGATCGGAATATGTATTTGTCTTACTTGATTATATGATTGGTAAGAAGAACACAAAAGATAGTTTGTTTAATTGATCTATATTATGATGGACAGGTATTCTCATATTTGCGACGATTATTGGTAATCTTGGTACGATGATTTCCTCGCAAAACCAATCGAGTAATGAATCGAGAGAAAACGTTCCTTGTCAAAGACTTGATCGTTGTTGTGTTTAGGACAACAAGTTCGTGAGAAGATGGATGAAATCAAACGATATATGAAATTCCGTTCGGTCAACCGAAAACTCGAGCAAAAAGTAACAAAATGGTTGGATTATCTGTATACAAATCGTCAAGTGTTAAACGAAGAAATGGTGTTGAATTCTGACCTGAGTATTGAATTACGCAAAGATTTAGCGATCAAGGTGCATTTGGAATCACTTCAACAGGTGAAACTGTTTCACGATTGTGAACCGAATCTTCTTATTGAACTTGTGACAAAATTAAAACCAACATTCTTCGGACCGGGAGATTATGTTTGTCGAAAAGGTGACATCGGAAAGGAGATGTATATCATCAAACGTGGACAATTAGGTGTCGTTAGTGATGATGGCAAAACAACGTTTGTTGTACTGAAAGAAGGATCGGTTTTTGGTGAAATATCAATTTTAAACATTCCAGGTTAGTTTTCTCTCAATCATTTCATTTCCGTTCGCATATATTCGGATTTTTAGGTTCGAAAAATGGATGTCGTCGCACTGCGAATGTCAAATCGTTAGGATATTCGGATTTGTACACATTACAAAAGGATGATTTATGGCTTGTTCTTGACAATTATCCCGAATCGTTGTCGAAAATTATCGAAAAAGGAAAATCTCTTTTACGAAAGGATAATCTCCTCGACGAAAGTCTGTCCGATTCCCGACGGCATGCCGAACAGGATCAACTGTTAACAGTTCAAAGTCGCCTAAAAAAATTAGACGATCTCGATCGAACTCTAAACGAACGAGTAACAAAATTCCTCGAAACTTACGTTGAATCGATCAAACGATTCAAACAGAAGTTGTCGAAACTCGAATATTTCTATGGGACAAGAAAGCCAAGTGTGTCATTGTCTATCAGTACACCTCGATCAGCACCTGCAGTTCCATTCTATGCTAATCGATGGAAACAAAATAGTTCGAATAATCTGCTCAAATATCGAAGCACATCATTTCTGGATGTCGACTGAGACGTTCTTTTCCTTTTCGATTAAATAAATATCGTGAAATAGTTCTATCCACGCCATCTGTAATTTCTCGATTTTGATTCGTCACTTTCAATGCTCAACATATGATGAGTAGTGCTATGAAAAAACAAACAAAGTTCTGTTCATTGAAGAGAACAAACCTCGATGTGAAAATTATCAGCATAACAATGAATCGTCAGCATTCATCATAAATCTTCTTCTCTCAATATCTGACGTGAAATTCGTTCATGTAATCGCCTTATCTGTGTTAGATTGTTGTTATTCTCTTCTTTTGTACAAAATTTTCGCCCTCTTTGTGTCGTGTTAAAACTTGTGACCATTCATGTTCTGCTTTTAGACAAACAGTGCATAAATCAGCAATGACAACAGCAGTAGTAAATAGTCGATCAGATGGCGAACTTTGCCGTAATGCTTGCGGTTTCTATGGCAATAAAATTTGGGATGGCTTCTGTAGTAAATGTTATCGTGAAGTGTATCAACAAGCCAAACAGATTCAAGAAGTTTACGATGGAAAACTAAAGTAAAATGATTTATAGATTTTTCACAGAGTTCCTCTTATGAAATATCTCCTCCTTTAGTACATCAACTCCACCTTCGTCTCCGACAACATCCAATTCGAATGAAAAACGTCGATCCAATCTTAGTATGCGCAATCCTCTTCGACAAATGGTCCATCGAGCTGGAAGTCTACGATGTATGTCTCGGATGTATCGTTTTCTTCTGATTTTATTTGAAATTTTTTGTAGCATCAAGTAGTTCGGTGATATCAGCGTTACTGAACGAAGAACAAACGGCGGAAAATGAAGATGCAAGTAAACATTTAGATTTAATGATAACGGATGATGCACGAGTTGATATCAAATCTCAAGTGAAGACGTTTGCCAATGGTTTTCATAAGAAATGTTCGAACAAAAATACGGATATCGATGTTTTAATCCAAGAATATGGAACGTTTAAAGATATGATCAAGAAACGAATACAAACCAATTCATTATATCGAGGTAAAAGCTTAGCGACCCGATATCTAAAGCTAAAATGACTTTTGTGTATCAGAAGAGAATGAAGATCTGGTTCATTACGTTCGAGATTACGTCGAAAAAATCGTCTTTTCCAAAGATTACACGTTTATCTTCAATCGCATTGCAATGGAGAACGAAGAACAGGATTTATCCATACAAAATCGTATCTCAGCACTCCATTGGATCACACCAGCGATGCTAGACGCAGTTCTTAACGAAAACATCGCCAACGTTCGAGAAACAGTCTACAAAGCAATCAATGGTACACTTTCAGCCTTTCGGCGATCGTGATTGAGAGTTTTTCGATATTTTTTAGCTTTAATCGAATTGGATTCGAAATCGACACCGCAAGGAAAAATTCACTCGATCATGGAATGTAAATTATTCATTGAAGAAGCTCTCCGAACAAGTAGCGAACGAACGATCAATGCTGATTGTTTTCTTCCTGCTTTGATCTATGTTGTCTTAAAAGCTAAACCGCCGAGACTGCACTCGAACATACGATTTCTCAGTGAATTTTCTCAGCCAAGCGGTGAACAACTTTACTATTTAGCAAATCTCGTACGTTTACACAGAATGAACAGTTCAAATCTAACCGAGAAGTGTTTTTTTAAGGATTCCGCAGTTCGTTTTATCGAACAAATCGAAGCTGACCATCTTGGTTTATCGGTAAACGACTTTGATTTGTACATGCGTGGCGAACCTGTCTTACCGTCGAAATTCGTTTCGCTGTTCGACTATCCGATGGAATACAATTCGATCAATGATCAATTAAGAAAAATTTCTCAAGAATATTCTCAAATCGAACATTATTCAGGAAAAATTGATGAAAATATTCAAGATTTAACTAAACATTTGACTCAATCGATCGCAGATGTGAATGAATTATTAAATCATTCATATAAACGCTTCTCTCCTTTCGAACAAATCCCTTCATCAGTCACAGCTGAGCCAAATGAAGTAGCTGAATCACTCACTCACTTAACAGTGAAGTCTCAGCATTCTTCAGACAGTTAAGCATCTCAATTTTCACTTCCGGTGTTTATTTTCGTCGAACAGTGCATATATCCGTGTAGATTTGGTTTTTTGTCATCATATTCATATCATCTATTTTATGTGTTCTTTGTTTCTCAATGTTATATCGAATAAATTACACAGTATAATTATCCTTCATATTTCTCTTTTCACATTGAGGTCAACCTAACGAGAGAAAAGTAAACGAGGAGTTTACTTGTTTTGCTCTCGATAATTACATAGATACTATTTCATTTCTCGTCGAAATTCGATCTGACCTATCGTTCGTAAGCGATAGAGACAGAGAAATTTCGTTTCATTCATTTTGAATAAAAGTAGAACTTTACAATGTGCTCGATTGTTCGGTTATCGACGTTGCTATTCGTCAGTTTTTTTATATTTGAAACAAATAGTTTCCTATTCAGAAGTCGAACTTCAAAGATCAAAATCGGCTCGTTTAATCTACGTCGGTATTCCTATGCAAAAGCTTCACCAACCAATTCCGTTAACTCACATATATCAAAAATCCTCAAACGATACGATCTTATTTTCCTTCAAGAAATCATCGATACTTCCGCTGATAATCGTGTGGTTAATCTTCTCTTACAACATCTTCATAAACAATCCAAATCCGTTAAATACGAATCGATCATTTCGCCACCTTTGGGTTTAACATCCTACAAAGAACGATTAGTTTACCTCTATCGGAAAAAATCTCCTCGAATACAAATACTTTCGTCTTATGTCTACAATGGATCAGCGAAGAATGTATTTGAACGTCCACCGTTCATTCTTCAGATTAAATTAGCATCGTTTGGACCGATTACTTTCATTGGCGTTCATTTAAAACCCGACAATGTTTACGAAGAATTTTGCGCTTTACGAACAGTTGTTAATGAATTGAGAACAACTTCGTCAGTGGTGTTATTTGGAGATTTTAATGCGGACTGTGCGTATCTCAACAATGCAAAGAAGAAAGAATTACGAAAATCATATTTTAATGAATTTCAATGGCTAATTGACGATCGAACCGAAACAAATCTACTTCAATCATGTTCATACGATCGAATATTAGTTTCTGAAGGCACTGGTCCGTGGAAAAAAGTTAACTGGAAAGCGAAAACAAACGGAACATTTGAATTCGATAAGAAGTTCAAGTTAACGAAACAACTCGCACTCCAAATTAGCGATCATTTTCCCGTCGAAGTAGATATTTATTGAAATAAAATGAACATGTACAATCTTGTTCAACAGAACGTTTAAGAAGAACAAACGAACGAAAGCAGAATAGAGAAAGTGTATTTGAAAAAAAATAAATTTAAGAATCAATTATAAAGCTTCTTTTCAGTTATGTTAATATTCATCTTTAACTTCCGAATGAACTAATTCTTTGCTGGAGTCTGTACTTGTCGGACGTGATTGCTTGTTTTTTAACTGTTCTTGTAATTGTTGCGTCCAAGTCATCATCGTATCAACTGGACGTTTTTGTGCAGCTGGCAAATCGCCTTGTGGAAGAATATCCACAGCATAAACACGTTTTTCCTCCAATTCATTTTGTCTTTGTTTTGCTAAAACAACGGCAGCGAATGACTGAATCAGTACGTTATTGGGCGTTGTTTGTTGGTTTGGTGTGATCAAACCACTGACTTGTGCGTTGCCTGTTGTATCACTTTGTAATTGCTCAGGATTCCAAACTGCGTTCATAACGTGATAATTCACACTTTTACCTGTTTTACCGGCTATGGATACTTGTTCTTTAACAGTAGGATGTTCTTTATCAGGTGGGTTCGAGTTATTCATATGAACCTCATCGTCGTCGTCGCCATCGTCATCTGAACAGCATTTAAAACGGTACCAAGGACACCCAATTGCTGAACAGATATCATCCCAAGGTAAATCCGATAAAGTTAAGAGTACGACTAAACCACACACGACGCCGAAAACGGACCAGAATGCCGCCGAACGTTGACCTTTAGTTGTATCTACTTTTGCTAAATAGAAAAGAGGCAGACAAACATGAAATGATAGAGAAGTTCCATATTAACATACGTGTTTCGCAATTAGGCCCATTGAAGAATATCGTTGAACAATCACATGTATAATTATTAAGCGCGTCTTGACAAGTTCCACCATGCTGACATGGTGACGATAAACATTCATCAATTTCTTGATCGCAAACAGCGCCTGTATATCCTGCTGGACAGACGCAAAGTTCGCGTCCAACATTTAAATAACATGTGGCATTATTTTTACACGAATTATTTGCTGCGCACCGCTCTATCCACCGACACAAAGAAAGAAAATGACAATCAAGTCAAGAAGGTTATTTATTACCTTGATATTCGCATAAGAAGTTGGATAATTTACTGTTAACATCGTCAGTCACTTGGTACGTGTTTGCACTTGAACTGTAGACTATTCGATAATTCGATCCATTACCAACAATCAATTGGTCACTTGTATTGAAATACCACACTATGGCTTGTTTTGACCAACTCCATGTTCCTGTGGCAGCGACACCGTCTATCCAAAATTGAGTTTCGATACCCCAAGCTAAAAAATATTTCGTAGGGTAAAACAAATAGTTCACAAGTCATTTGCTAACCTTTCATCCAGTAAATAATTGCTGTTGGTTCGGGCGCCGATTCGAATGACGCGAGATGAGTGATGAAACCTGTTTTATTCGTTACGATCGAGCTGGAATCATTGAGACAGTATTGTTGTGCATCAGACCATGTCATTTTTGTTCCATTATTTATTTTATAACATCCATTCAAAATGGAATAATATGCTGATGGACAAACGATACTTCCACCCACAGTCAATGAATTCAATAGGACATTTACAAAGATGAAAAACGACTGAAAATGAAGCAGAGATTTTCGGAAACATTGAAATGATATTCACCTACCAGCAAAGACATTTGATAAATTTTGTGCGAGAAAGTATTGGGAAAAGAAAAGAGAAGAGAATAACTTAACTCAATCGTTAGTAGTTGTTTGATGTCCCTTGTCGATGCCGTGTAGGCACGTTCCAAGACCGAATGGAAATGAATAATAAAATAGCAGACAAATTCTGTCGATATTTTTTCTTTCTTTCTCTCTCACTCTCCCTTTTTCTCACACTTGAGTCTAAGAAATTGATGAAATAGCGAACAAATGAGAATTTCCGTCATTTTCTTTTTTTATTTCTATGCGTACCATTGTCATTATCGATTGGAAAGGAAGGAAAGAGCAGAGAATAGTTTCTCACCATTATATCGTTAAAATAAATAAAAATTTCTGTTTTTTCTTCTTCAGTAAAAACTGTCATCAGATATCAATGAAGTGATATTTAAAAGAGAAAGGGAAACTTGAAAAGTTTTCCTCTCTAATGCTCATTATATTCTTGAAATGATAATTGAAAGAGAAGAGAAAAGCAAAATCTGTAAATTGTTTTCCAATGCATCATAATTTACATTGAAGTAATGCATTTCTCTTTCGTGGAATATATGATGTTCTTTATAAAAAAAAACTCTTTTGTGATAGAAGTACAAAGGTTGGTTCAGGCGGCAATGCGTTAAATACAGAAGACTCAAACATTGATCGCTGTGCGAGGGTGAAAGTTTGACTACTCTTTTTACTCACATCCATACTGAAACTCCTCACTCATCTCGATCGGAAACTGATATTGAACAGTTGTGTGCTGGCCTACTTCCAGCAAAGGAGGAAAACCTTTAGGTAGATCGTGATGCATGTTTAAGAACAGTTACACTATCGTATGATATTCGCAATATTGACGATTATTTAAGCTAAATTGAGGTGGACTGAAAAAAAAGAATTTTAATGATTTTATATCATTTTTTTTAATATATTATCAAGATTAAATATAAACTTTGTTAAAAAAGTACGTTGATTGAAAATGAAAATCTAGCGAGAAAATGTCTTGATGTCCAGCAAACGGGTCTAATTATTACCCTTCTACCGATTATCCTGGAACATTGGGAGATAATCTTCCGCGGCAGCTCGTGCAACTCTGGCCATGGAAGCAGTTGTCGGTGATACCTTTTCTACTGATGCAATGCAGTTGTTGACAACTTTACCAGTGGAAGCCCCAACTGAATACAGACCGTCGTAAACCTGGCTGATAATTGGAGGCCGTGTGCGGTCTATTTCGTTGCGTACCGTGTTCCAGAAGTTTTCAGACATTTGCGTACCTATGTTAAAAAATACTGTAAAAAATCTGATTAAATTCGACTTTTGAGGATGAGATTATTACAGTTGAAGATGCCGATGTGTTTTCTTTCAGGCAAATCGTGTTATTTCAGAAAAAGAAAACGCTTTTATACATAAGAGAAAGGAGAGAGAGAGAGAGAGAGATCGTTCTTCTCGAGTAAGAACCGATTTATACCGGCTCAATTATCGCAAATAACATATTTGAATTGCCTTTTTAACCCTATAGAATCTGATCTACTGAAATGTGAAAGCAATAGCTGAAAACGTTCTCTTTAACGGAAGCCGAGTTTCACTACAGTTAGAATCTTTTTGCAGACAGTATGAACAATACATGATATTATTTCAAGATACAGGTACAGCTGAGTGATATTAACTTACCCTTCAACAGGAATTCAAGATCAGCTAAATGGTTTGAAATAGTTAAGTAATATACGAAACAAATGATTTAGTTGTGTGAAGAGAAAGGCTTATATATATATATGCCACGTCGATGTGTACTGTTTGTATTTGTTGGAAATAACATACAGCCTGTAGGATATTTCCGACGAAAGCAAGAACATTTCCGACGAAAACAAGAACATTTCCGACGAAAACAAGAATATTTCCGACGAAAGCAAGAATATTTCCGACGAAGATAAGATAATGATAACACCTATAGAAGGAAACATCTCAATGACGGCACTATATCACATTATTGCATCATCTGCCGTACTTTTGTATTGTAAAACGCTTATTGGAAGATGAACATGTGTATCACAAGTGTGATTAATACACGCATTGATTCATTTTTCTTTTTCTCATGCATACATATCGACAACATCTGATCCTGTCTTACAAATCGCATTACTCATATATTGTCTCGTAGTTGTTATTATTACGCACATGCTTTTAATTTAAAATAATATGACTGCATCATCTCCCCATACACGCGAATATCATTCTGTTTTTTCATACTTTTCTCGTTTCACAAAATGCACCCAGAGAATACACTTTAACGTCTTTTCGATTGCTTAACAATTACACTTAGAAGTGTCTTTGCTTTACCTTAACATTTGATCTAGCGACAGCTATGTTGTAAACATTATCTTTGTAATCACAAACCTTTTATTTCATCTAATTGTCTTTTGTTTATTATAGATAATCGATGATAAGAATGTATTTTTTCATAAAACCTAACATGATTTAACATTTGATAAATATATATTAAAAAAGAGAAAACGACAACAAGTGATAGATCCCAACTAAAATCTTCCGAGAAGAAAACCGATGACATTCTATTTTTGCAATGCTGAAACACCTTTGAAACCAGTCTTTTGGGTCATGTTGATCTTATCACCCCTACAAATGAAAACAATCTTCATTACAGTTCGAAATATCATTTCGAATAACTTACATGGACAAAGCCATGCCTTGACTTTTTGCTCGAATACGAATATGTCCCGTCACAGGCGCATCAGCATGTATGGCTGACTTTTCGATACTAATATTTGATAGAACGTCTTCACCAAAGATAGATTTGGCATATAGATTCGCTGCCATAAAACCGCAATCGCCTGACAGAGCTTTTTCTGGTGTTAAACAACGCATATTTGTTGATTTTAATAGATAAGTTAAATAAAGGTGAAGATCGCGTATAGTTGTATTGACAACAATCTTATTTTCCCATTCAAATTCGATCCACATTTGACGGAATTCATTATCTGTGCACGTTGCAGGAACAATATAATCCATAATATCAATATGAATATCATTGAGAACAACACAATTACGATCCGATTGTGAACTGGTCACATCATAAACGATGTTACCAAAAATAATACCATTTTCTGTCGATGTTACTTTGATGTTCGCTTTGATATTAGTAAAATCATGTGGTGCCATAGTAATCGATTGAGGTTTTTCTACTAATTTCAAATCACCGAGTGTGGCTAATTCCAAAGTGAGATTTTGTAATGTATCAGATGTTTGATTAACTAAACAAAGAAATAAAAAAGATCAATGCGTTATTTATGATTGAAATTTACCAATAAGTACATCGAGAACAATATCGTATTGATTGACATTCACATATGCTTCAGCATAGACTGGATCGCTGAAACCAGTCAATTGTGTGACTTTGCTGAGTTTTGATGAACTGAATATATCTTCGTCTTTCTTTCCGATTGTTCCAATGGCTTGTTTGAGTGTCAAATCAAGAATATCTTCTTTTTCATCGAATTCATTTGATGCTAATAATTGAGTAAAACGAATTGGATCATCCGGTTCAACCGCTGCTGTCTATAACAATGAGTTTTGTTAAAGATCCATCATTTAAAACGAAATCAAACATACTTTTCCTTTCGATAGTTTCTTTTCTATTTCTTTCTGTTCTTGTGCTTTCGCTGACAACATATCTGCTAATGCTGTTCGACAATCTTCTCCAAAAATATGGAATGTAACCGGTAACCGTTCATTTAATAATCGTACACACATTAACATACGATCATGATCATCTTCATTCATCGGTTTTGATGGTAAACTTGTTCGTCCTAAATGTAATATACTTGCAATGATAAACATTGCTTCGGCACAGAAACGATTTTGTTTGGCTGAATCAGGTTCTAATGACATGTAACGTATGACCAATTTACATAATGATGTTGCTAATGCTGCACCAATAAAAAAGTCTCCGTCCAATAAAAATGTTCGTAAGGATGGTTGGCGATTACGATCATTTGCTAAACCATTCACGGTCTTCTTATCGGCAGTTGTTGACGAAACAAATGCACTTTGTGTGGCATAGGTACCATCGGCTGTAACTAAACGTTGAACTGGTGCGGACATTGATGTGTCTTGATCATCCTTTGTTTCGCCTGTTGAACGACGAATTTCATCATCAACAATAGGTAAATCACCAAGAGATTGACGAATGAATGTCATCACATTTTGAATATCTTCAACCGATGAGCAGTATTCACCTAATAACCATAAGGTTGCACGAAGAACTTTAGCCGATCTGATTTGTCCACAAATATCTAATAAACGTTGAACAACAAGATCTTTTAGATTGGAAAATTTCTGCATAACATCACGAATGAAAACGAGAACATCAAGTGCAGCTAATTCGTTCTTATCGGCGAGAAATTCAATAAGAACAGGAAGAATTGTATTGGCCACATCGGGAAATTTCATGGTGCATTGATGTAATGTTCGAACTAACAGTTGTTTATATTTTTCCACATCTTCTGTTTCTTGGGCATTGTGAGTTTTCGAAACTTCTTTTTTCAAAACTAAGACCATTTCATTGATCGTTTTCGATGTAACTAAATCATAACTCAATTGAAGTGTTTTCTTTCGAACTTCGATATCCGGTGATGCTAATACACGAAGAATGTCCATCACTAATTCTTGTAAAATACGTTCATGCGCTGCGATATCTTTCAAAGCGATCAAACGATCAAGAACGATTAGTTTCACATTGTTGTCACTTTCTTTGATAATCAAATCGATATAACAAGAACTTGCTGCGCGGACAGCTGTTGGCGCACTGGACAAAGTGATCAATGTTCCAGCCGCTTCATAACGTACAGCTTGTGATGATGAATTTAACAAATTGTAGATACATCGAATAAATCGTGCACGTTCATTGGGATTGCTGTGACAAACTTTGTAGATAAGTTCAACGATAACCAATTGTAAAATATCACCAAATGAATTTACTTGATCAATAACGTTGGAGAGATAGTTCAATGCGCGTTCTTGATCAACATGAATTAGCATCATGAATGCATTTCGACGACATGACATATCTTGTTCGACATCGAGAAATTTACCGATTAATTCCGGTGCATCAGGAATAAGAAAATCGGAATTCTTGTAAATTGTAAAGATTGCCAAGACAGCATTACGACGAACATAGGCGTGACGATATTCGAGACAAGCACGAATTGATGGCATCAGAGGTTCGAGTAGTTCGGGTTCTTTGAGTTTACATAAGAAACGAAGTGTTGAACCACGAATAAATTCATTTGGATGTTGAAGATCTTTTCGATAAGCATCACAAACTAGAATCATTTCTTGAAGGAGTTTGCCATCTGCTGTATGTTTAGGTACAATTTCCCAGAAGACGAGTAAAAGTTTTTTAATTGTATGATCTTGTGACGGCATAACATAACGGATGATGATCATTAATAATGATGGGAATTTTTCACCATTCAACATCATGACAATTAACTTTTTTAATGCTTCAGCTTTTGCCTAAAAGAGGAAGACTCGAAACGAAGGGCGATGAGAAAAAACAACAAACCTTTTCGTTGCCTTTTTCAAGATCTTCACGTAACTGCATTTCACTTGGTGGTTCCAGATCTTGACTGGTATTGATCAAAGTGTAACAGGGTTGTTCAGCAACAGTCATTTTCACTTGTTTTTCTCTCTAGATCTAAACAGAAGATGTAGACGTATCGTTTCAACACATATATTTAAATGATGTTCATGAACAACAAAACAAAATCTATGGATTCGTACATCGAATTCGATGGGTCTGAGCAAACAACAACGATGTATGTTGTTTGACGAGAAAAAATGGTAATAAATAACATACCGACACTGTTGTCGTTGACGTGGATCATTTCCAAGAGCCAATACAAACCGAATATGGAACTATAGATGTCACTACGTGTTTGTTCGCTCAAAAGCGATGTCGATCGCGTTAAAATCAGTACTTCTCGTTCCTTACATTATTCACAATGGAATTATCAGTGTTCATGCCATTCGATCGTATTTCATCTATTTCGATTTGTTATTTTTCTTCACACAGTGCTACTTCCTCAAAATTGGATCGTAGTCCTCGATATTCAACAGACCAATAACTATAATTATTACTCATGAATCTCTAGCAAACAAAAAACGATCATACGTTTCTTCGCGAGATGATGTTGCTTTCTTCTCTATATAGAACTTCTAAGCTGTCAGAATAATGACACTACGGATATGTATGAGAAAAAAAAGTTCTTTCTCCCCATAATGCATCGTTTGTTACAAGGAAGAAGACAGAAAAGAACCTTAACGATTTATTTTCTTCGCCTTCTTCGATCCAAATCTACCACATTTACCTGATGAAGAATCCGATGTCATCTATCAGCAAAGTTTCATGTGGAACCTGGTGACTATAAGTCAAAGTTGACTTTTTCTGATCTTTTACAGAGGAATGTATAACCAATGAAGATCTGTATTCTTGGTTTGCACCAACCGATCGGATCGAAAACTATCAATTCATGGAATTAAAGAAGACCACTACTACAAATCATCTCAGTTGAAAATGTGAAATGTTGCGGCTTCCTTCTGACAACTTCTTGTATTGAAGAATAGCAAGATCGATTTCTAGAAAAAATATTTTCGAATCATGTTGATTCCGTACCGTTTGGGTGTTGGTCAGCATTCAAATGCGTTCTTCTAGCATCATTTGGTTTATCTTCAAGTTGTGACCATTTCTGTTATGATACAGTATGTCTTGATTATATTGAAGTTCAATATTCATCGAAGTTCTCCATACCAGTGATCCCAATTTCACACGACGATCTATATCTTGCACTTGAAAAAGTTGGTATCAATGGAACGAAAGCTTCGAGATCTGTATATCTGTGAAAATGGCGAAAGCGATCCTCAACCGAAAAAACAACGTATTCTATTTCAATCGATTTGTGACGAACATCTTCAGCTATTATCAAAATTGATTGCTGGACAAAATGAAAAACAAACTGCGGTGGACGTGCACTCGTTTCGGTTCGTACAAAACGATTCATATGTTTACCCAGTAAGAAAATAAATGATGACCATATCAATTGTCTCGGTGTGATTGATGAAACAGGGGTATGCAACGGAGATTTCTATTCCTGGAACATATTTTAACATTACACGTCTTCAAGTGAGCAACAGTTTATTTCGGAAATAAACCAAAAATTGCAGAGACGACTCTGGCTATATACATGTATGATGAGGAGGGGAATATCCCAGTATAGGATACTTCCAAAAGAAACCAAGACAACAATGACATCTAGAGAAAGGAGATGTCCCAGTGACGTCACTATATCACAGACAAGGTTCCAACTTAGAGTATATTTGTGTTGAATTCAATTTGCTTTCAAATCATGGAATCTTCACTCGAGATTATTTAGTATTGGAAACGCATGTTTGAACCCTTAAGTAATATACGAAATCCAGCAAGATATATTTTTTCTCTGTTCATTACTTATAGAAAATACCCACCGAGAAAATCATTTCAAAGCAACTTTTATTTGTTAAAAAGATATCATGCCATCGTGGACTTCTTCAACACTCTTAGTTGAATAAATCTGACTCAGTACTGACATGTATTTGTCCATATCAAAGTGAACGAATAATTGAGTTTATATATCTACTATTTCGAACATTTTCTGATTTTCGACAAACTTCATTCCAAATAATTATTCAACTGATCGATGATAGTCATGAAAGGGCCGTTCATTTGCATATCAAATTAACTGATTTATTTGTCAGAGATTGTAAATCGAAATCATAATTTATCGTACGAAAAAAGAATTTTGCAATCCATATTGATATCTTTAAGAAGCACCAATTAAATTACCGTGGAAATTTATGGTTTCCGATCGCCAATTCATTTTTACCCGTCCATCATCACAATCGTACACACGCACATATATTCGTGCGAAAAGCTTTGGTAGCAATCATTATTAATATGAAGAGAAATTCGATCCAGTACGAACCATCCTTCTTCATTTTCTTCGAACTATGAAAGATATTATTAGAAAACGACTTTATCAATGATGAGCTCAGCCGTTATCTATTGATCTGATTCATTCAATGCGACTTTTATTGAAGATTTGGACAAGAACTATAATTTTCTCACCACTCAAAATCATAATCTAAGTTAAACAATAACGATACTAAAGCAAAATCAATTCATATAACGCGACTTACCTATCGATATATGTGATCACAGTATATCGAATGAGACATAGAACAAATATGAATTTAAAGCAATTTGTTGACAGTGACAGGAAAGAGAGTATGATTCTGTATTTGCACACGGTAGATATATTAATCGAAATGCCGGCACTTGCTAGTTTTTCAACTTTTCCACATTAGTTGAATTTTTCTGTGGATCTAAAAATGAATTTGTTAGTCTCATGAAGAGTAAAGTTTCCACATCGATATATACTATTGATGATATTCACGATTCTATCTTCGCTGAAATACTCCATTAAAACGTCATGCTGTTTCTTTTGGTCAACTAAAAAGAAACGGAGTATTTAATAACGTAAAATACATGAAACGGATGGATTACCACCACAGGCTAGCGCATTTCTAATCTTTTGACGAAGTTTTCTTAAATCCACTTGTATCTCAGCATGTCTGTACAAGCAAAACGAAAACTACCAATGGAGGGACAGCAATCTGAGTACTTACGCCTTTCCCAGGTCGAACAATCCGACACGGCAACGGTCGGTTCCATGGTATTCCCGATTGGCGAGTTTCCTCGGGGATTTTGTCGGAAATTCATGCAAAATCCTGCTTCAGCAACCATTGTTCTGGGTTAATCCACATAAATTTTTGAGGGTGTGGGTGTGGATGTGTGTGTTTTCACATCGAGAGAGATCAATAGCCCAGTTTTTCAAATATGTCATGACTGGTAAACCTAAATCGCGAAGAAGCAATGTTAGTCCTTTCTTTAACGCTTTCTATGTTCTTTCATGTTATTCCAATAATTTTTGATGGTGCTTTTTTTGAACATCCAAACAGAAGAAGGTATGGAAGTTAATGAGATCTGATCGCGGGTCTTGTAATATTCAAGCGGTCTTTTTCTTATCTATTTCTTGTATAATACGGCAATTCTACAAAGCGTCAAATCATGCGAAAGATGGAGCCACATTTTCAATTTAGCAAATGTTGTATTCTATTGAAAGTCAATTCAAGATTTTGTATTTAGCTCAAATTTTAGGAATACGAGTCATCATACCAGAATAAACTGGTTCGTTTTGATTAAATGACGGATCCTTTTTTGGATTTGACTTGTCTATGACCTCATTCCATGAAATAGAAACCGATCATACGTTAATTTCTTCGCAAGGAGATGATGTTGCTTTCTTCTCTGCATAGAACTTCTATGCTGTCAGAATAACGACACTACCAATACGTATGCGAAAAAAATGTAATCGATCAAGCATAACAATTTCTTATTTCACGTCTAGATATACTATACGTATAGAAATATGGTGAATATTGTCGATTTTCGTAACCGCCCATACGAACACATTCTTTCTTACGATAATGCGTCGTTTGTTACAAGGAAGAAGACAGAAAAAAGACCTGAACGATTTAATTTCTTCACCTTCTTCAATTCAAATCTACCATCATGTTCAATTCCCATTAAATGACCTCCTTGGTGTCCTCTACCCATTATTTGGAAGTTATTATCCATTTGAAGAATTTCTTCACATGATTTACACAGTTCATCACATCTTTTGTGCATATGATATAGTACAGAATCGTTGCGTCGGTTGTGCATTACTCAATAATACGGATAATACTAATCGAAGCATTTACATTATGCTGTTTGGTGTTCAACAAACAAATCAAAAACAGGGCATCGGCACTTATTTGCTACAAACAGTAATCCAATGGGCGCAACAAGCTGGCTATCAACATATTCACTTAGATGTTTTTGTTGAGAACTATAAAGCCATTGGTTTATATGAAAAAGTTGGTTTTCAAAAGTATCAGTTCTTACCAAACTATTACATTCATACGTCGAAACGTCCTCCACATGCCATTCGAATGGTTCTTTCACTCGTATAATTCACAACAAATGTCACTGTGATACCGCTTATGTTCCTTATCTCAATTGAATATATACCAAAAAGAAGATATTTGAATCATAATCGAGACACAACGAAAAAAAAGAACAAATTCTCATATACAGTAAAGAAAAGAGTTTTTTGTTAAAAAAGATCTTCTGTCATAACGTATGAAAAGTTATAGTCGTGACTTGATTCACACTCATTTACAAATCATGTTTTTACTTAATCTCGTGTAAAGAAAAGACCATATCTTTGAAGATAGTTTTTAGCTCAAAGATTGGATGAGATTGTCGATCATATTCGATAACTGCGCAGTTTTCAGACTTATGAGGAGAAGTTAACAGAGTTTGTGCATAGACAGTTGTTGTGATGCATTGTTGATTGATAAATTGCATTTAAATACTAAAATGGATACTCATCAAGGGAAAGAGAAGAAGAAACAGTTTGATTATTGTTTTCGAGTTCATATACATCGAGTTATTCTGCTCCAATGAAAGTGGTTTATGTGAAAAGAAAGAAATTATGTTTGTTCGATAAATTATTTAATGTGATTGTCATATAAGATGTTCATTATTTTTCTTGAAATAGTTGTTTATCATTATAGTAATCTCGTTTCTGTTGCTTTGCCGAGCATTTTCCATTAAAACACATCACTGTTTTCTTGTTTTGCTTTACATATTATCTCTCTTCTCCTATATAGTGAACCAAGTGTTATTTACTTGGAACACTTTGCTTCTGTTTAACATGCAATAAATCTAGCGACTAAAAACGGCACTTCAGCGAGAAGGAGCTGAATCAGTTTGCTTTGCTTGTCCTTTGATAGTTTGTAAGATTTATTAAGAATAAAGATATTTATAAAGTCGTGCATAAATTTCCTTCATTCTGTAAAATAGAGCGATAAATAACAAAAATGGTTTTGCTACATTAACTATCAAAGACGAAAAATATAATCGTCAGCTTGAATTATTTTATGTCAGATATACTAATTACAATCAAATATCTTCATGAATGAATATTGATTCGACCAGTGTAAAGATGACTTGCGACCATTGAACGATAAAGTTGAACTTTATTAGTTTAAGTCGAATGAGGAGTGTTCGGAAATGTATTTTTGCTTGCCGATTTCGTGCCAGAGTCGAGAATGGCGAATTTTGGGAATTTATTCTTTAATGGAAAACATGATGAATATGCTCGTAGTTTTATAATCTCATTCTCACCCTTCAATGTGCGAAAAGGACAAATGTAACAAATAAGCTTGAACATTAGACAAATATTTTGACCAAATGCACCCTCTTACTTCTTCCCAACTCGTTAAAGTGTTAGATGCATGGTATCGAGCTTTTTGTTTATTATTTGAATATGTATACAAAGAAGATTCGCATTTACAATATAAAAAAAAAGAATTTGCGTTAAAAAATCTTCTATCACAACGTATGGAAAACAATATTCATGAATGAATTCATACTCATTTGCAGATCATGTTTTATTTATTCTCATTGGAGAAGAGTCCATATCTTTGGAGATATTCTTGAGTTTCAAAAGACAAACTTTTGTTCGTGATTTGAGGAGGTGATGGTTGTGGTTGTGTAGTGGATGCAGTTGCTTGAGATGGTCGATCGCATTCGATAGCTGCAGCTAACTGTTCATCTTCGAGATATTTCATTTCCAAGGCGTGAACTTCGATCGAAAGGTTATTTTCAGACTTTTGAGGAGAAGTAAGCAGAGTCTGCGATTGAGCTTGTGGGTAGACAGTTGTTGTACTGCTTTGTTGATTGATAAATTGCATTTGAATGCCATTAGATGTGAAACTAATTCCAGTTGTTTTTGTTGACGTGACATGTTGCTGCTGATGAATGGAATTGTTGGAGGAGTTAGAGATCGTTATAGTATCTTCCTCGTTTGTTATTGGTGATACAACAGCAGGTGGACCGTGTGCTGATTTTTGCTGTTGTTGTTTATCAATGTATTGAAATATAGGTTTGAGAATATCGACAGATCTATGATCGGAATAAGATGGTGAATGATCAATTCGTGTGGTAGGAGGAGATAACTAAACAACGAAAGTGACTTTTTTCAAGGAAAAGATAGACTAAAGTACTCTTACATGATTTAACATGGTGTTGATTCCTGGTTGTTGTTGATACTGCTCAGTATTTGGTGATCTGATAATGAGTTGCTTCGTTTGATCGGTTGGAAGTGATTCATAAACGTAAGGTGACGATGGTTCACTTTGTACGCCAACGTGTCGTTTCGAACATTCTTTTTTTGGTGTTGTTAGTAAATTTTGTTGTTTTTGTTCATTTAAAAGTTGATGAACAAGTTTCGTTAATGCCAAGAAATGTGCTTCATACGATTGCATTCGTTCGATTAACTCCTCTTTCCACTGTTTGTCACCATTATCGTCCACTGGTGCTGGAGAGCAGATTTGCTTTGATTTTGGCGAAGCACATGATGATTGAGATTGACGCTTAGGAGTCAACATCGGTGCTGTTGTTATCATATCCCAAGAGGGCTCTTCATGCGTAGTTTGCTTAGGTGGTAAACGAGGAAAACCAAATAAACTTCCATTGGTATTTGACGACGAGAGGATCGCTTGATACCTGTCGAAAGGGATGTCCGTAGAAAAAGCAGGATCATTCGAAGCTTCACGAATCAGTTGAAATTCAAAATCGTAAGGAAATTCTGTACTGCAATTAGCATTCAATTGGTGTAAAGGTAAACTAATTTGTTTCGAACATCTCCATCGATCGTACTCAATTGTTTGTATCGGCACTGACCCTACAGGTACTGGTTTAACTTCATAAAAATCACACCGTCCGCGTGTAGTCGACAGATAACATGCCAATAGAAATGGTGCTGCTCCAGATTGAAGACGCTGTTTCAGCGATGAATTCATACAATAACGAAGACACACTGCCCACATAAAAGCACATTGAATATCGGTTATACCAGATATCCAACTAGAACAATTCATGACAATTAGATTTCAAACATAATCAAACGCTTTCTTCTTACATTCCCACTAGTGGTAATCCATGTGCTTGTGGATCATTCTCAAGTATTAATAAAATTTTCTTGTTTGACATACGATCTAAACTACAATAACCGAAATGTGCTTGAGTTTTATAAACACTATTTTCTGTTGATGAATTAAGGCTTTTCAATAAAGCTGTTGGTAAGATTTGAACAGAAGCAGGATTAATTGGTGTTAATAGAAAACTATTTTTTACTGTTAAAAGATCAAATGACATGTCGATATTTATAGGAGAAGAATATTTCATCGACATTTGACCGTAAAGATACGAAAACCGATGTAATTCAATTGGAACTGATAAATGACAATAATTATTTATATCCTAAAAGCAAAAAAACGCATAAATACGATGTTTTTCACAACTTTTCGTACCTGAATTGCACTTTGAATACACGAATTGAACATTGCGGAATGTTTAGTATCACATTGAATAGGCACCTGAAATTCTCCAGTGATTAACTGATGATCAGTAACATCGTTTGTTAATAAAAACCGATCAATGACATAAGTTAAGCGTTGTGATTCGTCATCGGATATTAAGGTCGCAATCAATAAGATTGTCGGCAGGTTTTTTATTCGAACTATCGATCGAATAACTTTGTCTTCGATAATTAATTGCGGTGATAGATTTTCATTTTGACATAAACGAAGATGAAACGGCCGACCGATTGGTGTTGAGTTCCAATACGATGATGAAGTCATCGTTATTTACATCTGAAAAGAAAACAGCTGCGAAAGGAGTACGATTGTATAATGTCAATTTATCGATCGTCATAAGCAACAATTTTAAAAGAATCGTGACTCGCTGCATGTGCACACTGAAGTTGTAACAAATAACAAAATTCTTTTTCGAAATTCGATCTGATCTTGTTAATAAAAGTATTTATTTATCTTTTTCTCTGAAAATCTTAAGAAAGACATGAGTATCTGCAAAAAGTTTTGTTCATAGTGTCTCGATGAATCTGACGTTATCTTATGATGATTTATTCGATTGTTGTGAATGGAATTTCCCATTAGTTGCAGCAGATAATGAATTACATCCATTAGAATTTTGCTAAAACGATCAAGAACAAGCAGATGTGATTGAAAGTGTAAATTGAATCACTCACTGAAAGTGCAGGCGAGAATAAATTTAATTTATCCGACGATATTCGAGGTAGAACATATCGATGAGCATGAGGTTGAAAAGTAGTTGCAATATTGTTCAGTAAACTTCCTGTTTAACGAAGAACGAGACAGAATTAAGGAATTCATTTTGAGAAAAAAAAAACTCTTTCTTATATGCTGATTCGTTTATCTCAATCTTTCTCGAATGAATATAACATATGTTTTTGAAATTAACGTAAATAATTAACAAAAAGTCTAACATGATCATAGAACTAAGCAGTTGATATGATGAAATAATTAGAAAATTTAGCGAGTGAAAAAAAAACGAACAAATTCAGAAAAAAGCAACTCGAACGAGACGAATTTATTGATTTCCTTATCGCCACTCGGCATCAGTCGCCATTCTAGTACCATCGTAATCGCCACTCGAGTTCAGATTGTTGTTGATATTGCAATTCTGGGAATAAGGATTCGCATTTGGATGAACACCAACCGCTGGTTCGCCTGGTAAACTGTTCCAATACTGTTCGGTAGGTGAATCATGTTGTTGACCAGGTGGTGCTTGCACCGGTGCATTTGGATATCTAGAGAAATCAATTGTATGTGACTTGACGAGATCCGAATACGAAAAGTTTCTTACCTAAAATATGGATTTTTCAAATCCAGAACATTTTCAACCGAGATGTTGGTTCCTTCGATTTCCAAATAAAGCTCGACATCGTAGCTTTGTCTACGAGACGACGAAGACAAATTATTCAAAGGTAATAGAACAAAAAATCTTTTACTTTCGATTAGCCTTTAATATTGCATGACCGCTAATCGTCTGTCCTTGATTTACTGTTAAAGGTTTGACAAATAAACAACGAACTTGATACCAATGTGTTAATGGTTGAGTCGGAGCGGTTGATAGCCATATTTGAGAACTAAAACGAGAAATTATTTCACATAAATCGTTCAACGACAGGAAGAAGAGTTTTGTACGTTGTTCCATCGAATGAAACGTCAAACCAAAATGCGAGACCATGTACAACAGCTGTTGTAGTCAATTCAAATGATAATGGGATGTTCATTTCATATAAATCTTCTTCGGCTGCTGTCAAAAAATTCACTGTAAATTTGATTGGTTTAGCTAGACAAACGCGTACATCGAAATTATCGACAATTGGTTGCTTAAAATATTCTTCAATAGCTGCATCACGTAATGTTGTTAAATCAACACCGTAGAACGATTGTTGATACCAAAAATTGGCTTTGCCAACTTGTTCCATGAACAACGATTCATCCGTGAATGGAGTCACGTAAAGATCACCCGTTGTGGGAAACATTTTACCATTGGGTTTCAGAAATTTCTTGGCATGGATATAAGATTCTAACATACGTTCGTTGTATAACATATAGCCCATGGGCTCGGATATGATCACATCGACTTTTTCGGGTAATTCGATTTCTTCAATTTTACCAGGTACGATTTGGATACGATTACTCAATTGATTGTTTTCGATTAAGGTCTAAAGAAAAGCCGTGTTTGAAGAAGTGATGAAAGATGAATGAATTACTTTAGCATGTTGAGCCATTGTGCTGGCTTCGACAGCATAAACTTTGCGTGCGCCTGCTTGAGCAGCGAAAAACGAAAGAATACCTGAACCAGCACCAACGTCAAGAACAACCTGAACAGAAATTCTCATCAGTGACTTCGAACAAAGCATAGAAAATACAAACTTTGCCAGCAAAATCGACAGAATTGTCCAGAATTGCTCGTTGATAAGTAGATGTACGAATATAATCTTGCATCATATTTTGTTGTTGGGCTAGATAACCATAAAACTAGAGGAAAGAGTGACATTTCGCTGAAACAAATGGAAAATCGTACTTGAAAATACTGTTCTGCCGAGCCTTCTTCAGTTCGTTCGTCGAATTGAGAACTAGCGATATCCTCAATCTTTTTACCGGCTCGAATAGACGACAGAAGTTTATTGAAATTCGATGCATCTTAGAAAGCAAAAGAAATGACGTCAGCACTTCCTCATTTGTGCCCATTTGATAAATTTACCTTCCTGATCCGGAAATTTGAATAGATATGAAAGATTCTTTTGTTTCGGCAGACTAACTACAACTCCATTTGTACCCGATCGAAGATTATGAAGTGAATCATCTAAATTTAATTTGACTGTATTGGATGAATCTAAATCAAACCACCAAAATATTCAATTTTCGACGAATTGACTTCGCTGATCACATTACCTCCTTTAATCGATAATACATAGGACTTTTCTGAATCTCTTTTAATGGATAGCACACTGCTCGTTTCTTTTCGATCTTTCGATTGCGGTTCATCTAATGATATAACTTCCACATTCGAATACTCCTGCATTGTCAATCGATTTCTTCTGCGATATTTTATGTATTCGTTTGAAATAAAAGTGATAACTAACAGGTAAAAAGTCGCTGACGAGCAAACAGGTGATGTTCAGTCGACCGGCACATGTACGTTTACACCCATCGATACAAAATATTCTTACGTGTTCGCGATGATAACACATATAGTTACGTATCAAATTCGAAGCGCGATGCGGAACGGATCGAGCGATAAAGAGGAAAATGTTCCAGATGAGTAATTTTGAGCAAAACCATGACTTTTACAACAATATCTGAAGTACAAATGTATTGAGCCAATGAAAATTTGAAATCCATGTTCGTTCATGCTTTCCATTTGCGATGAATTGTGTAAGAAATCAAGCAAATAAAATCAAAATGTAAGAAGACATTTTCTTGGTATACGATCCAATATGACAATGTCAAACATTTCATAGATGGCAGGAGAAACATTTCTATCAAATAGAGGACGAACTATTGAAATTGAACATGGTGAATCGAAGAATTCTATCTTGTATTCCATCCTTTGTTTATTTCAAAATACTGTAGAACATGAAATATAGTCTTTCTAATATCTTTTAATTTTCTGGGTCATCGATATGAATTTGATGTATCCGAATGGCGCACTGCAATTCAGTTGGTTTTGCCAATGTTTGAAAAAGAAGACGTGTCTGCTGAACGTTTGTGATTATGGTGACATGACCAACAAGAAGCTTTGCGCAGTAAATTCATGATGTCGAAGTTATTGGATAATCATTTTATCAGTGCGATTATTTTTCTCAATGAAATTCCGTGGGTAACCAAGCCACATTTTATTGCACAATGGGAAACAATGTGAATTATGACGCGAATACATTGCAAATGGATGTGCTTTTCATCATTCGACGACTGAAGATTGGAATGAATTTAATGATATTAATAAACTCATTATTTATTAATCATTTTATACTGAATATCGAATTGCATTTTCCTGCTTGCATAATTTGTATCTGTTTAAAGTTTACCTTGCTTGATATCAAAAACGAAGATCTTGATTTACTGGCGTTCTACTTCGACCCGTCGATCAGACCAGTTGAAACACAGATTGATTTACTCAACGACAACAGCGCTGAAGACTTCAGGTTCACGAAAAATGATCGAACGACAATTAGTTCGGATGAGAAAATTACAAAGACAAAAGCTAACTGACGATATTTTTACTATAACACGAAGATATAGAAAAAAATACGCTAATTCTCGTGTGTAATTGAACGTCGATATAGTTTTTACGACGATAATAAAGATGCTATCAAGAACAAACATGTCGATCAGTTTTCGTGTTCCCCTGTGATCACATCATGAAAAGTTAAGATGCATTTGTCAGATCGTTATTTTGAATTTTTATAATTTTCGGTCAATGTTCATGGAACTATAACTTCATAGTAAGTTTTCTCATGGATTTTTCCTTTTTTTTTTGATAACGATTCTATTCTATACAGGGCGTTCGCTATGATGTTAATGCGATATAATCTCGGTTAAGCCCAAAGAAATCTATCGTGAAATTCATCCTTCGTCACATTTTCTCACCTTTTCCGTTTGTATCTGCTATTGTGTTCTTTTTGTGTAACATTGAAATGTCATTTGGCGTAAAAAAAGGAACGATTCAGAGAATACATGAGTAGTTTTGTTTGTCTGTTATAGATTTTCTTCGTGTGTAATTAACAAGCGAGAAATGAGTGAACAAATGGATGCAAGCAATAGTGGCGCACCGGTGGTGAGTTCAAAATCAGACACAACATTGAAATTGGCGATTAAAACACCGAAAGAAAAGAAAGATATATCGATCGATGCATCTGCAACTGTAAAACAGGTGAATTTCGGTAGAATAGTATCGGATGGTTCATACATTTTTGTTTTTGTAGCTGAAAGATCTAGTAGCGAATGAATTTACTACATCGTATGATCAGATTTGCCTTATCTATTCTGGTAAAATTCTCAAAGATGATGAAGATCTGAAAAAACATGGTACGACTTTGTGTCTTATGATGAAAATTGTTTCAGTTTCGATTTTATCGTAGATATAAAAGATGGTGTCACCATTCATTTGGTTATTCGAGCTCCTAAACCCAATACAACATCAAATCCATCAGGTGCGTCTGAGCCTGCAAGCGTACCACCGATTGGAAGCCAAGCTGAAGCTCGTCCAGCGGCAGCCCCACAAGCAAATCCGGCCGGCGATTTCCCTTTTGGTCTTGGCGCTTTTCCTGGAATGGGAAATTTAAACTTCGCAAACACAAATTTTGGTGATATTCAACAACAATTCCAGCAACAAGTAATCTCCATTCAAACGACAACAGAATTCGAATCTCTTCTCTCTTTTGTTTTTGGATAGATGATGAACAATCCAACACAGCTTCGTCAATTGATGGACAGTCCTGTTATACAAAGTATCACTAGTAATCCTGATCTACTACGATCGTTAATGCTTAGCAATCCACAAATTCGTGATCTAATGGATGTAGGTGAATTGAATTAGGAAATGAAACGGCCAACAATATTTGTTTGGTTTCTCTCTCTCTCTTTGCAGCGTAATCCTGAAATATCTCATCTATTGAATAATCCTGATTTACTTCGCCAAACAATGGAATTTGCTCGTAATCCGACAGCAATGCAAGAAATGATGCGCAATCATGATCGAGCTTTGAGTAACCTTGAAGTAGATACTTCATCTAATCTTCGCGATGGATTTTTCACGCAAGCCCTTTTTCCTTTATAGAGTATTCCTGGTGGTTTCAATGCTCTACAACGCATTTATCATGATGTTCAAGAACCAATGTATTCGGCAGCACAAGAACAATTTGGAAGTAATCCATTTACACAATTATTCACTGGCAATGAAGGTATGCACACACTCTCATCTTCATGTTTTATGAGAATATCTGATATTACAATAGGAAACACTTCAACGTCACAAACTGAGAATACGGATCCATTACCAAATCCATGGGCACCACGGGGTACTGGGGCTACTGCCGGATCAGCACGTCAAACTCAACAGCAATCCAATGATTCAAGCAATACTCAACAGGCGTCATCGGCAATTCCAACAGGTGCAACGGGTAACTCACCCGGACTAATCTCACCAATGATGCAAAACTATATGTCCCAATTGGTTCAAAATCCTCGTCTGCTTGAAAGTGTTCTGAATGCCCCGTATATGCAACCATTGATGGATTCACTTGCTGCTAATCCAGATATTTCCAGACAAATGGTGATGAACAATCCAATGTTTGCTAATAATCCCGAATTACGTGACCAAATGCTCAATGCTTTACCAGCAATGATGGAACAAATGAGAAATCCTGAAGTACAAGCATTAATGCAAAATCGCGAAGCATTAGAAGCGATTACACAAGTACAAGAAGGTAAATTGCATTAGCTCTTCTCTTCTATCTTCGATAACATTTCTTTCTCAAAGGTCTTCAACGGCTGCATACTGCAGCACCTAATCTCTTTCAAGCGTAAGTCTACGAATACCATCTTAATTCTCTGTAAACTAAAGACAACTTTCGTTCAGTGGTGGTCTACCAGCTGGTCTTCGCTTCGGTTCAACTGGCTTAACATCACCTGGTACCACGGGAGGTTCATCAGCACCCACTAGTCAACAATCTCGACCAGCCGATTCAACTGGTACACGTAGTAATACTTCAACAGCGAATGATTCAAATAACTATGCAGGTGTTTTCGCCCAAATGTTGAATATGATGTCTAATCAAAATATCGTATGTCTATTTAAATTCGCATTGTTTTTACGATTGTATTTCGTGTAGAACACACCACCGGATCAACGTTATGCTGTTCAATTAGAACAACTTGTTTCAATGGGTTTCACCAATCGAGAAGCAAATTTACAAGGTAAGTCATTCATCATTCTATTCGATTGATCTTTTTCAATGATCATTTCAGCTTTGACAGCTACAATGGGTGATGTAAATGCGGCTGTTGAACGACTTCTCTCCCAAATATGATACTTTCCTATCAATGTTTAAATTCTTCTATTACTGTTGTCATCATTGCTGGATTTCCTTTCTGTTTCTATTCAACTGTTTTGTTTGTATATGTATATGTTCGTGTGTGCGTGTATGTCTGTTTGAGAGAGGAAGAGAGAGAGAGAACAAGCAATATAGAAGTGTTGGATCGATATTCCTGATCGTATGTGCGCATATTTTTCCAATGAGAAAATGTTTCTTGTCTATATGTAATGTAGTCATTGTATTTGTATAAACAAAGAACATTCACATTGTTATAACAATGATAACCGAGTTTTTGAATGACTTTTTCAAGAAATCAAAGTTTTCTTCATTGAACACGATTTCAACTTGTTCACAATTAATGAGATCAGCCTCTTGCTCATCCTCTAAGGACATTCACCTACGTGATATACGCAGAATAGACGAACATGTCAATTGCAATGATAATACTCGTTCTACTGCCTGGCAATCATATCGCTCATGTTACTTGTGAATAGCTTCTTATGTGAAGTGTGCACTTTTTCTTTCAAATCACAAACTTCAATTCAAGTATCTCTTTTTCACATGTCCGTTAATTCATATTTGAGAAAAAAGTCACAAGAAAATTCAAACATATGCTCTCCTTTTCTTTGCCAATATCGATAGGTGATTGTCCTAAGGGTCTCTTGTGTGTTGTTTCAACGACAAATTACGTTTGATCTGAGCAACAAAGTGCTGTTGAATGACACAAAGCGTTGGATGTTTTTCTCAAAAGAACAAGTAAGTGTATTTCTTGTTCAAAACGATCGTTGATGAACACATCATACAGAGTAAACAGTCGAATTCACACGGAAATGAAATTGACTTTCAGAAGAAGAAGGAGAGGAAAAAACGTCATTCTCATTGATGTTCATTCGATGAACACAGGTGACTTTTTCTTTTTTCCTCTTTCACCAACTGTTCATTGTATCTTTTTCTTCATCTAATTGAACACGTGACAGCTGCTTAATAGTTTCGAAAGTAAGCTATTTAATTCAAACAAATCATTTCGATTCGCCTATAAACATCGATATATATATATATATATATACATAGAGAGAGAACAGATAATATTACATACCTGGAAGAGATTGGTTAAGACAGTTAGATGTGATAGCACAACTATTTTATCCATTGCATTGCATAGACGAAATCGCCTTTCAACATTCTTTCTCATATCTCTTCTGTGCGTGTTTATTCAGTATCATATTATCCGTACATATTTGAAAATCTACAGACGGACTACGATTTTTTTTTCTCTGTACGAAATTATGATTTCTAATCATTTAATTAAGTAAGTATGAAGACCTCAAAGACAAGGAGAGATTTGATCTTTGTTCTCACATATGCGAAAATTTGCCACGCATAGATCATTTCTTATTAAGCTCGAAACAAACAACATGTCCTATTTACTCATCGAATTAACTTCGCGTGTGTGGAGATGATGTAACATTCTTTTTATTTGATATACTCTGCTCTCGATGATCATGATCGATTCGTATTGATGGATGTTTTTAGCATGCCGTCCTGTTGGCCATCACCATTGCAATTCGTCAAAGATTTCGATCGAACAAATTGTTCAATTAAATCAGAAGAATCGACTTCAACGGAAGAATTAGATGATGATCAAAACAACGATGGCGAAGGAGTGTGGAGTCCAGATATTGAACAAAGTTTTCATGTAATCTCTTCATTCGTGTATGTTCAATCATGGAAAAGTTCGATGTTTTTAGGAGGCATTGGCCATTTATCCTGCATGTGGTCGAAGAAAGATCATTTTGTCTGATGAAGGCAAAATGTTTGGAAGAAATGAACTGATTTCTCGTTATATCAAAATGCGCACTGGCAAACTGCGTACACGTAAACAAGTGTCATCCCATATTCAAGTCTTAGCAAAACGAAAGTCTAAAGAACTTCATTCGTTATTCAAAGTAACTAACAAATTTGATGTTAATCGAAAGTTAAAACGTACAAGAATGATTTAGGATACAAGTTTTAAAGATTCGCATCGAACGTTTCTTCTCAATCAACACTATCAACAATTACGTCATACAACAACATCAAATGCAACACCAGACAATTCTTCGCCCTATTATAATCCACCTGTTTCCATTTTTTCACCTGCGACTCCCACGTCATTTTTTGAGTAAATTCATCCACAGATTAAAATCATTGTGGAACGAAACCTTTGCGTCGCTTTAGTTTGAAATCCTTCACACCGTCATCAACTGCTGATTTTCGATCAACAGCTCATACTCATTGCATCAACTCGAATCGATTGAAATTGGCTGAACTTGCCGGATACATCCAATTCAAATCCAACTTCAATTCGGTAACCTTTCATTGACCACTTTTTTCGTTATATTGTCGAGTCTTTCGATTTAGAAACACTATTTACTTCATGTCAGTGAAGAAGCAGGAACCGATATGAAGCCTGAAGTGAGTAAATACGAAAGATTTGTTCGGTGTATTAACGAACGTTTTTTCTTTTGTCCAGAGAATCAAAATCAACCAAATCATGGATTTATTTCCGATGTTAAAAGATCTTTATCGGAAAGATTTGGAAGATATGTTCTATGTTGTCAAAGTTTGGGTAAGAATTCGATGAGTTTAGATGTATATGTATGAAGAGAGATTTCGTTTAGGTCAATATGGATTATGATGAAGATCCAACAGATACATTTCACCATTATTCTGTGTATGATTTCATGTGATCTTGCTTATCAGTTGAAATTTTTCGTTTTAGTTTTGAAAGTTTAGAAAACAATCTGAATATTACAATAACTACAAAAGTTTGTTCATTTGAAAAGACAATTGTCGAAAAAATCGAGGTAGGACTTTGAAGACTAGAGAAAACTTCAAGTGAAAGTTTTCTTTTAGAACGGCACAATGAAATATGATGAAATAATGAATAAAACTCTCTATCGTTCGACAGATACATCAATGTGTACATTTATGGTTGATTTCATAAAAAAACTCAAAACAGGAATGTATATGCGAGACATGATGAATGCTGTGCTTGAACATTTGGGTGTTTTGCAAGTAAGTAAAGTGTTTCAACTGATATCTTTCTTCATTGGACATGATTTAGACGGTAGTGAATAAAGATACAAATGAATTACTTTTATGTATTGCATATATATTTGAAATAAGCGAATCAACAAATGGAACACAATCGGCTGCTTATCGTTTATGCGAATGATTAAATGAATGTGCATCTTTTCTTCTTTTCCCGTCTATTCTTATCGATTTGCTTCCTAATTTGTCTTCAATAAATTATTTTTCATGATATTCATGTATTGAAAGTTATTGGAAGAGAAACATACATTAGATGAGTGACGAAATTAGAGATGTGCAAACACTCTCCAGTCGGCTACTAGAAGACATCGAGCAAAAAATTTCTTTGTTCATTTCTGTTGCTTCTCGATTATGGAGATAAGAAAAGTTCGCTTTCTATAACTAAAGCATGCGTCCATATTGGATACATCCGGTCGTTAGAGATCAGAATTGTACAAAGTGTATTCTTTGTTTTCATCGAAGAAAATACACTACTTAATGATTATTTTTCATTTATTCATGAAGTTCGCATGAGAAACATGTATGCATATGTATAAACAGATAAGATAAGCGTATAAGAACGATTTTCAATAAAGACAACTGGACTGATTGAGTATTAACTTTTGAAAGAATTGTTTGTTTCGTTTACAAATTTGCCATTAAACAGAGAAACATGATTAAGTTGAAATTTTTTGTTTTAGTTTTGAAAGTTTAATTGTTGACGAAATCAACGAATGTGTGAATTGATTAGAAAGACAAAGGTGTGAATGAAAAGATGCAGATCTCTTGATGACACGCAGAGAATGACAAAGGTGAAATTGCATAAATTTATTTTGTTGAATCAACTAATACATAGCGAAATGTTTGCAAATTTTGAAGAAAAACAAAGTGACAAAACAAATGCGACTTCTTGAAGATTTACCCTTGTTTTTATAACTGATTTTTGAACTCATAACAAACAGCATATTTTTTATGATTATTCATATTTCCAATAAGCAGCCCAAAAGGCTTTATTTCATACGTCGAACTGCTTGGCTGTTTTCCAGACAGAAAGATCAAATTGCACCGCATGATTTATTAGTTATATACATCATCCAACAAAATACAACTAACTCACTTTTCATATCAAACTAAAAGCATTAGTATTACGACTGTTGATTCCTATTCGAAGTAAATAATCGTGTAAACAATCCAGTTGGTTGCCGATGAATATATTGTTGAAGGATTTGATCCCTCATCGATTCCTCGAATGGTCTCAATTGACCATTATCCTCAATAACCATCCACCCGAACACTTGATCTACATCGTCAATATAATAACGACCATTCTCAAATCTTATTGGCACTCGACGCGCGTAATCACCTGCCCAATACTGATGTAGATGATTTTGTTCAGCAACATGTACATGGTCGGAAACAACGTCGGTAATAATCGCCACGTGTCCGAAAGGCATTCGTAGACTACGCCGATAGATAAGTATCGAATCTTTGACTGGTGGTTCGGGTGAACCATTCGGAACAGGTCGTAAAGGAAATTGCGTACCATCGGTAACACGTTCAATATACGTTAAACCGCGCCACATATCACAAGCAGATGAAATATCTTTAAATATAGAACTTTTGCGTAATAACAACCATCGACGAGCATATTCGACACATTGCCATTGAAAGCCAGTGTAAATTCCATACAGATAATGACGGCCCACCCTCCAAATACTACTGTTTCTGTTTGAATACGCTGGCACGTTTAAAGAGGCAGTGCCTTCNGAATTTCCCGTTTGAGTCATTTTGAATTTCTGCTTGAACAGCCATGGAGCCTGATGTATCAACGACACAACAAATGTCACACGGAGAACGTGTTGTGTCCGGCGGTGGTTGAATAGAAAGATGAACAAAACCGTTTGCATAGTTTCCTGTTGCTGTCAATTCATAAGGCACTGCTTTTGCTCGAGGATGACGATTAGTTTGCTCTTTAGGATGTACCGAGTTGCGATATTCACTAACTGCAGCTTTCAAGGCACGGTTAGGACGAAGATCGGTAACTGTAAGTGGTGCTCGTGTGATGGGTGAAGTTCCATGACTGGAAAGCCAAGCTTCAATAGCTGTTCGTTCGTAACTGTTCCCATCAGGATCAATGACTGGATCATTCATTAATTCATGCGTAATTGGGCAAATAAACGTACTCGAAGGCTCGGCCATGTTGTCGTTTCTAGAAATTAACAACTAATGACTTAAACAATCATTCTATTTAATACAAGAATGTTATGTGCTGTAGGTTGTGAAATACCAACGAAAGAAAGGAAAGAAAATGTGACTCATATGTTTACTCCTGTGTTAATAATAATATTTATTAACCATTTATGGAGAAGGCTCGCAATCATAAAGTACATTTTAGACGCAGAAGAAACGTGCTGCGCAGTAGTTTTCGAATGTTATTTTTGAATAATCATAGATAAAACAAATGCTTTATTTATTCTTCGTGGATGATGGGATAAAGCAATTGTATGAATAAGGCAAACATGATGTCATATGCGTTTGCCATTGGGAAAGTTCCGAAAAAGAGAAATTTCCATGCAATGGCTTGAAGATGACATGGATAGTGCTTCATAACAAAGGAATCTTATTCTAAGATCGAGAATCACACGTCATTTTTCTTTTTACGACGAAATCTTATGACGATTTTTGTATACACAAAAATATAAATAGTAACATGCAATTACGAGCTATGAGAAAATACTTGTGATAGGAACGTGAGAGAAGAATTTATGTAAAACACTTTTCAAATGTTTTCGTGCGGAAGTGGGAGTCTTGTCTCTGGCAATAATTTTCATCAAGAAGAATGGAAATACTTTGCTAAAAGAGCCCTATTATCTTTGCCTCGAGTATTCTATTCATTTCTTAGAAAATTTCATTTTGAAAAAAGAGACACAAAGTCATTTGACATTTTCTTCACTAAGCACAAGCTTTTATGGGTTGTTCAGAATCAAAGGTAGAGTCCAAAACGATCGAGCCGATAGAGACGAAGCCTTCTCCATTGGCGATCACACAACATCTAGTAAATGATCCTCAACCAGTTCGTGTTGTGGAGAATTTCGTTCTTCTCTGGTATTCACCGAATTCATTAAAAGGTTGGGAAAATATTAAGACAGGGCTACGTAAACTTATATCTTATATAAAAATCTTTTATGATTCCAATGAATGCATTACCTATATCGAGAGTATTCGAATTGAACGAGTCATTTTATTGGTGCCAAACATGGATTCCTGGGTAACACCATTGGAAAAACTGTCACAAGTAGAGAGAATTTATGTTTTCAATGATCAATCGAACATCGAGAGTTTTTGTCAACAACTGAAAACCGATCTTGACCTATGTGAACTCGATCTCATCAATATTACGGTTTTTCCTAATCCCACTCAAATTGGTGTAACATCTGCAGAACTCAAACGACAAGAAGCGTCGTTTCTGCTCGGACAATTAATGCGAGAGATGTTACATCGCTTAAAATTCGAAAATAACGCCAAAACGGAATTTGTTAACTTTTTTCGAATGAATTACGCTCACGATGAAGAACAACTACGTGCCATTAACGATTTCGAAACGAATTATCGTCCGAATAAAGCTTTAGCGTGGTTAATGCGGCCGTGTTTTCTTCAGCGAGTTATACAACGCCTCGAACGGACATACGAATTCGATCTTCATTACAAAATCGCGTTTTTCGCTAAGCACGTTTGCATACAAATGAACATTTTCCAAGAGAATATCTCGTTAGCTAGAGAAAAAAACTGGATCGTCTATCGTGGAAAGACAATGCCTCCTGAAATATTCGAAAATCTGCTGAAAAATAAATCTGGTTGTCTTTTTTCAATTTCGGCTTACTTTATAGCTGAAACGAATAAAGATTTTGCCGTTGATTTCATCTGTCGTCGTCTTATGACGTATCCGGAAAGAATCGGCGTTATCTTCGAAATGCACATCGATCCAGCGGCTCGTAGTGCAAGAAGTCCATGTGCTTGGCTTGAAGAAGTCTATGGATCGGAAACGAACGAAAAAGAAGGGATTTTATTTAGTGGACACTCGGCATTTCGTATTGAAGCTATTGAAGAAGTCACTGAGCAATCGAAAGCAATGTGGTTAATTAAACTGGTACTCGTGTCCGATGATGATCCGCAGTTGCTTCGAATTGTCTTATCATTACGTAGCAGCGATGTTTATACAAATCCGTTGTCTTATCTGGGCAAATTGTTGATGGAAAAAGGGGATTATGAACAAGCGGAAGAGTTCTTTCTTGCTCTACTTCTTGACCCATCAGTGCTCAATCAACCACATCGCCTTGCACGTGTTCATCGAGGTCTCGCTACGAATTATGCGTATAAAGGCGAATATAGTAAAGCATTGGGACATTATCAACAAGCGATAGAACATAGTTCAGCTTATTTACCACCTGACCATCCAGATTTTGTTCCACTTTATGATGGAATTGGTAATTGTTATTATAAAATGGGTAGTTATCAAAATGCCATCGAAAAATACGAAGAGGCTGCGAAAATGCTCAGTAAAGCTAGTCAATCTATGAATGAACAATTAACCAGTGACTTAAATACTCGTATCGCCAATACCAAAAAGTTACTGAGCCACAAACCATGATTGTAACTCAAGCGAGAATAATAACTTTTGCTTCGCGGTTTTACTTTAACGTAACTGTACTCTGATTCTTCAACTAAATATGTATCTCCTAGTGCCATCTTCTGTTCCTTCTCGTTGGTATTTGATATTCCCAAACAGATGGGATAGCCGTATCATATGCCAACGATCGACATAGTTGTTTTTTTTTCTACGCTCGGTGCAGATTGTCCAATGATGACTCAGTTGGAGGACTTTCCTACCGAACTGTTTCTTTCGCTGTTTGATTATTTTTGGGCGCACGAAATCTTTTATTCATTTGGAAATCTCAATTCACGTATTGATGGAATCATCACTCAATCTCAACTGCATATTTCGTCAGAAAATCAAGATATTGTCTATTCTCCACATCGTATCCTATCATTATCGCTCACGACACCACCGGTCTGTTTAAATGAATTCACAAATCTGCGTTCGTTAACATTGGATCGATGCTGTTTCGATGAAACATTTCAATTTCCACCCACTATACTACGCCTTTGTATAAAAAACGCAAGTTTACTTTCGGAAAATCTGAAACTCATTCTACAAAATCCAACCTTGATCAATGTCCAATTAGATTTACATCGTAAAATAACTCTCTTCGATGATAATACATCGCTCAGTAATATTCAATACTTCACAGTCAATTACATATCATTAAATGATATAATTGAGCTACTTCGATACACTCCGAAGCTGAAATACCTTCATGTATCTCTATTTGGTGTCGATCGAGAGAAAATCACGAACTTCACTCCGATTTCAACAATTAATCGACTAACTTGTCTTTCAATGGGAATCACATTCGATCAACTATGCTCCCAACTTCTGTCAGTATATTTCCCTAATCTTCAAAATTTGACAATTTTCACGTCCTATGTCGATCCGAATGTTTGTATTGCATCGTTGGAACACTTATTAACAAATCATGTACGTTTTGTGAAAAAGTTGAATGTTAGTGCACAGTTTGTGATTAATCCCTCAGCAGCCGCTGCGAGTAATTACAATATTGAGACGATCAAAACACGTTTTCGAAGCGCATTTTGGTTGAAACGAAATTGTCAGGTGACGTTCAAATGTTGTAACAATGATTCTCATCGCATTCGCTTGTATCTTCAAGCGAATAAAGCACTTCGACGAGCTCGTCCATCCCGATTCTAAAGGTTTAATCAAATCTGTTCTCGTCATGGAACTCTTCTACACTTTCTCCAAAACAATAAAAGAACTGTATGCGATTAAATGTTGTTTATTATTCCGGAGTTAATAAAATAAGCACAATAATAAAAAAATTGAATTAGAAAGAAAAAAAGAACTTTTATTCTTGTTGATTAACTCGTTTTTGCAATGTAGAATGGACCGGATTCAATACCGCACATGTTGACACCTCGTCGTATTTTGAAGTATCCACTGTCTCCCCAATTCGTTCCCCAGCTGTTTCGCACTTTCCAGTACGGTAAATTCGTCGTTGCATCAACCCCATAACCAACAATGACAACGGCATGATTTGTTGAACTCAGAGATGTTGGACATCCAGCTGGTTGAAAAACACCTCTTTGATAAGCATTGAAATTCATCGATATTGTTTTGTATGTCTGTGTTGCTTGGCTTCCTGCGAAAAACGACACCCACAAAGGTCCGTAGCTGACCAAAGCTTGTTGCATAGCAGCAGCATTGTTTGCTGCTACACTCCTGTATACAAGTGTTGGAAATCGTGCTCCTGCACCTGCGCTTGAGAAGGCACATCTATTAGTTCTGGCTTTGTAGGGATAGACTGTTTCGCTTTTTTCCTGCCAAAGATTCGTTTGGAGATAGCTGAACGAGTTAGTGAAATAACCACCGTTACAACCCGCATCTCTGGTTGAACAATCGACGATCTGTTGTTCACTTAAGTCACTGTTGCTCTTGAACTGAACAGCATATTGAAATTCAAGTAAGGAAACAAAAGCGAACGCGTAACAAGAGCCACAATAGCCTTGGTTTCTGATTGGTAATACCTTCAATATATGATAAAATGAAATTCTCGTATCTAGTAGTAAAACTCTGTACTTACAACAGGTATATTCGTTCCACTGACAACCCGTTGTGTGAGATCATACGATGTTGGTAGGGTACTTCGTTTGCGCAATGTTGTACCATCCCATGTCAATAAAATATCACTTGGCTTAGCGCTTGTTGCATTGATAACACCTTGTGGTAAGTTAATTCCACTACGTAGTACATTCAATTCATCAATAGTCCAATCAGCTAAACTAGTCAATCCCAGAGTGTGCGTGGCATCTTTTTGTCGATAATTATCAATAATGGCACTGAGTGTATTCTTGAACGAGGCAAGACGAAGATCGTTTTCACCTGGCAGTAATGAAATTCGACCGAATTGCGCTTTGTATAACGTATAAAGACTTTTGACAGCATCATCTGTTTTTGTTGATAAGCCTGTCGACGCCACTGATGCGAGGAACGATTTGAATACGGAATCTAAATCTGCCCTGGTCACTTGTAGAACAAGAACAATAATAAAAAGGCTGATGATTTTCGCCATTTTTGTGATACTTTAGTATTGACTTTTCTTTTCACTGAGTGTTTCGCTCTTTTATACTCGATACGATTTACTTTTTACCCGGGCGTATTTTCGAGCCATGACATCAGATAGAATATTACTCAAATGATTCTTATCTGATCATGCATGACATATGAAAAATAAAATTGAGCTTTTCCCCCTATTGAAACCGTGAAAATACGTCATATATTACATTTTTCTTCAGGGTAAAGATAAGTTATTGAAGCATATCGATAAAAGCCTATGAAATGATTTGGTTTATAGTGAATCATCGACTATTATATACTAGCCTGTAGAGGAAGTACTCATCAATTTCGTATTTTTAAGGGTCATTTGTCGTTTTCTCTTCCTACTGATTCAATTTCGATTACTAATATCTATCCAGGTGAAGAAATGGGTGTATCCATACGATTTGACTGTGGCCTAAAAGTAATATTCAAGTTTACTGATCACTTCCTTTCAATGTATAAATAAAATCTAACAATGGAAAAGACGACAGACAGAGACGTGTTGAGATCCACTTGCGACGGCATTAGGAAAGATAATCTGACATATTTGTACATTCGTTAGTGTCAGTCTTGTTGTACTCCGTATGAGTAATTTCCATTGCATGTTCAGTGCAGATGCTTTCAGTGGAAATCTTGTTACACGATTTTCCGAAAGAATCATTTCTGTCTATTTAATAGCGCATTAATTCCCGTGTTGATGAAATCCAGACATTACCTAGTCTTTCGATCACTTTTCATCATAATTATTCGAAACCTCATCGGTTTTAATCAACGTTAAACAGTTCTTCTCAAAATTTTGGACGAAAAACACGAACATTCACCTGAGTTTTTCATCATAATTTGACAACATGACGCAATACCTGTCACCGTGCGCTGTGTTGTCTCATTCAGTTCAAAAGATTCTCGTTTTGCATATCTTCCGAAGAATTTATTTCTATTTTATTTTCATTTGTAACATGCCATGTAATAAATCATGTCTAAACGATCACCGGAAAACTCGACACGCATGTTATGGTTAATCTCTCATCACGTGCACAGAATCTAATGTACCGTCAATTTCCGTTCGCTTCGAAAACAAGAAGCAAGCTTATTATTAAGAAAACTAGAATTGACGTCGTTCGATTTGTACAGAAAGTCATATTGGAATAACTAATTCGTAGCGCGTTTATAAATAACAAGAAAGATGACAACAGACAGAATAATGAAGTCTTGTGCAATTCTGTTCGTAACATTTGTATCTACACACTCCAGATTTTGCAAATATGATAACTGACGTGTAGAGAACTAATTACATTTGAGAAATTTGTCAAGTTTAGCAAAAACACAACTTCTTCTGTTTATCTAATTAATTGCCATCACTTATGATAGACATTTGTAAGAATTTTTTCGACGTCTTTGCCGCGAACACGATGTTTCTTTTCGGATGATGATGAAATGAGAATCATGGCTTCGTTAGATGTTGAGTTTTTCTTCGGGAAATACGTTGACAAAAGTGTATTTTTACATTCTGCTTTGAACAGGACACAATGTTATCATTAACGATGATAATTATAGTTGCTGTTCGTTCTTCTTCCCCTTTTCTATGCTAGAAATTGTCTTTCTTATTTCCGTTTGGAAGACAGAAGAAGAGAAAATAGAGAAGCGGAAGAGCAGAGAACTAAAGAGAAGAAGAAGAAATCTTCTCTCTTCAGCTTGAGTTTTATTTTCTGTCCGATTCTCTTTTATTCGCCACGTCGATTCTTCTTCACTGAATATACGAATCAATGCAATATGCTCAAAACCAATAATTCCGAGATATTGACCAATACAACCGATAAAAATCTATTAGTTTTTCCGAATATCAACAATAATTTAATCTACTATTTTGTTCCTATTTATACAATCTTATTTCTCATCGGTACATTCGGTAACGGCCTTGTTATCATCAGTATCATCCGTTCCTCACGGCTCCGGACGGTGACAAATACTTATCTACTCAACATAGCAGTCGCTGATTTCGTTCTTCTACTCAGCGTCCCGTTTCTCATCGTGACAATTCTCGCTGAGGGTTGGATTTTCGGAAATGTCTTATGCAAAATGTATTATAATTTCATCCATATTAACCAATATGTCAGTTCGTTACTACTGGCAGCGCTATCGTTCGATCGATACCTTGCTGTCTGTCATCCTATTCGCGCAATTGAATTTCGAACACGAACAAAATGCGTATTGATCATTGCGGGTATGTTAATATTCAAGAGATTTGTTTTCTGTTATTCAATATGTTTCCGTAAAGGATGTTGGCTCATCTCCGTTTTCTTTCTGGGTCCGACATGGGTCTTCGCAACAGTGACATCCGAACGGTTCGTCTTCTGGCTCGGCTATCGCGTCCAAAAGTAAGATGTTTGCTTCGTAGTACTAACACGTATATTGCAGGGCGATGCGCGAAAAAGGCTCATTGGTCTGTATTGAAACAGGATCATTGCCTTGAAGTTATTTCAGCGGATGAAATTAACGAGGAAAAAGATGTAGAACACGCACTCACCAATTTAAGGACATTGAATTCGACACAATTATAAAGTTTCTTTCATGTCAAACAAATTAACGCTCAGATCATATAAATCCCAGCAGAGAAGAATCGATGTTTTTAGAAACAGTATGAAGATAGATGACATTTGATGATGGAAAATAGAAAATGGGCGAGGGAACATGTCTTTACGATCGATGAATTTCATTCGCGCCTTGATTAGATACCAAAAAAGCAAATATACAACGGTCTTTTCAAAGCAGTCGAGTTCAAAGATTATCCTTCGGGAACTTTTTGTTAAAAACACGAACTTCTCTCTTGGTACCTCCGCAAAATTATCGGACTAACGAGTAGAAATGAGCACGGTAAAGAGATTCATTAGCATTGAGTTTAGTTTTCCACAATACATTATTTTCTTTTTATATGCACATCACATTGCTGACAAATAAAAGATAGTTAAGGCAACATGCAGATTTGAATCCTCAAAATAGAACTACTTTTAACTGACATAGTTTCTGTTGTGCGTTGAACTGTTAACATAAGGCTTTCCTCGATTAATCTTCAAAGAAAATAGAAGACGCCTGACGATCTTGATTCACTTTATTATTAGCAATGATCTCAGTGTAAATCGAGGGGGATTTGACATATTTCGGTGGAAATCTTCGCACCTAATAATATCTATCAAATAACATTAAAAATTAATGAAGGAATTTTTACGATAAGGTGCTCAGGATGGATAAATATAGCCGATGTTACTAGATGATTGAACAGAAAATATGGGAAATAAATCTAAAATGACAAGCATGAAATGAAAACTAAGAACACAATAGTATCTTAGGTCTGCAGATCCAAGTCACCCCTTTGACGTCATCGAATTATGAAACTGTGCTGCAGGGATGTTTTTTTAATTTTTCCTTCTCGATTTGTTCACGAAAGGAAGTGTATGGCGCAGAGAAGATTAGCAGATAAGAGTTTTTGGTCTCATTTAAACCAGAAAGATTTAGTAGAATTAAGCACGATAATTATGTTCAAGTGTTCTCTTCCTTGAAGCGATACAGATTATTCTTCGAAGAACATGCACTTTAATGACCTGAGACAACTTTGTTTAGATGTGTCATTGATTTTCCCTCGATTATCTTTACAATTCCGCCTGAAATCGTTTTCACTTACTACGCATTTTTCCTCGGATTTCTCTTTCCGGTTTCAATGATCACAACATTTTATATTCTTGTCCTTGTACGACTCAATCGCATCCGACGGAAGCACAAATCCGAGCTCAAACAACGTTCACATCGAAAAGTAACACGAATCGTTCTCGCCGTCATCACGGCTTATTTTATCTGCTGGGTACCTTACTGGTTTCTCCAGATCTTTATCACCATCGATCCGCTGATCGATTCTCTACGGTTAAACTTTTCAATTTTACCTGCCAACACCAGTATGCGATTCCTTCGTGAATTAACTCATCTAACAACCATTATTGGTTATGCAAACAATTGCCTTAACCCGGTTTTATACGTTTTCCTTTCGGAATCCTTTCGTGAAGAATACTTGATTGTCTTAAAATGTTTCCATCCTTGTGGATTCTTCACAGACAGTGATTCCAATGATGACAATATCATTCAGAATTCTTATGAACGCGACTTAGGTGATCGCTCGTCGGGAGCAATCGTCGAACGGCGAGAGAAATCCATGAAGAAGATCAAACATAGCGTGGCCATCGATGAAATTCCTTCGAATTTTCAATCACTTTCTTTATGTTTCCATCGTAACAATGACCGGAAGAGTCGTTCATCGTCGACGAGCTTCCTTCCAAAAGAACACGATGAACATTTATGTATGCCCCATCGTAAAGTGTCAGTGACATCTCGCCGTATAAAAACGGAACAAAAGAAACAATTAATGATGGTCAAATTGACCCTAAATCCAAGATTATCATCGCCAAGGATTCTTGATGACGGCGGAGTTTACTGTGGTGAAGACACATACACCAAACAGTTGCCAGTAAATTGATTCAGTTATCAAACTCTTCACTGTTGTTTTAAATAAATAAATATCTCTATTGATTCAAAAGCAAGTTGTGCGCAGATCATTCAGTGAAAAAAGGGGCAGAAATGTGTGACATATGACAAAAGTATTGTCAAAAGTATCGACAATGAGAGCATAAGAAGGAAGGCAAAATGTGACAAGAGATAAGAAATGCTTTCAACGGACTCTAAAAAGGCGTCATTTTTTCCGAATTTTTGACATCTGGAGGAAACAAACTGGCGATGCCAAGTTCCGAGATTCATTTTGAAAAACCCCAATTTCTTTCCACTCAAACAATTCTGTCAAAATCTATTTCGACCAATTAAATATAAGTACACAATATGATGCTTCGTTTATGTTTTATCTTTCAAGACAAACAAACAATACAATTAGAAGTTTTTTTTTGATTTTCTAGTGAATATGTACGTGCCATTGAAGAAGGAGATTCGAGGTTATGGATGAATATAATCGGCAGAGAGAAAAACAAAACATTAGACAGATGAACAACAGCAAAAGAAGGAACAAAACGATCTGTAATGGACACTTTTCTTAAGAGAAACAAAAAGAAGAAACGACAAAAGCATTTTGTGTTCGTTCGTAAATTTTTTCAATCAATGACATATACAAGGAAAGCAAAAAACTCTTTTTTTTTCTTGTTTAGCGTTCAATTCATGTGCAGAATTAATAAGCACGATCGCGATAACGTGATGATGTATGTCGACTTGATGCCGGCGGCGGTGATGGTGAATGGTGATGAGAACGACCACTACCATTATGGTGACGATCGCGATCGCGCTCACGGTCTCGGTCACGATCGCGATCACGTTCTCGATCTCGATCTCTCGATTGTGGATTTTGTTGTTTGTATTGCTTCGCTGCTTCATAATGATCGTAAAAGCATCGATCGGAATATCGGCAAAATCCATGACGAAGGTAATATCGGCAAGGGAGTGACCTTTAGAAGAAAAAGACAAAACAAACGCTCATTAGTATTGTAGTTGAAAGAAATTCAACGAAAAAATTTTGATTAGATGGATATACATATATACCAACGTGTGTGTGTGTGTGTGTTTTCTTTGTCAAGCTCATTCTGATATAAAGATATAAATCACAGCACATCTATACATACAGTTGAAAAGCTTTTGATAGGTAAAAATAAGTATTTTGGTTGTTTTTCCAAATATAATTGGAGATAAATATTTCTAACAAGCCACGATAAATAAATGGATACTCGTTTAAATGATAATCAATATATTAATTCAAGTAAATCTGTTTAAGAGTCATGGACTAAATCTGAGGAAGAACTCGAGCGACGAATAAAAACACAAGTCTAGAAGAATGAGATAGTGAAGATCACTGACAGCTTTTATGAATGATTTTATTGTTGTTGTTTTTTTTCTCGCCTTCAGTATCAACGGAAATGTTGCGGAAAAGAAGTTTTACTTACTTTAGATGATTTTTATGTTTTTTGATGATACGCGCTTTATCATCCTTGTTATCGTACCAATGTTTGCTCGGTGTGATGAATGCTGAACGTACTTTACACACTGGACAACTAAAGTAACACAAAACAAGATGTTTTTCCGGTATTTTTCCAAACAATACCTTTCCGATTCAGCATTATTATAACGCGAGCGTTTCCATGAGACAATACATTCGTAACAACTAGAAGAATCACTTTCAACATTGACACGGTTCGATGAAAATCAAAACTTACAAGATATGATCGCAGTTGTCAAGAACGCCATACAATCGTTTAGCTTCATCGACATCAGCTGAACAAATGCCACAGATGTGTCGACCGGAGTTGCTACCTCCGTCCTTATGACGGCGTCGCTTTGATGATGAACTCGACGGCGGAGGTGAAGCTGGCGAACGGCGATGGCTTTCTTTGCGAACGACTGGTGATCGGGAACCTCCTACTGAACTGCGACTGCGTGATCGAGAAACAGGTGAACGAGGCGATGGTGGGGATGGAGTTCGACTAGAAGGAAAAGGTTGACTTCGGATATTTTAATGAACATTTTTCTATACTGTGAACTATCCCGGCGACGTTTTTGTGTTGCTGATGAAGATTGACGAGCAGCACGGCCATTACTATCTTTATCACCGATAAGAATGACGCTTGAATGTGAATGTGATCTGGGTAAGGGCTCAGGCGAAATTGAACGTTCCGAACTCATGGTTTAAGCAACTGACATATAAATACAACACAATTATATTGTAATCTGAAAACAAAACATTAATCTACAGTCTCCCTTCTTTCTTCTCTCTTTCTTTCTTTCATTCTTTCGAATAGTCATGCATTGCAAATTTTAAATAAACAAATAAACAAATACGCGAATCAGCGACGAGATACAAATTTCACCGAATGAATTGTCAAAAAAGAGAAATTATTCAAAGAAAACTTTTCACCATCATCCATAAAAATTTCTTCTTTTCTCTCAGATTATTTACGAATATCCGGAAAAAATATTGACCATATTTTCATCTATAGATGTCAGCTTAACTTGTCACGTTCAAAATGCCATTATATCTCAAAACTCAAATAGATCACAAATCGAGTTGTTTTGTGCTTTAAAAATGAACAGTTTGCAACTAGAAGTTTCACGAGGAAACTCTACATGAGCCCTCGAGACGAAATACCACTTATAGTCCCATCATAAGAATCAAAGACAGTCGTCTGTATTTAGCGGATTAATAATAAAGCGTGTCGCATATTCTTTGAAGGACATATCCGAGATTTGAAATTTATATGAGGGAATTCATTGATCTATCTTTGTTGTAAGCCGGTACATTGATTAAAAATAGTATGCCGGTATGTTCAATCCGAGATTGTCGCCATAAGTACTAATAATATAATATCTTATTAACATTCTGGGTACCTTTTGAAGGTTATATGTTAAATTTGTTTCGGAAAAACCTTAGAAATGCCTTCGTATTTTCAGGCTAATGGAATGGTTTTTGAGTAATTCATGATCATTAGTCAATTTGAGAACAACATTTCTGTGAACTGAAACTTCATTGATACTTATCGAACGAAGAAAAACAAATCATAAATGATGCAACTAAAAGATATGATATGTTTATTTTGAGGATGAACAAAGGATTCGTACAATGACGAATTAACTATAGATTGAGCTTTAACGATTGCGATTTTTGATGAAAACGCAATTTTAACGAAGTGTGTCTATGAGGACATCTTTTGCCAAGTTTTCTATTCGTTAACTTCACATCCTAATATAGTTTGTGCTTTTGCCAAATGTTTTTAAACAAATTAAGTAATATTTATGAGCAACAAACTATGATGTGCATGAAATGATCGTTTGACTAGACAAAAGAATGCTTTCTTTTTCAGATAATTTTGCTGTTTATTCTGGAAAAATTCTCTTTTTCGAAATAATGTGATGTCGAATATTCCAATCGATCCAGGAGCACCGGTGCGTCCGACTCACCACCGACCACCAGCACCACCAAGAATTCCACCTCAAAATGGCGATGGTGATACTATGGAACGGCTTTTTCAAGCGTTATTCTATCGAATAGCTGTTCTCTATGCGCGTGCGGTTCCTAAGCATATTCGTCGACTAGGAGAAACTGCGATACTTGTTATGGTACAGTTGAATTTTTGTCTTGACAAACATAAACATATTCGATGGACTATTTTAGGCAATAACTTGCATGGGTTTACTTGTTTATCTTCATATTGTTTTTAATCAAAAACCGGTAACATGTCTTTCTCATTTACAAGATACTTGGCCAAGGCAAGGTGTTCTTCGCGTCGAATTATTCTTCGAAACACCACCGGAAGGTTACAACCTTCAACAATCCTATGCAAAAGAATATCAAAGTAGTTACACTTCATATCAGGAAGAGAATTCAAATGTATCTCAACAAGTAAGAAAGCAGAAGATTGAAAGTCAGTACTAAACCATTTTGTTAAAGAATATTCCCATTGTTGAGATTAATAATTATTCATCTGAACAATTATATACGAATCTGAGCGTCCATTCGTCATTCGAATCTTCCGAAGGTTTACCAGTAAATAATTCCTCGAATTCTTCGATAATTAATGGAAATATCGAAGATGAAGACGATGATTTGTTGACTTTAATTCATGATTTTTTATTCAATTTTAATTGGTTAAAAGATTTATTACTCGAGGAACAACATATCCTTGAATATTCACTCGAGTATGGATTTTTACGTTTACCACCCGAAACTCGTAAACGTCTGAACATCGAAGTTTTCTTAGTCACCTTAGGTAAGTCCACGAACCACTTTCTCATCTGAAAACGCTTTCCTCACTTCTTTTATTAAAGACATATCCAACAATACATGTTTTGGCGGTGGTCTTAGTCGATTTCTACTCGATCAATTCGTCGGACATCAAGAAATTATCATGTCCAGCATAAAACAACTAGCTGAAAAGGAAACTCATAAAGGTAAAGTACCAACGAAGCGATCCATAACAAACAAAGTTATGATTGTTTAGGTTACGTGCGAAATGTGCTAACAAATGATCATTTCCGTTTCGTCAGTGCATGGCAGAATCGTCGTTGGTGGACATATTTCGTTGCTTTATGTGTTATGGTGATTTTTGTAAGTTAACAACGATAGTCTTCTCGAATTGAAGTCAATGAATATTTCTTTTTTTAGACAATTAGTATTTCAATGCTTCTACGATATTCACATTTTCAAATTTTTCTATTTATTGGTAAGTGCGGATCATCGGGTGTTTGGTTTTCATGTTCAAATTGCTTTTTAGTCGATCTTTTAAGAATGATTGAGCACAATACCTCAGTCGTTTTCCCAGCGGCTCCATTGTTAACAGTCATATTAGCTTTAATCGGTATGAGAATGACTAAACAGTTTTGTTTCGCATTTCGGATTGATTTTTATTCTAAAGGTATGGAAGCGATCATGTCGGAATTCTTCAACGATGCTTCAACAGGTATTTCGTAGCCCTTTTCAAAAATCTCGATTGAATTAACTTTTGGAATTCATGTAGCTTTTTATATTATTCTCATCGTTTGGATATCCGATCAATATGACAGTATCTGTTGTCATACAGCTATTAGCAAACGACATTGGGTTCGGTAAGATTGTCTTTTCTTTGCTGAATACATTGATTTGATGTACAATTTTATGTATAGATTCTTTTATATCTATCATTTTGCATTCTATGCATATCATTCACGTTACAACGGTCAATATTCGGGTTTAGCATTGACTACAAGTTGTTGTTTCATTTTTCATTCGATGTTATATTTTTTCCATCATTTTGAATTGCCGATTATTGAAGCCCAGCTTTTCCTCTTTGTCGATCAGAACATCATCACTCAACCGGCAGCAACAACAACAACGATAACGACGACGGTGACGACAACTATTACCACAACCACGACTGCGATTGAAAGAACTGATTCAGAAGATCCTCCATCGACAAATTCGTAACAACTCTCCTTGTTGTCACATCCGCTGTAGAATAAAATCTTCTCTCTCATTCTCCGATCGAGCATGTGCATGTACAGTTGAACGACTTCTCTTTTTCAGTTCTATTTTTCCTGTCGGAGTGTGATTCTTTTCTTTTTCCAAACAGTATCAAAGACGAATGTATTCCCATTATGATCAATCTCATGTTATCAATGGACGATTGATACCACAGTTTTGAAAATAAATACAAATTTTTAATATCGAATTCTTGGCGAAGGTGTTTTGTAGTTCTTCGAATCAATAGTGGAAAATATTTATTTTCTGAGGAACAAAAACAAGATAAACTTATGGTTACATCAAGTTACTTAACATGTAACATTCACAGAAAAGATTCTCAATGCCATCGGAATTTATTCAGAAATTGTCGAAGTCCTGTTCGAAACGCCATTCCGCTGTACGAGTAGAGAAAGAAATTGATCGAGTAAGACGTATACGAGAATAACTGTGTAAAGAAAACGGCGATGAAAAGTAAATGAATTAATATTTGATCATCGATTATTTCTCCATTGTCCGATAATGGATGATGTATATCCGAGATTGTGTGATTTTTAATCTCGATAAAGACGAGATTCTTCAATTGATTTGTTGTCAAATTTGCTTTCTCTTGAAAATGATCCAGTGCAGCATGTTGAGTGAAGATCTGTCCATCGATTGTACTATGGATTTTCACCAAAATTAAACAGATATGGGCTGGCGCATTGAGCACAAGGAAACAAGTTGAAACCAAAAGGAGCATACGGGTAACGCGAATCGATTGATTTGTTGGAGCATCCTTACTTGAGAAATGCTCGGAACCTTCGCGTGAGAAATTCGATTTAAGTGATATATTGTTGGCTGGCTTCTGACTTAATGAGCCGGAGTGTTGCAAAAGTGATGAATGATGATTGTATACAACTGCATTTTTACCAACGATTTCAACTTTTGCCTAAAAAAAGTCAGAAATTCGTCAGTGATGATGCTGTTCGATGGAGAGTAAAATAAATCACGAGATTTGCCTCAGTGTAAACAGACTTCGTGATGAAGGATTTTTTATATGCTGACTGATGAATTATTGACGATTGGACTACCCGCATTAATATATAGATATCCGAAAAGACGTTTTTACAGATTAAAATAGAGAACAGCGATTAACAAAGTATATCCTCTCTGACCACTATTTTTCTATTTTAGACATGCATGGGCTACGAATGAGCTTCTTGCATACTGTGTACTGACGTCTCTTCCCGGATACTTCTCTTCCACGGTTGTAAGTGTATTACTTCAAGTATCTATTATTCACGCGACTTAAGCCGCTATTGACGCGTTCTAATTTTAAAAAAGAATTTACCTTTGTGGCGCACATTTCGTTGTCAACCAATTCTATCTCATCACTATTGATTTGTTGGATTGCCAAAACATTCTTGTTCAACGAATTATCTGAATTATCTTTCCCGGTTATTCCATCGTCGGAGTATTGCCCTTGAAATGTCGGTAGACACGTGTATGAACAAGTTCTGGAATAAGTATCTTCATTCAGTGTCATATTCTGTTGAGCATTTCGATCTTTTTTGCGCTGTCTCGGTACTGTGGAGTTTGCAATGATCGCCGATCGAGCATGTTGTCGAATAAGATTCACAATGAGAATGTTAAATATCAAAATAAGAGAAAACGGAATGATAAATGAGCATAAAGCGTCACCAATGAACCAGATGAGATTGAATTCCTCTTGGCAATTGACGTGAGGATTAAAATGAATCAATGCCCAACAAAAGATACAGCTAAAAAGGAATATGCACCCAAGTGGAACAATTGGCGCTGAGCGTCTTTGAGTAGCAGCTTGAATTGGATACCGAACAGCGATGTAACGTTGGATGGTAAACAACACGGTAAGATAAGCTGAGAGTAACTCAGCTAGTTGACTAAGAAAAGAGATTGTTAAACAAAGACGTTGCGTATCCCATTTGTTAACATCATGAATAACTCGAATTAATAGAGCAATATTTAATATGAGATCGCTGCAAGCTAAAAGAAACAAATGAACTTAGAGTATTGTTTACATCGTCTATCGATTAGTTGTAACGTTACTGACAGGGAGGATTTTATGCTCTGATTTTTTTAGCAGTCGGCGAAACTCGACAATAGTCTATACGCGTTGTTGACGTCAGCAGTGTGACTATTAATTCAGGTAAAATGGCATGTTTGTTTACAACAAAGCCAAGAGAACAAGTTAGGAAAATAAGAGGCAAAAGACATGTTGGTTGCACGAAATCGAGGGCGACATGAGTTTATTTGAGAGTCATTCAAGACAAAAGGGCATTGTGTTATGTCAGAAAGATATGAATCTGTCAAGAACAATTTCCTGTTTTTAATAGCAAGTTGTATTGCACTCACGTATTGGGAAATGAATGTTTTCCTGAACAAAAAAGAAAATCAGAGTGACAATTTGACGTGTTTGCAAGGTACTGTATGTAAATTTAACGTTAGTCAACTGAACGAACTCGGGAATATTTTCGATGAAGATTAAACATAGAAGAGAAATCAAAAGCAAAATCAGATTATCGTCGAACATTGTAAATCGAACTTCGATCGATGTTCTGCACGAATATCACACTTACCTAGAGCGATCAATGTCCATTTATGTCGAAGATTTTTCGTAATAAAACTCCTTGATAGAAGAACGATGGTTGATGAATTGGCAATAAGACCAATGCAGCTAATGATAAGAATATACGGATTCGTGAATTTCACTAAAAGCATCTGTATTTGTTGAAATTTGTTATAATATTTTGGCGTATTAATTGTTAATTTTAGTGCCGTTGCTACCGTCGATGTATTCAACATGGTTGCTGTAAATAGAGAGAGAGCGGCTAAGTTGTAGATCTAAAATACGGCAATGTTTCGATCAATGAATGTTTTCTTATCTGTTTGTCTCCTTTTCTGAATGCTTCTCTGAACTCACCAACGGTCCACGATCGTGTTTTTTTCTTTGTTTCTCTTTATCTTGTCAGTAATTCTTCACCAAAGACAATTAGACTCGCAGTATTATGTGTTACCTGACAGGAGATGAGAATCATGCGAAAGATTCGAGTGCGATTGATGTGTCAATCACCAAATGTTAATCGTGCAGAGTGATCTATTCTCTGGGGTTGAGCTCAATGTTGTAAACTACATTCTGGTCAAAGTAGTCGAAGAAAAGGTTTGTAAAATCTTTTGAACATCTGACTATTCAGTGCTTAAGGTAAACTGCTTCGTGAAAGTAGAAGGGTGGGAAGTGTCACCAAGAAATATTTTTAGGATTAATCTGTATCAAAACACTTCTATCGCACGTCAATGAGAACTGACGTGAGAATGTGTCAGCTCAAATGTAGCTTTTCATAGTCTCGTTGATTAGGAAGTAGCGAAGCACAAAATTAGATAGTATAGGGAAGATTTCTTGGGGACGTAAAACAAAAAAAACGAACAACTAGTTATCAGGATGATTTTTAGGAGGGTATGCTCATTTCCATTTACAAAACACGAGAAACTAATCAGTAAGCGGAGCAGAAACTGAATAACACTGGGCAGATAAGATAATGAATAGCATAGCAATCATATACGTTCGATCAAGAGTAAATGGATACATCACGACGGAGACTACGGGTCTTGTTTCAGCTTTATAATCATTTTTCTTAATGAATACATTGTTCAGATTGTTGAAAATTAGTCAAGGAGAAGAAACGTATTTATTGTCGAGGAGGATTCGAGAAAATAAAGAATAAACTATCAAGAATATTTCCTATAAGACTTTATTCATTATCAACGGGAAGCGCGTCATTTGAAAGCTTTTGAACAAAGTCAATTCGACTTGAGCAAGACTATTACATTATGTAATGCAACTAAGAGGGTGAACAACTGCTGAGATTTGCTATAATGCCTTAATTAGAATCCCTTGACGTTTTAATGAATTTCTTTTGCGGTCACCGCAATCCCTGAAAAACACAACATCTGCTTATTTTCTTCACTGTAAGCTCATTTCAATTATCTGTAGAATGTCAACATAAAAAACTGTCTTCTTTCTCGGAGCATGTTGTAAGTGATAGAAGGTTCGTGACTTTATTATCTCGAGACTTCTCTGCTTTTCTTTCAGTTTGTTTTCTGTGAGATTTACTTATTTAGCTAGCCATGTAAAAGGATGAAGACGTTTGATGTGTGCGTTGTGGAAAGACAAATCGCTTGGGAATGTGACAACGTTGTACTTTCGTATTATGTTAAGAGAAACAAAGACTTAAATAATCTTTAAAAGGATAAGACGAAGGAAATCACTCGCTAGATAAACTCTGCTTCTACAACCTGACTCTCGGTAATCAAAGTTTCAGCGGATTTAATGTCACCTGGTGCAGATGTAATGCATCGTTTTGAGCAAGATGATAGAGGAGACTTTTCGCCTAGGCGGTAGTCTCAATTTATGGCTGAGTGCACGCTTGTTCCGGTGACGTTTGACGATATAATGAAGCTACGCCTGATCATCAAGTAGAAGATCAGTAATGAAACAGTCGTTCTACTCATTCTGCCTTTATCTTTCTTAATCATATGCGAAAATGATTGCTGATAATTATCTCTTGACCGAAGCCCATCAACGACGAAAGCTAAATCGTCGGTAAACAAAAAGAGAACGGCTAACGCTGATGTCGAACGTTAATCTATCTTTGCAATGTAACAACCATGAAGAAAAAAACGCATTCCACATGAGTGTTCTGATGAAAATAGATCTTATGAGCTTGTCTATGTTATTATTGTACTTAATAATACGAATCAAACCTTAACATTAGTTATCGAATGATATCATTATGAATTATCAATAAAACAATAAAGAGGAAATGAAGAAAAGCTCTGTTCATGTATATAACGACCTTGAACGGATGATTAGACGATACTTTGAAATGATCTAACAAAGAAAAATTAATTATATTCTGTTCATGTCTTCAGTGCATTCCACTTATCCACCTGTCAAAGTTAACGATTTCTTTTGTCCGCTATTTTTATGTACATCAATCATTTACTAATGAAAAAACTATGAAAATCTTGCGTTCTTTTTTCCAATGTCGAACTCACTATGAACTTGTTCATCATCGAATCTAAATAGAAATTCTATTCCGAAATGTTTTTCTACGCGACATTTTCTGTCAAATTAATCAAATTCCGAGGCACAACTAACTATCATGGACATTTGTGATCAGACGGCTATGAAGTCTCGTTCTTCAATTATAATCAAAGTTCTTCTTTCGACTGTCAAAAGCTTTGTCATGTTCGAAAAGAAATCTAACCGAGTGAGAAGTTTCTGTTGGACACGAAGAAATTTACATGCTCTGTCAGTATTCGTCAAGTTCTTTCTCATGCAAAACTATAACCCACACACGGATACAACGTCTAACTTAATATGTACATAAATGTCATTCATTGAAAGTAGATTTCCGAACTAAAAATGTCAGCCTTAATAAATAATTGTAAAAACATTAGACACAAAAAGGCGTTCCACGAGAGTCGACTTCAGGACAATGACACATCATAGACGTGCTCATCTATATACGATATGCGAATTGTTAATTATACTTGCCTTTCATTATTTTGGTCTTATGAACGTAACTTAGCAAAAGGAATTGTGTGAGGAAACGCGCTACTCGGACCTATAGTGCAATAAGAGCTGTATTGCGAGGAATGATTGGTGTGTTTAATATTACAAGAGAAACGTCAGCACTTTTGACTTTAATTACTAGAGTAATCGATGAAAAGTGTTCCTTAAAGCGTCAATAAAAAGTCCGAGACGACATCCGTTTCATCAGTGTTCGCAATTCAGACTGTTTTCATCTGAGAATTTGATAAAAATATTGCGAACGGAAAAGTTTAGACTTATTCAAATTTTTCACATAAATTTACACATTTACTTCGTCTGTATGGTAATAACTTAAATTACGTATTTAGGAGATGAAAGTTTTTACCGAAATTAATTTCTATCAGAAACACATTCCTACCCAAACCTCAAAAATATATTCTTATTCATATGCTGTCTTCAACTTACCACTTCCCTCAAACGCAGTAGCAAAGTTGCTTCTCAGAAAGGCCCACAATTTGAGCTGAAAAACTTGTTGATAAGGACGAAAGAAGCGATAATTCCGGTTATTTATAGACTAAAGAAAACAAGTCATATCAATGCTTGTTGAAATGCTACAGATCTTGAGATTTGTCCTCTCGATGTTCACTCGTGGAGAACGTTTTCTATACAACAGAACGAAAACGATATAGCTATTCGCTGAAACAACCTATCGGAGATAGTTTCAGCTACGCAAAAACGTGGAGAAGCGAACACGAACAGAATTGCGAATGTAATTATTTTGACGATTGAAAATCTGGAATTCGAATGAATCTAATCAACAGCTCTCCGTCCAAAAGATATTATCACTATTGAATGACTCGGTTGGTTTCAGTTTATATAAGACTACTAAGTGAAACTTTTGATCAGCTTAGTTTTTTAATTAGTAATTCACACTTATTTATTGGTGGTTTCGAGTTTCTTCAATTCGCACAACTAGTTGCAATGCTACCAAAAAGAAAATAATTTTTCACAAAAAAGAAATAGGACAATGTGCATAGAATTCATTGAATATATTTAGCGCGACTATTGTCTTCGTAATTTCATTAGGATTCGGTGTGAATAAAAAAATTCTTTTGTAAATCAAAATTAACTTCCGTAAAAAAATGCGAAACTAGGTCAATGCAGTCTTTTGTCATTTTCTCGACTACATAGCATAACTAGCAAAATTTTTGACGTATTACAAAATAACATGTTTTGCAGAAAATATTCTATCGGTAAGAGAAAGGTCTGAACAGGAATTTCCATGGGCGGAGCTCTAATTATCTCTAGAAAGGTCATTGTACTTCAAAGTATACTCTTTGATCCCATATCATTTCAAGAACTCTTTCTACTTGACTGATTTGAATATTGTATTTAAAATTATGTCGCGACGAACAATAAACAATCAACTACGTATTCAATTTCCAATAACAACAATTGATCACGTTCTTCTACTCTATGACTTTCGATTTAGAAAGATCGTCTTATATCCGCAATGATCAAATTTTACCGAAGAAAACGTTCAACTCTGTGCGGTATCCTTACGTCACTGAAATGTTTCATCTTCGTTCGCATCGGTCTCATAGGAAAGTTGACGATGACTGTAAATCAGTTTTTTCCGCTCCTAAAGAGACAAAAAAGTTTCATAATAATTCACTTGATGAATTACTATCCATATTTTCAACTGCATTGTCAATTATCTATACATTATATTTCGGATGAACTGTCTTCACCTACCGACATCTGTTGTCAACGATTTATATATGTCAAACAAAGCTTTTTCGTGAAAACTAAACATATAAATATAAAGTGATAGAATAGATTTGATTGGTCGACTTGTATTGCGGGTACTAAGGTCTACTTTGTTGTTTTCATATTTTGTTTATTAATTGTCTTATTTAAATGGTATTCACGTGAATTAATTACGAAATATTTCATTTTGAAATTTCTCGAACTTTGTATTTTTAGATCTCGAGTTCTTCGTCATTTCTCATTTGAAATTCAGAATCAACTACATCTAATAGACAATGCCGAAAAACAAAGGAAAAGGTGGTAAAAATCGTCGTCGTGGTAAAAATGAAAACGACGATGTCAAACGTGAATTAATTCTTCGAGAAGAAGGACAATCCTACGCTCAAGTGACACGAATTTTAGGCAATGGACATTTAGAAGCATTCTGTTTCGATACTGCGGGAGGCAAAAAACGCTTATGTCACATTCGAGGTAAATTACGAAAGAAACAATGGATTAATCAAGGTGATGTTATCCTTGTTGGACTTCGAGATTATCAAGATGATAAAGCTGATGTTATCATGAAATATCATGGTGAGTGTCAAGACTTCTAATAAACTTCGTCTCAGTCGTTTTGCTCTCTTCCTTTAGCCGATGAAGCTCGTGAATTGAAACGAATGCACGAAATTCCAGATAACATTAACATCACTGAAACATCGAATAGTACAAATGAAGGATTAGAAGATGTTATTTTCGATGAAAGACACAATGATGATGAATCCAGTGAGGACGAAGATGGTTTACCACATAATACCGGAGATCGACGAACTGGTAATGAAAGTCCTTCAGAAGATGATTCCGATGATGATGATGAAGATGATGCTGGTGGTTACTACAATCCGAATCGAATGCCCAAAAAGACCGGCAATTTGAATGCACGAAACTTAATCGGAACGAAGAAAGATTCTGGTAAAGGTGCACGCAATAATCAACGAGACGTAATCTCAGGTTCAGATTCGGATGAACGTGATGAACTCGCACACATCTAATGTATGCATAGATAAAGAAAAGCAATCAATTATAAGTTTCGCTTCTTTTTCTTTGTCATCATTGAGCTATTTTTCAAAATCATATCGATGCAATAAACTACATTCTTCAATGATTTTCATCTGCGTATCGCATCAAAGATTGAATTAACTTCATACAAAAGAAACATGACTTGAACCACAACTTTTAACTCGATTGATTTCAATAAACTGTCGATCAAGAAGCGATTCAGAGAGATCATAACAAGAAAGTAACAACTATTTCTAATGAATGTCAATAGTGAATAATTGGTTACAGTCTTTGCACTGATATCTTTTCGAGATCATCTAGCGAAAACTGATCAAATAGATCGTCACTAATAGCATTCAACCAACACGAGGTAATAACTCATGCAGTTCATAATTACTTCTATATAGTATAGTCTAATCTTTTTTTTCTCTTTTGGAAACTATTTCGCTTGCGCTATTGGTACCATCGCCCATCTATTTACGTATATTCAGGAATAAATGCTCAGTGATCGATCAATGAACAGAATACCCTAGCGACTGCCAGCTTTAGGAGCCAGTTAATGGTTCAGACCTAGCAGTGACACCTGCCAGAGCAGCCACTCTGCTGACATCAACATTATCGATTATATTTCGTCTTTTTCTTTGTCATCATTATCATGTCGAAGTCATTAACTATGATGTCGTACAATTATTTAACTATATGTATATATTTGTATAGATAGAAAAACAAAACAGAAAATACAATAAATGAAACCGTTTCCGAACAAATGAACTGATTAAAATCGTAAATTGAGATTGAGATCAGGCAGTTTAATATCTTTGATCTTTTGCGGTAAATTCATTTCTTTCAATGCCGTCATGGCTTTGGCTGGTGCTGCTGATATTCCCGCTTCTTGCTTTTCCATCTTCGATTGTTCGTCTACTCGTGCAACAACTTCGTTCAAATTCGTTTCTAAAACCATTCCACCGAAGCAAATCTCCTGGAGAATATAATGAACTTTGTCGGCGTGAAAGATTAAGTCAAGTTCACAAACATTCTAAACATTACACGTAAATCGTTTCTTTTCGTTTGAAGACCAAACTCCTGTTCGTTTACCTCAAAGCATTTGTCTAATGTTTCGACGAAAACTTGGATCAAATCCAAAATACCTAATTCACTTTCTGAGCTGTCAACACAGAAGATGAAATACAACGTTGCATAATGACGATAGATCAGTCGGCAATCGTTGTCGCCAAGAATTGATCCACCTTCGAGGAAATTACAAACATTATCATCACGTTTCGATACTAATTGATACGTATCACGAAGAATGCGCTGTTGAACTTCTTCGGGGTAATGTTCGAAGAACTTCACTAGTCTTGGTTTAGCAGAGTTATTGAAAATAAGGATTGCTTTAATCATAATTACAGGATAAGCATAATCTATTTATATCTGAAAGGAAAAACAATCGATCAACAAGGCTATTACGCAGTACGAATGTATTCAAGCAGAACAGCAACAAATATTTTCACATTCATTTGCGAAAAAGAAACATGGGTAATCAAAATAACAGGGGAAAAACCTTAACCGACTACGATATCAGACTTTTCAGTCAACAAAGTCAATTGCCACCGCATATTATTCAACAACTCTACGAGGCATTTATTGAACGTGCAGGAAAAGATGGACGGTAGAGAAATAATCAAAGATTTTCTTTCTATTGAAGCTTTTTTGTTTGATTTAGAATGACAGTGAGTGATTTCAAGAAGTCGTATTTAGAAATCAATCCTAATGCTAGTCCGTACAATTTGGACAATGAAGCGGAACGTATGATTTACTTTTGTCGACAATTCTCAGGTTAATTTCGTTTTTCTTTAGGAATTTTTATAATGTTCGATCGAGATCGCAATGGTAGGAGTGAAAATCGGAGAAAGTAAACCTTGAAAGTTGATTTTGTGTATAGGAGTCTTAACCTTCGATGAATTTATGATGGCATATGTTTTACTACAACGTGGTGTTGATACTCCGGCAAACCGTTGGCAATACGTTATCAGTGCAATGCCTCCCGGTGTTCTCTCGCGCCCTGGTTATGTTAATTCAGCTGAAGCGCTTCAACTTCTTCAACAATTGAATCAATTCTATCAGATTCCAAATTTCGAACCTACAGCGCAACATAATATCGTCTGGACTCAATTGACTCCTCAATTAGATCCAACAGGATACATTCCTCAAGCTGAATTTCTACGTCTTATCGCAGCTCAACCGAGTATTCAACCACATATTTGGTGAACACTGTTCGAACTATAATTTTTTCTACATCTATCCGTAATCTCAGCATTCATCGAAAATAAAACTCACGCAAGCATCAATAGTTTCTCTTCCCCACTTATTCTGCTCTCATCTTTGACAGAAAAAAATGAATGACGCAGTATGTTTGTTACCGGTATTTTCCAGGACCTTGAAAAGCGCATGCTTGTTATACATAGATATATTTAACATAGATAAATCTAGAATAATCAAACAAAGTAAGGATATGTTTGTAAAAGATACAGCTCATAGAAGAGTCTTAATTTCAAAGGAAACTTTACTGTATCAGCAAAGTGTAGATGTTTAGTTGCTATATTGTCAGTGCGTAGACTCTGCAGAATGGCTTTGAAGTTTCTTCAGATCATGGTGATAAAAAATACTGCATGTTAACGCATAAATAATCGTTCTTTGTGGATTGATCTCTGTATAAGTCAGCAGATTTGGGCCAGTGGAGTTGAATTGAAGCTCTTGGAATGGCATCTTAGTTTCATGGGGCTCGATAAACGAGCGATATCGACCACAATCTTTGTTAATTATGCGATAAGCAGAAATGTATGGATAGAGCAAGGTATTACGAAAAACATTTTCCAAAAGCGAGTAAAATTGCATAAGGGTAACGCAGTTATCTTTCGTAAATTCGCTACGCGGAGAGAGCTTATTACGCATTTCGACCAATGGTTTTATCCAATCGTAGTAGTTTAAGCTCCTCAGTACATCTATCCACTGATTTGCTTGACACTTATTAAATAAGGCTGCTTGATGAGAAAATATATCCGAAGAATCGTTACAGTTACCGAAGAACTTTCTATATCCGTCATAGGTCATCAAAATCTAAAGCATAGAATACAACATTCAAATAACATGAATTGTTTCAGGGAGAAAATCATTTAACCTCGAAATTTGGAACGAGAGGTAACTTGCCATCAGTTGTTTGATTAACACTGTATGCCATTATTTATTGAAAGAAAACGTTTCACAATCGATTCACAAAATGGTTATTTTACTCGACATATTATCTATCATTATCGTGTCATTGGATTTTTTCATGTCTGGACCAATTGCGTCAACACAAGATGTCACTCTTCTCTAGATATAATTCAAGTTTTTAACGAGGTACTTCAAACACAAAGTTATTGCAATGTCTCATCGACACAACTAAGACCGATTAAAGAAAACCAGCATTGATGTTTATCAGTAATCGAATTGACATCGATAAATAAGTCGAAATTATACTAAAGTGATCCTTTCTTGGCTTCATCATGCCCCTAGAGAAAAACATTCAAGATGAAATCTAATTATCTGAATAATTCTTTCTTTATTACAAAAAAATCTATCGACAACAATCATCGAATACATTATCTCTCAACTGTCCTTCGAATAATGTGGACATTGGCACATAAACTTCCCGCATCATAGACGCTCCGGATACACTGGACAAGAAATGTCAACACTAGACACTTTTCGTATTATCTGGCTATATGATATGTCGATGTTAATGACATCCGAGGAGAGATAATTATGTTTGTGAAAGCTTTTTTTACAAATAACCAACAACAAATATTGATGACTAGATAAATATGTCGTCGGATAATATCTAACAAGCTTCAATACATATTGCAATACCCATTCCACCTCCAATAGATAAAGCCGCACAGCCTCGTTTCAAACCTGTGCGTCTGAGTGTATGAATCAACGTAACAAGAATTCGCGCACCTGAAGCTCCTAATGGATGACCAAGTGCAATGGCACCGCCATTGACATTTACCTATGATAAACAACAAAGGGTCGATTGGTATAACAAAGATATTAATCAAAGAAAAGAAGTACTTTTTCAGGATCAATACGAAGTTCACGAATAATAGCGACAGCGTGAGCAGCGTAAGTCTCATTTAATTCCAAGATATCAATTGTTTCGATGGGCCAGTTTGCTTTCCGTAAAGCTTCTTGAATTGCTTTTACCGACGCTAGACCCTTAAGTAGATTGAAGTAGACTGACAGTGAATACACAGCGAATCTACTTACCATTATAAGTGGATCTATTCCTGTCTGAGCCCATGATACGATTTTTGCTAGAGGAGGTTGTTGTTTTAATTTTGCAGTTCGATACGAACACAGAACAAAAGCAGCTGCTCCGTCGCTCAAACCTAGAGAATATAATTTAAAAAAGAAGAAAACACAATTGTCGAAAACTACCTGCAGCATTGCCCGCTGTGATTGTTCCCGCTAGATAAAACATGACAAAATCTAATTAAGATAGTTGTATTAAATCAATGTACCTTCTTTGAATATGGTTTCTAATTTTGACAACGAATCAAGTGATGTGGCTTTCTTTGGACATTCATCGTACCGAATTTCGAGATCGTCTGTAAAAAAGATAACATCTAGTCAAAGCAATTCTGCTTGTTCTCTGATACTTTTTGCACTTGATATGATAATTGGCTCGATTTCCGTATCAAAATGTCCGAGTGATGCGGCTTCCTCGCATTTCACTTGAGAGTGTAGAGCAAATTCATCCTGATCCTGCCGAGTTACATTACAAGTTTCAGCAATATTTTCCGCTATGCGAAGAAAGACAAAGAAACTTCGAAAGCGAAGATTTCATTCCTACCTGTAATCCCCATATGGACATGATTGAACGCATCAGTCAATCTGGAAGTAAAGACAACTATGGAAAATCAATCTTCAATATTTTCCTCATTTACCCATCGTGCACTACTGAATCAACAGGTGAACTATCACCCACTTTCTTTCCGTGTTTCATCAGAATACAATGTGGCGCTTGACTGACACTTTCCTGTCCACCAGCGATGACAAAATTCGAATCGCCGGACCGGATAGCTTGAACCGCAAGTGTAACTGCCTTCAACCCTGATCCACAGACCATATTGACCGTTGTTGCTGGAATGAAATAAGGTAAACCACCAGTACGAGCAGCTTGCCGTGCAGGATTTTGACCTTCATTTGCTGTTAGTACTTGACCCATAATAACTTCATTAATTTCATCGGATGTGATCGTTCCTGCTAATTGCGCTAGTGCACCTCTAATTGCAACTCCACCAAGTTGATGAGCTTTTAACAATGCTAAACATCCATTTATTGAGCCAATCGGCGTTCGAATAGCGGAGAGAATAACAACATCATTGAGCTCATCGTCCGTGTTCGATGCCATTCTTCAAACTGGAGCTAATGAATCCCTAGTAAATATGATATCTACACATTGAGCTGAGATGAGAGAAGAAAGAATAATTTCTTTTTCTACACTTCAAATAACATCTATGGAAGAATTTGCCGTTTTTTCATCTATATAATTATCTCAGACTATCATCTCTGTAGATAAAATCGACAAAAAATCGTTCGTTATCATAAAATATTCAATCAGACCGGAAATGCTTTTTTTATATAGAATCAGCGGGATGAACTTTTGTTTAACAGTCGAAGTGAGGAAAAAGGGAAAATCTGAGCTGTTAATTGCCGATCGAAATATCTGTTTATTGAATCAAGGAACAAATTGTTTAGAAAAGACAAAGAGAAGAAAAAAGATAACCGAAGTATCGTATATATAACTTAAAAGCAGAGATAGAGAGAGAACCGACGAAGTAACAGTGTAGAGAAACGAGAATAAATATAGAATAATAATAAAAAAAAGAACGAGAAGAAGCAGAAAAAACATGAGAAGAACTCGACTACTATGACAAGTATCTATCTACGAACGAACAATGTGTCATCGTCTTTCTCGTCATCATCCTCGGCATGTTCGTTGAAGAGTGGCTCTTCCATTGTTGTCGCATTGCTAAGTAATTTATATCTTCTCGATTGACGTTTTTTACGCAACCTAAAAGAGACGGAAAAAACTCTTTTCATCTTTTTGAAACTGTTGAATTTCTTCATACATAAACGTTTTCATGGTGATGTACATTAGAATCAAACAAGTTAAACCGGCAAGTGCGATGGTACTCCAGATTAAAGTTCGTCGGTCAATTTGTTTAATTTGCTTCTGGATTAATTCCTGTCCTTGAATTAATAACGGTTTTTTATTTGATGAAACTGTGGTTACAGTTTGATTAAGATGAGTTGTGCTATTCGCGACGATCATCACTGACGTGGTCATGTTACAATAAATTCGAAAATGAAATGGTGCGCTGTAATCTTATTCCATTTGCGAATAAAGATAGATAAAAGAAGAACAAGAGAAATGATTCATAGATCGCGAAATCGAAAGAGGACACTACTATTCGACGGCAAGATTTCAAAGAGAGTTGAATCTATTTATGTCTGATTAATTTGTTGTTGTCGACTTTAACAGGTTTAGAAACTCTACACGTACGTGACAAGTATCCGTTTGTTCGCGTATGTGTCAGTCTTATCACTGAATTAGAAAATTTCATCAGACTGACAATATCACGAAACTGATAATACGGTTGTTAGGAGAATTTGTGCTACAAATTTCTTTTGCTCTTTTTTTTTCCCCATTAATGACATCTCCGTTCTTATCATCAAATCACCGTAACAATGTTCTTTTCGAAACGACTTCTCTCACATCAAAGCAAACGCTTTCCAATGATCTCCACGATATATTTCACATACTGAAGCGTACGCCAAATCATCAAGATCTATCCCGGACAAATTGGCCATCGCCGACATACATTATTGAAAAGCATACAATTATCAATACACCAGTTTTCAGTCAACATCAACTTTCGCCTTTCTCTCATGATGAAAAACAAGAATTTAATAACATGGCATATTGTATTGCTTATTGCACGATTATTCTCATGGGTAAAATCTCGTTTGTTCATTCGCAAGTCTCTTAAGAATTTCTCTCAGGTATTTCACTTGGTGGTTGGCTCGGCGGTCTTTTCGAATTTCTAACAAATGGATTCAATGGATGTAGCAATGAGCATCGTGGCCATACTAAATGTCAACTGCAATATGCATCTCCAAATGTGACTGTTCGTTGTGTTAATATATTCTACAAGAATTTGACGTTGATTAACTCTGCGTTCATCTGTCTGTGTCGTTTTCGTAATTCTCCGCAACGGAAATATCGAGATTGCGCATATCTGTATGCTGACATTCGATCTTTTTAACGAAACAGAGAAACCATTTTGATTCTTTTTTCATAATCAAATCACTGAAAAATAGATGGCAATCAAAAAAGTAAAATCATCACGAATTTTCAACATTAGTTAGTTTGCCAAAAAACTATTCCACACCGGCCGATGCTTCGCCTAGAATACAGCAATAGGATTGATTCGAAAGGGTTCAAGCGAGATTTACCAGCTGCACCACGTCGAAAAGTTTTCTTCACCTCAGGCCGAGCTAATTGCAGACGTCGTAAAAATTCATTCGTTTTACGACGCATATGCGCATGCAAATACGCCTGAGAATATTCAAACAAAGTTTGTCAATATGTATAGAAACAAAATCTACGTACTTTGCAACATTTTATATGATAATGAAAGTAATTCCGAAGGATGTAAATCAAGTTAATGGTGTTCTCTCGTGATGCGGCCTTTGTATGACGAGGAAAGAGAACTAAAGGGAACGAATAAAAAATCCAGATGATTCATGTAGATCTAACAGGCAATGTGTGCATACCGAACGTTAAATAACCAATATTATCACCTGTGCGAGCATCGGGCGTGCCTTTGAGTTCTTCGGGAGGTGTTCGATAACTGACGATGACTTGCGGGGCTTGTTGAAACTGTTGTCTTCGTTCACGAAGTCCCTTCAAAGAAGAAAATTTTCTAAAACTTGAACTTGCACGATGAAACTCACTTCCATGAAGAAACGTCCGATGACATTATCGTCAGCATCTTTGAATACCGTCGAAAAAATCACAGTCACACGGTCAGATGATGCATTGACATACATAGTTTCATCATCGCGGTAATGTATCACCGCCCGTTTTTGATCACCAGTTGTTGGCTGTTGTTTACTTTGAAATTCGAAGTATTTTTCGAACACAATCGCAAAACAATGACGTTTCAGCATCGAAATCTTTCGAACTAATGGTAACCAGACGTCATTGGTCTCACCTTTCGGCAATTGACTGTTAAAATCTAATGATAAGGTTACATCATAGCCGTCCAAAGGTGCAACTAATAAATCGCCATATTCACGGCGAAGAGTCTAAGTCAAACATGAGTATTTTTTGTTTGCATTGGACTTTCATCTTACTTCATCGGTACCATATTGTTCTAAATCTTGAAAAAATTTCAATTTAATGCTAACAACAAATGGGCTATCACGGGAATGTGTAATATGATAAAGTGCTCCGTCGAAATCTAATCGAATTCAAATGTAGAACTTCATACAACAATGAAAATGTGTTTCTTACCGACAACATTGGTTTTGATTTCGACTATTTTTTCTTTACGTAGAAACGTCTCGATTTGTACGGTTAACAATTCTTCTATTATACGATTATGAACTTCGAGAATAATCATGGTCGAGTCAAAACAAATGCAGTGATATAACACAAAAAAAGAATTACTATCAAGTATGTGTGTTGAAGATACACAATTTTGTGGTAATGATTCATGTCGAGAGAGAGAGAGAGATAAAGATAGAGGGCAACAATCCACGGTGAGTTTTTTTTTCTAAAATAAATGTTTATTCGTAACAAAAAATCAATGGTTTAGTGGCTAGCGAGAACATTGGAAAAATGATACAATTCTTCTTTCGACTCATACACTCCGATCTCTGTTCCGCATTCGCTGCATAGTACAGGTCGTAAGGCTTCGTCGTGATCGCTTTCGTCAGAATGTGTTTCATTAGATTTGAATCGTTTGTTGTTGCTAGTCTTCTTTTTCTTTTGTTTTGATTTGGATGAGACCGCAACGAGGCGATTTTCATCAATCGTGCAATTGAAGACAAACATTGCTCGATATTGATTACGATTCGTTTCATGTCTAGAAGATGGAATCAGACTCGATTCGATTAAAATCAACAGGGAATTACCTTTGACAATCGTGACAAACTAAAATCATGCAACCGGGACAATTGAGAACAGCGTCAGTTGGTCCAAGCGCGGAACCATCAACTTTGTCGAGATTTTGTACACCCTGAGATCTAAAAGACATGATGAGAGTCAAGAAGAGTGACATGGAAAAGAAAAACATACTTTAGTCGTTCTTTTGTCATCCATTTTTCATCTTCTTCTTCTTCATCGGGATCATAGAGTAGATCGTCATTAGCTTTCTCTTGTTCATCGTTGTTCAGTACGGGTTGATCTGAAAAGATTCGGTTTTGAATAGAAGAACTTCTTCGGAGAAATCTTACTCGGTTCATCATCGCTGTCATCGTCGTCGTCGTCAACTGCTTGAGAAATCGTCAGTTTCTTCGTTTCTTTCGGCTTTTGTGCTAAGAAATAATTCGCTCAATTGGTGATGAATATGAATATGATGACAGTCTTACTTGATATTGGTAATTCAAATGTTCCACGAGTGATAAAATTTTCATAAATCTGATCTAGTTCATCTTCCATTTCATTGGTGAAAGTATTGGATTTTTTCGTTGCTAAATCTTTATTCTCATCTGTTTTCGGCATTGTCTTTTCCAAATATTCGTGAAGTGGCCGGTCGAATTCATCATCCGAACTAAAACCCGAAAATCGTTGAATTATTTCTCAAAACTTCTCATTTTACCTGTCAGAATTCTCTTCACCCTTCTTTATTGCTGTATTACAAGGAATTTCATCTTCATCATCACTGGGTTCATTGTCTACTTCATAGCCGGTATAGTATTTAAAACGTTGATCGCTCATTTTTCTCACGAGAAGACGAAGAATATTGATCTCAAATATTAAGAAATAACAAGGAAACTGTAATTGGTCGCGGATCTATGTGTATAGATGTCACTAATGCACAATTGATTACTTATCGTCTATAATACTCTAGAGATTCAAAATTTAGGCTCCCGGTATGTAGAATTTGATCTGTTTCAGTTAGACAAAACCGACAATACATTTATCAAAGATATTTTATATATAAAGAAAATTTTTTTTCAATGAAAATAAGTACATTTTATGTTGATATCATCGTCCACTTGGTACCAAATTGAACGGTTGATCTGAAAATCTCCATTTCGCACCATCGTATTCAGCCATATACATTGCTAACGGCGGATAATTTGATACAGTTCGATAGAATGATTCAACATTGGGTTTTACGCCTTTCAATGCATCAGTCAATGCCAATAAACCAGGTGCATGTGTTACAAGAAGCACTGTCCCACCACGATGACCGTATCTGTCAATTATTCCTCTCATCACAACAGCACTTCGCTCGAAATAATCATCTAATGTTTCCGGAACGGAAATGTTCGGAATTAACGCTTTATATTCATATTTGATATTATAACTATTGTCTGTGAATTCTCTTTTCGTCATAAAACTATCGGTTATTTTATGATTGAGATGAGGACATTCGAATAAACCAGGCTCAATTCGAATTGGAATACGATCGCGACGATCCATACCTAACAAAAGTCAAAACTATTAAAGAGAAAAGATTCTGATCAGCAAATACCAGTTAAAATTCGTTCACAAGTTTGTACACAACGGAGAGCAGATGATGATAAGCATACATCGGGTATTAAACCACTGCTTAACAAAGCACGTCCCACAAGACGAGCAGTTTGCAAACCGTTAACTAAAAGACGAATATCATATCGAACAAAAGAAAATATTCAAGAAATATTCCTATACCGGTTAATGGAGCATCGAATAGAAAAGCTTGATCAGATCGTCTTTTTGGTAAAACACGCGGTAGATTTTGGTCGTATGGTACATACGAATTTGTACGAAATGCTCGGCTAAACCAATCCGGACCGAGTGCTTGGTTAACGCGTTCGCTATGGCGCATAAAAATAATTCGCAAAGGTTGTGCAACAGGTGAACCAGATAAATGTCCGCCATGCAGTGCTGAAGCAGTGGGACGAGCCGAACGTGCGCCATGAGTCATAGTACCCATAGACGGACGATTTGCACGACGACTAAGACGAATATGTCGACGATGAGCATCACTTTCATAATCCGAATCTTCATCTTGATAATTATGATCCGAAATACTCGAATGTGGTAAAGTAGAAGATACATGTGCTCTATGAGCTAATTGATGTTGACCCAAACTATTGATTGTCGGTTTCGATGATTGTGATACATGACGTCGGACAGATGATCGCGGTGAGACCAATTGCTCATAGTCCGTACTACTGAGATGATGATGTCTCAAAAGATGTCTCCGCGATTCTAAAGCTCCATCTGTATCGTATGCTGAATCGGAATTGATTCGATTAGAGAGTAATCTTGGTACGCGGAGAGATGAGGTTGGTACATCGTTATAATCAGCTGCTGATTGATGATGATGATTATTCGTACTATTCTGATCAGATACTTTCCGCGTAAGCGAACGTGGGTGCCACGAATGATGGGTAGTCAATGTTCGACTGTGGTCACCTGTATCGGTATTAACTAAAGACCATTCACGTTCCATCATCTCAGTTAAATTCTCCACCATGATTTCCCTTTTCTAAAACGACACAATCTGTACACATCTCCGTGAAAAATAAAAACAAACTTATGACATTCGCTTTATCATTATTAATAAAAAAAAAACGATGTGATTTCGTATATGTATAGGCTACGGTTCATTGATTTTTTGTCAGTATCACTATGAAATAATGTGAATATTGACGATGTTTTAGACATACTGTGTAACAAGAGAACGGGAAAGTAAAGGACAACATAAAAAAAAACAAGATATTATCTTAACCCAGGCATATATCATGAAAATACTAATAAAGACAAAAAAACAACGCCAGAGAGAAGTTCAAATCTTTCACACACGTATTTTCATTTCAAGTAAAAGTTCGAAGAGATATTGATTAGTCATACTATATCTTCGTCTATATTCTTATCTTAATTGTCAATGATATCTCTAATAAATAAGACGCGTTTCTATCTAATAAGAGAATTGTTAGTCTGTCGATGACAAACGTCTTTCCCGGAAAGTTCGCGTCTCGATGTATAGAACAGGACAAACGAAATTGCGCTTGTTTAACTTCTTTACTCATTGGGATTTGACTATTCAGCAAACGAAATGGCAAATCACAGCTGTCGCTGTCGCATGTATTATTTTGACTACTATTGTAGCACTTATTATTCAACGGTTGAGCAGATTAAGGCGCTGTTGTCGTTCGAAATCGACCAATGTTTAAGGTACCAAAACCCGTATTATCAGAACTTCTGAGAACTTTTATTTATATTTAGAAGACAATGAGAAATGGCATTTTGGCTTCTTATGAATGGTACGATGAATTGTTTAAGGAATGTGTTCAAAGTTTCTTGAAAAATAAATCTATGAAATACAAAATAAAGCATCTGTCTTCATCCACCTACTCAATAAACAATAGTGTTATTCAGATGTTTCGATAAGTTTTACGAGGCGCCATCTCTCGCAGAAAAGCTTTTCATGGGTTCTTTGTTTGTATGACCAATACTAAACAGTGTATCTAGACAGATATATAACTAGCTTGACTATTTACCAGTTAGTTTAATCAATTGTTTGAGCCAAAGGGTATATCACCATGTCGTCATCTTTGCTGCGACAGCCTGGTGATATCGTCAATGAAGTGTATTCTGAGAATATTCCATCGATCATCAAATTATGTGATGATGTTGGTGACGATCCAAGTTCAATTGTTCAAGAAACGAAACGTGAATTACAAGTAACCATAAAAGGATTGATCTTTCCGAGTCAATAGAATCTTCTTCTAGAAAATGGTAACTGAGATGATCGCAGAAGATGATGCACTACTTGAACGTAAACGTACTGAACTTGCACCGATACGCAAACGTTACGAATCGCTCTATCATGAATTGCACCCGGATAAAACATGTCCACCATATGGAAATACGTTACCGGTTCTCCAAGCTCTACGTACTTATGTTGATGAGTATAAACGATTAAAAGCTGAACACGAAAAACTACTCGAACGTGAACCGGATATTCGGCGAGAAGAAAGACAATTATGTAACGAATTGAATGAACGTTCATTGCAGCTTGATAATTCTGGTTTCAATTCCAAACAACTGCTCACACAAATCAGCCTTTTGTCCGAACATATCAATGAATTACGTGGAGAAAAAGTAAAAAAAGATTTATATTTCAAAGTTTGCTTTTTTTCGAGTTTCTGCATCTCGTAGGAAAAACGTATCGATCATTTATCCGATATCGTTCGGGCATTGCATGAATATGAAGAAGTTTATGGATGGAAACGACCAACGACGGAAACTATGGTTGGTCGATTGTTAGCATTAGATCTTACACAAGTTGACCAGTATACATTGACAAAAGAAGCGATCGAACTTGTCGACAAGGAATTTACCGAAGTAAAACGCGATTTTATCCGTAATGTTTCATTGCAAATCGATTTTACTTTTCACAGATCAGCGAGGAAGTACGTAAAGCCGAAGCTTGTTTTGAAGAATCACACAAACAGCTAACAGCACTGATGCGAAAGCATCAATCATTAGTACCCAATGCTAAAGCCATAGCAGTAACCAAGAGTAAACAATGTCGCTTATCAAAATTACCCGATGTAAGCGTTTTCAGTCGCTCAATGCAAACACGAACGAGTTTTTCTTGTTTAGCTCGTTGCAGAAGTTGATCGTTATACGGAACATGCCATGGAGAAACTAACGAGTGATATTTTGAAAGCACGTGAACGTATTCAATTAATCCTTACTAAACTGTCCGTCGGTGATGTAACAAACGATTCGAAATATGCTGTTTTGTATACAAGTACTTCGAAATGACTTGTGTAGGTGAATTTCTCTTCGAAATGTTTTCAGATGATTTTACGGAGGATGTCTATTTCATGCATGAAGAACTTGCTCAAGAACTAGAAGCTCAATATGAAGTTAATCGAACGATGTATGAACAAATCGAAGCATGGAACGAATTGTTCACTGAATTTCAGGAATTTGAAGTAGGTAAAACTTATTTTGTATTGAACCGAGTCGTGTTTTCGGTTTTAGAAAAACGCCAGTGATCCTCAACGTTTTCATCGACGAGGTTATAGTGCACTCGCTGAAGATAAAACTCGTAAGAAATTGGAAGCCTCATTACGAGATTGTGAATTACGTATTCGACATCTTGTTGATGAATATCGAGAGAAAAATCACGGGCAAGTGTTTATTATGAATGCGAATGGAAAGGAAATTTCGGATTATATTGCACAAAGAAAAGAAGATTATGCAAAAGCAAAAGAACGAGAACGTGAAGTAGCGAAAGTAAAGATAAATCTCCATTGATTTCCTCATCGATAGATATTCTCTAGGCTGGACAAACAACTTCCACTGGCACCATTGTTGGACGAACACCTTTAAAAACGAAACAATTGGTCGGCGCTACACCAAGCGCAACAATAAAACGCGTACGGAAATTTGACCTTACCTCCATCATTCAATCCGATAAGAATGATTTGCTTTAGGCTGAACCCAATTCAAATTTACGGACACCACTAGCTACTGCCCGTCGTGTTGGTTTGCCGACTGGTAAAACTCCATTGAACAACTCAACATTCAAAACACGAGCACAAGCTAAACAAGCGCAAACGACCAAACGTGTGAATATGGATGCAACAGCATCAACACTCACTACGCCTGTAAAGCAACGCCGTCTTCTCGATCAAATTGCCAATACAACTGAGAACACATCTACACATAGTATAAATGCAGGAAATATAACAACAGGATTGAAATCGTCAATGATGGTATGATCGTCTTTATCTCGTTTAGTCATTTCATCAATTCTTCTTGTGTTCCGTTTAGACAACACCCTCAGGAAAACGAACTTTAGTCAAACGAGGCATTCCTACACCAATTCGAACACATAAATGACAAAAATATCGAATGAGATATGTAGATAACATGACTGATTATCGTTGTTTGTTTGTTTTCTTTCTTTCTTTCTTTTTATATGTACAGTTGACAATAATTGAAAAGTGAATTGATCATTCTATCTAATACAAAGCATTACAGCATATACTTATGATTAATAATACAAAAGCTATCGTAATAAGATGAAAGCATTATATGCATGACGAATAAATTTCTCTTTTCCAATTAGTGAAGATGATAGGATCGAGTATTTATCCCACCTGTCTGTCTACTGGGAGGAAATCTGAACGGTACTTCTCGAATCGTTCGTACGCACAACGTGTCGTGTTGATTAGCGCTTGCAATTTCTCTAATCTTCTAAAAAAAAGAAACAAAATTGACAAAAAAGATTAGCTATGAATTTGTAACAAACATTGTAGGTGACCTTTCTTTCATAACTAGGTTTTCTAAGAACTCTCCAGATTATACTATCAGTCTTCATGCAAGTTATTGAGGAATAGCATGTTTGCTTAACTAAGAAAGACATGGAAAACGTTTTCATTCAAAGTAAAGCAATAAGGAAATGACAAATTTACTTATATTTCGTGTTTAAACATTAGCTATAATGCATATCTTTAATTTAATCAACAATGGAAGTAACGCATATTTTTTGAAGACTGAGGCCATCATTCTTTATTTCGTTAGATCAGTTCCAAAATGTCATATCATCCGTCGCTTCGGTGAATCATGCTCAACTCAACAATTGCAATATTTCTATCTGTTTGTAGTGATAAACGTGAAATCTTTTTTCTAATACAATCGATCGCGTAGAGACTAGTATCAGTATGTACCGACATTGGATGTGCAGCTCAGGCCAATTGAGAACAGAGTACTAGTTGAGAAAGCGGATAGATCCGAACGGGTCGAAAACCAAATTTCTTTGCCCTGAAAAAGAAAGGTACAGAGATGATTATGCGAAGAAACATCACACTTACTGAACTCTTCATTTGACTCATTCAAACTCTGTAATATGGTAAACCATGGTAACATCACCGAAGACTTATACTTTGCAAAGACCATTTAATCATTATAATTGAAGGGAACTATCTTGACTAGTGATGGGTATTTCATTGATGACGAAGTTGATTGATATGTAGTCGAGTCTTCGCTTTCGGAGATCTTCCTATAAATTCGAATTGATAGTTTGTTACCAGATCGATTAACTAAGCTTACTCTCCTCCATTCCAGTAAAGTGATATCATTGAATGCATAGGTTGATCGTCGTTATCGAACGGATAAATCTGTACATACACATAAGTTTCTACTGACAACTTTTTTCTTATTTTCTAATCCTACTGAGTCTCCTTCATGTGTCTGGTCATCAGCAGGCTTTGGCATTTGACAGTGAATAAAAAAATCATTAATACAAATTTATGTTTCAACATGAGATGCGAATAAATTCACATAAAAAACATCTGATTATATCGTTTAACCAACGGTGCCACATGACACTGACCGTCGTGAACAACGTTTTGATCGACGCTAGACAACAGATCAGTATGTGAACAAGTCGTGATGAATATTGAGCTAAAATAGAAGGAATACGCGAACGTGAAACATTGTCTTCCCAAGAATCCAAATCAACAAAGAAAACGTTCACATTATTTTCAGATAAGTTGTATTCCATAATTACAGAACGATTCCATATATTAATGGATTCATTGTGGGTAACACAAAGCCGATTTTTACGAGGGTATGTGTACGAATGTAATTATAATACAAATATAGAAATTATTAATAAGATATTACCAATAATAAATAAGTCAGACTCTGTTTGACATCTTTTTTTTCTTTATACAAAACTTTCATGACTAGTCTTCGACAAATGCACAACGATGCATATAAACTGAACGATATAATCATTCATCTGAATATTTTTCAATTAGAATGTTCCTGACTACAAGTGTTTTCCGGTGTATTTAATCTCTGATATATCTGGTGAAGATCTTCAACAATTTCGCTCTGAACGATTAATTAGACAAAGTGTTCCAGACAAGAAAGACGAAGTGGATACGTCAATCTCGGTTATCTTTTTTCAATATGCATTCGAAATCGCATATTAATTCACTCATAAACTGCCTTCGACTAAGTGCACCTTTTCTTGAAAGTCTCAGGAGATAAACACAGTTCAGAGTTCAGTGTGCGTGCTTAAATGAGCTACGAAGAATTTCCTGAATTTATTATATTTATAGTTCAACATTATTATTCACGCATTTCATTAATATTTTATCAATGAAATCGAGACCTATTGAATTATTTGTTCAAAGGGCAGTTTTTCTTCTTCTAATTATAGTCTCTATACGTCTTTTAATGGAACTTCTTCGAGTATATTTAGAATACGTTATTTGAATAGACGTTTCTGTTTTTGGATGGATTAGTCTTACATACCTGGTTTTATAAATTATCATCCTGACAATCCACGGGGCTTTTCAGACATAAAATCTATTTATAATTGCATCTCCCAGTCGTCTCGGTCATATATCTGGTGAATAGTTTTTATGTCAAACGTCGATATGGATATGTTAGTTATACTTGACATATCACAATTGGCCTTTTCTACTAATGGATTATCGCCGTAATGGAAAGATGTTCATTCGTTCTCGTTACTGAACTTGATCGTACTTTCTCTTCTATGAAAATCAAGGTATTTTTCCTGTTGAAAACTAGGCGATTACGTCGATGAATATTAATAGAACAAATGCGACAAAGAAAAGTAATAGATGAAGAATAAGAATAATTAAATTAACCCTCGTTTTTCTTTGTTAATCAGACACAATACGTCAGATAACAGACTTTCTCTTTTCATACTGTAGAACACACCTTCTAATTATTCGTTGTAAGTCATCACGCATATATTCTGTGGAAATTAAAAGAAAGGGAAAGGAGAAGAAGAAGAAAGAGAAAAAGAAAAAGTTTCTCTTCTATAACTCGACGAGTCATACAAAAGAAAGTTCGTTTATTTTTCTATTCACAAAGACAAAACCCAACTAAGCTATCTGTTTAAAATAAGACCTATCCTATTGTTTCAATTTCTCCCATCGAAATCTGATTAGTCCGATTTCTTTATATTTAGATTGAATTATTATACTCTTAAAAGAGAAAAAAGCAAAGGCGACAGAAAAAAAAATGTTTAATTCGTCAACATCATCGCTCTCAGTTGTACGTCATTTACTTACTGTAAGTATTTTCTATCTTCATTTAGATTTTAATGAGCTTGCGTCAGTATCAAGTATTTCTTGGAAGTCTGAACGTCGTTTTCTTCTACGAGTACAGAAGACAGTTGAACTTAAGAAGAGTTTGCACTGATGCTTTCTAGTTGATTTTTGATCGAGGGTCTATCACATTTTCTTTGTTTCGATGTCCGGAAAAAGAAAAACGTAGATCTTTACTGTTTTTTTTCTGACATTTTCAATTGACATAGCGGCAGAGAGTTCATTATTAAGAAATCAACTAAACACAATATAATGGAAAGTTCCGGCAGTGGAATGAACAAAAAACAAAACGAAGGAACAGGAAGAAAGACTCGAGAAATGAGAAATTCATCGAATTTCTTATTATCACTTGTCAAAATGGCGAAGAGAATAAGAGCGAGAAAATCTCGGTTCAATCACTGTTCGATCGAGTAGAGACTCGATGGCGTTTTTCTTTTCTTTCCATCGACATTCATCATTTCCTGTCGTGCTTCTTCACATTTAACTGATATCAATGTGTATTTTCAGGAAAGCAATCCTTCACCATCAACGATTTGGATCGTTAATGAACGAAATTCGACACTGATCAGTTCTGACTCAACTCAAACATCTATTCGAATCATGTGGTATCGTTTCTTACTCGTTATTGGTGAGTATATCATTGATTCCGAAAAGAAAAATCAATCTGTGTAAACAATGCGCTAATCGAATTACGAACCGACAAGTTGAACTGATCGGAAATGCACTTAACAAAAGACGTGACATTAATATGAAAAACTTCATTATTTGCTTTTCTTTTAGTTATCTTTATCACCGCCGCCGGCAACTTACTCGTCTGTCTCGCCATCGCTCGTGAACGAAAATTACAAAACACAACTAATTATTTCCTTATGTCATTAGCTATAGCCGATTGTCTCGTCGCTATTCTTGTCATGCCAATAGGAATGATCTCGGAAGTGTTAGGATATTTTCCCTTACCACACTATGCCTGTGTGATTTTCGCTACAATCGATGTTTTATGTTGCACATCGTCCATATGGCACATGAGTACAATGTCCATGGATCGATATTTTACCATTCGTTTTCCGTTTCGCTACGGAAGGAATAAGACTCGGCGAATTATGCTATTGAAAATCATTGCTGTCTGGGCGATAAGTGCGGCCGTGTCGTCTCCGGTGTTTGTTTTGGGTATTGTCGATAAAAGTAATGTTTTGTCCGACGGTATATGTGCACCAACGAATCCATCGTTTAAAATTTATGGGTCGATTTTTGCCTTCTATATTCCGTTCTTAATCATGATTACAACTTATGCGTTGACAATGCGTTCGTTAAGAAATGTTTTAGTTAACAAAAAGAAATACGATCGTGAACGACGCCGAAAACAAACATTCCGACCATTAGCACAAATTATAAATCAATACGCTGAAATTGCTCAAGGTATTCGACGGACATCATCAACAAAAAAGTCTTCCGTCCCACCGATCACAACAACATCGCCAAATTCGATTTTAAATAAAACTCCTTTCACCATCGTAACCTCAACATCACCAACCGACTCTCGTGCGCAATTCTTCGCTCCAAACCAATCCAACGGAAACTTACAACAGGACGAACATCCAACAAGTCCCATCAGTGAACATCATAATTCTCAACATTTGTCAATTAGCTACTTGAAACATACGGGGAGTAAAAAACGACGCTATCAACAGCAACAACAACAAGCTTTGTCATTAAATCAAACAAAAAACAGCGCTGATATGAGTACAGTATACGAAATAACGGAAAATTCTAAATCAACATCCAGTTCCTACGATGTGTCAGCGATTGTTGCCAATCTTAACAAGAGAAAATCTTTAGTTGCTAGTGAATTGCAAGCTATCGAACAGGATAAACCGATACGAACGGTAATCACTCCGATTCCCTGTGAAATCAACGAAAACGCACTCGTAGATGAAGAAGAGTCCAGTTCCACATTGGACGTCGAGAACCGAAGTAAGTACATACATTTCAAAGAATTTGACTAAGAGAGAAAATCACGAATGTGTTGTTTCATTTCTTGACAATGTCACTCTCTCGACAGTACTTTATCAGAAGGTACAGGTTGACCGATTCTTGTTAATTAGAATCCATTCATTTTTAATCGAAATAAAAGAGGCTTTCTTCTATCATTGTTCACGTAAATCATATTTAATTAGCGTACATCCGTCTTCCTATTGATGTCAAGACAGATCTACTTACTATTTCTATCAACTAGAACAGTTTTTTCCAGGAATGACCTGAGATATTTTTAGTCAAGTCAGTCGACATGTCTATGAAATAGGGAAGATTAACTTTTTTGTTTTGATTCAATTAAGATGAGACACGCAACACACTCTATGTGCAAATCGCATCGGCATCTCAACATTCGTCGCTGTCATTTTCGAATGAATCGATCCTATTAACAATTCCATGGAAATATTGCATGGAAATCATTGAATTCATTCGCCAATATTATATTTTCTTTTTTCCTTATCGATTAAATCCACTACCTATTGAAGATTCATTCAAATTTCATCAATCAACATCAACACCATTAATATATATCAGATCGATTCGACATCATCGTCATGTTTCCACGCAAACCAATCCTCCTACAGAAGTCAACATTCCACTGAATGATTACGCACCAGCTCCGTCGAAACGTCGATTATTTCCATTCAATCGTCAGCTTCTGTCGAATTCCACATTGATATTAACCAGTCTCTTCCGTCAATCTCCGGTGACACGTGTTCGTCTAAGTGAAAGTTCAACGAAATCAACTGTTCTATTTGCTCAACGTTTCTCTGCAGCTTCCTCATCTACTCAACCACGTTATCATCCATATTCTTCCAGTTTTCGTCGCCGTCGTCCATTGGAGTCAGAATTAGAATCAACGTTGCCCTTCGAACATCGTCCACGAGCTTCAACAGCTTCATCTTGTCTTGCGCCAACAACGAATCGACAGCGAAGTTATACCACAAGTCATTATTACAAACCATTACGACACCATTATCATTCTCAATCAGCTTATGTTATAGCAAATTCTCCGAAATCCTTTCACCAATTAAGTTCGACAACAACGAACACAAACTCTTCGGATTCCTCATCGGTTATGTATCGTTATCAATCAAAATTTTTAAGCACAGCTTCCAATCACCAACATCATAATCGCGTGAGAGTTGAAGACATTGTTGCTGCCAATGAACGTAAAGCTCTTCGAGTTCTAATGATTATCTTCTGTGTTTTCATTACCTTATGGACACCGTTTTTTATCTGTACATTTATCTCCGCTGTGTGCGAAGAGTGTCGGAAGAATTTGTCGGCAAATGTCTGGTTTTCTATCACATGGCTTGGTTATAGTTCATCAATGGCAAATCCATTTATATACACGATCTTCAGCGATGTTTTCCGGCGTGCATTTTTGAACATAATCTTTTGCCGAAGCAATGAACTACTCATCTCCAGACAATTGTCAACGAAATCTTCGTATCCAAAAGGTGGAAATCATCACCGTAAAAACGATCGGATATCGAATCGACGACACTTGACTCATGATGTGTCAGGAACATCGACACCGATACCTTTTCATTATCCGGCGATCATCGGCGGAAGTGATGCAACGATTTATGTGAATCGATGTACTTCAGATACACTTCGGTGATGACAGAAAAATAGATTTCATTAACTGTTGTTGTTTCTTTCTTTTTCTGTTACGAAAGCTATGTTTATTTGTAAATCTTATTCGGTTTTTCATTCAAGCTGAATCTAAAAATACATGAAAAAGATCTTGATTAGATAGTTCTGTTCTTATTTATTATGAGATTTACAAAAATAGAACTATAGCATCCTACTCATCTTCGCAATATCTTCGCGAGTGACGTGCGACACGTAGTGTTACAAGTAGGTTCCGTAGGATTACTCAGATATAATTACGACTTGTTGGGAAAAGTTCCTCCAGAGGACATTGCATAAAGTACTTGTCTATAAACTCGGAAAACTCTTGTTTGGTGTTACGCAGACTGAATTATAATTTTAATTAAAGTCTAGATGAAAATTGCATTGATTTATGGAGTCTCCGCCTGTATGGCGAAAAGGTGCACTGAGTCGAAAAATATCGACAGATCCTGCGTCGGAGTGCAAACTAACAACAAATTAGTTTTGCAATTTTGAACGTCTCCTTTTTTCCATCTAATTACGGATTGAATGTGATCTACGATACAAATTTTCTTTTTTGGGCACTATATAAACCAATAGGATAAGGACATCTATCGCTTGAACGCATGTTCTATGAGTGCATCTGTTAAAGTTTGAAAGAAGCAAAGGTGGCGACGGAAAAGTAAGTCAAAATGCACTATATGACTACTGTCGACGTGGCGATGAATATCACTACTTAAAGAAGTTATTATTTATAGACACAACTGATGTGAAGGAATTTGCTGTCATTTACGGGAAAATGTTTTCTTGGTTTCGCCAAGACCCGAATACTGATGCTGATCCCAAACAGCATTTAATGGGCTCAGCAGAGAATGCACTGATGCAAGCTTCTCATAAATTTCAAGGATACATGAAATTTGGAGAAGTCCTACATCTTCAAGGCCCATGGATTTCTGTGGATATGTTGTCCAGGGCAGTTTGTGATTTACAACGTCGTCATCCAATTTTACGCACTCGTCTTCGAATGATGCCGGATAAATCGGATAGTTTTTTTCTTGAAGAAGATGAAACCGTTCGATTGAAAATTCGCGACATAGCACGAAAAAGTACCGATTGCCAGACATTTTGGCGTGACGAATGGCGACAACGAGAAAGAGATACAACGACTGTTGGCGAAGGACTTATCGAATTTTGGCTTCTCCAGGTACGAAAGAAATGAACTTACCTTTTGTAGTTGTCTTCCATTCGAGGATCCGGAAGATGTCAATAATAACAACAGCCCACAAGAAATTATGATCATTTCTGAACATGCTGTGAGCGATGGTTTATCTCTTAGCAATATGGCACATGAACTTCTCGTTGCTCTATCTGGTGAAAATGAAGATCTATTCAAAAACTCATTAGATTGGCCCATAACAATGGAAGCAGCCGCACGAAATAGCCTTACAATGTTTGGTAGAGTGATGACACTCACTCGATTTATTTTCTCAGCGATTTATTTACGTTCAACAAATCGATTACCGACTGCAAGAGTGCCTCTTGCACCTATCGAATTCCCATTAACTGACTTGATCAATCATTCTCATACCGAAGCTTCTTACCTTCTATTAAACAAAGAAGACACTCAGGCACTACTCTCAAAATGTCGTCAACAAAACGTGACAGTTACTTCGGCAGTCAGTGCTGCAATCCTATGTGCTCTTTCAACATTTGTCAAATCTGATGCCAATCAACCTACACTTTTGAATTTTTCTATTGGAGCCGATACTCGTCGACGATGTACACCGCCTATTCCAAATCATGATTTTCGTTATCATGTTTCAGGTTTGATGTCATTTACAATACCAACAAATGATATTCCAACAACAACTGAAAATATTTGGCAACTAGCGAGAAATTTTGGGGATCATATGAAGTCATGTGTTGATGCTGGTCAAATCCTTGCTCTTGGTTTGATCATGGGAAAACTGTATCAGAAAACGTTCGGTGAACCAAATCTTAATGAACTTCCAACTTGTGGTGTATCCAGTTGGGGAATTTTACCCTTCAAAGAAGAATATGGACGATGGAAGTTCTTGGGTATGACTCCATTTGTTAATATGATTCGTGGAGTGATGCCATTTACTACTATTCAAACTGTAAATGGAGTTTTAACTGTAATGTATGTTGGAACTGATCCGGTGATTTCAAAAACCGTTTTAGAAGGTCTCCGCGAGACTACAATGAACAAATTGCAACAGATGATTCATGGTTGACTTTTCCTCAGCTTAGTTTTCTGAAAAACATTTATTTTCATTAAAACAAATTCTGCAAAAATAGACACTGAATCGACCGGCTACGTGCTATGAATGAGGTATTGTATTGGCTATACGATTAATCGGTACATTTCGTGTTAATATTGATGTACGCTCATTTTTTCGCTGGAATAACCGTCGACATTCCTTCCGAAAGTTTCGTGATGTACAAAAATAGACATAAAATGTCGAAGCACTATTGATATAAATAAGAAACGAATAAGCCATATAGGTAATAAATGATTCGATTTGAAGACGCAACGTTGTTTTTGCAAGATTCGACGTTACGGTTAAATAAAGTGTTTGAATCGGATATGGCGTTGTTGAGAAAATATAAACAATTACTTCCCATAGTAACATAATCATCAGACTAAAATCTCTTCGACGGATACGCACATAGGTAACATCATCATTTGTTCGGACTCGATTATGAATTAGACGTAAGTTACGCATTGTTTTCAATCCAAAGATGATCATCAGTATTGGAGGAAGAGTGCCAGCAACAAGAAAAGAATAAATACTGTAAACGAAACTGTACGTACCAAAGGTACTGCATCGTCCTGATTGAATTGTTAATAGAATTGGAATATGTAAAGATATGATTGGCCATGTTATGATCACACAAGCAATGACACGAACTGCTACTTTTACTTGACAATATGATCGAATGTATAGAGATGTACAACTCAATGCACAACGATCTAGACAAGCGAAAACTACCAAGGATCGACTGATCATCAGAGCCGAATGTAGAAGATACAAGCGTAATTTACAAAATGCTAACAGATACAATTCCGGATTGGGATGATCAAGAGAATAAAGCGTTGGAATCATTCCATAATTAATAATAAAGATGTTGATAAACGAAGCGATGAGAAGGTAACGTGAACAAGAATTTTTCCGATATTCTTTTCGATAAAAAACAAATACATTAATGATATTACCAAAATTTCCAAAGACTAAATAAGTGCTCATTCCATAACGCGTCAGACTTGCTTGTATGTCAGCTAGAAACGACATTTCTTCAGAATGATACAACACATATGCTTTCTGCTAATAAATAATTATACGAGAAGATAGATGTAGTCTTTCGTCTAAGAGTATTTTCCTCAAGCTAATTAGAAAATATGCATTATTATTAATGAGATGAAGATTTTACATATGAGCACGCAAGTTTGACTTCAAAAATATAGTAATACATACTTTCCTCTGGTTAACTTTCCATTTTGAGCTACACTATTCTTAATTCTGGATCAGTAGCGAAGATTGAGAGTGATAGGATAAAACTGAACCGTTTTCTACGAACGTCTGAATTTTATAAGTTTATGGAAAGCATTTTTCTCGACGATTAACAAATAAAACGAGACAATACGTGCTACTAGTTCAACACTACTCGACTTTGTAATGATCAATTGGATCTAAAGAGAATTATCAAAGATTCTTTCTTTCGTACGGTGAATCGAAATCTAAGAAGAGTTTTGATAAAATTTCCGGAAGGTAAACGCCTGTGAGCATCAAGACGATATCTTCTATTACAATTAATTAATTATGGAAACAGAACACAGACTAATCAAGAGTGTACTGCTGGCTGCAAGTTTCATACAATTGCGACGATGTTTAGCGAAAGAATTGCGTATGTTAATTACATGGCGCTTTCATTTATTTTTCCTTCTCGAAAATGGCCTCAATCCTAAACATCAGATAAGACAGATTCATACTAGAACAATTCTATTCTGATCCTTGAATAAGCGAGAAGGTCTTTCCCAGTGCATTTTAGTCTCAAGAGATTTTCATAGATCATAAAAATATCCAGAAGTGTAGAAAGAAGTCGAAATATACGCGACACATCTTTCATGGTTTTTCACATAATCTATTCGTTTGCGATCTTCGCTCTTTAGGAATATGTACTCAGACGAAGATTTATGTCACAGCGCATCTTAATGCTTTCTTATACTGTTCGAGATGCCAAAAAAACGTTTTCATTATCTTTAGTGATGAGGGATAATGCAGAAGCTCATTGCCTCTCCAAGACAGAATTTTTGTTCTGCTATGACTTCAATAAAATAAATACAGCTTAAGATTCGAAACAAGTTAAATACTGGATCAACACATTTTTGAATGCTGTAATAGAATGACCTTCATCGAAATTTTCTCGTTCGGGGTAAAAACGTGACTGATTTTGAAGACGATTTTTCTTCTCATAGATTGACTACTATTTCTCTCAATTCAGAAGCACGTTGCTTTTCAATCCATCGTATATAGTTTGGCTGTTGTAATGCGAATAATTTTCTCATCAGAATTTCTTCTGCAAACTGACGCAATATCTTTCCTATAAAAACCTACTTCTTCTAGATTAAAAACCAAATCAAAACTAACCATGGCACCGCCAACAAAGGCAACATCTGCTGCCGCTGCTTCCACAGCGTCGACAGAAAAACGGTCTACAGTTAAACTCGACACAGTTCGAGATATCGAACAACAAATGCAAAAACTATGGGCTGATTTGAAAGTATTCGAAGCTGATGCACCTGTACAATCAGCCGACAAGTTAGATTTCTTGCTTTTTCTATTGAATACCATCGAACTGAGTATTTCTCTTTACACATTAGTTCCAATACTTTCTTGGTCACGTTCCCGTACCCATATATGAATGGTCGTCTTCATCTTGGTCATACATTTTCATTATCGAAATGCGAAGTAAAGTATTTTTGTTGTTTGTCTTTGACTGCAGATTCTTGTCGTTTAGTTTGCCGTGGGTTTTCAACGTCTTCGTGGTAAACACTGTCTGTTTCCATTTGGATTCCACTGTACAGGCATGCCTATTCGAGTAGGATTCGCTATTACAAATAATCTATTGATCTCTTGTCTTCTGTTTTAAAGACAGCTGCTGATAAATTAAAGCGCGAAATGGAAGAATTCGGTTATCCACCTCAATTTCCTGTACCAGCGACTGAGAATGCTGAGGAGGAGAAAGCTGCATCAGCATCAGCAAAAGAGAATGAAAGCAGCAAAGTTGTTAACAAGGCAAAGAGTAAAAAGGTAAATTGTTTTTGACGATTGACATTCGAAGAAGATAATTTGCTTGTTGCTATTATTTAGAGTAAAGCAGCAGCTAAAACTGGAGGTGAAAAATATCAATGGCAAATCATGCGAAGTATCGGAATTGATGACGATGAAGAGATTCGACGATTTACTGATCCGCTCCATTGGATTGCCTATTTTCCACCACATGTCAAACGAGATCTCGAAATGATGGGCTTGAAGGTACTGAGAATACCTTAGCATTCGAATTGAACATCCTTCAATGAATATTTAGGTTGATTGGCGTCGATCATTCATCACAACAGATGCCAATCCGTTCTACGACTCATTCGTTCGCTGGCAATTTCATCATTTAAGAGATGGTGGAAAGATTGAATTTGGTAAAAGGTAATTCTTCACATTCACTTGCCATTCCTCGTATATATTTGATTTCTTCTATCCTTTCAGATACACAATCTATTCGCCAAAAGATGGACAACCTTGTATGGATCATGATCGAGGCAGTGGTGAAGGTGTAGCACCGCAGGAGTATACATTAGTTAAACTTCGTATTCACGATGATCACATTCCTGAGAAACTCAAACCTCATGTAACGTCATCGACAGCTGGTGTTTACTTAGCTGCAGCAACACTTCGCTGAATGAGAAAACAGAGACTAGTGTTGAATGGAGAAGAACTGATCGTTGAACCTCTATTCTTTGGTAATCCATCAAATAGATTCATGGCCAATCGATCGATTGAAATACGTACTTGTCCAACACGAAGACAAGAACGAAAGATATCCATTCGATGTTTGTTTGCCCTTTCACTGTAACAACAGCGAAAGGAACGAAAAGAAGTTGTTTTTTTTTCATGTTTTATTTGAATGAAAACTCGGAAAGATGACAAAGCAAAAAAGAAATTTGCATCGTTCTTCTTCTTCTCGATTGCTTCTTTTTATTCAACGAAATAAACTAAAGCGTTGCCAATATCTTGTTGCTCTGAAACGACTGTTTCATGTTTCAGATCCACTTGTAAAACTTGTTGTTTATTGGTTAATTCCACCAAATCTTCTAAGGGTATGTCCATGCTTGGTAATTTTCTCGAATGAAATTGTGAAATTCGAAAATAAAACAAACGAATCGTTTTGCTGAACCGTAAAGTTCGATCAGCATGACGTCGTAAGCGTTGCTCCAATTTCTCCACGGTATCACCATTGATCATCGGAATAGTCCATTCAAAATGACCAGAATAAGATTGTCGATTAATCAAACGAATGGAAATCATTGGTTCATATCGAAAATGAATCAATGGCTTTCCAGGTAAAATCTCTTCCAAATTGGGAATACTCGCTGCTTCAATTTCATTTTCATCAATCAAACGGATGTCCACTTGTTCGATATTCAATGTTCGTCGAAAATAATCTTCATTGTTTGATAAAACTTCATATTCATCAAAAGATAAATGACGATCCAATGCTTGAATATCTCTTGTCTTTTCCAAAAGATCTCGAGAATAAATGACAAATGACATCAATTTCTTCATGTACTTCTTGTCGATTTCTGGTCGATCTTTGAAGTGTTGAGCTAAAGTTTTTCCGTCAGGAACTTGTCGATTGTTGTTCAAATATAATTCTTTCAATTGATTAAGAACAAATATTTGCCACGATGGATATGAACGAGCAATGAAGATCGTCGCATGTGTTGGGTGTAGCGGAGGTTGAACAGGCACTCCTTTGGATTTATTCCCCGATTGTTGAGTTTTATAAGCAGTTAAACGAAGACGAAAGTCATGAGCGCTGTTAAGAATATGATTTTGAGAATCGATCAGTTTTTGATCGATTTTTCCTCCTTGTGGCCATTTGGCATTCATAATTGTTGTTTGTGGATGAATCAATTGGTAGATATAATCACAAATATGTGGACAAATCGGTGCTAAGAG